AAACTAATAATTAAAAAAAGAAGAAGAGAAAAGAGAACTTATAAGTATTTAAGACTTTATTAAATATATTAAATACTCGTCTTAGCTACGTAGCTTATAGTCTAATAATTTTTTTTTTTTTTTTTTTTTTTTTTTTTTTTTTTTTTTTTTTTTTTTTTTTTTTTTTTTTTTTTTTTTTTTTTTTTTTTTTTTTTTTTTTTTTTTTTTTTTTTTTTTTTTTTTTTTTTTTTTTTTTTTTTTTATTTTTTTTTTTTTTTTTTTTTTTTTTTTTTTTTTTTTTATATAAAAAAAAAATTTTTTTTTTTTTATTTAATAAAAAAAAAAAAAAAATAAAAATTAAAATTTTTAAATATAAATTTTAAAAAAAAAAATTTTTTTTTTTTTTTTTTTTTTTTTATATTTTATTTTTTTTTTTTTTATAATACTCTAAGTAATAAAAAAACTTAATCTTAATCTAATTCGATAAAGTCTTCTAGCTATTTTATATAGATCTCGTATTTAAATTTTATATATAGAAATACTATTATAATATTGACTAGATTTATTTCTTAATTATAGTATATAATTAGAACTAAGAGAATCTTTTATATAATTAGCTTAATAATATTTAAAAAAGTTTTATTATAATCGATATCTTCTTATTAAAGAAAGTTCTTAATAACGTATCTAGTCTTATAGCGTAGAATTTTATTATTTACCCTTAGCTTCTTCTTATAGATTTATCTTTTTTTAAGAATAGTATAATATACTAATCTTAGTATTAGCTTTTATATCTTTATCTTCTATAGCGAGTTCTATTACTTCTATATAGCGGTTATCTATTAAAGTACTTTAAATCTATTAATTATTTTTTTATAAGTATAAGGCTTAGTATTAAGTATAAGCGATATAACCTATATTAATTTAATAAATTTTTTCTTTAAAGTATCGAAGTTAATTTATTTATCGTCTTAAATAATATAATAGTTTTTTAATTTATTTTTAATTCGCTATAAGTGTCTTAGTAGATTAGATATAGATAAGTTTAATATATTAGAAATAATACTCTTCTAATTACTTAGTTTAGATAAATTCGAAATATAGCCGACGTCGGGATTTTCTAGATCTATAAACAGATTTTAGATTATAGTCTTAGAGTCTTCTTTAAATATATTTATTATTATCTTACTATTTATAGCTAATAAAGAAGAAGCTTTATTTTCTAAGAATAATAAAATTCTTTTAGCGATGATAATAGTATTTATAATATTCTTATTCTTTAATATCTTATCTAGCTTATCTTTAATATTACTAAAAAACGAGATAAAAGTTTAAAGAGATTTTTATAAGATATTACGTCGTTATACTAGACGAGATTTATTTTAATTCTATAGTCGATATTAATTAAATTTCTTATAGTTAAATAAAATATATTTAAATTCTTATTTAGCTATTTTTTTCTTTTATTTATATTTATAATCGTAGATATAAACTATTATTCTAAATAGTCTTAGATAAGCTATATTAGACTTATTTTTAATAAGAGTCTAATATAATATTATAGCTATCTTTCTTAATAGAATTATTAATAAGTAGTTTATATTTAAAATAGTTATTTTAATAGTCTTAGTCTATAAGCTTAATAATAAATCTATAGCTATTAACTAAGTATATATCTTTTAAATAAGAATATTATTAATACGCTTATTAATATTATTCTATTTAGATAAATCGAATATAGTTACTTCTTATCGTATATCTTAAAAAGCTAACTAATCTCGAGTTTTTTTATTATTATACTTATTATCGTTATTAAAATAAATATACTTAAGAGTAATATAGAACTATATTTTAATTATAGTAATAAAGCTCTATAATAATTTAAATACTTAATTCTTAATTTTTAAGAAGTCTATCTATCGAAATCGAGTTTTTTAATCGATCTTTATAAAATAATAATAATAGTCTTCTTTAAAGTAAGGTAATATTAATTCGCTATTAAAGAGGTCTATATAAATACTATTAAAAGTATTTTCTATTTTAGTTATTAATTTATAATTTAGTATCTTCTTTTATTTTCTATAGATATATAGCTTATAAAATTATCTTTTAATATTATTTATAATTTTTATTTCTTCTACTATAGTTAATAATCTAGTAATATTATTAAAGTTTAAATAATTTAATACTTAATATTATTTAATAACTATTATCTTTCGATAATTAGCTTTCTTAATAATCGCGACTATAGCGATCTCTTTAATAATTATAACTTTTAATAATATAAGTCTTAGCTTATAAAGTATATCTATTAATTCTCTCTTAAGAATAATATTATTATTATTATTATAGACTTTTAGATAATTCTTCTTTTTAATATAAGTAAGATTATTATATTAGAATATATCTAGAAAGAATAAATTTATAAATAAATCTTCGATATAGTAGACATTTATAAGTATAAGTATATATTCTTTATTCTCGCCGTTATTATTCTTAATAAGAATCTTTAATAGAGTATTATCTATAATAGTAATCTTTAATATCCACGCGGGTGATAGAAAAGTCTAGATACTAACCTGCATTAAGCTAGGAGATTAAGAGCCGTTTCACATATAATTTTACACTTAAATTTCTCTCTTTTAGTTCATAAATAAGTGTGTAATTAGTATACTTAAAAGAATCTAGGCTATTCTAGACGATGATAGACAAATGACAGGCTATTAATGAAGAAACATGATATTTACGTATAGATAGTTGATGGGAAAAAACCGTAATCTTCATTTAATTAGTATTTAGACTTTTCTATTACTCGCGTAATATCCTTCTATTAATAGTCTTAACTAAGATAAAAATTTTAAGAGATTATCTATAAATTTAAAAAGTTCCTTTTCGTACGATTTTCATCGGGTTCGTATTATAAGTATAATTTAGTCTATTTAATAGACTTTATCTATATTTAAATTCTTTTTACTAGTTTTATTAATTTAGTAACTTTAAAAAATTTTAATAACTTTAAAATTTTTACGTAATATACTCTAATATACTTTAAGTATTATTCTATATATATATAATATTAATATATATTATTATTAATATATATATTATTATACGCTATATTAGAGTATTATCTACGCGATTAATTTTATTAAATTATTTAATTTTATAATTAAATTTAAGTTAGCGTTAATACTTATCGTTATAGAATCTTATTATCGTAATATCGATTATTAGAACTTTTCTTTTTTTATATATATTACTATTAAACTAATAGAACTAGTAGAAAAGATTAAGATAGTTATTAAACCGGCGGAATTTAGATAAATTCTAATTAGATTTACTAATTCGACGAATTTTATAATTTCCGCGATACACGCGTAATTAGTAATTTCAAATTTTGTAGAAACTTTTTAGATTTGCAGATGATATTAATTTCTTAACGAAATAGACTTCGAAATATATTATATAAAATAAGACTATATTATTAAAATACTAGCCGTCGTTATATAATATTATAATAGCCTTTATATAAATCGCTTTTACTATTTTTAGTTTTTTAGTAAATTCGATAAAGGTAAGCTTACTAGTCTTCTTCTTCTTCTTAAATTTCTCGATATAATTCTTATTTCTTTTAATTTACTTAGCGAAGATTTAATTAGAATTAAATAGCTAGTAAGTTCTATTATAATAAAGATTATAATTATTATACTTAAACTAGAGAGTAATTTTATAATTATAATTCTTATTATATTTCTTATTATTATTTCTCTTATTCTTATTATTTATAAATATAGTTTTACTATTAGAGTTATTAGTACTAGTTAGTTTTTAATAATATTTTCTATTAAGAAGTTACTTAACGATATAGTCGAAATCTAATTTTAATAACCTTTTCTTAGCGTCTTTATCTCGACTATTTAAAACGATTTTCATAAAGAATTTATAAGATAAGAAAAGTCTATAAAGAAAGAATATTATAATCTTTTATATATATTAATAATCTAACTTAGCGAGTTTTATTTTAGTCTTTTTAATTATTTTAATATACTTAGTAACTTCTTTATAGTCTATTAAGCTTATATAACTAATAGTCTTTTATAATACTTTATAAGAGATATATTCTTTAAATTTATATATATCTTCGAGTACTTTAATTATATTATATATAATATAAATATTTATAATATAAATATAACTATCTAACTTAAGAGATATATAAATATTATCTTTAATTTATAAGTTAGCGAACTTCTATTTATTATATTCTTTATTCTCTTATAACTAGATTAATATTTTAGCGAGAATCGAGTATATTTTAGCTATTTAATAGTAATTATATATTATTTAATATTAACGATTCTAATTAAATACTTTCTTAAATATAGAAATATTAACTATTAATAAGAGTATAGCGAATTTAAAGATCTTCTTAAACTATAACTATTTAGACTTTATTTAATTTATCTTCTAGATTCGTAGATTATATAATTTCTATAACTTCTCTAATATAAGTATAATAAACTCTTAATCTTTACTATTTTAATATTCTAATCCACTCATTATAGCTAGAAGAACGTGTATATATATATTTTTTAAAAATTAATATAATTAAAATATTAATATATTACTAGTATTAATCGAAAGCTTATAACCTCTTAGCGTAACATAGCAGTAGTGATAGAAAGCGTATAGATTCAGTGATGGGACCATTAGTCATTATGTAGCTGATGGAGAACAAAGCACTGCTATCTATGGCTAGCTACATGAAAGGAATAATGATGGAATAGCATGGAAGGATGTAGAAGGAACGTATGCATAGAACATGAAGGAACTAGACACGCTGACAATTGTGACTGCATTAGTGATGACGGGCTGAAGAATTCCTTCTTCATAAATCGAAGGCCTCCCTCACCGCTCTAAAGCTCAGTTGTTATCCTTCAGCTGTATCCTACTCTCTTTTCAGTCGCAAGAGTGGTGCTTTTCTCTGCTTCTGTCCTCTCGTATTCGGCTACCAGCCTACCATGCCCGCCAAACGTAAGAATACAGCGAAGCAAGCCAGTAATGGCAATGCAAAACAAGCAAAACAAGAGGGTCAGAAGGCTGTCTCCCATGAGATCAATGTGCCCATCGATGAAGGCTTCGAACAAGGTAAGCTTTGGTTGATTTCGTACACCAATTGGCTCGCCTGCGCATTCACTTGGGCCATCGACGTGTCATCAACGATACCCCGAAGACGCTGACAGAACTTTAACGTAGGAGATGCCAAAGTCTACATCGACGACGGTGGGATTATCTTTGACGCCTCTCTAAACCAGACAAATATCGGTGGGAACAACAACAAGTTCTACCGACTGCAGCTTTTGTACAACGACAACGACCAGTATTATGCCCACACCCGCTGGGGTCGTGTCGGCGAATACGGTCAAGTCAAGACCATGGGTCCCCTTGATCTGGAGGGCGCTCAAAAGGAATTCGACAAGAAATTCAAAGACAAGTCCGGCCACAAATGGGACGAGCGATCTGAGCCCGCCAAGAAAGGCAAGTATACCTTCTTGGAGAAGAATTACGAGGACGACGAAGATGAGGCCGAAAACCAGGTAAAGGATGAAAAAGATGAGGAGAAAGTTGAGAGCAAGCTTCCACGCCAAACACAACGACTTATGGAGCTGATCTTCAATTCAAACCACTTCAATGCCGTACTTGAGCAGATCGGTTACAACGCCAACAAACTGCCGCTGGGAAAATTGTCCAAAGCCACCTTGAAGACGGGCTTTGAGCATCTGAATGAGCTGGCTAGTCTGATCAAGCATCCAAGTCTGGCCCAAAATAAGTACAACACGTCCCAAAAGGAAGCTATTGAGGACTTTTCCAACAAGTATTACTCGACCATACCCCACGAATTCGGCCGCAACCGTCCACCAGCAATCGACAACAACGAGCTCCTTCGTAGCGAAATAGCCATGCTTGATACCCTCACGGACATGGAAGTTGCTAACCAGATCATGAAGACTACGGGTGACAAAGACAAAGACGCAGAAAGTGTCAACCTCCTAGACAAACGCTTCCAGGAACTCAACATGGAAGAGATGACGCCTTTGGATCACAAGTCTATCGAGTACAAGGCTCTGGCAGACTATCTGATTAAGTCCTCTGGAACGAGCCATGGTATTCGCTATCGCCTTGAGGATATCTTCCGGATCGACCGTGCTGGCGAAGGGGATAGATTTGCCAAGTCTGAATTTGCTAGAATCCATAAAAAGGACAGGCGCTTGTTATGGCATGGGTCTCGTACGACGAACTATGGTGGTATCTTGTCTCAAGGATTACGTATTGCACCGCCTGAAGCACCGGTGAACGGATACGCCTTTGGAAAGGTGACCTTCACCGTTCTTCACCCATTACTAGGCGCGCAATCACTGATGCTACACTCTAGGGTGTCTATCTAGCCGATGTCTCCAGCAAGTCCGCGCAATATTGCACCGCAGGCATGTCTGGAGGGACCGGCCTCTTACTCCTTTGTGAGGCTGAGCTGGGCAAGCCAATGTACGAGATTCCGACGGGAGATTCCAGTGCGCAAGAGAAGGCGAAGCAGCACGGTGCCATCGCGACGCTTGGCGTCGGACGAACCGCACCCCAGGTTCGTACATTTCGGAGCTGATTCTTCCTCATCGGTAGTAAGATCGAGTCACAAGACATGTCTCGGGAGCAAAGAACCCTTTCTACTCCTCTGAGACCTGTTTTGCAACTCCATTTTCCGCGTCGAACGGGCTTTGCTGACTCCGAAATCTGCGTAGGGGTGGACGGATGGGGAGTTTATTCACGAGGACTTGAAGGGTGTCTCCTTGCCAGATGTCACGAAGGGCCTTGGAGACAACAAGGCTGCGAAAGCCACGGGGTATTTGATGTTCAATGAGTATGTTCTCGCAACGCTGACCTACCCACTTTTCTTCGTTACTGACCCGCAATAAGGTACATTGCCTACGACGTCGCACAGTTGCGATTGAGGTATCTCTTCCGCGTGGGCATGTAGATGGGTAGGTATACTACTCGGAAATCGTGTCTATTACAAGAAGAATAGAAAAGCAAACAGAATCATGCAAGTGTCCAGTATCCATTGCATTGAACCCCCCTGCAACTTCGCGTGTGCCCTTTCGACCTTGACCATCTAGCGCATGACCGAAAGGTGTCGCTGTCTAGAGCAGCTTGACCCCTCACTAATGAGAACGATTTCGATTTGAACAAATCCTATATCAAACCCGCTTGCACACAAAGCAATGATGCTCTCTCACCGTCTCCACTAGCCGTCCGGGACTCATCCTCAGTGTCTATAACGGCAAATGAGCACGCCCATCTCCGCCTCTCGGTCTGACTCAGGAAACCTTCCCGTTTCACTTGACAACGGCCATCAGAACCCTACAACCCAATCAGCACCATCCATTCCCTCCCCCCCCCCGTCTCAAAAGGCACCAAAAGCGGCAGAACAAACATACCCATCATAATCCTTCTCCCCCACCGTCTGCAACACGGGTGGCCTCGACCCTCTCATCCGCCACCCACCCTCTCCACACACTCCCTCGCCCCCCGCACCATATCGTTCCGCGCCGCCTCCTCCGCCATGGCCAACTTGCCCCTACTCACCACATTGTCCACGCAAACGCACGCCCCCGGCACGCTCATCCGGACCGCCCAGTCGAAGTAGCGGTAGTTGTTCACCTTGTCCGCGTCGATGAAGGCGAAGCCGAACCGCTCGCGCGCGCCGGATTCGACCTCCGCGTGGAGGCGGGGCAGCAGTCCGCGCCCGGCGCGGCAGGGGTCGCGTTCGACGCTCGTGACGGCCATGGCGGGGTCCTCGGTCGCGAGCCAGATGGCGGAGTAGCCGCCCAGGGCGCCGACTTCGAGGGTGCGCCGGACGCCCAGCATGCGGCACTGCAGGGCGAAGAATTTGCCGTGGGGGGAGGGGCAGCCGATGTCGGGGAGGCCGTGGGCGTCGCAGGCGCGCAGGGCGCGGGTTAGGGCGGAGTGGTTCGGGCGGGACGGGGGGTGCAGGTGGGACACGGTGTAGGCGTCGATGGAGGTCCAGCGCGAGTCGGTTTCGTAGTCGCCCCGGCCCTCGGTGCTCATCTGGGTAGTGGTTGCGGGAGGCATGATGAGTGGATGAGAGAGCTATTCTGGTTGGGATGGATAAAGGGATTCGGTCAAAACCAAAAAAGGGCTGTACATGGTTTGCGATCAAGTGCTTGTCTCGAGGCACATGCGACAGGTCAATGAGCTGGTTTTGGTAAGGGAATTGAAGCCTTTATATATTGCAATGGCAGCCCTTAGTTCAAGCTTGGGGATTCGGAATCCGGCCCTCGTACGAAGGAGCTCGGAGTTGGCAGAGGCATTAAGTAAGCAAGTCGCAGAGAAAGCGACCAATCAGGTAAGTGGTAAGCCGGAGAGATGGCGTTAGGCAACAACAGATAGTGACAGTCATCATGGTCTTAGCTTTCGTACAGTACCTTCAGTACCTTATGTTCAAGCTGTAGGACAGCAACGTCTCAGGTGTCAAAAGTTCCAAAATGCCTCTAGATCCCACCCAGCAATGTCAGTGAGATCTAGACCTTCAAAATCTTGGCCGTACTCCTAAGCATCACCACGGTCAGTAATGTCATACATTGACGGCGATGAGTGTTTACGTACCTCGAGCATATCAGTGCCATCCATCTGCGCACTTGGTCCGATCGCGTTGCCATTGCTACTGCCATTGCCGAGAAGACCAGTGGGTGCTGAAACCGGCTATAAAATGACAATGAGCGCCTATCTTTTGGGATTGATTGACGTTTGGAAAAGTATTTACCATGTTGGGCAGACTCGCCAGCGTCGCTGCCGCAGAATAGTTGTCCTGCAAAGACATGACTCTTTGGGTCATCTGAGTAACTTTGTAGGCAGCCTTCTGCTCCTCATATCTTGACTGTTCTAGCGATGGCGACTGCTTCTTCTTGAGTAACCCAATCATCGCGCATACACAGTAGTACTCTGGTAGTCCAATACCTACACACATGATTTTTTCCCCGATCATGTTGAGAGCCTTTTCTAGATAGGGCAGTGGATCGCTGCTTGACTGTTTGATCGAACTTCGCGAAAATAGATTTTGATCTAGGTTTAGTGTGTGAGAAGTGTAAAGAATGCTCTGATGTTGGAGCGCTCACCAGTATTAGGTTCCGAAGCAGAGTAGTTGTAACAGATGCTCAGCGCTGCACCAAATATATCGCTCCTGAACAAACATAGGAAGGTATTGCCAGTGCTTGTGAGCTGGTGATGTAGATCAAGGATGTTCATGGCACTTCTGAGATGCATTATAGCAGAGTAATCGTATCTGGAACCTCGCGCTTCTTCTCGTGCGAAAGGCCTGTGAAGGAAAAGCAAGAGTACTTGCAACTGGAGCTGTAGGAGCACTCTCGAGACCACGCTGGCTTGGTCACTCCAATGCGGGATCTCGGCCAGATATTGCATGATCTTTCTATCATAAAGCAATACATCTTCGTACGCCATTTGAGGATGCGGTCCATTAATCACTGACACAAGCTCGAGTCGTAAGGACCAGCTTAAGCGAGAGAGATGCTGGAAAGTCGACCTTGTGTACTGCGATACTGGCCTCGGCCCTGGCAGTTGCTCCGCTGAAGGATCGAATTCTTCGTCGTCAAGGTTCAAGGGCGGACCGCAATCCTCAACGAGATCACGCAACATGGCCGGCATTCCTCTGTCGAATGCCGCCTGTAATTCTAATTCCGATATGGTGGCCCATATGCGCCTCCGCATTTCTTGGTCAAAGGCGGAGACTTTCTTGGAAGACGGTGTGGCATGACGTAGATTGATTATATTGGCATCGCGATGAAGACCATTAGATAACGCAAGTCTCATGAGATTTCCAGCTGATGTCCAGGTCCGTTTACGCTTGATTGAATTCATCTGTTTCGCTACGAAGGAGAGGCAGTGTATTTGGAAGACGGTCATATTAGTGTGCTTTTGGCTTTGGGATTGCAGCCACGAATCGCAAGTTCGTATCCACATGATAGCAGTCTCGCGTCCGACCGAGCTATCGCCTCTGAACATTGATGAATCCTTCTCCTTGACGCAGTAGGTACTGGCCAGGATCAATAACAGAAGTGCAGCGAACGCAGGTCTACCTTCTTGGGGAGCTTTCCAGAAACTCGAGTACTCTTCCCAGAAAGTTGGTAGGTGCAGAACTCGATAGGTGGACTCCAGGTTTTCAACATAGATTTGCACTAGCTGGTCTGCGACTTTCTTCTGTGGCAGTAAGCTGATGAGAGCTTTATCGTTAGTCGGCAGACTGTCTTCTTGACCAGGGCCTTTGATCTTGGTGTTGTGAAGTTCTCTTTGCACAGATGCTAATCCTTGGTGCTGCACAATCATATCTTTCATGAACAGCCGCAACTCTGGAAGCTATTGCAGTCAGTTATAGCATAGCAAAGCGAAGCGGGAGAGTGATTCATCATACATGAGATAGATAGCTCGTGTGATGACTAGCTCCATAGAATTGGGTCTTGAAATGTTTGCCTCTAAAGATCATTGTCTCCTTATCCGCTGCTGCCATACGATTCGAGTGTATTGATAGCTCAGCTTGGGTGAGCTCTGGGATTCTGGCACCATGAGTGGCTTTCTCTAGACCAATGATTCTGCACTCAAGTTGCCTGATGCGCTCTTCTTGGGCGTACAGCCTGGTCGTAGTATCTTCTGAATGGGGTCGTGGATACGCTTCTTCCCCTTCATCGGCAGCAAAACTTCGGGCCACTGAAGGGAGTCTAGGAATTGTTCTTGGAGCTCCATGACCGTTCGCTGTAGGGAAATCACGTGTCCGATTTTTCTCCCCGGAAGATTGGGTCGTCGCCAACTCGACCGCCTCGTTATCATAAGTACAAGATTCGGGATGTCCTCCCTTCTGACATCGAGTACAAGATGGGAATAGGCGATCGCATTTCAGCTTCCTGCGCCGACAGTCAAGGCAAGAAAATGCTATCCTCCGCCTTTTGGATGCTGGCGTCTCATCATGCGGGGAACGCTCCTCTCGAGCAGTACCATTACTAGACATTGTTAGAAATGGACGAGAGTATCAGAATTAGGTGGATATTGTCTCGATCCTGGTTTGGAGACTCCAGAATATAGTTATTGAATGCTGTAAGATTGGACAACTAGCTTCTTGACGTCGCGGAAATACTTGGCAAAACTCGCACGAGCGTGGCCACTTTAGTACGTACCTTAGGGTTAGGGTTCTTACTAGCGCTGTTTAGGACTAAAAAAAAGAGAGAGAGAGATATCTACCTTAGCTAACGAGGCAAAAGCACGTTCACAATTCGACCATTTACGACTACATTGTGGGTCTATATAGCAACTATCAAAAGTATTCATGTTTCAAATGCGAGGGGCTCGGCTACTTTTTTGAGGGCATGTTTCCGTTAGGCACGTAAAGTTACATATCTTTTCGTAAGCACTTATATAATGTGGGCTTTGAAACTCCGTTGACTACAAAATAGACTACCCAAGAACATGTTTCCAGAATTGAGAAGTCATTTCTGGCAGCCAACTGAAGGCTAGAATCTAATCTGGTCGCCCACCTACCTCAGGCTCAAAGGCATCCTACCACGCTGATACTTTCGTGTTTCTATCTGTCTAATTACCTCGCCCTCTACTAGGTTCGACATCTTACCGCAAACTCGAACCTTTGAAATAAACGGATGCCCTAGCTTCCATCTCCTCACAGGGAATGATTCAAGGGAAGGAAGCCGGGTGTCGCTCAATCCTAGCTTGCAAAGCGTTTTCTCAAGCTCGTTCCCACTCCCCGGACAGACTTGACAATTTCGTGTCTCCCGTCGTATACCGGGTAGATCACCACCGCGAAAAGAGCGAAGAATTGCCAGAGGATCGCCATTGTCACCCAGCCGCGGAAAAACGGCTTGGTGAAGATATAGTCCCGGTACAGCGGCATCGGCCACACGACGAAGGTGATGGCGATAATGAAGATAAGGAAAATCCACGCAATCTTATACCATCTACGTAGATGGCGGAGGGATTCCTCGTCAAGAGGGTGTACCAGGTCGACCAATGGTGTAGCGGATCCGGGTACGACGGTGTTTAGCTGGGGGCTTTCGTAAATGGCAGGAGCTACACTCGTCTTCTCCCGTTGCTTTTGGTCTTTACCTGTCGACAGGGCAGCGATGGAGTCATCTGGAGACGATGCGCTGCTGGTTGAAAGCGTCGTCTCATCCTCGACAAGATCTATCCTCAAGAATTCGCGCCAGTCAAAGTGCTCAGGTTTGAGATGTGATATGACAATCGAATACAACACCGGCGAGAAGAGCGACGCAATAGCGCCGTAGAGACACGGCGCCAGCTCCACGGTTGTAGCGAACGAGATCCCTCCGTAGATGGCATAGGTCGTGCCCATCCAGACGCTAACGCCACTTACCAGGCCGAGTATTGGGGACACAATCGCTGCAAGCTTGGATTGTCTTGACCACATGAGCGTGAATATCAGAGGGAAGATACCTGGACAGGTGAGGATGGGTGAGAAGTAGTTTACCCAGGAGATGTTTGCGCCCCCATAATTCAGCATCAGAGCGAATCCTGTAATGAAGACTCCGTGGAAGATGACACCAAGATGGCTTACATTGACCACCTGCCTGTCAGTAGCCTTGGGGTTGATGTAGGTGCGATAAACGTCGAATGAGATGATACTACTGACAGCAATCATTGATGACGAGACTGTGCTGGTGACGGCCATGAAGAGCAGGAGCAGCATACCGACAGTGCCGCCGCTTCCCAGCAAAGCCTTGATCGTGTATGGCATAACAAAACCCGAGGCAACTTCGTCTGCGGTAAAGGTTCCTGGATACGTCGGAAAAATTGGCAGGGTATCGATGATCCTTGCCGAAAGACCCATCACGGTTCCTAGACCCCATGGGACCGCAAAAATTGCCAGGGCGGCGAGATCATAGCCTGGAACCGTGGACTGGACTTCCGAGGCAAAGGACTTCTGCCAAAAAGCAGTGTCCTGAGGTAAACATGAGCAGAGTCTGTCGTGTGGCGGACAGGACGCGTACCATAATCACAAGGGCGAGATTGCCGAACTTGAGAATGAGACCGAACATGATAGCGCCCTTTGACTTGAAACTCAACAGAGAGCCTGCATAGTTTCCGACAACGTAGTGCTGCGCAGCGCTGGCAGAGATCTTATCATAGAGACCATCAAGTCCTCCGATATGCTCATTCGTGAGGACCGACAAGGTGAAATAGATGATCAACAAGACAGCGATGGTGGTGTGAAGGAAGTCAGTGAGAAAGGTTGCCTTGATTCCGCCAACAGCAGTATACAGAACGACTATACAATGTAGGTACGATCAGTCCTTGCTCCAAGACCGGTGAAAAGTGCACCCACCTCCAAGGGGGATCAGAATCGTTGCAGCGGCTAGATGCATGCCTGTTATGCCCACAACTAATTGTGATCCAGCAAGTATCATACTAGAGCACCCGAAAATATTGTTGATGAGGTTGAGCACGGCGAACACAACATGGCCCAAGTTGCCGTATCGTTTTCGAACGATCTCCAACGACGTGTGAGCATGCGGTACCCGCAATTTGGTCAAGACACCAAGAACGGCCATCAAGGCGACTTGAAAGGAGAGACCTGTCCCGAACCACATTGGTGCCGCGAGACCGTACTGGTAGCACACCACGGAGGCAAAGACGGTTTCGTTGATCCACATCCACGAGGAGAAGACTGCTGAACAGGTGAGGCCGGTGCCCACGGATCGATTTGCCACCATGAACATCTCGGATCGCCCAGAGTCTTCCATTAGGTACAATCTTTGGATCTTCACTGCAATGAGAATGACGGCGGCGAAGAGAACGCCAAGGCCTATGATGATTCCATACCCGGTGCCTTGACTTAGCAGACTGACTCCATGACCGACGTTGACCATCCTGACAGAGCTTTTCAGTGAGACGTGTAAATCAGAAGCACAGTCAGTGATTGGAACATCTCCTGTTGGAGGAACGGATATATACGTTGAGGAGATTGTTGGAGTATTGCGCCATCGGTACCCCGAAAACGTGCTACTAACCACACGACAGCATCTCGCGTTGATCGGGGACTATGTTGATCCCTCTATTAGCACTTGCTTCAATATTGCATAAACGAACGATGCGCCGGGTGGACTGCCACGTTGTGGTATCAACGGAATTAACGTGCTTCTCGTAGTCAACTTGGGTTTCCCCATCGCTTTCTACCGAGTATTTACTGCGTACCGCCCACTCCACCGCCCTGAGGCCGCTATAGGGTAGGCGCATGGTCCAGTGTTACTATAGCAGACCAATTAGGGCCCTCGAAGAAGCTCTTCACCCAGCCTAATTCCTCCGCCATGGCCTCCGAAATGGGCGGCGCGGGGCCTGGGTACCTCTCGCGTCAACACAGCCTTTACGCATGCACGATGACATATCTGGGGTAAGGTGTCAGAATTGCGCCATATGTCATGGAAATCACGTTTCATATAACAACGACGTGCCTCGTAGTAGAAATTTGGTTAATCATTTCTTTCTTTGCAATTCATTTTCGACTGGGAAGAATAGATATTTTGATTGCTGCGCGCAAATCCATTCAAAGTCGGCAGCAATTAAATTGCAGGGATTCTAATCTCTACAGATATGGCAACCGCAAACGGACATGAAGACCAATCAAGAGTGTCTGATGGCATAATAAATGAAGAGGAGAAAAAGCATCTAATCCTGAACGCGTTTGTGATCACCTCTCCCGGTCATCTCGCACCAGGCCTTTGGAAGCATCCCAGAAATCAGACGACAGAATACAAGAAGTTGAAGTTCTGGACCGACTTGGCTCAGCGCCTGGACAAGGCAAATTTTCACGCCCTGTTTGTCGCAGATGTTTTGGGCGGATACGATGTTTACAAGGGACCTGCCAACATGGCTCCGGCGATTCCATCTGGCGCTCAGTTCCCCATCAATGATCCCCTCTATGCTGTTCCCGCCATGGCTGCAGTAACCAAAAATTTGATCTTTGGAATCACGGCCAGTACCACGTATGATTTGCCATACGCTCTTGCGCGACGGTTTTCGACGGTTGATCACTTGGCCGACGGCCGCGTGGCGTGGAATATTGTCACCTCGTATCTGGACAGCGCGGCCCGCAATATGGGACTCAATACCCAAATAGAACATGACGAGCGCTACCGGATTGCAGATGAATACATGGACGTCGTTTACAAGCTCTGGGAAGGAAGCTGGCGTGATGATGCGGTTATAAATGATATCCAAAAAGATCAGTATGCAGTCCCGGAACGGGTGCGGCAGATTCATCACAAAGGAAAATACTTCGACGTGCCGGGCCCTCATTTGTGCGAGCCATCTCCTCAACGCACTCCGCTTCTTTTCCAGGCTGGTACCTCGAGATCGGGAAGAGAATTCGGCGCCAAGCATGCAGAGGCTATCTTCATGGGGGGTCAAGTCCCAGAAAGAGTACGACCCTCCGTCGACGCGATCCGCGAGCTTGCCAAGGAGAAATACGGGCGGGATCCCCGTCACATCAAGGTGATTGCAGGAATGAACATCATCGTGGCGGAGACGGACGAAGCCGCGCGTGCGAAACGGGAGGAGTTACTGTCATACGGTGACAAGGAAGGAGCTCTGGCGCTGTTTGGGGGTTGGACTGGTATTGATCTATCAACATACTCGGACGAAGAAGACTTCCGTTTCACAGGCCTTCCTGCAATTCAATCGATTGTAAATGGTTGGGCCAGCACGGTTCCGGGAAGCGATGACTTGAAGTGGAACAAATCTAGAATCGTCGAGTACCTCATCCTGGGCGGCATGAACGCGAAGATCGTGGGCAGCCCCAAAACCGTTGTCGATGAATTGGAGCGCTGGGTGGAAGTGGCCGATGTGGACGGGTTCAACTTGTCCCACGTCACCAATCCTGGATCCTTCGAAGACATCATTGACTTCGTCATTCCTGAACTTCAAAAGCGCGGCCTATTCCGAACTGAGGTAGAGAAAGAGGGAGCCACTGCTCGAGAGGCTTATCTGGGATCCAGGTGGCTGCTTGAAGATCATCCTGGTAGTAAGTTTCGATGGCACGCCGATGAAGAGGTTCCGAGGTACGCAGAAGACTCAGCAGCGTAGACTTGTACCAGAGGAAGCATGGAGAGGCGAAAGGATCAGCGTCCGAAGGGTGGTCGGTGCTGCTGTCAACATCAGTCATGAGCTCGCTTCTATTCCAGGCCAGCGTCGCAGCGATACACAAAGCGGCAGTGGATGAGGCCGGGGCACATTTCTCATTAGCTTGGCGCTTTGCCCACGTCAGCCAGGCGCGCTGCCACAAAAAGTGGCAGTTGCAGTGGTGGTCGAAACTCCTTGGATGCAACATTAGGACGAAGTACTTATGGTCCATAACGCACTGTGTTCGGGTTGTGCACATCGCTTGCCGTTTTCCGTTGGCCTATTGCCTTAGACCATGAGTGCACTCAACGTGGAAGATGCCGGACTTTTTCTGGCAGCCTTCCTGCAACGGAGCCTCGGGAGGTCATTTATTTTGCGGAGTGCACATAGAATCGGCAAAATTCGTTACTTTCTTCCTCGACATCACAATTTCACACCACTTGTGTTTCTACAGTGCCCAACGGCCTCTCGACGATCTCAATCACTCCGTCGACTACGCTTCGCCTAGCGTCTTCACTGGCGATATTCTGTCCTGCCAGATATCCCATCCACACCAGCCTACTTATTCTCTCGTCCTTCACTGTTCCCAGCAGTGTCATTCGCCCTCCCTTCCGCGTCAGAGTCTTTGAGTCTGCCCTCCCCGCATCCTCCTCCACCCAAGCCCGCAAAGCCCCAGTGGCCCCTCTACCCAGAAGCAGAACCTTGCCTTTACCCACCGACCCTCTCCCTCCTAGCATGCCCTTGAATTGGTCGACTGCCACTGTGAAGTCTTCACCCTCGAATTCTTTCCCTTTACCTCGTAGGTCGATTCCGCGTACCCATCCGTCTCTCATATGTGAGAAGCTGGTATCCCTGGTCGGCACGATCCGCACCGCACTTCTGACTCCTCCCTCCTTCAGTATTTGCGACCAGACTTCCGTGCTACCCTCTCCGTCGAGCAATGTCTTCTTCAGGTCATCTTTCTCCCCTTGCACCAACGTGCTTGCACCGCTCCCAACAGACGCTCTTAGCAACTCCTTCTGCAATCTTCCCATGTCACCTTTAGCAACGTAAAGTCCCATTACGTAGACCTGAATCCTTAGAAATGAAACCTTCCGTATGCCCAATCCAAGCAGTTGATATTCCTCTTCCTCCTGCGCCGCCCCAATGCCGGCCGGTAATGCAGGGGATTTACCTTCCTCACTCGCACCTCCAGACCTCGGTAGCCATATACTGCGTGGGAAATATGGAACTGTAGATGTGCCAGTGGGTACCTGATCGGTATCCGGTCCGTGATCCTGGCCAGTAACCTCTACTCGAGCCCCACTGGTTAAAGCATCTCTCCGGTTGTTAGGTGGCGCATCGAGGCGTTCGGGTTTTCGATATGTGACTGCCCATGTTGCTGCTACAGCTGTGAGTCCGCAAATGAGGGCGATTCTATAGTTGGGCCGGTTGCGAGCTTGTGGATTGGTTGGTTGTGTGGAGTAGGCATGACTCCGTGAGGAGAGCTGTCGAGCAAGCCTAGGGTGCCGGAAGGGGGAGCAAAGAGGAGCTCTTAAATTACGACGGAGGCATTGTATCGTTCGAGGAATAGTTGGTGAAGGTGAACAAGGCATCGTGAGAACTTTGAGCGTGTCAAGGACCAATCTATGACGAGCTTCTGGCTCTCGAGTTCGGCTTTGAGCGCTTCAAGTACGGCAAATGCGGCTAGCCGCGTAGGAGACGCTAGCCCTAAAAAGATCGGCACTCGCCTAAAATCGGAGCCCATCTCTGACTCTCAATCGTAGAGCACAGCAACAACAATAACCAAAATAAGGAAAAACAAAAACATAATGACCATGGCAGGGGCTATCGAACACGTTAGGCACTTCGTAAGGTGTAGCCACCTTCACCTTTTTTGTGTTCCATGACTTATTATTTCGCTCAAATGTGCCTATCTGACCAGGCCCCAAGCCTAAGGTTTAACGATATCATAAGGTCAGCGTGGACATCGATTTGGCAGATTTGGGATTCATGGCAAGAATGAGCAAGCGAGAATTCTTTTGGGACCGGGATTCGAGACCTAGGATGTCCCATTTCTTCAGGTGGAACAGCTGAGAACAAAGACGTAATAAGGCCAGGAAGGAGAAGCAATCAAGTGACCGCGAGATGCAAAGAACGACTTGTTTTCCACGACACAACGGTGGAGAAGCTGCTCGCGCTGCAATGTTGACCATAGCACCACCTCCACTACGCCGTCGACGGTAACACCTCTCCCCTTCACCACCTGAACGGAGCGATAGAGAATAAGAATTCGCTCCAATAGGAACAAATCGCCAGAAAATGATCTCAGCTCAGCTCACAGCTTCATTTAGAAAGTAATGAACGACCAACGCCATGTCAATTTCAAGCGGACTCTACTTTGATGAAGGAGGTCTACTCCAAGGACATGTCTTCTGTAGTAGATTCAGGCTTTTGCAGTTAGACCAGGCAGGGTCCTTTGGCAAGGCCGTGTCAAACATACGGAAAGCCTAAGTCCGGTTGAATGCAATATTTGCCATGCACTCGGTCTGTAGTGGCAGGCGGCACCACATGAAAGTCACGAGACTCATATGGAGGCGGAAAGGCGGACTCTGAAGGGCTTGGTTTGGGTATAATGGAAACAAGATGCATGGTTAGGGTACATGAAAATTTGGTAGCTAGCAGAGAACTTGTCCACCCACTGCATAGCCAGATCTTTCGACAGCTCCTTCTTACAAGGCACCAGCATCTTTCAGCAGCTCTGGCAGATCCTTCTTTTTGGCCTGCACATCCGAGTTGCCACCAATATGCTTCTTGCTGATCCAAACGCTTGGGACAGTCGACTGGCCGGTCATTTCAGCGAGAGCGCCTTGGATTGCGGAACCATCGTCTGGATTTTCAACTGGTCAGCAAAAGCTGTAACTAGAATGAGTATTAGATGTTGACGAACCAACTTGATCCAATTCTATAGTGTAATATTTAGCGCCCAGTTCGCTCAACAGAGTCTTTGTAGCTCTGCAGTATGGGCAGTAGGACTTGCTGAAGACGGCTAAAGCAGTATATGTTAGTGGAAGAAGGTACGGATAGGAGGGTTTGAGCATACCAACAGCGTTGTCGTCAATGATGCCTTGGGCCTTGGTCTTTGCTGCGGACATGGCGGCTGGATTAACGCTCGAGCCGAAGAATCTGCGTAGGAACGAAATGGTCGCGATTGTTCTGATTTTGGAGGTTTCTTGTGGGTTGTTTGTAATAGTTGATGAGGATTGAGGACTTTATGTCGTGTTTTGCGTGCTCTGTGATCTTCACTTGTATGGATCTCTAATCATCAAAGACACCTTCGGGATGACGACATTCGGCGCTTCCCCTCGGAAATGCTTTAGCGCATCGAGCTCTTTGCTTTTTTGTCAACGACAAGCAGAATGCCTTCGACGATTCCATAATCTCCTGGCTTCGAACTAGCAATATGATTGATACTGTCCACATGAAGAGATGCCCAGTAGACTGGTACTATCTGCCTGGATGTAATCACGCAGACGAACTTTGATCTCTCCACTTGATGACACTCGTGCTCCATCTAGCTGGACAAGCCTCTGTATAGCTCCGGCCTAGAGATAAGCGATGTTGGGGTTGAAGTGCGCCTTCCTTCCAGAACATGCAAGGGGCCATGCCAAGCTCTGTCAGCATCAATGAGTCATGCGATGCCACTCAGCGAGATCAACATTGATATCCCTACGAAAGATGTGCCCCCAATTATCTCGTTATGGCTCCTGAGTTGCGCAAGACTCGTTTCGTCTGTCTCTCCGATACCCACAACGCGTGTCCAGCAGATGGGGCATTTAAGCTGCCAAAAGCTGATGTGCTGATCCATGCAGGAGACCTGACAAGACAGGGGACCTTTGCAGAACTGAGAAGAACGTTGGACTGGATCGATCATGCCGACTGTGAGGTAAAGATCGTAATTGCAGGCAAATAGTCGACTGGGTCGCGGAGCAATTGCGGAAGCTGACCGGTTTCTCAGGCAATCATGATATAACTCTGGATCCGATTTTCTACAAAGAGCATGGCCTACGTTTCCATAATCAGAGTCCTCAGGAACCTCAAGCTTGCATCGACCTGTTCAAGAAGTACCCCTCCATCACCTACCTGAACCACGAATCGTCCCATATATATTTGAAGAGAGAAGACGGCCCACGAACGAGCTTCAAGGTCTTTGGCTCACCTTATTCGCCCGCCAATGGTATCTGGGCTTTTAGCTATCCACCTGAACATGCTTCGCTGTTGTGGGATCAGATCCGTTTAGACACCGACATTGTGATTACGCATACGCCTCCCAAATACCATTGTGACGAGTCGAGGTATAACGGAGCGTCAGGTTGCAAGACTTTGCGCGAGACGTTGTGGCGTGTCCGGCCCTCACTAGCGATTTGCGGGCATGTACATGAGGGCCGGGGTGCGGAAAGGATCTTGTGGGATCTGGATTGCCAGAACGTCAAGTTCAAGGAGAGTGCTACTGGATACTGGACAGATCCCGGCCTCGGATTTGGCAACAGGAAGCAATCCCATCTTGATTTGTCTGCTAAATCACTACGTCCACTGAATGGAACTTGGATCGATGCACCTGATGGAATCAATCTCGATGGGCCGGCAGAGACATTTGGAAAACCCCCACAGACTCGGGAATCGACACACAGCCTTGCATGGACGCTTGCCACATCTGGGCCCGGCACTTCGATCTCTGGAGCATCTTCCGAGGAAATTCCATCTCCTGTGCTGGACAGTATTTACCCACTCGCTTACAATCAAGAAGACGTCTGCAAGGCGAGGAGGTCCGAGACCGTCACACCTGCATATGACGTACCAAAATCTGAAGTATCCTCCAAGGGAAACCGATTTAGAGCTTTTAAAGAGGCCCCCCGTGTAGCCGAAGACCGAGGAAGCGCTCCAGCGTATGCAAGCCTCACATGTGACATCCATTCAGCAACCCAAGGCCAGGGAGGATATCCGCCATCCGGGCGTTGTGACCTTGAAGCTTTGGTAGAGCGAAGAGGCAGAAAAGAGACTTGTGTCATCAACGCGGCGATCATGGCCTCAAGTTGGCCTTACACGTTGAAAGCCAACAGCAAATACAACAAGCCTATCATCGTCGATATCGATTTACCGGTTTGGCAAGATTCAGAGTAAAATTCGATTTTTGGCGAACGCCCCAGGTTCTTGGGCGAGTGTCCAAACTCGCATTATGGCTATGTGCATGCATAAGGCATTATCACTGTCCGTTCAGTACCTGCTTCTTTCTAGAGCTGACGGATGCAGTCAAGCGTAAGAGAAAGGACTGAATTCCAGGACTGGGATTTACGGGGCATAAGCCTGATTCAGGAAAGCGCTGTGGTTCAGTTGATTGATGTCGATTCATGCAAGACCCCCCCCCCCCCCCCGGATTATGCAAAAGCGTTGCTCCACATGCCTAGTCCCAATAATCCACGAAACACATCATTGCGTACTACACCCTCGGAGAGCCTCGTAAAAGACGGATTTAGGTGACTTTTGTGATGCTCTGCATGAGGTACATTAGACAAAGAAAGCCCGTGTATCTCATTGGCCCGATGTTCACTGTTAAGCGCCAAGAGGTAAGCCCCGAGCCTAAGTCGTTGCCAGCAGACAGAGAGCACATGCACCTGTACTTTCCCCCCGTAGCCCGTAAAGCGCCTATTCGCCATATCCCAGTACCAACAAGGCCACTAAAATTGCCCCCCAGTCCCGGTCGCAGGCTACGACCTAGAGGGGAGTCTCACGAGTCACGGAACCTTCAAGACATCATAGATGCTTTGGCTCCATGCACGCTCAGGGCTTCAATGCCAATAGGTATTATTGGCTAATCCACCCCAGCCAAAGTAATGCACCTTGGTACATGTGCTCGGTTGTAACCTGGACGGAAGCAGGGTGTAGATATTGTAGAACATGCGTTTCTCGCCTCCTCCTTTGTAGCCATCACTGCCCTCTTAACCTCCTGGTCCTCATTCCTAAGATATTCTTCTGACCAAATATACATTCTTCAGGCTGCTTCCTCTCCAGCAATCAACTGGTTGGGTTCAGCCGACGTTTGCAACGCCCAGAAGGATCGTCCACCGCCCCGCTCAGCTTTTCACGATCCTCGGGAGGCCTTGACTGCGCATTCAGCGCTTCACTTTTAATAAAACTTCTGAAAGACACGTCTCACTCATGCCTCTCTCAATCGCCGGGCTGAGTTATTAATCTCACCATTTCCCACCGGATACCCGAAAACGAAGAGTAGCAACTGAAAAAAGACCCGGTCGCACAAGCATTGCACTAACTAGTTGACCGCCTGCTTCGGGCCTTGGACAGCAAGCCAAACAACAAACCAAACAACAACCGCTTGAAATTTTAAGTCTGAGGTCTCTGCTCTTCTCCGAGAGTTTCCCTTTGCTTCTTCTCTCGTGGTCTACTGAAATCTTTTGCTGTCCGCGAATCTTCCATCGACATCCACAGAATCAGCTTTGTCAGCCAAAATCCCTCATTCGCTATTGCCACCCCGCCTCGCGTCGATCTACCAAGCCATACCTGTGTCTGACGTAGATCTCAAAAACGAAAATCTTGAGCGGCTTGGACAGTCTTCTCAGCGGCTTACTCACCATTTAATCATCTATTGCCATAGTCATCACAAACCTCATTAAATCTTAGCAATTCATCACACAGCGGCTTCCAAACATTCCGTACCATTCTCAGCCACGCGTGGTCCGGCGGAAACTGGGAAAATCACGCAAACAACGGGTTAAATACGCATGACCTTCCCTTTCTTTCACTTGGAAGGCACATCTTACCTTTCAATGTGCTTGCCCCCTTTGAAGCCTTATTACCAACTGAAATACAGTGATGGACGATCCACTTCCTCAGAGCCCCTACAAGACCCTGAACGTTCCCAAAGATGCAACCCTCGCTACCATCAGGAGCGCTCACCGGAAGCTTGTCCTCTCGTGCCATCCGGACAAGGTGCAGGATGAGTCTGCGAAAAAGCAAAAGGCGGAGCAGTTCCACCAAGTACAACAAGCCTACGAGATCCTGAGCGATGAGAATAGAAGGCAGCGTTATGATGAGAAGGTCAAACTAGCAGAGCTAAGGGCTGAGATGGCCGAAGAGCGAGGATCGTTTCCGTCTCGGAGATCATACGAACATGCATCGCCGAGGAATGGATCTACATCAAAGTTTGAGATGCGAGGCAACACGATGTACGAGACTAGGGAACCTGCTGGCAGTCGATATGACGAGCCAGATGTGTTTCCTGGCACGTATGCCGAGGTTCGCCCCTCAACGTCTAGAAAATACACAGACGACCGTTATACTACATCCTCGTCAAGGAAAACGTCTGGGTCTGGGCGAACGCATGAGGAGAGAAAGAAGTCGCGAACATATGAAGAAGAGGCGGAGGATGATCGTAGGAGAGAGCGGCGGGAGAGGGAAGCTGAGCGAGCAGCGGAGGCATTGCAACGAGATCAGCGAACAAGGCGAAGAGACAAGGATAGAAGGAGAGATGTGGAATCGAAGTCAAGAAATAAGTTCGAATCCTTCGTAGAATCCTTCGTGGAGGACGACGGCTCGGATTCCGAGGTCGAAGAACGATATTATAGCAAAAGCAAGCGGGATTCCCCGCCTAAGAAGAGAAGCGGGGATGAAGGCAAGAAGAGGAGTGGAGACGAGCGGAAAAGAAGTGGGGATGAGCGAAGAAAAGATCGAGACGAGCCACGGAGGAGTGGCAAGCGCGAGGTGAAGGGGTATAATGATGACGAACTGGAATGGAAAGAATCCCAGGCTCGAGACCACATCAACAGATCCCGCGATGTAGTCGATACCCTACCTCGCCGTTCCCAAGGACGCAACAGAGCAGCTTCTACTCTTGACTCTAGAATAGTACCACCTCCACCTCCTGTTGAAAAACGCGCCTCGGGACGTAGGAGTGATAGCCGAGCTGTCAGTCCTATTGGGAGATCTGGGAAAGACAGACGATCACCTGAGATTGTGGAGCCACAAAGGCCGAGTATGCCCGGCCACTCGTCAGAATCGTCCAAAAACAAGAGCTACTTTGGCGCTTCGTCGTCTTCGAGGAGAGAACCACACCGTGCAGCGACCTATCAGCCTTCACCTGAACTCAAGCATCCGTCAATGCGCCGGTCAGAAACAATGCCGGTAGACCGAATGCGGCCAGGCAATCCCGTGCCCTTGAAGTCATCCAACCTAAAGAACATGAAGGCGCCCTCGGATACTAGCGACAGTAGTAGCGAATCAGATTCCGAGATGACGGAAGAGAACCATCCACCACCAAGACCGACTCCCCTTCAAAGAAAAACTACGTTTGGAATTTCCCAGGAGGGGGCATATGTAATGGAACCGGAAACAGTTCAGTCACGTCCAAAAGAGAGCCGTCGAACGTCAGAGCGTCCATCTATGGGCTCTCGAGGAGGATCAACTAGGTCGCCCCCAGTGGCACGTCCAATGTCGTCCGCATTCCCACCAGATGAGCGGCGCCCAGGTCTCGGTCGGCACGAATCTGCTCGCAATACACCACTGAAGACTCGAGATTCCGGTCGTAGTGGTGAGCTCTTTGGTGAATACTCACCTCATTCTCCAACCGAAGATACTTTCAGACGTTCTCCTAAGACGTCTGGCGATGATGAGCGCCACGCCAGGCCCTATAATCCAAAACAGTATCCTCGACGGGGATCTGAAGAGGTACACCGCGATGACTACCCGGGCTCTCACCGACCTCGTATGGGACGCAGCGAATCGCAGCAGGTCCGGGTCTGATTCAGCCACAGAGGCTCACTTTTTTCCTGGCTTGTCTTTCAAGTCTGCATAGACAGCAGACGCCTCCGCGCTGTGTGATAGCGTTTTTTCTGCGACAGAGGGCGAAGCCGCCAGGACCTGGTGAATTTCTTTTCGGGTTGCAGCCACTCTTTGTATCACGAGTGTGATGCCATTACATTACATAAAAGGAAGAGGATAATATTGCGGGAAGGATGAGTTTTGTTCATACCCCGATGCTACCACAGCAGCATATGCAGTGACCACAGATTCTGAGGATTTGGGAAGTCCTGCACCCTGATAGTATTCTGGTGTTGGGCTGGCTTTGTACTAGCTCAATTGAATGATATGTTCTCCATCTAGTATTGTCCACCATTGCGCTAATAATGCGCTCTTATGTTTGTGCATGATGCAAGCTACTGCTAAGGCATTGCCTTATAATAGGAACGTCTTCCCTACACCTTGCAATGTTGAATTCAATACTGACAGTGCTTTAGACTCCCTGAAGGCGCAATCTCCTAGAAATGCAATGCTGGCTGCACGCCACCTATGTGTTGAGCATCACAGATTGAGCAACAACGCTTTGATTCTTAGCATTTTCATTCTGAGAACGGTCAATCAGAAGGCCTTGGTTCCCAGTCCAGTATTTTTCTGTCACTTCTCTGACTCAAATCCCGCTCAAAGCTCACCGTCCATCACGCTATGCTACCCTTGTTCAATTTCTATATAAATACAGTTGTAAACAGACTTTCCTCGAAGATCGTGCCCAATTTGCACATGGACAACCCTCAACTCTTCGGTGAGATCTCCATATATGGGTCAAAGTGCGGGGGCAATGGGGGAATGACTGCTGACATCGGCGCCCATCCAGATTTCGGTATTGAGGTCTCCACTCGTATCTTCCCTCTCTTATTTCGCTGATTTTACTGATGGGCAGTCTAACACCTGCGCACTGCGGATTCCCTGTTCTTCCTGTCTTGCGATTATGATTTCTCGAGAATAAGGAGTGTATCATGAATATCTACAAACAGTGTTGATCGTGAACGTTGACTGATAGATCCACTGCCTACTCCACATGACCAATGAATTTTCTGTTTCGCGCCGACGATGGACTTCTATATACCCACAAAACTTCTCAAACATGTACGCAAAACTCTCTCAGAGCCATGGATGGAAACTTGCTCATACTCTTGGCGTTACCCCGTTACTGGTGCAATCCTGTTTATTTAATTTAAATGTTTACAGTCTTCTCCTTCTTTTGTCACCTACGCTCATTCACTCATTTGGCAGGTAAGAAAATACCAAGATGGCTTGTTTACGGGCATCAGGTTTATTGCAATATCATACTGTTTTTCAATAAATGTGTTCCCTACTCATCTCAATCCGCTCCTTACGACATTCCTATTTCAAATAAATACGACGCAAAAAGTCCGAACACAATACTCATCTACGAGAATCTTGCTACAATTCGAAAGCGCTCACTACTACATCAATACACCACCAGTTTTCTGTCATTCACCGCCAAACATGTCTCCTCCATCCCATTTGCCTACGCCGTTATCATCGCCTGCAACAGGACCACCAAGCTCTTCTGCGCTGAACACAAAGGCGCAATCTGCAAATCTCCCCACAACTTCATCGCGTCCCTTGTCCATTTCATCAATCCTAGGAACCAGCCTTCCGGGAACCCCCCCGAACTCCAGAAACACTTCTTTTGGGGACAATGATGCTGCCAAAGCACCCCGGGTGCCGCTGCCCGAATTTACCACATCTCCCAGCAACGATTCAGCGTTGCCTGTCACCAGCGCGGAAATTCTTGCTGCATCTGCGCAGTTGTATTCCATGAGGTTTCGAACCGACGCGGTCGATGACGACGAAGCCCTCACGGCACCTGTCCAAGATTGGTCCTTGAACGCCGCACGGCCCAACTCTTCAACTGCAGCAGGCCAAGGCAAAGGAAAGGGCAAAGATCCCGAGCTCTACGACGTCGACCCCGCGGAAGATGGCAATTCTCGAAACCGTGGTGTACATCGCTCTACGGATGACATTGCCGCCGAGTCTCTGCTCCAAGTCTGGAATGAACTCCGTTCGGTATCTGTCCTTGTGGACTTGGGCGCCCATCCTTGCGAATGCAAGAACTGCCCCGATGGTACCCGTATGCTTTGCCCCAATTGCTCCGTAGCCAAGGATGAATCCGATCACCTTTACTCATCCGACTCCGAAGACGAAGGCCCCCTCCTCTCCACTGCTCGCCAAACTGGCTTCAGTACCTCGTGCCATGGCAATCGCCTCCAGCATTCTGCTCACGAGGGTAACGCCGTATTCGACCTTCTGCCGCTTTCGTCGCGACGAAGTCAAACATCGCGTCTTCTCCCTCATGACCCCGAACTCCACAACGGAGAATCTCAGTGTTCCCGCTGCGAACTGGCCCAAGAATCCATTCGTGCCCGCTACGTGGAGGGCTACAGGATGCTTGGATGCGAGGGATTTGAGCGTGAGGACACGGAGCCGCTCGACGATGATGCTGTGGACAGTTCACGGCACGAAAGGTACGGTGCTGCGGAGTACGATAATGGGAAGCATAAGAGTGAACCATTGTCCGAAATCCCAAAGCTGAGTCAGAAGACGCTCGAGAGACTGGAGCTGGAGAAGTGGGCGTGGAGACCGGAACGAGATCCTCTCGTGGCGAGCTCCTCGGATACTTCTGAGTCTGATGCTGACGATGTAGAGCCCATTCGGCTGCCATTGTACGCCGAGGAGTCGACTACCCGCGACTCCGTCCACCCCGGCGCTGTCATTGATCCAGAGGCCGCCGCGGAAGGAACTCCATACGGTTCCGCTCCTCCTTCCAGCCAACGACCCGGCTACACGGACAGAAGATCTGGTCAGTCATACCCCACGGCATCGGATTTCGTCGATCTCAAAACCACCTTCTCATCGCCGTCGCCATCTACTCGCCAAGCGAGAAAGTACAAAGCCGTCCTGCCGTCGCCTTTGAAGCAAATCCAAAACGCCGTCCATTCTGACCAGACGTCACCGTCGCCCGAGCGGCAAGACCGGCCGACTCGCACTGGCGGCCCTGTCCCGACGACCGGGCCTGCATCGATGCGACCGTCCGGCCCGCAGACCGGACACGGTCTTCGGAGGTCCGCCAGAGCGTTCCCTCACCGCGCGGAACTCACGAACGAGTTCGTCCACGTCGGCGTACAGGATCCCACTCCGCCAACGGAGCAAAAAGGTAGTGTTGCAATGCCCGACGCGAGCCCTTCGACGCCGAAGAAGCGCACGGCCGATCCGACTCCCACGGCTAACGTCGACGCAGAGCCTCTCCCAACCCCTCCCGCCACGGGCCGCAAACGCAAAGCTGCCACCCAAGCCGCGGCGGTCGAGGAGCCATCGTCTTCTCGGCCGAAGAAGCGCCAGGGTAAGGCGCTGCGGACGCCGAAGCGGCCGATGACGAGGAATGCCACGCAGGATGAGCGTAGTGCACCTTGGTATGTGAACGATGAGGGGCGGTTTGTGAAGAGCAGGTGGAAGGTCGAGGAGGAGACCAGGAAGAGGGAGGCGGTTGCGAAGGCGGAGGCGAGGAGGCCCGGGGCGTTTAGGATGCGGGGTATCTTCTTTGAAGACGATAAGGTGAGCCGGTACTACGAGGCTGGAAGGTTTTGGGTGTGAGGGTTTTTTGCTCAAGCGGTACGGTAATATTGCGTTGCATTGCATTGCGTTGCACTGCATTGCGTTGAAGTGCATAAGTTGCAGGCGCGTCGTTTCTTGTTTCTTGGACTCTGACGAATGGAAGCGCGGTCTGGACTTTGGACACCTCGGCGCTTCGGGTCGTGCGTCGTTGCTGGCTAGTGTTCTGATTTCTGATTTCTGTTTCGGTGATGGTTTGAAGGAAGACCGTTCTGAGACTGCGACACGAGTTGCATGGATCATGGTCCATGGCTCGCATCATCATCCACTGAATGGTCGAAGTTAGTGGCTAGAGATGATAGGTGATACAAGAACGTTGACATGAACTAGTTGCTCGTTTCGAACACTTAGATATCTTTTATCGTCGCTATGAGATGCCTTTGCAGATGATGCACCATTATTTATTCCCCATCTTTAATGCGCTCAATTCATGCTGGTTCAGACCAGTCCACCTGATCCGTAACAGGGGTTGTGCCCTCTTTTGTGTAACTTACCTTCAGCCGTAATCTCAGCTTTGCTGGCAATGCCTAGATATCATCATTAGCCCTCAATATCGTTCTCTATCGTACAGAAAATAGGTATCACTCACCCCCGTAACAGCACTAACCCTCATCCCCTGCGTCACTTCCTCCCCTCCCTCCATCTCCGCCTTACTAACAGCATTGAGCTGCAACTTCTGACTCTTCGGTACCGCAGCTTGAAGCCCAACCCCAGTGAATCTGCTGAAATTACTCGCGTTGTGGAACCGGGCGAGGACTTGCGCCACGCCGCCGTTGCGTTGGACTTGGAGGGTGAGGAGCATGTCGTTCTTTTGGTACGCTAAGTGTGCTTGTGTGGATGCGGAGGATTGGGGAGGTGGTGGGGACATGGAGCTGAAGAGGTCGTTGGACGCGGAGGTGGATTGTTGGGAGGGTGGGGAGGAGAGGCCGTTGGTAGGTGATTGGGGAGAGAAGAGATCCATTATGCCGTTGTTGTTCGAGGATGTTATTTGGGCAGGTGCTGAAGGGATAGAAGGGCCACCGCCTAGGATATCCGCGAGGAGATCGGCGTTGTTTTGAGTGCCGTTCAAAGTAGCACTCATGTCCGCAGCTGGAAGATCAGAGCCACCCATCAGGTCAAGCAGCATGTCTTGCTCGGTCTGCTTGGCTGGCTTTCTGGCTTTGGCCGCTGCCTTCTTTTGCTTAGGCGTGGCTTCGCCGAGCACCCGCTGCTCTTCACGAATTTCTGGTGGAGGCATGCGTTCGAGGACACCCCGTCGTATGTCATCATAGGCGAACAGATTGCCGTATTCGACCGCTCGTTGCTGTATCTCGATACTCAGGTCTGATGTGCGGCTGGATAGGAGGCGTCGTATTCGGTCTATCTGGGAAGGGTTCTTCAGGCGTGAGGTGAGCTTCATTGCGGAGGTAATGATATATTCCGCGACGATCTGGGTGGAGTAGGCACTGCTGAGTATCGTCTCAAATAAATCGACGACCTCGCTCTCTCTAACCTCTTTCACCAGTTCCTCCTCTTCATACTGCCCGCCCCGGAGCAATGAATCACCATACTCTCCGATAACCCATGTACCTGCCAACGTGAGACCTTCTTGGGTGATATCGTCCTTCAGTCCTGCGTACAGCTTCTGCACCGAATAGGTCTGGAGGTCTGGAGTGGTTGCAATTAGGCGCACGAAGGACGAGAGGATCTGCTCCTTCACGTAGTTGCCCGCCAGCTTGAGGACTCGGAGCATAGTATCGACATGCCACCTCTTGTTAGGAGCGAAACGATCTGCTGCGACTCCAATTTGACTGGTCATAATTGGCTTAAATTCGTTGTCCGCAACCTCTAGGAAGGCCAGCAACTCTCGAATCAGAACTCGCACGTTGCCATCGTTGATAAGCGTAAAGCTCAAGTCTAGAGCTCTTCTCCGGATGCTAATGTCCGGGTCTCGAAGACACTCCAGTATAGTGTTTCTGTGCCGCTGTACCGCATTTGGCTCCACAGCAACGACCTTGATGAGTGTGTTCAGAGCCACGTATCTGATATTGTTGTCCTTGTTCGTCAAGAACTTCCCTAGAATGTTGACTCCCAGCACTCGCAAGCCTGAGTCTGCTTCAATATCCAATATTGTCAGGACGGACTCGTAGAGGATAGAGTTCCCCACGTTCTTGGCGGAGTCTGTGTTTGTAGCTACCTGCGCCAGGATGTCATTGATCTGTTCGCTTGTCCGGGGATCTCCCCGTCCTAACGTTCGAAGTAGTCGGAGAATCTTGACCTGCAAGAAAGGGTCTGTGATACCGTTCACGTCGTGTTCTGGTGCATAGCCTGAGCTGGCCAGTCCTTTTAGAGTCCGTACCAGACCGCTGGTCAATGGTCTGAATGTCTCGACGATACCTTGTTCCCCACCCTCTGCTTCATCTTCCTCGCACATGCTTGTAACGAAAGTGAGACCACAGAGTAACACGCCATGGTTTCGATCCGATAATAGAAGCTTAGCTTTCTCGATGAAGTGCTCTTGGAGGTCTGGGACTTTTCGACATATCCGCATGGCACACAGGGCAGCTTTCCGACGTATGTAAGGGTTGGCTGTGGAAAGGAGTGACTCGATCTGCTGGAACAGATCTCTCGACATCTCGATTGACGCAATATTTCCAAGTGTGCAAAGGGCCAGGCCAACAACATACTGGTTTGAGTGATTGAGGTCGCTAGATGGGTGTCAATTGTCAGCCAAAGCCGTCAAAAACGAGATAGTTGGGATGCACTTCTGTAGCGAATTTGTGACAAGAGTCAAGACTTCTTGATTCTCGTCTAGTAATAGCATTGTCCCCAGATAGCCCAGTCTCTTGTCCGCGAAGCGCGGAGATGCCAGGAGCTTGAGACATTCTATTTGACCAAAGTGAGTCCGTTCTCCGAGCGTAAAAAGGTACAGCAGCTTTGCAACGTTGTTCCTCCTGTTGTGTTCGTGTCAGCTCCCCGCCTGCTCGAGTCTATCACGACGCAAGCGCACCTGACGTTGTGGTCCCCACTCTCTTCCCTGAAGCTTGCTCGGATCGCAGCGCTCTCCTTTTGTACCACAGACCTCTCGTCTGCGATGGTCTTTGAGGCGCGCACATTGCGAATGAACTGCTTCACTGTTCACGATATCAGCTACGGCAGCATGAGGCTTGATGGGGAAGTAAACTTGCAAGAGCTCATGGCGGCCTCATGGACCCCAATTCGGGGCGACGGTGTGATAGGGTGGAAATTAAGAACTCTAGGTGACAGTCATCAATGTGGTCAGACGGTGCCGTTCTTCTGAAGCAAGCAATGCTCCATTATCAAAAGTTCAAACCCGAGGTCTTCTCGCGATATTTGCCTAGCATGTTGTACGACTCAGCCCTACGAACATCAGGCGCCCAAGTTTTGGAGCTTCGATTTCCCGAAACCTAAGGTAGCTTCCAGATTGAAACAATTCAGCTCGGCATTAATCATTCTTCGAAGTCGGGTCTCATGTCAGCTGCCTAATCACCAGCCTCCGGAAGAATGCGGCGCGAAGGCACGAGGACTCTCATATACTGATAAAGGCCATTTCACACGCCCTGAGGCCTACTGAAACCAGCTCAATGTTGCCTCCGCTGCGGAAGCGTGTCCTTCCAGAGCTGTATTCGAGTGGCGCTGTTGCTTAGTGGAGGTCACTGCGAGTGCTGCAAAATATACCATGGCCTCTTCATCCTCTTCGACTCAAAATGGTGGGCCTGATCATATCATCCGTCCCCGTCCTGTCAAACCCAGCAATCCTATGGTCCTACGAGCCCAGTCCGAGGAAGGGAACCTAAAACCCAATGGGCACGTTGATACAATTCTGTCAGGATCCTCGAGGTATGCAGGTCATCCAATATTGGTGGAAGACATCTTGCTCAATTCTTAGCAGTGGCCGTTCCACTCCTCTACCTGAGGATGCTCCTCCATCAGCCCAGTCCATTTCGTCAGCTCGGAAGCAGGTCAGAGCACAGCAAAAGCACAGGATCTTTCCTACAGTCGAATACGCTGCCAGGGTATCGCACTTTGATCCAAGAAGCGAATATCGAGACTTCAGAGGCTTTTTCGTTTTGTTCTGGATCGGACTCGCTATCATGGTCATCACGACTATGTTGAGGAATATAAAAGACACAGGATACCCTCTGAGGCATCATATGTTTGATCTTTTGACCACGAAAACATGGGAGCTTGCTCTCAGTGATGGAGCAATGGTCTTAAGTACGGGCGTAAGCGTGCCATTCCAGATGCTATGCCGTAGAAGCAAAGGATGGTTAAGATGGGAGAATCTGGGAATGCCAATTCAGAGTATCTTTCAACTTGGTTGGTTGGTGCTTTGGGTCAAGTACGCAGGATCAAAATGGCGAGGAAAACGTGGGCTGATAATAACAGTTGGCCCTTTATATTCAACTGGACCTGGACCGCCCAAGTCTTCTTCACCTTACACACGCTTGTTCTACTAATGAAGATGCACTCATACTCTTTCTATAACGGTCACTTAAGTACCACTGAGCACCGGCTTTCCGCTCTCGACAATCCCGAGAGCGCTTCGACTGCCGCCGCTGTACGATATCCAAGTCCAAGCACGCAACTCGACGAGGTGGATAAAGCAGTAGAGGACAAAAAGAACGAGGATGAGAAAGAAACTCTAACACAGCTACGCGAGGATCTTGCCCTCGAACTGATTTCACCCCTGGGCCAAGTGACCTACCCCAACAACCTGTCGATGATGAATTATGCCGACTACATACTCTGTCCAACCCTCTGTTACGAGCTCGAGTATCCCAGAACGTTAAGAATAAACTGGATGGAGCTCTTCTATAAGACTCTTGCAGTCTTCGGCTGCATATTCCTTCTGACACTCATAAGCGAGGAATTCATTGTTCCTGTACTACGTGACTCGGCGGTACGACTGGAAGGAATCGATAGCTGGTCTGACATGGGTCTCATTCTTGGCGAGACTATCAGCCAGCTTCTGTTCCCATTCATGATGACATTCTTGATTTGTTTCCTTGTCATCTTCGAGTATGTTCTGGGAGCGTTTGCAGAGATTACTTGCTTCGCAGATCGGCACTTCTATTCCGACTGGTGGAACTCTAGCGATTGGTAGGATCTCGTGGCGTATCAGGTCGTTTCTATGCTGATCATGATCAAGGCTTGAATTTTCTCGCGAGTGGAATATCCCAGTCCATCACTTCCTCCGTCGCCATGTCTACGGGGCCTCTAGACCATATGTCTCACGGAACACAGCAACGCTGATCACCTTCCTCGTGAGTGCTTTCGGCCATGAACTAGTCATGGGTTGCATCACGAAAAAGCTACGAGGATATGGATTCGCAGCGCAGATGTCACAATTGCCCATAGTGGCAGTGCAACGGATAAGGATCGTCCGAAGTCGAAAGCTGCTCAATGTGAGTGTACCACAGAGTTCCTCATATCTTCATATCTCAAGTATTTGGTCAAACTTGCTGACTGTGAGCTAGAACGTACTCTTTTGGTGTTCCATGATCCTCGGTCTTTCTATGGTAAGTTTATGCTTTGGTTGTTTTCCTTCACACAGACTGATTTGACTCCCAGATGTGTGCACTGTATGTCCTTGTCTAAGAGCATGAACGGAAGGCAGGGACTGCAAGGCGTCTGAAGCGTTGAATAGCATTTGGTTGGAGCCTAGAGCATAAATCTCAGGCGTATTGTCCCTGATACCCATCTTAACCTCCACTGCAATCGGATGTACTCTATAGTGTAAAAGCATGAAAATAATTACATTAGTAACGGCCAATGATATGCTGGTCAATAATGCATGCTATCATTATCTTTGGAGTGTTAACATTAACCGCTAACACGCATTCTTATTTATCGCTGGTTGCTTCTCCCTCGTTCCAGAAGCGAAAGATTGGGGAGGATTCGCTTGATGACAAAATTTACGTTCGACCAGCAACACAATTGACTAAGTAGCAAAACCACCCCCACGATACAACATATACCACTCTCTCAACGTGGCTTTCTCACTCATAAGTGAGAGTCTCACACTGGCTACCTCACATCTACGATCTCTATATATGAGCTTGCACCCTTCCTTCCAATCATATCTCGAGTCAGCCTCCCAATACCTCCAACCCAACCTGCCCCACCAGGCTCCCCCTCCACCCCCAGCCTCAGTCTTCGAAAGCATCACCGCTCTCCTTGCGAGTGCGGACACTACAACATTCGCAACAGCATTACTCCCACTCCTCGCCCTCATTTTCTTTATGAGCCGCAGCTCCTGGGGTGGAGGGCGCTACTCCCCCTTCGCCCACGCCGGTGGCCCTCCCCCTCGTGTCGAGCCAGAAGATTACCAATACATCGTCGATGATGAAGCAGAAGCCCGAGCGTATGCTGGGCAGCGAAATAACAGCTACGGCTTCCCACCAACTCACCGCCACCCCAGCAGAGCCGAGCCTCCGGATGTTCTGATCTTGAAGCACAAAGGCGCTACATATCGCCTCCATTTCCAAGCATTTGATATTTCAGAAGGTGTCCTCAAAGTTGGCGATCTCCGCCGCACCGCTGCAAATGAGCTCAATGTAGATGATCCGAGGCGGGTGAAACTGCTCTATAAAGGCAAATCTCTACGTGAAGACCGCCGTGCTTGCAAAGACGAAGGCTTGAAGCAGAACAGTGAACTCCTCTGCGTCGTCTCCTCAGACCCGTACCCCAGAGACGATGGCAACGAATCCAGCTCCAGCGCGAGCTCAGAGATGATAGCGAGTGGACTCGACCCCGGCCCCCGCGTTGACGTCGACGGCACGATAATAGACCGCGGCGAGCCCAGGAAACGCAAAGGGCACCGTGCAGGCCGTAAAAAGAAGACTCGGGATTCGCCCATCACCTCACCCCGCGACTCAGGCCATCTCGGCCCCCCCAACGGCGTCCCCTCATCCACTACCCGCAATCCATCCCCTGGTCCTCGCGGTGTCCCGGCTCCAGCGCCACCCCAGCCAACTCATCCACCGAGAAAACCCTCTACCCCTGCCGAAGCCCTTGCTATGATCGCAGATACTTTCCACGCCACTTTGCTACCGCAAGTGCATGGTTTCATGCAGCATCCGCCAAAGGATGAGAAGAGTCGGGATTTCGAGTATAAGAAGCTGAGCGAGTCGATACTGACACAGACACTGATGAAATTGGATGGGGTGGAGACGGAGGGGAATGAGGGGCTTAGGGCGAAGAGGAAGGAATTAGTCACAGAGGCGCAGGGGTGGTTGAATGATATGGATCGGATGATGGGGAAGAGGTGAGGGGAACGACAGCGGTATGGACGAACGGTATAAGCTTGTGAATAGGGAAGGAGATGCCAGGAGAGACCTTTGAGGTTGAGGACTGTGACCATGTCCTTTGGCCTCTTGTAGAAGCCAGTAATGGCAATATGGCGGCTGTGTCTACCTTCTCTGCATCATCTCACATCTGGCCAGGCGTATTGGCGTGAATCGGGCCAGGCCGAAATAGAAATATGATTGAATTCTGCTATTGTTCTTGTTGAAGGACTATCGAACGTCTAAAACTAGTGCCTAACGCCAATACACCATGCACAAAGAGTTGTGATGACCCCGTGTATGCCATCCATCAAACTAAGAAAGCCTTGCTCCCCTCCACCAGCCCCTGTCCAGCATTGGAAATCGCCACCCAGGTCGGTGCGAACCTTCTTGCTTCGTCCAACGCTGGTATGACACCAGACTCATTGGCGTCACACCATAGACAGACCACTCTGCCATCCAAGCCATCGCCTTCCTCTCCATCACCAGCATCCCAGCGCACAGTGACATCAAAATCTTTCTCCCATGTACGACTCCACCATCGCAATTCTGTAGCTCCGTGCTCGGAAACTTTCCGAAATCGAGGATGCTCACCAGCGCCAGCGACGGTGAAGTCAGATATCGGGCGGTTAAAGACAATCTTGCAAGCTCTTGTCTCCAGGCCAGAGACCTGAAAGCGCGCTGAAGTAGCCCCGTCTGGAGGGCGACTAGCGTTGAAGGTAAGCCAATCCACATATCCGATTTCTGGAGGCACGTCTGGGTGAGTGTTGGGTACGACTCGTGGAGGCAGACCGTGCCAGCTGCATTCTGTGAGGTTGCGCCGGCGCTTACTCGGCGTACAGGACGGTGTTTGGCCTGCAGAGCTGGGTAAGGACGCTATGGCATCTGTGAGGAATGGCCCCGTTTTTGGGTCGATGCCGGTCAGGGAGACTGTGTTGATACCAGAGTCTAGATCGACCTCTTGAACAAAATAGAGTTTCAAGCGGTTGTTGGCGGAAAATGGGAAGGCCATTAGGTTGTAGATCGTTGTCCCAGCGAAGACTAGCATGAGGAATACAGGTATGTGATAGGTGTAACGATGAAGGAAAGGGCCCAAAGGTGCAAAGAGCAGGATGCTGAGGATGGCAATACCAATGTAGAGGAAGAGAGGCGAATTTCCGTCTGCGAGGGTCTGGTTGGTTGCAGTGGTGGCGAGCAAAGAGACTTGCCCAAGAATGATAAGGGGAAAAGGGGCGAGGAAAAGGAATTCGAGGAGCCAGAGGCTTGAAGGAAGGGCATGAGACCAGGGCTGTTCAAGGCCGTAGATTTGGCGCTGATGTTTGGCTTTAGGTGAGTCGTCGTCTTCGGCCGCGGGGCGCTGAAGTGAGGTAAGGCTTTTTTTGAAGGTTCTTGACCCTCCACCGCGCAGGAGAGACGTAGTCTCAGTTGGGTCATCATTACCTTCGCCAGCTTCCGGGATGTTGTCCGGTGCATCTTCCTCTTCGGAAGGAGCCATGAGCCTTGCACTTGAAATACTTCCGGGTCTAGACCTTTCGATAGGGTGCTCTGCTGGCACTGTACCCTCGATCTCATCGGCATATGCAGATTTCCGAGGAAGGCTAAACTGCTCGAGGAAGGCTGTTGTCGTTGCTAAGAAGATGCAAGCGAAGTAGAAAACCATCAGATAACCACCAGCAAGTTTGGGGTTCCTCTCGAAGACGGTGGTTACGATCAGGATAAGCCATCCTGCTATGAAGGCCCAAATGAGGTTGTAGGCTCTTTGAAATGCTGTGGGTCTGAGGTAGTCTGCACTCCGGGTGCAAAACCATGCAACAGATACCCACGCAGAGATCATCATGCTCCAGACTGAGTACTGACTGCTATACAGGATGTACGGGTTAATATCCGAGACAAGAAAGGCCAACCCAACGACAGCCGCGGTAGCAAAGATGAAGGCAATGGGCCATCTGAAGACGCCGCGCCAGCCTTTGGTCGGGACTGAATCATCGCCTTCAGCATGATGGTGGTGTTTGTAGGAAGTGAAAAGGTAGAGCTTATCAACCTTGTAGAGAATGGCCCCGATGATAATCAGAAACACAGGGGCAACGACCAATAGTGTGACAGACAGGGCGAACAGCGTCCGAAGTCTGAACACCGCCATTGCGCTACCGAAGAGGTCGAACCAGACGCCAGTAGATCCTTTGCCACTTGCGACTTTCCCTTTCTCGGGATCCTTCCCCTCAAAGGTCGTGCTTGTATCGGAAGTTAATCCTTGCATAGTAGACAAGGCGGCAGAGAGCATGTGGTGTAATGAGGCCTTGCTGGTATGTCTCGTGTCATCTTGGGAAGTATGATACCGAGCCCTTGGCTCCATAAAAGCAACGTCGAGTCCGCGCATTCCATATTCTTTGGTGAAGACGCTGTAGTCCGTTTCACTCCTAATGACGCCCCTCTTGAAAGCATCCCCGCTTACAACGGTACCAAACGGATACTTGCTACTTTGGTAATATCTAGTAACTTCCGTATCTGTGCTCCGGAACAAAGTGGCGCGGCCACCTGCACCAGCACCTTCGAGATTGAGAAAAGTGTGTGGAAACTTTGAAATAGGATGGACTCCAAAGGCCAGAGCTCCGTTGAGATAGTCCTCTTCGCCGTTGTTCAAAAGGGCGACGATACCTTTTTTGGGTTGCTGCCCCTTCGATGAAAAATAATTAATGAGTTGAAGGATAGAGACCACACCGACACCATCATCAGTAGCACCGAAGCCAATGGAGACGCTGTCATAGTGGGCGTTGACGAGAACGCCTCCTTTGCCCTTGGGCTTCTTATCGGTCAAGAACCAGTCATCTGGATCGTCCTCCGAGCCCCGTATGTAGACAATGATGTTTGTCCCCTCAATGTAAACACTTGGGACTGGGGCGTTACCCTTTAGATCAAAGTGATAGGACACATTGGATACAATATCAGAGAAAATCACAACGGGAGCACTTTCTGAGGATTTATGCACATCCTCAAGAGTGCCGCCAGACAAAGGGTATGAGGCCGAGGAAACGCCATTCTCTGTTACGATGGCTGTGACCCTTCTGAGAAGCCAATCGCGGATGTAATCGTTCCGGCGACTATTGAAGGGATGAAAGCCATTGCTAAGAGTCTGGAGATCCAGCCAGGCTTCTGTGAGGTTGGTCCCATCCAAGTTTCCAGGCGCTTCTGGTACAGTGTGATGGACGACGAGAAGAGAAACAATCAATGCGACATATACAAGTGATGTAATGATAGTGACAGGCAAAGGTGTGAAAGCAAAGGGGTTATGAAAGATATTCTTCATTGTTGATCAAGGCAGCCACGGGAATTATGCTACAACAAGGACCCCCATGCCGTTACCCTGCTATCGGAAGTTGTTGATTCGATGGGCGATGAGTCGTACCTATTGAATTGTACCTATTTCTTGTAATCATAGGGTATAGTAGGCAACGAATAGGATAGAGACTGAGTATAGTTGGTACATTGGATAGCCACGAGAATCGGGCACTGTGACCCTGTTGATTTCTTGCTTTGCGGGGTTCGCCCGTGATCTCCTGCGAAACCCGCAGTTAAAACCCCCACTATCCCTCCTTCCACTTTCCACTTTCCATTACGAACAATACAAGTACAAGTACAAGTACTGTAGAAGGATGAAGCCATCTCCGATATCAGATATCTTTAAAACAGTAACAGCATTGTCGCCTATCCACCATCCAGACTGTTGCTCATCGCTCTCCGTATCGCTGATGAAGCATTTAGCTTCACTACTGCCACCGGATCCAGCACTGACATTATCTATCGGCAGTGGCACTGGACTCCTAGAGGCCTTGCTTCTTCACCAGCGGCCTACACTGGAGCTTAAAGCTGTCGAGGTCCCGACGATTAACAACAAGTATATGCCAATTAACAGGATTGAGATTGTGGACGGATACCGGGATCTTTGCAGTTTGGCAGCAGATGCAAGTGCCTGGATGTACGTTTATCCCAGAGATGCTCGGCTTCTTCAGAAGTATGTTCAGGCTTTTGGGGATCAGAAGTGCGAACTCATCATCTGGATTGGGCCGAGGGGAGATTTCCCCGAGCCTGAGGATGAATTCTTCGGTGAAATGTGGATAAAGGAAGACTTCAAAGAATGCGGTCTTAAGGACTACGAGACTATGGCACTGTGGAGGCGGCTACCACTTGAGAAAGCTGGTTCGAAGGCGACGGAGGATGATGCCTCAGCAAATTCATAAAGTATCCTACGCAGAGGAACCATAGCAATACAAAGTGCTACCTACTCCTTTACCTACATCCCGGACTCCTCAGCTGTATAGATAGGTGTCTAGCGTCTCCTCAACGCCTATAGGTAAGGTACCTTATCCATAGAGTATATGACCCGTACTTGCATTCGCATCAGCGCCCGTACCTCAAGGTCCTCTATCGCGCACTGGTCTCATCCTCTTGTTTTTATCGGGCGCTAGGGCTAGTTTTCGGCCCGGCTAGCGCGTTTTTGCCGAAAGCACACAAACCTCAATTGCGCACTCATCAATAACTTTCCGAACATCGACTTGCCTGTAACCATAAAGGCAGCTTGACCTCAACAGTAACCCGTCCCATTACATCCCCTCCATCGAACGAGCATCCCAGGATGTCGAGTTTCGATCCCGTCGTACGTGAATCCTTCCACCAGTCCAGACCGACATGGGAAGCATCGATTAGGGAGAGTTATGACTGATAGCGTTCACTTTAGGTCGTCATCGATGGCAAGGGACATCTCCTGGGTCGCTTGGCCAGTACCGTGGCCAAGCAGCTGCTTAACGGCCAGAAAATTGTCGTCGTCCGATGCGAAGCTCTCAACATCTCTGGCGAATTCTTTCGTGCAAAACGTACGTTCTACCTGATTGACTGTACTTACGAACGAGGGCTGCGTGTCTACTGTGGGAGATAATGAAAGAAGATGATTCTTGGACAAGCGAAGGCTGACACAATTGGCTGCTTGTAGTAAAGTATCTGGCATACCTACGCAAGATGACTCGTTACAATCCCACTCGAGGAGGTAAGCTATATGCAAGTCTTGGGCCTGCTAGTCAGGACCTTCAAAGACATTATTTGTGATGCTGACTCGTCGTTCACCAGGTCCCTTCCATTTCCGCGCCCCTTCCCGTATCTTCTATAAGACGGTACGCGGTATGATTCCCCACAAGACCGCTCGCGGCGCTGCTGCTATGGAACGTCTAAAGGTGTTCGAGGGTGTTCCCCCACCGTATGACAAGAAGAAGCGCATGGTTGTACCACAAGCGCTGAGAGTATTGAGGCTGAAGCCGGGGAGGAAGTACTGCACTGTTGGCAGGCTGAGTCATGAAGTTGGATGGAAATACAAGGACGTTGTTGAGAGGTATGTAGATCCATTACGAAGCTCGAATGCTCCTCTGTGGGCCAGTCGTCACTCGTTTCAAAGCTTGGCTGACACTATTTCCATAGATTGGAAGAGCGGAGAAAGGTCAAAGGGGCTGCATACTATGAGCGCAAGAAGGCAGCGAGGAGGCAGCTGTCGGAGGCGCAAAAAAACGCGAAGGTGGATGACAAGACCAAGGCTCAGCTTGCTGAGTTCGGCTACTAGCCTAGCAACGTTTGTTCAGGGCCTGAGGCGGCGCAGGGCATAGGAAGATCATACCAGCCAGCATGCGTATCTGGACTTTAGCAGGCATCGATTGATGTAATAGCAAGAAGTTTTTACGTCTAGCGAGGCAGTACGGTTGCATTGAGCTACAGGCCCCCAGACACATCTGTGTGATCAATTCAACAACATTCAAAGCAAACAGCTTGGTTGACTTTGTTCCATTAACGTTCATTGTATGCTCCTCGGAGTGTTCTGAAGGAGCTTGGCCGGTGCAGCGGGGACTTTACCCCACACATCAAGATCCCTTGTCCGGTCGACGTAGGTCGATTCTAGACGTTATGCTTTTCCTCGCCTTTGAGAAATCCACAAGTAACGTTGTAAATGCAACACTCAGAATAGCAACATGTCTGGGGCCCAATCTCGGCTCTCGAAGCTAGCCTCTCACTTCATTCCCTCTACCCCTGCAAAAAGCGCGGAATATCAACATCGTCACAATATACACACTCTTTCCCCAACCTTCTTTCTACCTCGAGCAGCTGCTGTTGAGCCAGATGTATAACCTTCCCTTCTGAATCCCAGTCCTAAACAAACTGACTGAGGAAGCGTACAGGCGGAAGCCATCTACCATGTTACTGCCAACGGCAAGATCTTGCGCCGTTCATACCAAGAGGCCGCGGATCGGGCAAGAGGGTTGGCGTACTACATCAAAAAGCATGGTCACAAGAAAGTAGGAATACTATGCCCGAACACACCGGCGTTCTTGGAGTCCATATTCGGCATTGCTGCCGCCGGAGCAGTCAACGTTGGCGTCAATTACCGATTGAAGCCCGAAGACATCACCTATATATTTGAGCATGCAGATGCTGAAGCAATCATCGTTGATGCCGAGTTTCTTCCTTTGCTCGACGGCTTTAGAAAGGCAAACCCCGGGATACCTCTGATCATCGACGCTGATACAGATGCAACAGAGGGCGAGCTAAGTGGCCAATTCGATGAAGCGGTGCTGGAAGGCCTACAGTATGACTCACAGCGCGGCGAGAAAGGATGGGAAGGTTTGGAGGTTCAAGCGGAGAACGAGGAAGATGTCATTGCACTGGCTTACACAAGTGGGACTACCGCAAAACCTAAGGGGGTCGAACTTACACATCGAGGCTGCTATCTGGGTGCTTTGGCGAACGTTGTCGAGTCTGGCCTCAACTACCACACAGGACGATGTCGGTATCTTTGGACTCTGCCAATGTTCCATGCAATGGGTTGGACATTTCCCTGGGCTATAACTGCAGTCAGAGGCACGCATTATTGTCTCAGAAAGATCGAATATCCCGAGATGTGGCGACTCCTCAAAGATGAGCACATCACGCATTACTGTGCTGCTCCTACAGTAAACACTTTGCTGTGCGCGGCCAGAGGAGCTGAAAGGCTGCCTGATCCAGTACGTGTGACTGTTGCTGCGAGTCCGCCGACGCCGCATTTGTTCGAGCAGATGACCAGTCTGAATCTACATCCTGTGCATGTCTATGGTCTTACAGAAACCTACGGGCCAATCACCAAAGGTTATCATATGCCAGCATGGGAGTTACTTTCCAAGACTGAGAAATATCAGAAGATGGCTCGGCAAGGTCATGGTTTCCTTACCAGCTTGCCAATCCGGGTCATCAAAACCGATGTTCCAGAGGGAACCATCATCGACGTGGAGAAGAACGGTAAAGAGATAGGGGAAATCATATGTATAGGCAATATCTGCGCGAGAGGCTACTATAAGGATTCCGAAGCAACGAGGAAGCTGTTTCTCGGTGGAGCACTGCATACAGGGGACTTGGCTGTATGGCATCCAGATGGAGCAGCCCAGATCTTGGATAGAGCGAAAGATATCATCATTAGTGGTACATATGCGCCGATGGCAGTATTCTGCACAAGTATACTCCCATTGCTAACGTCGCTTGTAGGGGGGGAGAATATCTCATCAGTGGCTTTGGAGAGTATGCTAGCCACCCATCCGGACATTCTCGAAGCAGCAGTGGTCGCGGTAGCAGACTCTCATTGGGGCGAAAGACCAAAGGCTTTCATCACAGTCCAGGGAGGGAAGGACCTCAAGGGCGGAGACGTCGTTGAATGGGCGAAGCACAATAGTGGCATTAGCAGATTCATGATTCCAAGGGAGGTCGAGATAGTGGATGAACTCCCTAAGACTAGTACCGGAAAATTGAAGAAGAATGTCCTGAGACAATGGGCGAAAGGGGCAGATCGGAGTCTCGTGACTTGATGCAGCTGCAAGGTGATATCAGTCGTGGTGGGGGAATGATCGCATCGCAGAAGGGTTGATAGACTTGTACCTATTGAGTAAGAGATCTGAAAGCCATAGATTGATTTAAAGCTGCGACCTGTTTGGCAAATCCACTTGGCATCCTGATCAGCAAATGTGCCAAAACCGACATCCAGGAGGAAATATCCAAGCCAGTGCTCTGAGGTGAGATCAGCGTGCGGGTAGGACTGCAGGAAAAGATCCGAGCTAGTGCTTCTAAAAGTCCTGACTCCTGCGCCAAGAACTCGGATAACGCCCCGCCTGAAGGGTTGCCTGCCCTGTATGGAGATTCTAGGTCTCCTGCTACAGGGCCGACTGCCGAGAGTAGGGTTAGGGCTGCTACTAGCACTGTGTAGGACTTCTAGTTGCCGACTTCCGTATGTAGTCTGAGGTAGGATCGCTGTTCGGGTAGGACTGCAGGACAAGAATCCGAGCAACAAGACGTCTTGGCGCTTCATCATGTGAGGCTGAGATAGCAACCGCCATCCATCCTTCATTCCCTATTTACTCGACCACCAGCAATCGCCACAAGCTCTGCTCAACAGTGTCCTTCATCCTTTCCTTTAGAATTAGTCCCCCCTTTCATTTTACAGCGTCCTCGCTGTTAGGGTGACACAGTATTTGGCTCCGATCGAGGCGCTTACGACTCGGTGTTTGACTACGGTCCTTTTCGTTCTAGCTACCTGACCCTGACTAAACAACGATCTCCTATTCGGTTCAACACTCGAAATTCCCAAGTGTAAAGAGAAGGAGTGAAAATACTTTCCAAGAAATGCAAAGCTCTCGCCGCTGGACTTCGCCATCACAACGAACACGCTTTCGCCGACCTTGCTGAACGCTCAAACCTTCCCATCTTGGAGACCCCTATCCCATCCTCGTCGATATTATACTCAAGTTTTGCCCGTAGGAGCACTCAATGCTACCTGAAGAAGGGGCGTCCGCTGCAACACCCTCTTCGCCTACGGACGAAATCCTTGATATAACACGCCCTTCGAACCCCCTTGCTCTATCTGTTTCAAACTCCCGTCAACGAGTATACTCACACGATTCCGACACGATGGTACGATCACGACCAGATATGCTGGAAATCAGCACGTCCACATCTGCCTCGTCGTCCTCCAGCTCGCCCGAGCGTGCTGCTTATGATGATACCGACTTTTTCACAACTCAGCGGAATGATTCGGAATCTTCCATCGGCGTGGCATCGCTGCGGGATATGACCATGTCTCCCTCCCGCGAACGCGAGTACCGTCTGTCACCCATCAGCCGCCTCCCTCCAGAGCTCCTAATTGGAGTCTTCACTAAATTGAGCTCGAGTATGGACTTAAGAAGCTGCATGCTAGTTTCAAAAACGTGGTCAAGAAACAGTGTGGATTTACTGTGGCATCGTCCACTGTGCAATACATGGCAAAATCTTGAGAGCGTCATCAAATCAATTCGAGAGACTGGTGGCTACTACCCATACCATGCTCTTGTCAAGAGGTTGAACTTATCGAACCTAAATGACAGAGTCAATAATGGGACAGTGAAGCCGTTCATGCATTGTAATAGGATCGAGAGGCTGACGTTGACTGGCTGTGTCCAATTGACAGATGAGGGAGTATGCTCTCTGATTTACGGAAGCAGAAGCCTTCTAGCTCTGGACATCACCGGGCTGGACTCGATCACCGATCATACCCTAAGGGCTGTTTCGGAAAATTGTGGTCGTTTACAAGGACTGAATATAACGGACTGCTCCAAGGTGACGGACGATTCGCTGGTAGAGGTTGCTGAGCACTGCCACTTTCTCAAAAGGCTCAAACTCAACAATTGCTCCCTGGTGACGGATGAGTCCATCATAGCTGTTGCGCACCATTGCCCATACATGCTTGAAATTGATCTTCACAATTGCAGACAGGTTAGCAATGTATCGATCACCGCTTTGATCTCGCGTGGGAGGCAGCTTCGAGAGCTCCGTGTGGGTCATTGCCATCTCCTCACAGACGCTGCCTTCCTGGACTTGCCGAAGAACCTGACGTTTGAGAGCCTTCGGATCTTGGATCTCACTGCTTGCCATCATCTTCACGATGAAGCTGTTGAGAAGATTATCGAGACTTCGCCCCGACTTCGGAATTTGGTCCTTGCAAAATGCAAGGAGATCACCGATCGATCGGTCATGGCAATTACAAAGCTTGGGAAGAACTTGCACTATATCCACTTGGGCCACTGTGCGCAGATTACGGATACTGCTGTCGTGCAGCTTGTCAAAATGTGCAACAGAATCCGGTACATTGATTTAGCATGCTGCCATCGGCTCACGGATACAAGCGTGAAGCAACTAGCTACGCTCCCGAAGCTTCGAAGGATTGGCCTCGTAAAGTGCCAGTCGATCACAGACAGAAGTATCCTGGCCTTAGCGAAGGCGACTGTTGAGCCAAGACAAAAGCCTTTGACTCAGAGCCTTCTTGAGAGAGTGCACTTGAGTTATTGCATTAACCTGACACTTCAGGTAAGATTCTCGTCGACCTTAGCGGGCATAATGCTGATTACCCGGGACAGGGCATCCATGCATTACTAAACCAGTGCCCAAAGCTTACACATCTCAGCTTGACAGGAGTTCAGGCCTTTTACCTCCGAGAAGATCTTATCAGCTTCTGCAGAGAAGCACCACCCGGTACACTCCTCATTGCACACAGTTCGGGACCTGATGGTTGCTAACATCAAGGCAGAGTTCACGGAACACCAGCGGCACGTATTTTGCGTGTTTTCAGGTGAAGGAGTCAATCGACTGCGAAACTACCTCAATGAAAGCCCCGAGACCCTCTATGATACAGAGGGAACGATGTATGATGACCGTGAAGGCGAAGACATGGATACGGATCATCAGGTTGCAGGCCTAATGCATGCCACTGGCCTGAACGATGATGACGACGATGACATGGATGAGGTAGATGGTGGTGATGGGAGCCAGTACGAATTGGAAGGCGAGCGGTGAAGAATCTACCATTGGAAGGCCCAGCGCGATTCAGCAAACGCAGTTATGAAGCAGAGACACAGGCAGCTAATGTACCCATATGCTCGACAGAAGCATCTGCGGCATGGCTGCAGCACTATTCTATTCTTTTACGCCATTCCTTTAAAAAATTCTTCATGCGCACAGCGAGAAGGGCCGTGCAAGAGCACGGCATAGGCTTTTCAACATCCGGCATGCTTCAGAGATACCCCTACAAGTTATACACACAACATGGTGGAGCAGGTTCTATGGTGTCAGATACAAACATGGGTGGCGTTTACAGCAAGAAATATCTCCCCTTTGTCTAGCATGAATACCGGCATTTCAATAGCTTTAAGACATACCTTTGACATCGAGAAAGCCTTGAACCTCACGGCAGCATCGTCCTCTGTTTTCAGCAACCGTTGGATCCCTATGGGATCGCCGCTACTTGCCCTCATCCGTTTCTCCTCTCGTTGTCATCTTCTCCTCCTGTTCGCCATCCTGCAAATCGCCCTAACATAATCTCTCCGTGCATTCCGAAGGGGTAAACCCCTTTTCTTTTTCTACAATCTCTCCACTCGCTCCTGCTGATCAATGTGGTAAGGCCGGAGGAAGGGGGCCCCTCCAATCTACGGATCCGGGCACCGTAATCCTAGCGGTACGAAATGGTCTCACGCCATAGTGGCATCTAAGGTTCTAGAAGTTTTGGGTTTTACAGAGGCGTGAGGCTTTCCACTTGCTTGTTCGCTGACCGGGTTCGATGCGTTGCGTGGATGGATCTTTTTTTCTCAATCTCTGTCGGTTTAGGGAATGCACCCCATGAATGCGATGGTGGGAGCTATCTACGGGTTGTGAGTCAGAGTTGACGCACGCTGGGCTTTTCATCTCGTTTTGGTTATACGGGAAGCTTGGTCGATGACAGCTGTGGATTGATTGATTGATTAATTGCAGACGGCTGAACGCATGCTGGGGCTTTTTCATGTCATTTTGGTAATACGGGAAGCTTGTCCGATGACAGCTATAGATCGATGGCAAACGACTCAACGCACGCCGGGCTCGTTCATGTCGTCGTTTCGAAAAGTCAATGTAGCAAGATGGGCGGGTCGATGGAAGCCGTCATCATGGACCTGCAGCTGCAAAGAGCGGCGATCTACCTTACCTCCCCCTCTTGCTGCTGCTGAACGTGCTCCCGTTCCCGGGGAAATTGTCGCACTGCCGTACCAGTCCGGAATCCCATCGTCTTCTCCCGCTGTTCGCACACTTAGCTTCCGTAAACTCGATCGGACGGCGGCCCCAGACTTACCTCTCCTGGCTCGGTGGTCCGAAGCCTTCGAAGACCCGCGGCTGTAAGATTTCGCCGTCGTCGGCGGAGGGGGTGAGGATGGTTTGTTCGTGGGTTACGTTTGCGATGTTTTCTGCTTCTTCTGCTTCTTCTGCTTCTTCTGCTTCTTCTTCTTCTTCTTCTTCTTCTTCCTCCTGCTCCTGCTTCTCATCTTCATTCTGGTCTTCTTGAGTCTGTTCTTCCTGGGTCTGACCGAAGCCGCTCCAGCTGGCGATGGTGTCGTCGATGGCGGTAGCAGTGTCGAGGCTTTCGTCGTCGTCTTCATCATCGGAATGGTCGTAGAAATATTGATCCTCTGGTGTGAAAAGAGTCGACTGCCGAGAAAATCTCGTGTGTTGTTCATCGTGGGGCCGTGTAGTCAGGGTTTGTGGAGGCGTAGCGAACGGGTCGAGGATATATTTCTCCGGCGAGCTTGTGAAGGGATCTTTGGCCATCGATGGCCTGTGGTCGTTGAAGCTGCCTTTGTCTGCTAGGGATGGTGTTGGTGTCTTCGGGGTTGGAGGAAGGGCAGGCGGTGGCTTGTGGGAGGAGATGCGAGGTGGTAATGAAGCGCCTGGGTGAGAGGTGCGTGAGGAAGGAGGCGTCTGCGCTGTTGTTGGAGGGTTGCCGGTTAAGAATGCTGTCCGTTCCCCATGTTCTGCTGCATGGAAGCTTGACTGCTGAAGTAGGAGCGGTGAGTCGAGAGATTGCAATCTTGCATCCCACCCAGGTCCAAAGCGCATCCCAGCCAAGATTCCATTCAATCCTGGCCTCTTCTGACCAGCGGGCCTAGGCGCTACGCCCAGCTTCTTCGACCCCTTCTCGCCCAATGCGACCCGGTAATTGAAATCCACCCTCGTTCGCTCCAGCGTCCACTGTCCAGACTCCAGTCCCAACTCCAGCATTTGAGCGGCTTCATCTTGGGACTGGAAGAGCCCGTAACGAATAACCTCTTGCTGGCCACCGACTGACTCGAAACACTGTAAGCACAACTTCCAGCTTCTACGGGAATTCCTCCATTCACCCAACTCGGCTTGGGCGAGACCGAGACCAAACCATCCCACTGCACTGGTGGCGTCGTTATCGACGGCTTCTTTGAACACTTGAGAGGCGAGGTAGTACTCGCCTACGAAGGCGTAGGCCAGGGCAAGATCGAGGTAGAGTGGGCACAAGGCAGCCAGAGGCAAAGACCTCAGGGCTGGATGGTGGTCCTTTGTGACGGCGCGGACCAGACGTCGAAGGGCAGAAATTTGAGCCGATGGAGGGAGCGAGAGGGCGGCTGCCCAACGGGCATGGATTGCCGGCAGGGAGAGAGGTTGTGCGGGTCTTTGGGTTGAGGCCATGATTCTAATGGTGTGTGGTACCAAAGATGAAAAGGCTGATGTGTGATGAGTATGAAAGAGAAGTCTCGAGGGAAAGTAGGATGTAGGAATGGTGAGTGACACAGAGATGACGATGGAGGAGAGCGACGTGAATGCGGCCGCAGGGCCATGAAATAATTACAGTGACTTGTACGTCATTGGTGAAGTGCCCCAGCCATATATGAGGCCCATCGTAGAGTAGTATTGATCATGTTTGTTTGTGCTGCATGGATCCTTTCTATGGTTGTTGCTTTTGGTTCACTTTTAACGCAGTGACCACTTCTGCCTCACGAGATCTTGAAACAATTGAAAATTAGAAGGATACTTGAAGGAAGGAGAGAAGAGACAATAAGGCGTGATGAGAAGACATCTGTTCAACATTCTATTTTGTGTTGCACGTCAACGACAGGAAAACTGTGTTAGTAAGGTAGTCCACGATGGTTAGAAACCAAATATCATGACCCTACTTTACCACGTCCAGTATTTCAGCCGATTCGACGAGTATTCAAGCGTAGAGTAATTTCAGTCCGAGTGAAGAGACCGTTCTCGGGCCTGGCAGTTCTGGAATATGATTGACTCAGACAGTCTCGTGCTTCCCGGCGCTCCTCGGCATCTGGCCTTCTTCTTTGTGGATTTCTGAGCGTCTATGCATCTTGCCGTCTCCATTACGCGTGTCCTTAACGCCATGTCAATAGCTCGTCTCACCTGCTTTATAAAAGGGTCTCACGTCCCCAATCAAAATTCATTCTTCCTTCAGAGTCTCTAATGCCTTGTTGAAAGAGCGTGGCTTTGGCCTCTCTGCCGGAAGCAACAAATCATATGCTCTGGCATTGATCACACATGCTGAGGCTCTTGGTCCTCTTGATGTCTTTCTATCTTTCACGGCCATGGCTATTTCTGCTCTGCCTTTTCAAAGATCCCGGTCTCCATCTTTTGATGCTATCGACAAATGTGTTCTGATTTGGAGTGTGAATGGCAATCTCTCCTTCTATCTCTGATGTAATTCCGAAGATATTCCGATTGGCTGTATGTTTGTCCATGACGTTGAGCTTGAGCCTTTTGTGTGGTCAACAAGACTTCGCTGACTTCACTTCTTTTATCCCGCACCAGCAATTCAGCCTTCCTTTCTCCATCATCTTAAGCAAGGCTATCTACAATAACAACAACCAACCTCAAGCAAGATCACCCGGAAGCATTCATTCCATTCTCCATCAACGAGCACCCACATCATGAGCTCCACACTCGGAATCGGGGTTCCGGTCCCTAAAATGCTTCGTTAGTCCCTTCCTCTGGTCCGGTCGCAACCTTCCGCACCATACTGACAATCCATCTGTACAGCCATTACAGGCACCTGGACTCTTCCATTCGCAGCCTACCTCGTCTACTTATCCAACCGCATTGTCTATCGTCGAGTCAAGTCAGAAAAGTATATGGGCGACCGTTTTGTCGACGCCGCGGAATCCACCTCGAATGACAAGCCTGACCCCCTTTTCCTCGACTCTCGCGCTCACGACAATTTCATCGAGAACGTGCCCCTTTGCTTCACCTTGGTAGCGATCGCCGAGTTGAACGGTGCGAATCGGAAGGTCCTGAATTACGCGATGGCGACCCTGTTCGTGCTCAGAGTTCTCCACGTGGAGTTGGGCTTGAAAGGGAAGGATACGGTGGGGTGGGGCAGACCGTGAGTGATCTGGTGCACATTTGAAGCAGCGAAGGTCGTAGCTAACGCTGGGAATAGGGCCGGATACTTCGGAACTCAAGGATTCATTGCCGGAATGGCCGCGTACGGCACATACCTCGTCAAGGGCTACTGGGGCTATTAAATGGCCCAGAAAGAGTGGAGCGAAGACACTGGCGTGTCGACGGTCGAGGGCGAGCTGGCAATTGCATATGCTTGCCTGCTATAATGAATTTTGATTTGATTTTTACATTTCGGGGAGGATCCATCGAATGTTCTCCGCTCAGAAGAGCTTAATATCAGTCTGTATATAACCGCATCTGGGACATGTTACCTCAATCGCACTTTTAAAGACGGTTGCAAAGTCCGGTCCTTCCTTCTCCGTACAACCTGCGATTGCTTCCGACACCCTCCCTTCCTCTCCTACCCTCCTAGATCTTCTCCCTGTCCACCTCACAACATCTTTATCTACACCCTACAATCATTCCCACAGCATCGAACCCGAATCGCGAATACATCACTACCGCCCCCCTCTCAGCTCCCACCGCTCAAACCCGACACCAACGCCACTGCCCTAGAAAACCACCCCATGGCCCTCCTCCCCTCCATCTCCGACAGACGCTCCGCCCCCTCGCTCCAACCCACCGCCACAATAACACCAGAACTCCACCTGATCCCCCGCCCGCTTCGCATCACCAAACGAACCCCAACCACCACCCCTCCCCCCCCGCAACCCCTCACGAAACCCACCCTCACAACGCCAACCCTCAACCGCACAACCACCCTCAACCGCACAACCACCATCAACCCTATCCACCGCACCCGCCGCGCAACCACTCCAGACCCACCACCCACACCTCCAACCCACCCACCCACCTGCGCCCTCTGCCCCACCCCCCTCTCCCCCCACAACAACCACGCCTTCCCCCCCACCGCCCCCGCCATCACCTACACGATCCTCTCCCTCCTCCACCAGCACCACTCCTCAAACCCGCCGCGTCCCACCTCCCCAAACCCGCCGCGTCCCCCCCCCCCCCCCCCTCCCCCACTTCTGCAACGCCTGCTTCGGGACCCTGCACGGGCTGCGGCTGTGCTGGGGCTGCGGCGAGCCCGTCGCCCGGGCCGAGGAGCGCGTGGGCTGCGGCTGGGCCTGGTGGCACTGGGGCTGCGTGCGCTGCCTGCGGTGCCGGCGGCCGCTCGCGCCGCCGCCGTACGAGGATCGCGCCGTCACGCTGGACGGGATGCCGGCGTGTGGGGCGTGCGCGGGGGAGGTGGGGGGGCGGGAGAGGGGTGGGGGGTCGAGGGGCGAGGGGGGGAGTGATGGGGCTTGCGATGGGAGGGGAGGGGAGGGGGTGAAGGGGAGGCCGGTGCCGAAGTGGATGGAGAAGTTGCCGGGGAATAGAAGGGGCGGGGGGTATAGAGGGGATGGAGGGAGGGGAGGTGGTGGGTCTGGAGGTGTGGTTGGGAGAAGCGACGCGTTTCGGCGGCCGGGTTGGATAGCAGGTGCTTTGTTTCGCTCACCGTCGTTGCGAAGTCAAGCATTGAGGCCTTGATCATGGATGAATGAGGCTAGTTGTTTAGGCTTTGCCCGTAAGACTGTTATCGATTGATGAGTATCATCTGCTCTGGTATGGCTGCTGTCCTACTGCCGTCGTAATCATATCCTCGTAATCCCATGCTTTCGTACATCATGTCTCATAACATCATGACCGGCTTCCCAATCGATCTATCCTTGCTTCAATCCTGCCAAATAAGACACCTCACTTCGGTGCGTAGTTTTCTTTATCACTGTCATCGAAAGCCAACCCAGATGTGCTCCTTTGCAGCCTCGGTCCTGAGGTCTCGAAACTCCCGCGCAGACCTTTCAGCACCTTCCTCTCGAGGCTCGAGCGTGGTCCTCGCGACACTCTGCGTTGAGGAGACCCACGCTGCTCCAGTGGCCTTACTGTTTCGTAACTCGAACGTGGCATGCTGTATTTGGTATTCGTCGTAGTGTCGAATGACGAGCGCGGTAACAAATGTTGATGACTGCTTCGGCTGCTGCTGCCTAATACGTTGGCTGATTGGCGTCGTGCAACCTTCGTCTTTCTTGGACTCTCTCCAAGCCTCAAGGCCATCCTCCTTGGGCTGCCTTCCAGAGTACGTGTAAGCTCCTCCATCTCCGTAGACCCTAAAGTGTCCTTGCGCAGTTGAAGGTATGACTGTCTTCGGGCAGCTGTGAACGCTTGGCCAGCGCGGTAGCGGTAAGGTGAGCCGGCACCGCTTGTAGAGGAGTGATTTCGGTGCTTGTGCTCGATGGAAGCCGCCACTTGGGCAAGGGCGTTGGGAGGAATGTCAATAGAGTTCTGGGACGATGGTCAGCTTCTAGATGGAATGCTTGGAGTGTGGCAAGTATCTTTCGAGGGTAGGAGGGAATTGGGGCTTACTGGATGGATGATGGTGATCGGCAGCTGAACTTTCAAATGCTTGCTGGAGGTAGAAAGGTAAGCCAGGAACAGATGGGGAGCTTAGTGGGTATACATACTTGAAAGAGCAAGTGATTTGAACGTTCAAGAAGTAGCGGATGCCGAAGAATCGCCCTAGGCAGTACTATCAGCCTCTCTATTACGGGCCCGTGGATATTGCCTAGAATGGTATATTCTCAGGAGTTTCGAGCTCGGAAAGAGTATTGCGCAGACGAAAGCTTTTGCATTGGCGAAAACCTGAGCTGGAAGTACACACCTGTTTCGATGGATACCAAACCGGTGGGCAACTCCAATTGACAGGTCCTGAAGTCCTGCGACAATGAAACCACTCCTTGGAACCCATCAGCCAAATCTTTCCTCACAACTATCTCGGTTTGTCGATGATCTGGCAAGCGGAGCACATCGGCCGATACGGCGTTCGTAGAAGGCGCAGGATAGTTGTGGAACAGTGTAGTTTTCTCGAGCTGCAGCTCAACTTTCCTGACGTCCTTGCTGCTCTTGTTGTCAATGTGCATATCAACGAAGATGGGGTAGCCACTGATCCAAGTCTGACGATGAAGGCCTGCCGTCAATTTCACTGTCCGTGTATTGGATCGCTTTGACATGGGCATTTCATCCACCGCTAAGAGTGGGCTTGAGAGATTGACGAGAGCCTTTTCGGCTGCAGCCTGCGTTAGTCACAGGATATTCAGATCATGAAAGGTCAAAGACCTACGATCATGAACTGTCAAGACCGTGACCTCGCGGGATTGTCGAACAAAGTGTTTCTTCCCATAAATTTCAAACTCTGCCAACGTACAGAGCCAATAGCTTATGGCCGCCTTCTTCGACTTGTACGGTGGAGGACCCATGACCACGGGCAGGTCCAGTCGAAAGGGCAACGTAGAGCTTGAAGGTTGGACGTCCCAGGTAGTGTCAGGTCCAGGATCTGGAGCCATTGAAGCTGGAGGTGGATGTGCTGCATCGATCAGGTCGCTTGACAAGGCTCGAAACATGTCCTGTCTGCCTTTGCATCTTTCTACCCCAACGAGAGTGGCGGAAATCTTACTCAGCGCCAGACCCGCTGTAGACTTGCGACGTGTCTGAAATGGCCCTCCATCAATTCCCACGTGGATTTCGCCTTCCACCGTCGCTCCACCCATGAAAATCGGAGCTGACAGGTGGATGGCAAGGTTGAGACGAGGGTGAGTCAGTCTTGGGGTATCAAGCAGGTCAGTCGGCATGAGCAATGGAGCAAATGTCCGTGACGGAGCTCGTCGCAGGGTTAAAACGTTAGGTCGGCGGATTGGAGATGTCGATCTGCCCCTGGCAGGAACCGTTGTGCCATTGTTAGACATGCCGTGCGATGGCAGGGGTGGAGGCGCATGCGAAGCTGCTAATCGCATGGAAACGGCGGAGTTTCCTTGAGAGATACTCTTGGAGGAGCCTCTTTCTGGTATGCTTGATAAATGGCTCAGACATTCTCCGGGCATTATTGCTGATGAGAGAATAATCTCCGTAGTCGCATCAAGCTACCCTAGTGCTACTCTGACATGCATTGGGCAGATCATACGTTCCCAAGCAAATCAAGATTATTGTTCCTGCGTATTGCGGGCATGGTCCCTTCCTGGATGGTAGTCTGACAGCTGCAGGGTGCAAGGGGTAGCTCTGATATGGTAGGTGTGGCCCGGTTCTGCCTTCCAATGGAGGAATCGCTGGGGTTGGATAAAGGCGGCCGTTCTGAAGGTAGACTATAGGTCTTAATACTATAAGTTCTGTTCCATCAGTTCTGTTCCAGGGCAAGTGTTCCAGGACAATGGAAGCCATTATACAAGGGAGAATAAGGTGGCTTGAGGTAGGGTTGGAAGGTGGTTGGAATAAAGGTCTCAAGGGTTGACAGACAGGGTTCTCTGTAGTCTCAGTATTCAGACTCCTAGCGGGGTACCCTATGGCCAGCCCTACACTCATTCCTCGCTTGGGGCCAATCATATCGCAAGCTCATTACGGCATACCCCCCCTAGGTTCTCTGATGGTGTGCAGATCACCACGTGTATCATTCATTCCCTTTCACCTGTTTACTAGCACATGCTTTAGAAGTCTATTAGAAGACGCCAAATATGGTATCATGTATCATGTATGGGAACAATAGCCTTGTCATTCCTTGTCATCCCTTGTCATCCCATCCATAGGTAAAAACCCCATAATCTAGCCTGAACCCTCATGTGAGTGTAGCGATCAAATCTGAGCGATTATCGATGGGAGATGTTGCAGAATCCCAGCAGCCGCATCCTCGGAAATGCTTGTTCCAGGGTCTCTGCCAAGACGAAGCCTCCAACCCGTCCAAAGGTCAATCGTTCGGGACCCGCCTAGAAATGACATAAGATGATTTTCCGCTAAACCCTATGAGGGTATTCGATCCTGCTCCCATGTCCGCAAGCTACCAGATACACCAATCGCGTAGCTCGCCCAACCTTAAAGTGAGTCTGACTGGCTCCAAAGCAGCTACTTCTTCTCACCCCCGAAAAACCACTCTGCCCTTTAGTCCCTTCCCGACAAATCAATCCGTGGAGAATAAAAACAAAAAGCCAGTCCATACAGTCGTACTCGTCGGCCTTCTTGGCCCACTTCCATGCTCCCGGAGCCACCTCCACACGGACCACGCGAGCGGGCCACACGATGTGAAATGAAAATCTCTGCTTGGGCCCCTGACATGTCTAGAACATCGAGTCGTTGCCAAAAGAGCTAACCCCACAATCCACCACGAGCTCCGTACAGTAGAGTACATATGTCTGCCGTCTTCCGTAACTTACCCTATTTCCTGCTAGACGCAGCACCCTTTTTTTCTCTCTCCTGCATCACAATTCTTATTTCCATTACCTTTCTCTTACTCAACACTTTGCTCCCCCACTGACTGGTACATTCTACGCCTGCGTTGAGGCTCAACAACATCTCACATTCGCTTGCCAGTAGCGCTGCACACCCGTGCCTTGACCCAGGCTATGATCGGGAACCATACCTGAACAAGCGGGTTGACGAGACCTTAGTTTCAATATTCGCTAATTTGAACAACGTCCCCATATCTGTCTTGGTGGGAATGTCAACTATCGAGGATGTCCCCGCCGCTCCTAAGATCGAACACTTTGAGGAGGAATCCTTCTCGGAATCCTCTCCCGATCCCGAGGAGCAGAGTTTGACTCAAGAACCTGCACAGGTGCAGAAGCGGAAGGGAGGGCGCAAGCCGGTATGGCCTGCTTGCATATATTGTCCGAATCTACATTTCCCCTAATGCCATCTTAGATTTACGCGACATCGGAAGAACGAAAGCAACGAAATCGCCAAGCTCAGGCAGCTTTTAGGGAACGCCGAACAGAATACATCAAGCAATTGGAGACGACGATCAAACAGCATGAGGAAGCCCTTCAAAGTCTACAACAAAATCATAGAGCAGCAGCGGACGAGTGCTTGATGCTTCGATACAAGAATTCCCTCCTCGAACGCATACTGCTTGAGAAAAGTAGGCCATGTTGTTAATCGATACTTGCGCCTCTACGTTGCTGACGAAGCCACAGAAATCGATGTGCAGGCTGAGCTGAAGTCTAAAGCTGAAGGCGCCACGGTTGTGCAACTTCCAACTCAGCCATTGGGGGGCCCGCAGCCGACTCCGGTTCAGCGAGCTCTTCTGAATCGGCTAGGGCAGGTCCGACGCTCAACATCTGGATCTTCGTCTCGAGCATTAAGGCCCCACTCTTCCAAATCTTCTTCGGTCCTGTCTCCTCGGCTTCAGCCATCGCAGCATTCGCAGATTGTATCAGCAGTCACGACAAAATCTCCGATTGGCATAGCGAAAGGTGGGATGATCTCACCTAGCGTCGATATGAAAGCTCAGCAACCACAACAGCCGCCGCCGCCGCCTGAGTCTCAAGCATACCCTCAGCAACAGCCGTCAAGGCTAAGCATACCAACAAGTCGATCATCGATGCAAGGTACGACGCCAAGCACGGCAGATACAAGTCGTAGCAGTGAGATGGGTAGTACAGCTGGGACGCAAACAAGCTTCTATCCATCTCCATTCCAAGCTCATATAGAGCAACTCGGCAAGCTGTCCCGCCCCCTCCTTTCCGTAATATAAATAGAGCTATGTTCGTCCTAGATTGATTCCGTGAGTACAGAACAGGAGTACGATGCGCATGTCGATATGCTCGACGACGAAAACCCCAGCGATCGCGACGTGGGTCCCGGCCCCTATCCGCAAAATTTCCATCACCAGCCTCTTTCCCCGCACCAGCAAATACCTATGGGTATGCAGGGTCAGCCACCAATGCAGCAGATGCAACCCATGCAGCAAATGCAGCCTATGCAACCAATGCACCCACCGTCGGCCTCACAAGCCATGGATCCGAACAATCCAGCGTATCCAGGGATGCAGCCTGGCTTCGATCCTTACGATCCTATGTTAGACGCCGATCCGTTTGGCCTCTCCGCCAGCATGCATTTCCCCACCCAATTTACCTTTCAAGAGAGTTCGATGAGACGGTGATGACTTGGGGTGAAGATGATTTTTGTTGAATGGGAAAAGTTCTAATGTGATCGGAACAGGGCTCGTTCAAGGCGTGAACGCCTGGCATGCATTCTTGAAGGATTTCTGCATCAGCGAAAGGCGTAAACAATTTGATACCACCAAAAGCTGCAAGCAGCTTCAGCATCTTGCTTTGTATCTAATTTCTCTACACTGCTCGTCAGAAGTTCTGGCTTCTTGTCATTGATGGTCAGAGCATCATAAAAACCCGAAAGATCAAGCTGACCTCTTCCCAAACAATCTGAATGTACAATGTAAACAATTGTCTCATCGACTCGTCGAATCTCGAGTTAGACGCGCTAGTCTTGGCGGCAGATCCCAACCTCGCTAAGAAAACCCGCACAACTCGACTCCTGACAGTGTCACAGTGACAGCAGCAACGTTGCATCACACAACGTCAACGCGATTCAGATAGAGAGACAAGATCCTGCGCTAGGATCCTGTCGCTCTTAATTGACACCGTCCACATCACACTGGTGCGATAGCAAAGGAGGCCTTCGGAGGAAGGCAGTAGGCGGGCGTCATGAGTGACGTGAAATCCAAGGTGCGGAGCAATGATCTCAAATCCTACAACTATGAAGCTCTATATGTCTCTCATAAGCTTTGCGCTTTATGCCATGGCAATTGCTAACATTCGAAATCTACAGAACCTTTACGAGCTCCTCGGTCCGCCCGGTTCTATAGCTCTCCTCAAAACTCTAGCTAATCTTCGACCACAGGTAATGACAGTGACCAGGATTCGGACAAGGAGCCAGCACCACCTACAAAGGTGACCGATAAGCCAGTTGCACGACATGGCAAGCGTGATGCACCTGCTTCAGCCCCGAGTGAGGCTCGTGGAGGAGGTGCTGGAGGCGAGCGTGGTGGACGCGCAGGACGTGCCCGTGGACGTGGGGGGTTCTCTGGCAACGATGGAGGTAGGTCATTTCCTTTCTACAAATTGGAGCTGCACGGCGAATGGGCTTCCTTTATACGGCGATTGCTATTTTACACGCAGTACTGACATTGAGCCCAGTTTTTCGCGACCGTGAAGCCGGCTCGACGAACAATCGCGACAAGCCCACCGACGATGGACTCCGTCAAGATCGCCACGCAAACCGCATCGAAGGTGGCCGTGATCGAGGCAGCTACGATGGACGCGGTGGCCGTGGGGGCCGTGCTGGCAGAGGTGGACGCGGCAACCGTGATGACCGCCACACTCGTGGCGTTCCCAAGTATGCATCACCTCATTCGCCCTACGAGTTTTGTCTGTACTGACCTCTTAACTCTACAGCGACCACGTCAAGCAAGCCGACCAATCATGGGGCGCACCTACCGGCGAATCCGAGTGGAAAGACGAACAAGCAGGTGAAGCCATTGCCAAAGCCGAAGAGAAGGACGAAGGTGCAGCTGGCGGGTGGAATGCTAGCGCTGCCCCAGGAGACGACTGGAATTCTGGCGCCGCTGCGGTCTCCACTGACGCAGCTCTCACAGCAGACGCTGACGGTACTGCTCCGGCCGAGGGAACTACCCCCGCCAATGCTCCAGCCGAACCAGTCGCGGAGCCTGAGCCCGAAGACAACAGCCGCTCTTACGCCGACTACCTCGCCGAGCAGGCGGAGAAGAAATTGAAGCTCGGCGGTGGAGTGCCGGAGGCTAGAAAGCCAAATGAGGGCAGCAAGGACAAGAAGTACGACAATGCGAAGCCGGTCGCTAAAGATGAGCAGGAGGACTTCTTCTCCGGCAAGAGCGAAAAGGCCAAGCGAGAACGTCAGCGCAAGGAGAAGAATGTCCTTGATATCGACATCAAGTACGTCGAGCCTCAAACTGGTCGAGGTGGAGGCGATCGCGGCGGCAGAGGACGAGGCCGTGGTGATCGAGGAGACTTCAGAGGCAGAGGCAGGGGTCGTGGTGACGGTTTCAAACCCAGAACCGACAGTGGTTTCCGTGGCGGACGGGGCAGAGGTGATGGTGGCTCTGTCAACGTCAAAGACGAAAACGCTTTTCCAAGCTTGGGCGGCTCATAGCTGAGCCTCGATCTCTCCTAGGATCTGGAACACCAGAGAGGGGATTTACGGATCAGGTACGCAACAGGTAGGGGCATCAGATCAGGATGCATCTTGAAATGATTTTCGTTGAGCTCGAACAACGTCGACTGTAGAATATCTCGGTGGCATAGCTTAGCAAAGCAGATCAAAAGCAAAATCTTCTCAAGCCATTTACCAAATCTCTGCCCCTCTTTGTGCTGTGAGTCGAGCATGACTACGATTTCGAGCTAGCTTACCCACCGAAGGACTTTCTACAGAGGCAAAGAAAGGAATCGTGAACGCTGCTGCCGCGTTTTAAAGGGTCATGAATCCATTGGAAAATATTTTTGGGGTTCACCGCCTGTGCGATGAAGCTCTTTGCGTCCGTCTCCCCCAGCACGGTCATATTGATCATCCATCCATACCGCCTAGCGCCTCCCCTCTAGCTGCTTTTCCATACTGCTGAGCTCGGTTTGTTATGTCTTAAATGTCGTCGCTTCAGCCTTCGTGTTACCTTTTCAATAACGTCTTTCCCTGCTCACTTGACGCAATTACTAGCCTGATTCCATTGTCGTTTGCGCAGTGATGGATTCGTTTCTTGGTGGATTGGGCAAGCTGGGGGGCTGATTGACCTGTCGAGCGTATAGTCTGGGATTGGATGGGCAGAATTTGGTGCAAGGTGTTATGGAAAACCGAAAGTGAATGATCTGAGTAGACTATGCTTCCCTGGAAGACATAGAGACGAGAGGATTTGGTTTCAAAGAGTTGAAGGAGAATTGGATTGAATCAAAAATGGCCACATTCGATTTTGCCAAAATTTTCCCCCATCGGCATTATAGAGCAAATGTTTTGTTGAGAGGCTTTTAGGTGCATGGGAACCTGAGAGCTGCATCATTTCAACTGGGCAGCAGATAGGCAGGCGCTATTGATGATGACCTGGACGCTTCATAGTCTGGCGAAGAAATGCAGAAGGCTTGGTTATTTATGAGAGTGTGCCTGGAAGTTACTTTCAATCTTAGTGGCACTAAATGCACATCATGATTCTAGTCAAGCTCTGCAGGACCACTCCATAGCAGGTTGTATCGTGCTTTGGAGCAAAATAGTCGCATTTATGCACCGAATTTCATGCAGATGCACAAATAAGATACAGTAAGGCCGGCTATGCACACTTATCCACTCCAAGACTAGAACCGGGATGAGTCAGCGGATCTTCTCCGACCTCACCCCTTCACTCTGGCTTCAACACAGTGTGATGACGACCTCTGAACTTCGAGAAAATCCGCCCGCGATCGATCATACGAGCCGGAAGATAGATGAGGGTGAGGCAAAGAGGTGGGGCCACTGCTGGAAAGGAAGCTATATGATCATATGAGCTAGGTTGTGTCCCTGTACAACAACAGCTTGTTGAAGCTAGCTCTCTGCGTTACGCGTTGCACTTGACTTGCGCCTTTGCTTGATATGCTGCAGAAAGACGAAAAACCCAAGTGACCACTCGCATTGCTGTAGATGACGATGATTCTTGCTCCTGCCGCCTTCCTGTGCAATGCGAACCGGTTTCGAATTGGGATATGAGTGATTTGAAATGAAACAAAAAGATTGTGATGCCGCTCCGCAAGGCGGATTCGAACTCCTGACCTCGCTCGTATCGAAAATAGATTACGGGCGCGGAGAGTATCGACAGCTGCCAGCGGCGACGACAGCACCCTCAAGAGGAAGGCAAAAAAGGCAAAAAGATGTAGAGGTATCAGAGGATCAAAATGGCAAAAGACTCCACCACCAAACCCGAAGGTTGGTGGCTTACAGAAAATCCGAAGATTTTACTAATATCTCACAAGGTCAGGATCAATTACGTGGGCTAGCGTTGACTACCATACATCCACAAGTGGTGATGGGATCGACTCGGCTAGGGACGCCATTTCGCCTTTCTTCCTCGGATGCAATAGTTTACGCTATTACAATATATATTCTATAGTTGGTGATCAACACGGAAATAAATGCCACCCATCTCAGATACGCCCCCTTCGCCTCACAGATCATATTGCGCTCCTACCAGTACATTTAATTACTCTCATCATCGAGTACATGGGAACAAAAAAACAAAAATTCGGTAAGTCAAAATAGCAAAAGACTACACTACCAACTCAGTCGGTCGAACTGAGGTGGTAGCTTGCAGAAAACCCGGAGGTTTTACTTAATCATGGTCCGGATCAATTATGGACGATAACGTTGACTACCATACATCCACGAATGTGGTGATGGGATCGACTCGGTTAACACCACCATTTCGCCGTTCTTCCACAACTGCAGACAGAGTCACTATTTTTAAATATATACTTTTTCTTCCGATGCGAAATATTTCATGTTCGTAGTCCGAAGCACATCCGTGATTGTGTAGCAACCATGTCATCGCGTGTTTTGCTTTACTGTCTCCCATCCATCAACACCGTACATTCCTGCCCCTCCGATCCCCACACTTGCCTCGTTACGCATCAAACCAACCTCTGTTTCTACCACAATCATGACTATCATGCGTAAAAACGGCAAGGTCACCACCACCACCCGCGCCATTAAGCGTGACCGCCGCCATGCTCGCAAGAGTAGGCAGCGTCAGACCAGTGGTACAATATCCCCCAAAGGGTTCACAAACGTCGGGAATCTACCCACTGACATACACATCTACTAGAGCGCCATCTTGCGAACCTCCGCCTGCAGGCGTTCAACTATAACGCCAAGCAGTCCCGCCGCTGGCTTCGCGCCCGCGTCCTCAGCGAAAACAGCGGCTTCGTAACCAAAGAGGCGGCTTCGCAGCTCGTAAAGCACTTCGAAAAGACCGAATACCAGCTGCAGCACCCCCGTATTACCGACGCCGTGCTCACCGCCAATGCTAAGTGGGTACTATCGCAGCTGGGGGTGGAGCGGGAGGCGGCCAGGGGTGAGCAAGGATACCCGGAGAGAGTGCAAGATTGGTGGGCGGCGCCCACAATGGTTGGCAAGAAGAAGAGGAAGGGGAGGATGATGGGAAAGAAGCAGGGGGCTACGGCCGACCAGAGTGTCAATATTGAGGGGCTACGGGACGAGGTTGGTGCTTTGGGGTTGGGAGAGGAGGAGATGGAGGATCAAGACGGCGGCGTTTGGCTAGAAGACGAGCAGGAATTTGAGGGGTTCGAATCCCCAGTCATGATGTCTCCGACGGGGTCTGTGATCGGTGAGGGACAGGAAGAGGAAGAGGATTGAAAGTGTCTTATGCTTGCGCTGTGTGTTTCTGTTGGGTGTCTGCCTTCGGGGCGGGTCTAAGGTCACAAACAGGGCACCAGATATTGCGAAATGAAACCGGTTTCCGCTGATTATATCTCATACCAATGACAGTTATGAAGTTTCCTTTGCCAAAGTACAGCCAATGGAGCTATTCAGACTTGCAGAAAAGGCAGCGAAACCAGGCAAGATATCGCAACAAATGACATTCGTCACGGTCTAAATCCCCAGGATATTTAGAAACCTAATAGAAATTAATCAGACTGCTTGGTGCTCCACTGGGCTCGTCTTCGTACAAAATCTACTAAATTTTAGAGTCACATCCTCTGGTTGTGCAAAGAATATAACTTTGTCCGCGAATACAATGTCCATCGATATTCCAGTGGGAGACCTTGGGAATACCCTCTCCTTATCTATTTATACCACAGTTCCAGGGTTTTGGAATGGCATGTCGTTGGCCGGAGAAGCGCCGGAGAAGATTCCCCTGCATTAAATATGCACTAATTTATGCCGCTGGCCATGCTTCCCCGCATTTTGCAGCGCTGATCCGGATGGTCCTGACAAAACAGCACCTCTACATACTAATTCTGCGCTTTTGATCTACAATCTCTGAATCTAACACCGTTGCTGAGTTATCTTGTCATATCGTCGATTAACATTCAATGCATTGGCTTCTCACCACAATTGCCGCTGGTTCGGCGCTGCTGAGTCTCCCTGTGGGAGCTTCCAAACTCACTCCACCAGTCGTGCCGTTGGTTGTCAGGAATCCGTATTTGAGTACGTGGCTGGGCGACGTGAGAGAAACACCATGGAACAAATGGCCAATGTTTTGGACTGGAGAAGAGGTACGTATCGTTAGCTCAGCCGGGCCAATCATTTTGCGCCGTCCATAGAATGCCGAAGTCCCGGGAGCGCTTTAACGATAAAGCTGACGCCTGCGTTTACATAGATTGGATTTGGGGTGCTGGCTGCTGTTCCTGACAGTGGAGATGTATACCCTCTCTTGGGAAGACCCCACGATTCCCTACTTCTTCGAAAGGACAATGGGTGAGACGATCAAACGCCGTGGAGTCACGCACAGAATTGCTTATAACTCTATCTTAGATTCAACGTCTCCTTCTGCAGCTACCTCGGCACCACCTTCGACGCCTCGACGACTAATCTGACATATCATATTCCCGCTCCTCGGTCTCACAAATCCACCAAGCCTCTAGAGATCGTCATCTCCTTTCTTTCGCCTATCACCCCAACTTCGACCCTCCGCCAATCGATTCCAGCTTCCTACATGACAGTATATGTCTCGGGTGGATTCAATGTTGATATCTACGTCGACATCAATGGTCAGTGGGCGAGCGGGGACAGAGGAAGCCGAATTGTCTGGGACTTTGATCAGCAGCAACTCGGAGGCGACAAAGCGTTGAAGACCTGGAAAATCAGAAGAGAGACAGAGCAGTTGTTTTCAGAAATTAGAGACCAAGCCGAATGGGGTACCTTGCATTTCTCTGCTCCATCCGTAGGTCCTTCCAGAGCCCCTTACCGGATGTCCTCAGACTGACGCTGCCAGGATGTCCGTCACGAGTCTGGGACCTCAGGCCTCATCCGTCCGCGATTCGCGCGGACTGGTACCCTTCAAAACGCTATTGACGAAGACTTCCGCGGCATCATGGAAGAGGAGCCTGTCTTTGCGTTCGCCAAGTCTTTCAGCCTGAACTCTTCGTCAGCATCGTCCACTCACAGTGTCGACAGCGTCATGTTCACTATTGCACACATTCAGGACCCAGTCGTCCAGTTTGCCGCAGAGCGCGGTCTGACTTTTATGAGACCGCTTTGGGCTTCTTGGTTCTCTTCAGTCGAGTCTCTGTTGGCTTTCCATTACCTAGACTTTCACGATGCTGCGACGCTTGCTAGCAACTACTCCACGCAGCTTGCTAAAGACGCCTACGTATCTGGAGCAGATGATTACGTTGACATCGTTGCCCTGACCGCGCGGCAGGTAATGGGTGCAACAAGCTTCGCTGGGACTCCTGACAACCCAATCCTGTTCCTCAAAGAGATTTCCTCCAATGGCAATTCTCAGACAATCGACGTCATCTTCCCGGCTTTCCCATTCTTTCTGTACACCAACCCTCGCTGGTTGGCATACTTGCTTGAACCCATTATCGAGCACACACTTAGCGGCCAATATCCTAATAAATATGCTTTGCACGATCTTGGAGCCCACTTTCCAAACATGACGGGACATCCCGACGGAAGGGATGAGTATATGCCGGTGGAGGAATGTGGAAATATTCTGATCATGGGTTTAGCAATCGTCAACAGCCTATTTTACGATACAGATGTTGCTGCTGGCTCGCACTGGGCGAGCCTTGGAAGTCAAAGCTTTGATGCTAACCCCACAACCAGCGCTTTCTCGTTGAATGATCTAGAGGAGCGAGAGGGCGTCTTCGGACTCGACGATTCATGGGGCGGTTCTACGAAAGGACTGAAGCAGGCGCAGAAATGGGTCACCAGGAGTTATAGGCTTTGGAAACAATGGACCGGCTACCTTGTGGAGTTCTCTTTGGAACCAGATCATCAGCGCAAGTCAATTTGGCTGCTGGCAGAGGATCTATTGCTAACGACTCATAGTCTCTACCGATGACTTTGCGGGGCCTCTACAGCTACAGACCAATCTAGCTCTCAAGGGTATCATTGGCATCAAAGCTATGGAGGGCATTGCCAACGTAATCGACAACAAGGAGGACGCAAAGAATTTCAAGGTCCGTACAACTATGTTGCTTCTAGGCGATTGTCATTAACGAAAACCCCAGAACATCTCAGAAGCCTACGTCTCGAAGTGGGAAGAATTCGGCATCTCCCGCGACGGCAGCCACGCCAAACTCGCATACGACTGGTACGGTTCCTGGACGACCCTCTACAATCTCTATGCCGACGCCCTACTCTGCTTCCACCTCGAGGGAACATCGCTCTCTTCATCGGTAAGCACGGTTGAGCACCATGATCACCAAAAGCCCTTAGAACCTGGCCACGACACACACAATTCAAACAGCACCGGCTTCGTCCCTCAACACGTCTACAAAATCCAGTCAGACTGGTACCACGCCGTCCGCCAACGCTACGGCCTGCCCCTCGACAGTCGTCACCTCTACACGAAAACCGACTGGGAATTCTTCGCCGCGGCCGTTACCTCAAAATCTGTCCGTTCCGAGATCCTAGAGAGTGTAGCCAAGTGGCTCAACGAGACCAGCACCGATCGCCCGTTTACGGATCTTCACGAGACGGAGGGCGATGGTGGCTTTCCGGGTGCGCACTTCATGGCGAGGCCAGTGACTGGGGGCCATTTTGCGTTTTTGACGCTGGGGAAAGCGTGTGGTGGAAATGCCATGGACGGGTTGGCTTTTCTGGAGGATGAGAGTCTGCTCAAGGGTGCGGACCTGTGGAACGAAAATGTCGTTTTGGACTTGGGGGCTGGAGAATTGTAAATGTCGTTTGGATATAACTGGGAGGAAGAAAAAGAAGAAGAGATTGGATGATGAATGGAGCTGGGTACAAAATGTTTTGCATTAGCCTGAATTTTCGGTACGAATGTCCGACAATATTGGACAAGATGGGGAGGGTACACATGTAGGGTTTTCAAAAGTCTGTACGTGTAACTTTGTATCAAAACAAACATGGCGCCGTTGACCAACGAATGTGGCGCTTGGCCGGTATCTCACAGGCTTTTGCACAACACAAGCAGTGCGAGAAGGAAGGGCTTCCGTGATGGCAAATACGTTATTTGATCGGTGTCTTACTCGTCGTTAATGCAACATCAGCAGCGAATCATGGCTTTACTATTGACAGCAAATGCACCATCCTTACGGCATCTCGCTTCTCCCCCCACATATGCAATACCAGCGATCACGAAATCTCCCATATCTACGTTACCTCCATTGTGTCGCAAACCCTCAGAATCATACACCAGCAACATTTCAAACCCCCTCACAACTCCTCCCACAGATTTCTTTTCCTCTCCCCCCTCTTTTTCTCTTCGGGCTGCTTCCCAATCTCCTCCTCCTCCTCTTCCCTCCTCTTCTGCTCTTTCACCCTCTTCTTCTCTTTTTTCCCTGCAGAGGTACCCCTCGCCTTCCCACTCCCTTCGCTCCCCGAACCAGTACTGATACTCTCCCCCGTCTCTCCATCGGTTCGCTCACCTTCACTGGGCTCTTCCTCGCCGGCGACACTATCGGCAGCAGCCTCTCGACGCCGCCTGTTTTTTGCACTATTGACTACACTCATCAACACGCCCATGCTGCCGGTGCCACTCCTCTTTCCTAGGCCGGATGCTTTACCCGGACTCGGTAGCGTTGGATTAGGCGGCTCCACTGTCGGGCTAGGGTCGGTCAGCTGGAAGGCGGATGGGTCGGGATCAGGAAGACGCTTGCGGATCAAAGAAGCGAAAGATTCCTTCGAGGCGAGCGTGTTGAAATCTCTGGTTGTGGGAGGGACGCTGTTGGGTAATTGTGCGAGCTTTGATGGTGGGGACGAGGGAGGTGGGGTTGGCGGGCGTGGGAGGAAGAAAGGGATTTTTAGAGGAGATTCCTCAGGAGACTTTGTCGTGCTCTGCGACTCGACTTCGTCGTCTGTAGCTTTGCTGTTCTTTTTCAGATTTGTGGCTGTTCCTGCTTCGGTAGTACTGCTGTCCTTGGGCTCTTCGGCCATGTGTGATGAACCATTCGTAGCAGTATTGTCTGATGAGGCTGACACAGGCACGTAAGATTCAGGCGTGTTGCTGCTATTTAGTGGGGACCGTGGCCGTTCTGCGGTTGTGGCGAGGTTCTGTTCCGACCTGGCAGGCGAGGAGTCAATGCTGGTAATAGATGAAGATTCGCTAGGATGAGGCGATATGACTCCCAGAGCTTCAAGTTGGTCTGCTGCATATCAGCCGGTGAAGAGAATGAATAAGAAGGTCAGCTTACCCCAGCTGCGGTAGTAGTATCGAAAAGTAGCGAAGGGCGCGTCGAGAGGATCGAGCAGTGCATATTTGTAGTAACGCTGAGGATGATTGTCCAAGAGGGTTCCTGCATTGACGAGACTGTTGCATGGGTAGCCACGTCAGTTGGCTGGCCGCAGTGGGAAATGACCGAACCACTTACTTGATGCCACCTACTGCTTGCTGCTGAGACTTTTTCTTGTCGATGTTCGGGGAAATGCCGACACTCTGAATCGTTTGGAAACCTGGCTTAACCCTCTTCCTACCCTTCGATCGAAACACTTTGATTTCCATGACATCGCTCAGGTTGTCCAGAGCACCATTGTCGAGACCGGCAGTGTCCGGGCCAAAGCAGAGAACTCGTTGCTGTAAAGTAGTACCTCTAGCAAGGGCAGAGCTATGACCCGGCTTAAAGAGACCGAACATGGTCTTGCCTCGGTAGGCATCGTCCTCGCCACAGCCCCAGCTCACGACGGAATTACCGTTGAGGTAGAGCTTAAAATAGTAGAGCAGTTTTGGTGGATAAGGTGGCGAAATACTGTATGAGATCCAGAATTGCGAGGATGGGTATGTCGGGATGTACACAGATACTAGCGAGTGATCTGGATTGACGAGCGTCGGTGCATTGGAGAAGGGATCCGTGGGTGTCGTCGGCGGTGCATATTCGGGAATCGTGAGAATGTCAAACTGTGAGACGAGGGAGATGGTGATGCTTCGATATGTGGGCATCTTGGTAGTTGGGAGTTGATGCGTGATTGTTTGCGGTGTTGTTGTAGAGTAATGCTGCTAGTCCATAGATCCATTTTCTTCAACACTTTTGCATTCAGATACGGAAATTGCTCTTTCGAAATTCACGCCTTCAAAATCTCAAGGCAATACGCTGGTCTAGCCCTCTTGGATCATGCATGCGTTGCTCGGTCCCATTTGGATTCTGATGTGTTGAAACTCGTGCAACGCTCAAAACCATACTTTTCAAGGGCTGACGGCCGGAAGTTCTCAACTACTCATCCGAAGACAGAGCTTTGAACCTGGCTGATCCATCTAGGCTGAAGCTTGAGCAGCATATTCGCGGCCTCATGAGAGCTTGGCTTCGACCGTCAAGATGCGGTTTACACCGATATCTGTCTTCCTTCAAGCAGACACAAGCTTTCAAACATCTCCATTTTGCCTCATCACCTCCCCTACTACCGCATTGTTTCCCTCCAATATCCTCTGAACGTCCTCCTTACACTCGGGAATCCCTTTGACAATCTCCTCCGCCAGCATATCCCTGAAGCCCGCAAACGCCTCACTCTTCCCCTTCAGATACTGATTACTCCTCTGCACCGCCTCGACAAGCTCTCTCGTGTATATGTCTGGGTTGCGACCTTGATCGATATAGTCTATTATCTCCGGAGGGAGACCAATAGGCAGGGAGGAGGACGAGGTCGAGAGGGTCGAGAGAGAGGTGGTGAGTTGGTGTCTGTAGATTTCCGGAAGGGTGAATTAGCAAAAATATCCAGGTCGAGGAAAGGGGATGGAAGAGCATACATTTTGCGTACTAGCTGCTGCTGGGTTTCGGGACCAAGGTAGCCATGCACGGCAGATTGGATCTCGAAGAGGTTCTGGATCACGTCTCTGAGACGGTCTATAGCATGCTTTTAGCCTAGTCATCTGGAGACATATAGGTCGGACCATACCATCGACGGTATTTTCTGGCATTGGAGCCATGTCGAATGTAGAAGGAGCGAATGTGTAGTTACACAACGCCCAAGGCCGGAGATAAGTTGACGGCTTTGGCCTAGTGGCTTTGCTCTTAGCCCCCAAATCCGATGATCCTCATGATGTGTCACATGATGTGGATCACCTCTCGCAGCTTAAGGTACTTTGATTGTTGGAAGCCTGGTGTTATATCAACTGACCTTCCCTCTTGACGTATGGTTCTTCTTTTCGCTTACTTGTAGTAGAGCATTCTTCGTTCGCGCAGTATCAATCGTTTTTCATCCTTTCTTCTGTCTCTTGCTGTCCATGCTTTTATGATGGTTAAGTTCTCCTATCCAAAGGCCTTAGGCTCAACAGAACCATTAGAAGCCATGGACAGTCTCAGCATTGGAGTATCCATCCAGGACTTCGAAGCTCCAACGACCTTTCCCTTTCAACGCCTCCCCGTGGAACTCCACCTTCTGATGCTCCAACACATCCTTGTATCCCCAGCTCCAATCCTCAGTCCCAACATCCCACTTAACGCCCAAAAGTACTTTGTTAGAGGCGAAGAAAAAGGCCTACATCAAGTCAAACCTCACATGATCTTCACTTGCAAACTCTTTTACAAGGAAGGCCTCCGTCTACTCTACGGTCACAATACGTTCATGTATACATAATCCTAGACAACCTTTCCGTATACGCTGTCAAAATGTGACATGGAGGAATGCAAACGATGTGTCAAGAACAGCATTTCACCTCTTGCCACAATTGCAGAACATCCGCCCGCCATCCTCTGCAATTGGAACCTCGCTTTTCAAAAGCATGCCGCGAACATCCATCTGCGGCTCCCCGACACCAATAACTACGATTTTCTCAAGGACTGCGAGGAGCCGCTGCAGCAGATCGTACAGCACTTCACCAACCTTAGAACATTACGACTCGATTTTCTAGACGTATCTACAGGCCAACAGTCCGCATGGGACGTCGATGAATACTTGATGCATGATCTCCTGTCTACTCCCCGATCTACTATCTGGAGCACCATGAAGGAATTCCAGGCCCCAGATCGATCTGCCGGAGCCTTGAAAGAAATCGTCCTTACGGGCCTGCCTCAAAACGACTTAAGCTTGTATGTCGTGAAGCAGTATGCGCGATTACTGGCTCCGAATGGTAGAATTTGCGTAGGATGGGGAGTAAAGGGAAAGCGGTACGAATTGCTTGGTGCACGGGGAGACGGTGAGGTGACTAAACGAGAGGATTTGGAACTTCTATGGATGAGGGTGGAGGAAGTGGGGGAATGGATCGCAGGGGAGTGTTACAAGAAGGGCAGTAGGTGGTTGTGTACGAGGCAGAAGCCTGAGTCGAAAGCTTCATGGTCTCAATCCCCGCCCCTTCCAGAACCAGAGCAAGGTCAAGAGTCTAAGGCATGGGACCAGGAGTTTTGAGAGGATCTGGAGACACTTGCGAGTTGGACAATCTTCGAGGACGCGAATGAAGACCTACCGAACCAGCGAGTGAGCGGTTCGGCAATAGAGCCCGCGGCTTTCAAGACCCTGTTGGCTTGAGGCGTACCCGTCTTGAAATATCATCCTATTGGAACCGAACCCGTCTTCCGCCAATTCGAGCATTCCAAACCTGTACATTTCTCAAACCAAACACATAACCTTTCCATCTCTATTTCTAGATCAACAACAACGACAACTCACATCAGGCATTCCCTATCCGTCTTCCTCAAAATTACCAGAGTCTATACTTCAACAAGGGCCACTTACTCGCAGATCACGGGGCTGTGGAATAGAATCCCTTCACCTGAGTTTCCGTAGGGGTTGGGCTACCGTGCTGGCCTGATAATTGAGAACAGTATCAGGCGGGAGTACAACAGTATAACCAAACTTTCTGCCCATTCCTGGGTTGTTGGTCCGACGATGCATCATTGTATGTTTTGTGTTTCTCTTTGGTTGATTTTGCGGTAGTATGCGCGTTGGTGCAGTGATAAGGAACAGTAGTGAACTGTTGAAGATGCCGGCGGTAGACAACACTCATCAGGTTCATACACCGTGTATGCAATCTTACGTACGGCTACTTTACTCTATCCTGTACATTGGAAACATCCAAATTCATACCACGACGCTCAAAGCCTAAACATCCCTAACCCTCATTTCCTTCCCACTGCCTTGCGTGCTTGTACCTCCAGCCCCACCATCAATCTCTGTCTCTACCATTTCCAAGCCGGAGAGGTCAGGGTAGCGTTTACTGAAAGTGGTTTCCCAGTCATCGTCGGCAGCGTCCAACGACGATGTCTCAGGAAGTGATTGCTGCTGTTGCAGCCGCGAAGGAAGCGGTTTCCTGGCGACGAGAGATGGAGGTTTGGCAGGTGATGGCGGTCTGTCGCCCGTCCGGAGGATTTGAGGTTTCGGTTGCGGCTTGGGTGGGCCAGTAGGGCGGGTGAATGGCTGTTCGGTTGCAGGCGCGCTGTGACGGGGAAGGTTCTGGAGGAGCGGTGGTCGATTCGACAAGGATAGATTGGGTCGGCCAACGGTTGGAGGCATGTCAGGTAGGGGTTTCGATTGTGGTCGCATTTGGGAACTTAAGCCATCCGATGGATGTGCTGGTGTCTGACGAGAGGTGGTTCGAGGCGGATGGACGGGCTGAGCTTGTCGAACTGGCTGCTCGTCTGAGGAATCTGTGAAGTGGCCATATCCTGATGCAGTCTTTGTTGGTGATGGTGAAGCTCTGCCGCTTTCATCAAGCAGCGACTGGACTTTGCTTTGAATAGAAGCAGCCTTGTTGTTCAACCCGGCCGGCCGCCGTTTGCCATCGTCACCACCTTCAGCAAGACGTTGTCGGTAAGCAGCCGCAGCATCAGCGACCCGTTTCTCCTCCTGGGACAGTCGGCGCCGCTCGAGTTCTCGCCGCATCTCTGGAGGAACCTCTTCAGACTCTTCGAGAGCATTACCATCATCACTCCTACCGTCTGTTGCCTCAGAGCCTGCGATTGGCGTGAGATCGTTTCCACGCACAGGTGAACGGCTTGAGTCTCGTTGTTCCGGAGCTCCAGTGTTTGTCTCAAAGCGCCGGAAAGCCTCTCCAAATCGGCCAGCGAGGAGGGATTTGGTCCCTGACAGCGATACTGATGGCATGCTAGCCCTCTTTATGTGCCTTGATCCGCTGCTAATCCGTTTCTCCTTCCGCTTCGAGGCATCTTCCTCTTCCATGGCCTTCAGAAAGTCCACGTCGGAGTCTATTCTGACTGCTTCCTCTCCATCACTCGCTTCTCCTGTCAAGGCCGAGGTCAGAAGTGGAGCATTGACTGATTCCTGATTTGGTTCCTCGAGTTTAGATTTCTCCCGAGATAGTCTGCGCAAGAGGTTTGGCTTTGACGGTGTTTGGACGCTCGACGGTCTCGCTTTCGAATTTGCCGACTTCGACCGCTGAACCGTGACATCTACACCACTAAGGAACGCAGACCGATGCCTCACCTCAAGTGAGGGTTGGTAGGCCTTTGAGGACTCTTCATTCAAGATTTGGGATTTAGATCTATGGTCAAGGAAGTTGGGCCGCTTTTGGCCCACACCATCAGTCTGAAAGGAAGTAACTTCCAACTCCGGTGCATCAGATACTCTTGGCTGGCTTGAGGACCGGTGAGTTGGAGAAGAAGGGGGAAAGCGAAAAATTGGACGATGGGAATTGGCGGTGTTCTGTAAGGTGGGGGAAGGTGGAGATGGCGATGTCATGGTACCAATTGATACCATTGTAGGTCTTTGAGGAGCTGAGTCTTGACGCTTGGGGTACGGAATGGCTTTCGACTTTGCCATATCATCGACGGTAGGCTTTGGCTTTACTTCGAGGCTCGGAGTATGTGCATGAGGTTTTGACGGCGTTTGAATGGGAGTTTTGGTGCTTGCTTTCGGCTGAGCAAAGGCATCGTCTGCTAACGCATCGGTCACGCGTTGACTGATGTCTTTTGGAGGCTTGCTCTTTGCTTCAGCATCAAATGCAAACTTGCTTCCGGAGTCATGAAGCAATGAGAACTCGTCCAGAGGAGGGAATCGTACTGAAGGGTCATCTGGGACCGGCGGTTCAGGTAAAGTGGTTGGAGCCGCGTCGAGGGCAACGAAAGGGTCGTTCGCGACAGCTCTTAATGGAGATGGACTTGGTTTAGGCTTGTGATCTGCACCAGCTTTGGTGGGCCTTCCACGGCGCATTGGAGTGATGTCTGGTATGGTCTGTTTCTCTTCAACGAGAGGCGCTTTGAAAGCGCCTACCATAGGTGGGGAAGTGAGGTTTGGTTCAGGGGAAGGTAGATGTTGGTTCCGTTGAACACCCGACTGCGTCCGGCCAGAATATATCTGGAAAAATGAGCAATAATTTTACCAGGATAGAGAGAGAAAGGCTCACATCTTTGATTGGGATATCTGTGCCTCGTATCAGGCACACCTCGCGTATTGCCTGATATATGTTAGGCCGCTGTTGCGGATTCTCCCTGAGCATTTGAGCTAGGACAGATTAGCGGTACCCTTTGGCAACAAAAAAGAGGTCCCGCACCTATCAGCTTCTTTATTTGATCGGAAAATGACGGATACCCTGGGAATTTGAAGCTCGCATTGAGTATCGCCATCTGCCCCTGTTCCTCAAATGGTGTCTTGTAGTAGCAGAGCTTGTATAACAATACCCCAAGCGCCCAGATATCACTCTTCTCATCTATGGGCTGCTTCCGGTAGACATCGATCATTTCAGGGCTTCGATATTGCAACGTAGTGTTTTTCTGCACGTCATCCTCGATCAATCTACCCTCAACTGCGCTTGTAGCAGCGGGCCTTGGAGGAGCAGTTGACCCGAAATCACAGAGCTTGTAACGCCGCGTGGAGCCGGAAACTGTGATGAGGACGTTTTCGACCTTCAGATCTCGATGTAGGAGGGGCGGTTTGAGGTAATGCATGCATGCCACGCCAAGGGCAACATCTGAGAAGATTTTTAGGACCTCGGGCTCGGTGAGGCGATTCTGTAAACGAGTATTCATGAAGTCAATCAATCCTCCGCCGTTACAATATTCCATAAGTAGAAATACTTCATAGCCCCCTCCTTTCAATTGCGAAGCGTGAGAATCAATGTAGTTGACGATTTGACGGCGGCCCTTCAGCTTCTTCATTGTTTCTACCTCTGTCCGCATACTGGCCAAAGCCTCCTTGTCGGGTACAGCAACTCTTTTGAGAACCGCACCATCATCTCCATCCACCGGTTTTGGTAGCCGTACGAGGTAGACATGAGCGAAACCTCCCTCAGATAGATACTTCTCTATGACCACTCTGTGCCCGCCCACCTGGACTTTTGTGCCAGGTACGAAAGTCCCACTTGGTATCGCGGGGACCACAACCGCGGCAGGAGCTGCAGCATATACAGGCTGTCGAACAGGGGCGGCGAAAGGTGGAGGGTTAAAGACCGTAGACATTGTAGAGGAAGGGCAGATTGCCAGGCGTAGTGCTGGCGCAGGGAAATGATTACTACCGGAGCGTCATTGGTACGGGTGTGTACCGTGGTTTTGTGACCAGTTTGACGACAGAACATAAGGAAGCTATTCAAGCACAAGGCCAGGTATGGTGGTTTGAGGCCGCAGGCAGCGTTGAATCACTCGCGGCTGTGTCTCGATACGCCAAGAAATCCCACCAAGCGATTTGGGCTAGAGCTACAGTAATCCTCTGCCACGGCTCGAAATCCGTTTTCGCCTTGAGAGCAGCTGGAATCCATAGTGAGTACAGTAGTTCATCATCATCAGCATCATCATAATGAGTACAGTAAGAAGGTAATCTGTGGTTGTTGCTTGGAGATAATTCGACCGACGAAGAGTGATCGATTCTCTAATCCATTGGTCTACGTGTTCTACGATCCCCAGGGCGACGATTTGCACCGACAGAGCAGAAACAAATATCAAGCAAAGCGACAGGGCGCACACAGCAAAGTGCTCAAGAGATTGGTTTGAATGTTGCAACACCCGCTCCTAGCCCAGCCAACTGGACATTCACAGGGGGGCGGCGAGACGGTATAGTGCAGGCTTTGAAGCAATCCGACGCTGACTCCTGCCTGTCCTTTGTTTCTGCGACCCTATGTTGAAACATGGTATCTATGGACTGTGCATACTCCAAGAAAGCTTGACGGATGGGTGATTGAAGTAAGTTCCATCAAGGTCGTCGAACGTCGCAGAGAGTACTCCGGAAGTATCCAATAGAAGTGAAGGTGCAGGATCGAGCGCTCATTGGGTTATGCTTCAATGTAGCCTACTCAGTGGTGTGTGAAAAGGGTGAAATGTGAAGGCTTTCTATTGGGTAAATTTGAAGTTAGAAGAGAGGTCGGGTGTCTGCTGTAGTAAGAATGGTGTTTGATAAATGGCAGCCTTGATGATAAAGATTGACACAGCCCCTATTTCCAGTTGGCTTTTCTCTTTTCTCTTTTCTCTTTTCTCTTTTCTCCTTTTTAGAGCCACTTGGCGCTATCGACGCAAGCGCTTAGTCCCGCCAAATTCATGCCACACAGCGGGTACTTAATAAGGTCCCCCCCGCGAGATCCCAGGCCCGGGAAGCAGCGAGCAGCGACTTATTATCAGCCTTACCGACTCATCCAACCACTGAATCCCACACACAACGTCCATTTTGCTATAAGACGTCTTGGCTTTTTCTTTGGATGTTCACTGGAATGCAAAAAGTAAAGTAATGCGGCTACATAATGTTGAGAAGAAGATTGACATCAGATGTTCCATTAATCCTTTCTTTATCGACGCCCAGCACATTCGAAGCAATAATACTACTGCCCCACATTGACAGTGGCAGTGATAGTGACAGTGACGGCGACAGTGACCAACAGCTAAACATCCATCACCAAGAATTCATAAAGCTATGACCTCGAGGTGAGTCAGCCACTCAACTCCTCATTGGATCCTTAACTAATGATCACGTGCAGACTAGATCGCCTAGTAACGTATGAGTGGCTGCATAAAAACCCCTGACCTCGGCTAACTTTGCATCTTTCAGGCTTCTCGAAACAGGATCTACCCAACTGATCAGAAACACTGCCGCCCAGCAACTCGGAGATGTCCAGAAGCAGCATCCAGATGATTTATTCAACCTCTTAACCCGAGTATTTCCCTTTCTAAAATCCAAATCTTGGGATACTCGTACTGCTGCTGCCAAAGCTATTGGCGGCATCGTCGAAAACGCTAGTCGCTTCGACCCTAATGGCGACGACGGTGACGACGGCTTCAAAGCGGATGACTCCATCAAAAATGAGGCTAGGGGTGACCCATCGCATCTTCCCTTGCTCGCTCTGGGCCAAACCCAACTACAGCTGAAGACGCTTGACCTCACAGCAATCTTGACCAATGGCAAGAAGCTTTTAGGCAGTGGAGGCAAAGAGCAAGACTATGCCGTCGCATCCATGGATCCAGCGACAAGGCTGGACTTCCAAAGGAGAGCCTCGTACGCCACGCTAGGGCTTTCTGGCGGAGATGTCGACGATCAGATTTCTAAGATCCTTCGCGAGATGAATATTCCCAAGGCTGAGGAAATCAATCCATACGCTACCCGAGTGCTGCCAACCATGCCCAAAGTCGACACCTCCGAAACTATGGTCTCGGATGATCAGGCGATACGATCGCCAAGTCCCTTCACACCTGGTGGAGACCCTGCCCAGACGTCATTGGATGGATCCGGACTTAGCAAGCGTCAGCTGAATCAGTTGAAACGGAAAAAGAAGCTAGATGCCAGATCACAGGCCAGCAAAGTTAGGGTGGTGGATATTTCAGCTCGTCGACCAAGTAACAACACACCAATTACGCCAGCCGTATCTGAACCATTCGCAATTAAGTCTAGCATCAAACAGGAAACGGACGCTGACGGCGATACAGACATGTTCTCACTGACCCGCGCTAACGTGGACGAGGATGCCAAAATTGTCTCAGACTTCAAAGGCTCCATTGTTCCTGAGAAATCTGTCTTACAGACTGAAGCCGAGGAAGAAGGACTTGAGTGGCCATTTGAACGGTTGTGCGAGGTGCTTACGGTAGATCTCTTCGACCACCACTGGGAGATCCGGCACGGGGCAGCTATGGGCTTACGTGAAGTGATTCGCGTCCATGGTGGAGGTGCCGGTCGAGAGCGTGGAAGAAGTAGGGCTGTCAACGATCAGGTCAACAACAGATGGCTTGAGGATTTGGCATGCCGCTTATGCGCTGTCCTAATGCTGGATCGCTTCGGGGACTACATTTCCGACAATGTCGTCGCACCCATTCGCGAAACTATCGGACAGACCCTTGGTGCTCTCATGGCGCATCTGGAAGCCGCGGCGGTGACTTCGGTCTATCAAGTGTTGTACCGTATGGTCATGCAGAAAGGGTTACAGCTCACGACACGCATATGGGAGGTGTGTCATGGAGGCATGATTGGGCTTCGGTACCTGGTGGCAGTTCGAAGCGATCTCCTCGTGAAAGACAACGGTCTCATGGATGGTGTCGTAGAAGCAGTCATGAAAGGCCTAGCCGACTTCGACGATGATGTTCGGGCTGTCAGTGCTGCTACACTAACTCCAATCGCCAAGGAGTTCGTCGCTCTTCGTCCTGCTGCACTTGATGATCTTATAAACGTCGTCTGGGACTGCCTATCAGAAATTCGAGACGACCTCAGCGCGAGCACTGGATTCGTAATGGATCTCCTTGCCAAGCTCTGCAGTTTTCCAGAGGTGTTGGTTGCAATGCAGGGGAACGCAACAAAAGACGAGGACCATTCGTTCACCAGTCTTGTCCCGAGATTGTACCCTTTTCTTAGACATACGATTACTAGTGTGCGATCTGCCGTCCTTCGCGCTTTACAGACTTTCCTGCGAATCGGAAGTCAGGATACAAGGGGCTGGGTGAGTGGAAGAATACTCAGGCTCGTCTATCAGAATCTGCTCGTGGAGCGCAATGAAACGACACTTAGTCTATCCCTGGAAGTCTGGAACGCGCTTTTGGAAGCTCTTGTCGAGAAAGACGACTCGGAAGCTACCTCTGATTTCTTAGAGCACATGCACGATTTTTTGATCTTGGCCCTCCACCCAATTGGCACCTCTCGAAACCCACTACCGATTGAACTATGCTACTTCATGAAGCCTTCCGGGCAGCTTTATGGACCACCAAATCCTGAGATGATCAAAGCAGCTTCGCAACAGACTGTTGAACCAGCTGCTAAGCGGAGAAAGAGGTCTGAGAAGAAGGAGGAGCCCCCATCATCAGCTCACAACGTCGATGGACATATGATCTCTGGTGATGTTGACCTTGTGGGTGTTGATGCACTGATCAGATCGAGAATATACGCAGCCAAAGCCTTCGCACGGGCGTTGGCTCTTCATCCGCCTCCTGAGTCAAGCTTGAACGGCATTTCTGATGGCCTACGATCGCCTTTTTCAACGACACAAATGCTTTCTGGGCTGGTCATTGAAGAGCATGCCCGGCAGATCCCGAGTTCTTCAGGCAGGACCGGCAGATTTAATGCAGAACTTTTGTCGGTTCTCGACACTGTACGACCTGGAAGCTACAGCGATGTCTTGCCATACCTGAGGGTTGTACGAGCTCAATGCCAGGCATTGCAGAACGCTTTCCGAGATCACGGACACGTATCTCAAGCTAAGCTGCCATCTCTCGCCATTGTAGTCCAAGGCGAGATCGGGGCTGGCCCAACTGCCTTCTCCATATCTAACGCAGAAGCTTGTGTCGGTGCCGATTTTGACCGATTAAAGAAGGCTCTTACGCCGGCCCACCGGATCACATCAGTCCAAATTCTGAACGACGCTCGCACAACCGCCGTTGAAGCAATCGATGAGGCGAAGAAAGTCAAAACAGAAAGAGATATGCGCATCCGAGCCGCTGCTGCGTCTGCGCTCATCGCTGTCGGAGAGATTCCGAAGAAGCCGAGCGGCCTCATCAAAGGTGTCATGGACAGCATCAAGATGGAAGAAAATATCGAATTGCAAAAACGATCAGCTTTCTCGATCGCATCTCTCCTTAATCATTACGCGTCTACACAAAAGCGTGGTCCTGCTGATAAGGTCACTGCCAATTTGATGAGCTTCTACTGCATCGACACATCGGAGACCCCGGAGTTTCGCAACAACGCCACAAGGTCGGATGTCATCTTGTCACTCCACAAAGAAGAAGACCGGAAAGATTATGCCAATACGTCTGACTACGAAAAAGAAGCTAAAAGCGCAAGGATCACTAGGCGCGGTACTAAGGAAGCGCTTGATCAATTGTGCAATCTGTTTGGTACTCAGCTGTTTGAAAAAGCACCGATTTTAAAGTCCAAGATTGAAAACCCTCTTCGTCAAGCCTTCGGCGACGACCCACCAGTGGACCTTGAAGACAATACGGAGTTTGGTCAGGAGGTTGTCGATGGTCTTTCGATACTACGCGCTCTGGTGCCAAACGTCCACTCGAATCTTCACGCTTTCGTCATCGAATTGATGCCTCTGGTGGCAAAAGCATTGCGTAGCCAACTTTCAGTCTTCCGATATGCAGCTGCCAAATGCTTCGCGACAATATGCAGCGTCTTGAGGATCGAAGGCATGACCATGTTGGTCGAGCACGTTCTCCCATTCAGCAGTTCAGATGACCTCCATTGCAGACAGGGTGCGATCGAGCTGGTATATCACCTCATTCATGTAATGGAAGACAGCATCTTGCCCTACGTTATCTTCCTCATAGTCCCTGTGCTGGGCCGTATGAGCGATTCTGACAACGATGTACGGCTTATTGCAACTACTACCTTTGCCACTTTAGTGAAGCTGGTGCCACTAGAGGCCGGCATACCAGATCCACCAGGATTTCCGGAATCATTACTCAAGGGTAGGGATCGAGAACGCAAGTTCATATCGCAAATGCTCGACTTCAAGAAGGTGGAGCCCTTCGAGCTTCCAGTGGCCATCAAAGCTGAGTTGCGATCATATCAGCAAGAGGGTGTGAATTGGCTCGCTTTCCTGAACCGCTACCACCTTCATGGTATCCTCTGCGACGACATGGGCCTTGGAAAGACACTGCAGACACTGTGTATTGTAGCGAGCGACCACCACCTTCGAGCTGAAGAATATGCGAAGACTAAAGCTTCGGATGTCCGAAGACTTCCATCTCTCATTATCTGCCCACCAACACTTTCGGGCCATTGGCAGCAAGAGATCCAACAATTTGCCCCATTCTTGTCCTGCCTGGCTTATGTCGGGCCCACCGCGGACAGGGCCAGATTGAGAGACCAGCTTGGCAAGACGGATGTAGTCATCACTTCCTACGATATATGTAGGAACGACATCGACGTCTTCATGCCATTCAGTTGGAATTACTGTGTCCTCGATGAGGGCCATCTCATCAAGAATCCAAGGGCAAAGACTAGCATGGCTGTCAAGCGACTCGTCAGCAACCATCGTCTCATTCTTTCCGGAACCCCAATACAAAACAATGTCCTCGAACTTTGGTCTCTCTTCGACTTTCTGATGCCGGGCTTCCTGGGTACGGAGAAGGTGTTCCTCGACCGCTTTGCCAAACCAATAGCCGCATCTCGTTTCAGCAAATCTTCCTCCAAAGAACAAGAAGCCGGGGCTCTTGCCATTGAAGCTCTACACAAACAAGTCCTACCATTTCTCCTTCGACGCCTGAAAGAGGAAGTACTTGACGATCTCCCGCCTAAGATCCTCCAAAATTACTATTGCGACCTCTCCGAATTACAGAAGAAGCTCTTCGAAGACTTTGCTAAGAAGGAGGGCAAGACCCTCACTGACAAAGCCGGCAGCGATAGCAAAGAAGCTAAACAGCATATCTTCCAGGCTCTACAATACATGCGCAAGCTGTGCAACTCACCATCTCTTGTCGTGAAAGAAGATCACAAGCAGTACGCTGCCATACAATCCCAACTCGCTCGCCAGAACTCCAGCCTCAAAGACGTCGTCCACGCCCCCAAGCTTACAGCTTTGCGCGACTTGTTGGTAGACTGCGGTATCGGCACTGATCCTGCCGAGAACAATAACTTTGTCTCTCCCCATCGCGCCCTCATATTCTGCCAAATGAAAGAGATGCTTGATATAGTCGCCAACGACGTCCTGCGCGCTCTTCTCCCCTCCGTTCAGTACCTGCGCCTGGATGGCAGCGTGGAAGCCAACAAGCGTCAAAATATCGTCAATCAATTCAACACAGACCCCAGCTATGACTGCCTGCTGTTGACTACCAGCGTCGGTGGGCTCGGACTCAATTTGACTGGTGCAGATACCGTCATCTTCGTGGAGCATGACTGGAATCCGCAGAAAGACCTGCAGGCTATGGACCGTGCGCATAGGATTGGGCAGAAGAAGGTAGTGAATGTGTATCGGCTGGTCACGCGGGGCACATTGGAGGAGAAGATTTTAAAGTATGTTGTCCCCTAATCTTCATGACCACCTTTCGTCCATCGAAGGTGCAAAAGCTGACGCACATGTCTTGCACAGTCTTCAGCGCTTCAAAATCGACGTTGCTTCCACCGTGGTGAACCAACAAAACGCCGGTCTCGCAACTATGGAAACGGACCAGATCCTCGATCTCTTCAATCTCGGCGAGACGGTGCCCGCCACTACGCTTGACAATAAGGACACAGAAGGCAGAGAAGAAGACATGGTGGATGTGACCACTGGTGAAGTCAAGGAGAAGGGCAAGAAAGGCTGGCTGGATGATTTGGGAGAGTTGTGGGATGAGAGAGCTTATGAGGAAGAGTTCGATTTGGGAGGGTTCCTGAAGACGATGAAGATGTAATTGGAGCACAGCCTGTTGCTCATCATCTATGGGGGTGGATGGCTCATTTTACGCGGATGAAGGGGTTGTTGGTAAGAGGAAGGAAGCATCGGCCCTGCTGCATATTTAGCGATGAGCGTCTTTTTGAGCATTTATAAGCATCTTGAGCGTTGACATCAGGCCGGCTTCTGGCCGCTGAGCGGTACCATTAATTCGAGAGCCACCCTTGTTGGATAACCCCACCCCGTCGAATTGAAAGTTGAAGAGGACGGCCTGTTTCCATCCCACTCGAAGAATCCACAATCTGGCCGACTCCAAGGTTTCTAACCCTACATCCCAGGTGCATCCTACCTAGACGTGGACGGCTTCGCATTGGCCCCCTCCCCCTCCCCCCCCCCCCCCCCCCGACCCCGAAGTCTGCGTGCGCGGCGAACGGGGACGTCTTTCGTTTACGGATTACTGAGACGGCTCAGAGGACGCTGTATGTACTGTTCATCACCGTAAAAACCCTCTGTTCTTGTCATTGGTCACTGTTTCTTGTGAATGCTCGGAAAGGGACATGCGTCTTCGATTTGAAACAGCTTGGGAATCATCAGTGCGGATGAAGCGAAGCCATGCTGGCTGGAAGGCAATTTTGTTATGAGCCGTCGCCGGTAGTTGATTGTGTGACATTGCAAATGCACCTATCTACTTGCGACTCGATCGTACACATTGATCGCCTAGAGCCTCTCAGAAACGCGCCTGGCAGTGGAGAAGTACAAGTTCAATAGCAACACAGCAGAAAGAAATCCACTTTTGATCCATCATGTCGACCGCATTTCTCATCCATGCATCAACCTATCGTAGCATTCTCATTAGAAAATCACTCGCATTATTCCACAACATCGTCCCCAAGTCCGACGTATCAAGGTTAGCTCGTTCAAGATCTAGCGCCTCTCCTTCGGCCTCGCGAGCATGTTCAATCTGCCCAGACTAATACCCATCCTTCCCTTCTCTTTTGCACCACCAAGTTTTAGGATTCTGCTCCCAGCTGCACGTCTCTTCAATGGGGAGGAGGTTTCCGCCGACTTCCCCTGCGATCCGTTCATACGCTGCTTTTTTGCCTTTCGCTGATCGTTATCATCTTCATCCAGTGCCATTGGGTCGGCATTCTCTTCGTCTCCAGCTTCGGTGTCAGATTCGGCACGACGTCGCTTCTTGTTTGACATGCCATGCGGAATGGATGGGAGGTTGCTGAAGGCAGACAGAGGCGTTGAGATGCTGCTTGGACGGACGTGACGGATCGTACTCCCTGGGCTGGTAATAGAGGCAGGTGATCCGGTGTCGAAGTCCATAGTCTTCTCGGAGCGGAAGGTGAAGTCGCCAGGCGCGGATGTTTTATGGATCTTGGTGCGAGTGGTGATATTAGGAGAGTTACCCAGATCCGGATACGAGATCGGATCGGAGGATTTAGGGGTGTCATCAGATGGTTGCGATTGATGGTATGGATATGGTGTTGGGATCTTGGATGGAGATGGCGAGTTGGCTGCAAGGTCATGCTGAGACTTGGTGCTGGGTGTGAAGCCTACTCGCTTCATCGTGGGCGAACGATGCAGACCCACCGACGGAGTACCAGGGAGATCAGGTAAATCCTTCTCAAGATCCATCTTGCCTTGAGGGAGTGGCAGGTGAGTGCCTGCTGCAACCTTTGTTGGATCATTGGAGAACTTCGGCTGGGAGCGATGTAGAATGGACTTCATGCTGCCAAAGCGTGAAAGCGAAGAGAGGTACTTGTTGCTTCCTTCAGTCTTTGGCGCTACTGGGCTTCCAAGAGTCTTTGTAGAAGCAGATCTACTCAACGATGGAATCATGGATGTCTTCATTGACTTTACGCTGACTGAGCGAGCCAAAGATGCCTTTGTAGGAGTGGTGACGGCGCTTGGTAAGCCAGACTGAGTTCGTACGTTGGCAGATGTGGTCTGTGTATGCTCTACCTCCGAGTCAGTGTCTCGTGAGACTGGCCTCGCTGAGGATGTATCATCGTAACGGTTCTGCTTGACACGCTTGCCCGGCGAGGTGTTCTCAAGTCGATCGCTCGAAATCTGTTGACCGAATGTTTGGAATGACTTCGACCGAGGAAGTTTCCCGAGAGGCTCATTTAGCCCTGCCTTTGATGGACTTCGCTTCAACGAAGATGCATTGGCCTCGACCTTGTTCTTCCAGACAGATCCATGTCCAGCGATGGAATCCATCTTCTTGAACTCTTGCTTGTGAACATCACTGTACCGTCCAGACTTGCCCTTGGGCTTTGCAATCTTCCGACCGCCAACACCGTAGAATTGGTCCGCCTCGCCATCTTTGTTTTCTTGTTTGCTTCGCTCTTCTACCATCTGCGCTTTGATCTTTGCGGCTTCCTCTCTTACGCTGTCCATGATTTTCTGGGCCTCGACACTTAGGTCCGATTCTGGGCGCTCAAAAGTAAAGTCGAAGGTAGGTGAAGTCATTTGGCCGGGCAAAGAGCCTTTCGATTTTGATGGCGTCTGCTGAGGGAGCACTGTGAGGGTAGGTTTTGAAGGAGAAGCAATCATTCGAGAAAAGATACTGCCGAAGCCTTGACGAGACGCCGATGGCTTGACAGTGCTCTGGTGGACTTTGCTTGGGTGCATTTCCACCATAGGTGGCTGTATACGAGAAGCCGTCTGAGGTGTCTTGACTGGCGATGACTGGCCAGTGAAAGGACCTTGGGCCATAGCAGTGTTTGGGGGGGCGAGAGGTGAGGAGACTAGTGTGTTGAGGGAGCGTGGGGCACCACTTGGAGGAGACTCGTCCCTCTCGAGTAGAGAGGATAGCTTACTTGCTAAGGGCGTAGCATTGAGGTGAGACTATTGCCCGGTCAGTATGTATTCCTGAACACGACACAAATAGACAGGGGGCAAAGCTGGGGCTAAATTGTCGGCAGTGCTGTTTACTCACAGGTGTTTCGCCCTTGATGCGCGAGGACCTCCGTCGAGGTGTAGCCATTGTCGGCGAGATATCAGAGCACTTAATCACGCTGGGAACCTATGACAATGTTTGTGTAAGGTGATGCAAAAGTTTGAAGCGATGGTGTGGTATTGGAGTCTGTTGTCATCGGAGAAATGACGGGTTGTTTACTTTATCGCCTAGACCGCCTTAGCTCATAGGGCGCTAACGTAGAAGTCCTACGGAAGCCGAGAACTGCGCTTGAGCGTTAGTCCTCCAGACGTGCCAAGGTGCTAAGCTCCTTCAGGTTAACATGTTGACCTCGCTTCAGCCCCGTTGGCACCGCTCGTTTCATTACTAAGCGCGAACCAACCCTAAGGGGCTTGGTGCGGGAAACCACGTCTAAGGGATTGACGCAAAAATTGCCGATTTTGAGGCGAACAACTTTTCCTTATCGACCCCCGCTTCGAGTCGGATGGTGCACTAACTTTGGCACTGGTGGGACCATCTTATTCATGGCGAACGTCATGCTGAAACGACGGCTTGATACGAGGCGAGGCAAGGTACCTCTTGCTGTGGTTGCTACTCTTGCTCTTTACGGTCTTGCTTACGTGGTGATGCCGGGATCTTCGGATCATGTCCACATGACTATAAAGGGTCAGGGCGAGTTTCAAAGCTTTTCATAGACTTACTTCTCTTGGGAAGAGCCTTGATTCGAAGCAAGGATTATGAATATTGAGATATTTTGATCATTCTGACCATTGGCAAGATGTTGAACGGTGAAAAGCCATACTCGCTGCAGAAGGGAATCCATTCAGCACTCAAAGATCTTCTTCGAACGGCAGATGGATTAGTCCCTCTGGAAGTGAAAAACCATCTTCGAGATATGACCTTTGAGTCTAAAGGCCATGGAGACGTTATAGGCTTGCCTTGTCCTCTAAAGGAGACCGAAGCTGTCACGGCGTTGAAGGCTGTTGAAGCTAGCACTATAGCTGCTATTACTGATTTACGCTTTGGAATGGATAAGAGAGACATCAGGATCAGCGTAGAGCGAGCCACTTGTTTTCTTTTTGCTGCATATCTTTCGACAGTGGATGGCATGGCAAAAGGGGATCCCAATGTCAAGTCAAAGTTGAAGGGTTAGCTTCAAGAGACGCCAGCTTGAGCATAGACTTACGATTCCAGACACGGATCTTTTGAAGGCCCAATCGATCCTCTATCGACGATTTGCAGCCAATCTGTACGAAACTCGGACTCCTGGAGAATATTTTCATCTTCATGGCTCGCTTGAAGCAACAACCTCACTTAACATGATTGGCCTGGAGGGGTACCGACCCGATGTGACCGACTATCATGACTGCCTCAATCTAATCGAAAGCCATATGAAGAAATTCTCACCTGCAGAGCTTGAAGCAATGAACGCTAAGCATAGGCAAGCAGGCGTAACTTGCCTCAAATACGACGACTTCAAAAAGACACATTATGGCCGAAGCAAGCTGGACCTGCCACCATGGACTCTCGAGAATCTAGAAATCTCGACACCACCCGTGCCATTTCCAGCCCGAAGTAGCACAACTAACAAGCCACAGCCGCTTGCTGGCATCAGAGTACTGGAGCTCTGTAGGATAATCGCTGGACCAGTCATCGGGCGTACCCTGGCGGAGTATGGAGCGGATGTCTTGAAGGTTACTGCACCTCACCTGAGTGACGTACCATTCTTTCAAGTTGACGGCAACATGGGCAAACACGCCACGGAACTAAATCTCCGCGACCCGAACTCGCGCCAGGTATTCGAATCCCTCCTTCAAACTGCTGACATACTTGTCGATGGCTACCGTCCTGGCTCTCTAACCCGCCTAGGCTATGGACCCTCCCAGATCCTCCAGCTGATTCAGTCTCGGAACAAAGGCATCATCTACATCTCGGAATCCTGCTTTGGCGCCCTTCCCCCTTCTTCAAACGAGGCTCCAGACTCCGAGGCGTCTCAATGGTCGCAGAGACCGGGCTGGCAGCAGATTGCGGATTGTGTGACTGGTGTCGCGTGGACGCAAGGTACCGAATTTTTAGACCTTGAGGGGCCGGTCATTCCACCTTTCCCAATGAGCGATTACGGGACTGGCTGCGCGGGCGCTATTGCTGCACTGACAGGTCTGTATAAGCGTGCTACCGAAGGAGGAAGCTGGTGGGGCGGTGTGAGCTTAGTTGGATACAATGTCTATCTCTTGAGCTTGGGTTTATATCCGCCTGAAGTTGTCGACGATCTCAAATCGCGCTTCAGGGATGCTGGATTTTATGGCAAAGGGGAAGGTGGACTGAGGCATAGTGATAGCGTTGACGAAGTGGGCAAACGAGCGTTAAGTGCTATGAAGCAAGTAAGGCCAGAACTTTTCGCTAAGGAGAACTTTGACGAGGCGTGGAGTCAGGGCTTCGGGGCGAAGGTCAGGTACGCGAAGAGTGCGGTCGATATTGCTGGGATTAGGGTTGGGTTCTCAAGAGGGACAAGGCCGAATGGTACCGATGAGGCGGGCTGGGATGGGTGGGAAGTGGAAACGAGGTAGAGTCGCATTGTACTTATCTCACTCGACCACGTAACCCACCACGAACATAAGAAGCATCGCACACCACACTACCGCACAATTGCACTTCGCATTGCAGCCATGACTACAAATCAATCAGACAGTCGTAAGGTGCGAGAAGTTCGACGTAGGCAACGTCAACACAAACGCACAACTGAGAGTAGTGAATCTTCTAAAGACACAAAGATTGATCCACGGAATTAGCGCATCTCCTAGCCAAGCACGCCGCTGCAACGTCGGCTACACGCGTAGACAGATCATGGGGCCATCGCCGAAGAGCCTGCTCTCCAGCTCGCTCGTTACTTCAACGCGAAGGACGAGGAGGAGCTCAGAAGTGAGCGTTTGAGCCGGGAGGCCGTGGTTGTTTTGGCGCGTTTGGAAGAGGAGAGGCAGATGATGAGGGAGGCGCTGGGGGTCTCTGGCCGGGTGAGAGATTCGTAATTGGGGCCGGTGATGCAAGAGGTTGGGGAAGGAGAAGGGCAAGTCTTGGTGATGGAGGAAAGGGGACGATGGGGATGGAGGCGTTGCTTTGCGTGGTGAAGAGCGCGTTTTGGGGGGGCATTCCACTGTCGTGATGGGTCCGGCCGGGTCAGAAATAGGTGACGAGGAGGCATTGTAGATAGATTTGGAGAAAATCGACCTGCTACAGTCCTGCCAACCTTCTCCATCCTACGTTCTCAGTCAGACTTCCCACACCTTCTGTCTCTCCATTAAGACTGACGCCCTTGCCTTGATATGCCCTCTCCAGCTCCTCTTGAGCTCCCTCTTCTTCCACACATCTGACTTGAACTTCCGCCAATTTTCCTGCCAGGCTGACTCCACTCGGCCAATCTGCCCTTAACACCGGCGCCATCTCGTCCATCAAAGCATACGAAGAAGGCCTTTTCCCTCGTTTGAGCTTGGTATCCTGCGTGTCGTCGATGAAGGCGGGGCGGACATTGTAGATGCGAAGCAAAGGGTGTGTAGGAATGAGGGAGATGAGGGAGGAGTTCGGCAGCGCCATTCGTGCTGGCGGAAAGGGCGGTAAACCGACCTGTGTTGCGCGTTGCCTTCAAGGGGATCAGCTGAGACCTAAACGCAATGGAAGTTTAAAGTGGCTGACTCTTTCTCCCCAGTCGTAGACAATATTGTAGAGCGGACTCAGCGTAGCGAACGCTTTGGCGGCTGCGAGAGGGTAGTCGAGGGTAGGAACTCTGTATTCACTGAACCGAAATCTACGTCAGCCCTTCTTCTCTCATGGACTTTTCTGAGCCTACATCTTGTGCGCGCGCGGTTCCTCCGCTATACTTACGTATTCACCACTGAACCTACCCAGCTGAGATGCCCCGAAGCCCACCCACATCCCACTGGCTCCCTTCAACTGCTCGAGCAGTCCTTGCGTATTATCGCATCGACCTTTCTAACGCTCTGGGCTTGCTTGACGGGCCGTCTTGGAAGCACGGCGATGTTGGAGGGTGCAATGCAGTGGGCGAAGACAGCGGATCCAGCGGTGCCCGTGCGACCGGTCAAGATGACATGGGCCATGATGGGGGAAAGCCTGAACGGATAATGCTGTCAACGGCAAATGGACCCGTGGCCTGTGTAACGGGACTGGAGTGCTCTGTAGAGTACTTAGTCATTCTGCTTATTGCAACTCGGGGTTAAAGCCGTTGCGTAAAGCCTCCGTGAAGCACATTTGTCGCAGACTAAAAAATTATGTTTTGGCAGGAGACGAAATTTTCTTGTGCTAGCTGACCACCTGACGTCTACAGAGTATTCGTATTGCACCCTACCATCTAAGCAGGGTCTTCTGGTCGTCCGCTTTGTACAGCTAATCTAAGTGGGAATTGGCATGGCATCTACCACTTGATGAAAGCCACCCACTTTCGTGGATTACGAACGGACGTGGTGGTGGTAGAGTATGCGCAAGGACTCACCATGCGAAAATAAACCTCACCCATGCCAGCCCTCATTACATCTAAGCTTGAGATTGCCCTCATATTAGATGGAGTGATTAAGCATAGCGAGGACCTGCACCTGTATTAGTATGATTGATGAGCACTTTTGAGCTGTGACTCAGGACCAAGCCTCCACATGAAATAGTTTGTTAGTTCGTTTGATTATATTCGCATTATTTGATGAATGGACTCATAAATCTCATCCCTAAAATATTTCCGAGGGTCTGTACCAAAAGGCTCTGCCGACTTTGTTAGCAAGGGACGGCCACTCAAGAACCGCGAGAATTTACGGACCTCAAGCAGTCAACAATATTACCATCATCACCACGAAAATGCGTAGATGCCCTTTATCTTCCAACATTCCAGACAAAGAATGGCCTGCACCCGAGCATTCAGATGTCAAATCACATGGCCGGCCGGACGAAACACTTGAGGGTATACCCGTTCAGACTCGTATACCAGAAAGAACCCAGGAGGTTCTCATCCCCCCAATGGCGATGGTCACGCCCAGCATGAGCGAAAATTCCATCACTCCACTTCCAAGTGACCAGCCTCATCAAGCTCCTCCTCAAACCGAGACATCTCCGTCCCCTCCACAACACCCATCGACTCAATGCAACGGCATGGAACGCACCACCTCACCCATCCGGTCGTCATCCCCACACTCACCCACCTCCATCGGATCTATCCTCTCCGCGCCCCCCTTTTCCCCTTCAATATATCCCTCTTATCTCCTTCCGTATCTAGTTCCAATCCCCCCTCCCCTACGAAAAGGGAAAGACGCCACCAAAAGGACCGTACGCCGATTCGCAAGACGGCTTTTACGCCTCGAAGCCTGCCTGACTCCATCGATGATAGTCGCCCGCGCGCAGCGACGATTAGAGCAAGAACAGATGAAGAGATCCGAGTCAGACCTTTTCAAAGAAGCTTGCATGAAGAGCGAGCTGAAGAGAGCGAAGAGAACAGATGTATTTCCAGAAACGTTCCAAACCATTGACATTCACAATGATGGTCAAGAGGATGAGGACAGCGCGTGCGAGCAGATCATCATTACGCAAGCCAGCGAGATAGGCGCAGAGACCAGAACAACCAAGACCGAGGCCTTCGCCGGCCTGATAATCATCCAACATCGACTCAGCGCCATGAGCCAGGCTCTTTCCGAACACGCCAAGGACGGAATGCTGCGAACAGAGCCAGGCCGCCACTCATTTTACGTTGACGCAGCCGTATCGAGCGACAACGGATTAACAGGTATCGCAGTGGTACACAAAACGCATCGGCAGTACTGGGCCTCGCTATGGACTGCCAAAGGCTATCGCATACGCGAAGCGCTAGATCAAGAGGACGCCGAAATATGGGCCATCTGGCAAGCACTGCAGGTTACATTAGAGAAAGTTCATGCCGACCGTGCACAAGTGAAGCCACAAGATCCCTGTTCTCTCGCGGTAGTCTACTCCGATTGTGCAGTGGCGCTGGTTAAGATTGGAAAAGGTAAGTCTGATGGCAGGAAGGTGGTGCAGAAGATCATCGACCAATCAATGGAGCTCCAACGGCTTGGGGTGGAGGTACAACTCCATTGGGTTCCAGGACATGTAAATATACCTGGCAATGAGCTGGCAGATCTTGTGGCTAAAAAGGCTCGGCAGCCTGTCAAGTAGGACTGTGAGAGGTGTTTGCAGGTCTCACTGTTTCCTTTGGGCCTCACGACTAGCGACAGTTTCATGCGGCGCAAGTGGAGAGATGAACAAAGATGCGACAGTTTCAATTGCTAAACTGCTAAGCTGGACTGATGCCGAAAACACTTCTGCTAAAGCTCAACTACTCAAACGAATCCACTAGATGGAGGAACAACTTGTACCAGCCCTGGACCTTGGGTTTGCGGTGGCATCTAAGGTGAGAATGCTCTACTGCGAGATATTAGCAACTTAGTTGACGGGCTTGCATAATCAAACAAATACCTCGGACACAGGAGGGATTCGATGGTAGTACCGGCAGTATGGACTGATGAATGACGACCATACTGGTGGTTGCAGACGTCGATCTGAAGCTTCGAGGCGTCTTGAGCCGGAAGAGGTTTAAGAGTGGGAGTCCATAAAAAAAAAGGAGGTCAGCTTGCCATCACTGAGTAGTATGAATTGCACCTTTCGGTAACCACCATGTGGGTCTAGACAAATGCCAATTTTCCGCTTTGTATGAGAATCGAACTCAACATCCCACGCTAGCTGCACGGAAGGAACTCAAACCAGACTCCAGGTTCAAAGAAAACATTGCCACCCTACCTTGGTTTCTCATCCATCGCTGACAATGTTCATCGGAGTATGACAAGGGGTGATGCACGCGCCACCTAATCACGATTAGCTAAAGTAAATTCAACAATTCCTTGGTCAAAGGCTTGCCGTAGGGATGAGCCCCCCAATATAACGCTCCAACGAGCACTAGCCGATCCGGCTGGAGCTGGCGTGGTGCTGGAGACGTGTGTGCGGGGGAAGAACGTGTGCAGCTGGCGAGCTCGAGTATAAGCGCAGTGACCAGGAGCAAATATGTTGCTGGCGAGACCGAGCGTGCGTGCAATTGCTGGCCATGAGCATGTGTGTGCTGGCTAGGAGGAGCATGTGTGCAATTGGTGACGAGAAGTATGCGTGCTGTTGGAGACGTGTGTGCGGTGGAGTCATGTGCGCAGGGTGAGCATGTGTGCAGCTGGTGACGAGGAGTATGCGTGCCGTTGGAGACTTGTGTGCATAGGGGGCATGTGTGTAGAGGAAGCGTGTGTGCAGCTGACGAGCTTGAGCATGTGTGCTGTTGGCGAGCTGGGGCATGTTTGTCATGCAGTAGTATGCTGCTAGAGTTCATGTGCTGTGCAGGTGGAAAATGTGTGATGGGAGAACATCCTCATGGTAGGCCTTGTTGAAGAGTCAACGCACCATCCACCATTGCAAGTCAACACGTGGCAGATGAGGACGTACACAAGATATTCCCAGGCTGACAACGTCGACTTCCAGCAGACGCAAGCAGCTGCGAGCATTCGAATGTATGAGATGGGAAATGCGGATGCAGCGGAAGGTCGAGAGGGTAGTGGAGACGCCAGCCTGGAACGGTTGTGCATAATGCTTGCAAAGCGAGATTGCAGAGGATAGCAAGGGTGATGGAGCAGCTGTGCAGATGTGAGGACGATGATGTGTGCTTGATGACGATGGCAAGTAAATGAAGAAGGAGGATAGAGTGAACAAGACAAGTTGAAGTGGGTTGAAGCCTTTTGGTGTGTAAAGAAGGAGGATGTAGAAAGGAAGAAGAATGGGGGCAAGGAAAGGTATTTGTAGTGTTCAGGAGAAGGTCCACTTTGCTGTTCACGTTAGGACTCAAGAAGGGAAGGAAGGAGCAACTTCCTCGGACAACGCAGCACGGCAAGAAGAAAACGAAGAGGGGAGGACCACAGAAACTCAATCAGGGATGTTATATCATAGGTTTTATCGCAACCATGCGCAACTGCGATGGAGGTTCCTATGCTCAGAAGCATCGATCTACAGAGAACCGTCTCCATCAAGCTCGCAGACGGCAGTACAAAGGCCTACAAACCACGTCTGGCCCTGCCGATTATGGTGTCATTGCCCAGACTCGACGTGTTCTGCAATTCCTTAGACAGAGCTGGAAGATGCAACGCTGGCAGGTAAGAAAGGAGCGAAAGCGGACTAGCTGTTATTTGTCTTTCCCCTTTTCATGCTTAGTACCTTCCTCGACCGAGTAAAGATTTCTGAAAATCGTCCATCGTCTGTATCATTCGTCCTGCGCACCCTCTGTAAGCACGTTGTGCCTTCTTGACCGTTGCTTTTCAATCTCGGGTAGCGGAAAATGACAAACGGGGAAATGCCGTGGGTACTGTCCTCAACGTTCGTTTATGGCAGCTGCGGTTCTTGGCACCAGGAAAGGGGGACGCAGTCGAACAGTAGTGCAGAAAAAGCTCTGGACAATACAAAGTCCTTTTGTGGGTGGTTGAGACGGACTGGACTTTGGGACTCCGCCTGGACTTTAGCTTCGAATCCCTCACAACCTACTTCTCGATTGACATCCGGATTGACGAGGTCCCAACCCTCAAATGAGTATTGGAGGTAATGAAGGCACTATTAATAGTCAGATTTGCCCGCCAACAGGCCATTCGTTGCTATACAACAGTATTCTACACTGACTTCTAGAGTACGCTACTACTAACACAGCGGCAACAAGTCGCTTTGCTAGTGACAACAGAGTCGCGGCATGTACTCCAATATTCGATGACATCCAAATATGGGTGGTGCGGGTACAGCGCACTGTACCGTGGTTGCTGCTGACATTAACATTTTGTTTTAGGTAGGCGTGGTACCGTGTAATACAAATTAATGAGAGCTAATGGATGCATTTGCCAACAACGGAATCAAAGTACATATCATTTCATGCTGCTTGGTACTGCTGCCAGTCCTCTAGAATATCACCGCTTTTTACCTCGTATTTTTGCAGTTGGTCTGTTTCCTTTCCACACTTCTAAAAAAAATCTTACAAGACCACGATGCCCTGAAAAGCAACTCATCTGTGTCGTTGGATCAGCCATGGTTGAACTTGTGCAGCATACATCCTGCAAAAAGACAGGTCTTCGCAAGCCAAACATGGCTGAAGCCGAGCACAGCCTTAGTGGAATATCAGGGTCAACACAATGGTCAAGAAAGTCGAGCGTCAAACGCATGGTGTCGCCGTCCCCGTCTCCGACCGCGCTAGCAACATCGAGAAGAAGGGTCATTCTGATCAAGTCGTCCTAGCAATCAGCCCCAAGGCTATCCGCCAATTTTCGAGCCGAGGCGTTGGCTATTCCCAGTTCAAGTCCACCCATGTCGGTATCGGCATTCATTCCGACCAGCGCGCCATCGAACATCTCAAATTCTCAGCTCCACAGGTTACCAAGGCTGAAAAATCGAAATGGCTATTGAATCCGACCGCGGAACTACGGTGGATGCGTGACTCCGAAGTTCTCACCGTTCGCACGCGCGCATGCGACAACGGCAAAGTCCATACCGCACAAGCTACACAAGTACGCCCGTCCGGTGTTTTCATTAGTGTTTAGCTTAAACACGCTAATAACAATAGCAGTCAGTCTTCTTCAAGATCCACTGGAACATCACCCCCAAGCAACGTTCACGAAGATACATTCTGCCGTATCGCAGCCACGTCAGATTCCAGCCACGTACTCAAGAGGCGTTGGGAGTTAGTGGTAGAGTGGATAGTAAAAGGTGTGTATATGAGACGCCTTTGTGCCATTATATGTAAAGCCAGCCATGGTCGGGCAATCGATAACGCAGACTCGGAGTCTCTGGCGCTATGTAGGAGTATACCTCCGTTATGTCTGTGATATAAGGTTTTCGGGGAAGAACATGCCTGCTCAATCCTGCTGTTGAATACTGTAATTATTACGAGTACCTTGATTGAACTCGTGTTGCTAATATCACACTCGTCAGTTATGGTTCTGTTGACATGTATACGTCTGCTTTGGCGCAGATCTACTGCTGCGCTCGCACGCCCACAACATTGAATGTGCTATGCTTTCTACCGCGATCGTGATAACATATGTTGAAGCTGGGGAACATGTTGGGTCCTCACGGCTGTCAGCCATCCCACCATGCCTTGATTTTTGGGTGAGGTCATGCTCTTCGCTTTCGTTGGAGATAGCTCTGCCCCGTTATTCTATGGTATTATGCCCTGTCTACTGCGTGTAACGGCTCTCGTGCAATAGTGGTCTTTGGCGAGATATTTAAGAGGGCAGATCAAATCCATCTTTATCCTCTTTCATGTCAACAGAAGACAGTTCGAAACTCCGAGCACCTCCAGATACCGAATTTTTCACCCTACCCTTCTGCAAACACAACGGTGTTCTCGAAGCCTTTCAGCAACTACCCGAACCTGTCTCACCCTCTCGACATGTATACAAGATACCTCTTCTTCGCCCTGCTGGGCGTCGCCACTGTCGTAGCACTACCCTCGCCTCTTCTCAACAACACGGCCCTCGTCAACACCAAGATCCCCAATGCTGCATTCATAAAAGCAAGCAATACCACCAACTACTCAGCATATACGTTGCGCCCCAATGCAACGTGCAGGTGAACCAGAGTCCATGCAGCCGCAGTTGGGAGGGCATATTGTTGAGAGCGACAGATCTGAATCTTTAATTGCTATTGCAAGAATATTGCTTCTCTTACACTTGCACATGGGCACTGCTCGGACTCGGCGACTCCCTCGTCACGATCCAGGACCGGGGACCCAATACTCACAATTCCGACTCCATACTTTTCGACGCCACGGAATGGTGTCCGATGACCATTGGTTCAATACCGATGCACTTCCTCGCTGCATCATGAGCGGTTGGGATGGGTGTTGAGGCAAAATAGACCGCAAATTTGATTGCCAGTTTTACAGATATTGAGTGGCGGGCTCGAGTCTAGTCGACCTTGAGTTCTCGCCGTCCACATCTCGCCACCAGCGTAGGCAGCAAGGACTCGTGGCTGCGTCTCATTCACTTCGTCGGGATTTGTTGGATAGCTTTAAGCGTTCACCAGGGAGCCGTAGGACAGTCTAGGGTTGTTTGGAGATGTCCGCACGGTTGGGCACATCTCGGGCTGCTTTGAGAAGCACCAAAGAGGCAACGAAGGGTGACTGTAAGATACAAAAAGCAAGATCTAAATAGCAATTCGCAACAAGCGTCCAGCCCATGGTCGGGCATTGAGTATCTTGCACTATTCTCACAGTCTGATGTCGTCAGTAGTAAAAAGTGAAAAGTATGGCATGCTGATCTCAGATACTTGAATACGAATCTCAGGTGGAAATCACGAGCCTCCTTGAAGGCTTAGCCCCCCGGGATTGCGGGCGTGATGCTCGTCCCGGGCAGGCTCCAGCACGTCTTGCAGCGGCCCCGGGCGCCCACTTGGGCGTGGATTGCGCCCGGGGCCGGTCCCGAGCCAAACGCGCTCCTGGGGTCCCTGTAAGGCTTTTAGGGGTTTGGATTTGCCGGCGCACCCTTCAAACCCTCCTTGGCGGGGTTTGACATGTCAGAGTGTGTGTTTCCTTCCATCACTCCCAGCTAACTAATCGAGACTATGGCCACAGACGTGTTGTAAGTCTTGAGTAATTTTGGCAACACCGGGACGTCCTTGCAACACGGACCTCTGTAACTGTAACCGCGCGCCCTTTGAGTCTGGCGTAGTATGGATGCAATAGAAAGGTTCCGGACCAGTCGTTGATGTTAAGCAAATCAAAAAAGGGCTCAAAGAGACGGCACACAAGATCATGGAACAAATGCGTAGACTCGATGCAGACGTAATTGAGCACTGGCTCCCCGTACCTGTAATACCAGAGTACCATCCATTCACATCGCTAAGCAATGCATCTTCATAGACCCTTCGTTCTAGCCGCTGCCAGCGGAGGAAAGAACGAGGCCTGAAAGCCAACTGCGTACACGTGGCAGTCGCACCGGCGACGCTAAAGTATCAATCCTTTTCACGGCGGCGCAAACGAGGTGTATTCCACAACGGTGATTGAATTCAACTCGATCGATTCGTCATGGTTGCAGACGGATACCAGCCTCAAGTCGAATCTGCCTGATTTCTGTCGCCATTCTACACGAACTTCCTACGGCCGGCGGCCGAGCAGCCTTCACCTATACGGATCAGACGAACCATGATACCGCGGGTGTGACACCACTGCCAAATGCGATAGAGCATGGTGCCACGCCGCAAGAGCACTGGCAGGTGAAAGAAGCTTTGAACAGCAAATACAGAAGCAGGCCCAGCCAAGGACGGAACACGTGCTGTATGGTACGAAGCACGATGGACTGGAGCGAATCAGCCGTGATGGACCGCTGCTTGGAAGGAACGAGTGATGCGCTCATCATCGACTTTCTCCACAAGAACCCAACGGCAGTTGGACCTCCCCTGTGATTGCAAATCTCAGCAGGGCTGGGAGCCGAACGATGGCGCGCTCACCGCTCAAAGTACAGTCGTCTACGGCGGCCTCGAGGCTTGAGTACGTCGGGGTGCTCCGGAATGGAACGATGCTCTCGCGGGATAGACTAACGGCTTCGTACTGAGAAGAACCTCTACGCGGTATTACGATCCTGGTGCGTGCGTGATAAACGGAATACACGTAGGGTTAATGCGCGACGAGCGTATTGGATGTAGAGATGGGACTTAGCAGGGATCCATACTGAGAATGGTTCATGACAGCGTTGCTTGTTTGTTACCGCTGGTGCAGCTCACCGCAGCTCGCGCGTTGAGAGGGGGGTAGTGTCACGGAGGCTTTACGGGCAGGTAGTATTCAGATACAGAATATGCAAAGACAACACATCTGCCTGTAAGCATTTTGATAGAGCTTTCAAGGGCGTGGGATAGTCTTTGCACGATGGTTAGACCGTTTGAGACTATTGCTGTAGCGCTCACATGGATCTTTTCGTACGGAGTACCAGCCGCCAAAAAGCCAAGCAAACGAGCAACCCCACCTGGGTCGGTTCGTTCGCTCGTTCGTTAGTCACTCTGGGCCGACTATGTGAAGATCACCACGGCTGCACACCATCTTTCAGAACAACTTTGCCCACATCATCGTCTCTGCTGCCCTCCAAAACACTCTTGATAAGACTTCCCGCCACCGACGGATCCCCAGCTCCCATCTTTCTGTTAGAATCGGCACCTCCACCTAGGCCGGTGGCAAGAAAACCTGGCGAGATACACCACACCTTGACCCCATCTTCATGGAGCATGCGGTGCCATTCCCGCATCATCATGTTCATGCCCGTCTTGCTGCTGCGGTATGCGGGGATTTCAAAACTCTTCCCATCGAAGTTGCCCTTTGGCCAGCCCGGGGGGAGTATCTGTTCACGAACAAGGCCATGTTCTCTGTCCCGGCAAGAGTGGAGGTTCCGGAAGTGATGAAGAGGAGGCGTGGGTTGGGGGTTGAAAAGAGCAGGGGGATGAAGGTCGAGGTCATGATTTGCGTCCCGACAGTGTTGATGTTCCAGGATTGATTCCACATCTCGCGCTCTGTCATTCGTCCGGCGGCGACCTGTTGGTCGATTTGCGCGCCTTTTATGAACATTGTCAGCTTGGGAAGGGTCTATTGATGACTCGAGCCATGCACACCGGCATTGTTGACCAACGCATCGAGTCTTCCGAATTTGGATTGAACTTCGTCGAAGGCTTTTTTGATCGAGTCATCGTGCTCGATGTCGACCTGGAGTGGAAATAGGATGCTACGAGAAGACGGAAACTCTGCCACGGCAGAGCTGATAGCTTCTTGGACCTTGGCGAGTGAACGGCTTCCGAGGATAATGTCGTATGCTCTGTCAGAGCCGCAAAGCGCCCTCACGATCTGGAAGCCGATGCCGGTATTTGCACCTGTGATCAAGATTACTTCTCGTTGGGCCATTTTCTGAGACTTTTGGCGTACAGCGTGTGTGCCCATGACTGGACACAAGTCAAGCTTTAATAGCACGTCCTAGCTCCTGGTGTGGGCCGGAGTTAACATTGGCAAACCTATCACCGACTCGTCCGACCTGGAAGGCTTAACTTTCCTGGCGATCTTTTTGCAACTTTGATCGAGCTGAGCCAGACTGGCGGCATGTATCCAAAATACATTCGATATGGGATTTTGTCCTTGAAACTTGTAGCAATACTCGATTGCGATTTGAGACTTTCTGTTGTTCTAGTCAGCAGTTGGTCCGCCCATACTACCTCCAGAGGACCATTACCCTACCCCGCCGATGCCTACAAGACTGATACGCCTGTATATTATTGACTTCTGATCAAGCTCTTTTGGTGATTCAAGCGCTTGTAAGCATCGCTATCCTTTCGACGATTTTTCTACCGCCGAGGAGGCGGATCGTGCCGCGAAAGCAACGAATGGCAGGCAGGCTTGGGGCGTCAAAATCCGACTCCAGCCCCTGACTCTCAAAAAAAAAAGGAACACGGCTTTGATCCACTAGCTCGTCGCTCCAACCCATTGAAAGATACGCAAATAATCTTAGCTAAAGTGGCCACGCTAGAAAAAGTCCCGTACTAGACGCCTCAATTGTGACTACCAGACTCAGAGATATCAAACATCTCGTTTCGTCCTATTCGCCAATATGCGCTTGGTGATTGTTTTGTTGCGCCAATAAAGGTGGATCTTCCCGCAAGATCGCCAATTAACCGTTCGCTACCTACTGTACACCGAACATCTCCACAAAGCCCTGAGTGGTGCCCTATCAGTGTTTGGTAGAGCCGCAGTCACACGACTGATTATCACTCATACTAGTAGTAGCAAGTTTGCAGGTTGTTTACTTGCGCTATGCTATTAGTACTCAGAGCAACGGATGCCAATAGCAGGCACTGGCTATCGACATGCACATGTCTTGGGGTTTCTGTATCGACAGCGTACTTCTCTTCCTCAGTGTCCTGGCACAAGCCTCTGTTCTACCACCCGGTGATCAGCATTCAAGTCCGGACAAAAGCCAAAGTCCCACAATCCAGCCACAACATCCATCGTCTCAAGGCAGCTCCAAGAGCCATCATGTGCCACTCAGATCGGCAGGTTCCATGATCACACGAGACGATGAAGAAAGTGACGACCTAAGGATCAGAACCATCGCTATTGTAACCGGCAGCATTCCAATCGCAGCGGCGGCGCAGTCTCTCGAAATGTTTTACAATGCTATCTTGTTCAACGCGCTTGCTCCTTGGTGCTCTCAGCCACCTCAGCAAGCGCTCGTGATGACTATGGGACCTCTGCAGTTGACGATGGTGGTGGTGTTCAACAGCGGTGTACCGCGAGGCATTCCCTGGGCTTTTATAAGGAACTTTGCCAGAAATATGCTGGCGATGACGGCACTGGGATTTACCGGGACGTATAACATGTATTACGGAACGAATCATGGGTCCTCTGTCTACCCCCATCCCCATACGAATAATCTTGTGGTGGAAGTTCGCCTTCGTATCTTGTGGGGCATGTGAATGAAGCTTGGAGTGTGGAGTTTCGGTGGTAGGACCAGCCAGGAGTTGGGTAGATGTACAATGTGCGAATAGTACGAGTGAAAACAAACATTACATACATTAGGTTACATTATTCATGCACATGTTAGCATGTCGAAGTTGGCGATTTTGCCAAACATGCACTTTTGGAGATGCCGATATGTGGGATTGTGGATCAGGTTACAGGTACTAGGTAGTACTGTAGCTGATGATTATTATGATTGGCCAGTGATAACTGATAGAGTGATGATTGCAAGGATGCGCGAAGAAGCGACCGAGCGTGCCGATCCTCGTGTCTGCAGGTGGAGGGTTCGACCCTGACTTGGGACCGACTTTTGTTGTGGCGGGGTTAAGCCTTAAAGCCCCAGGCCTGCTGGGCCCGTAGGCATTGGGATTAGCTACCTTAGACTGCCCGCGAGTAGCCTGTTGATCAGATGAACCTTTTTGGACAACTGGAATGCCGTCTTTACCGTCTTTACCGCACAACGACCGTCCATTCGGCTCATTCTTTCATACGTACTTTCATACTTTCATACTTTCATACGCTCATACGCTCATACTTTACTTTTCCTCTATCTACAGATATGTAAATTTTCTCTCATCTTCTTCAACGCTTTCTGCGCCTACTGAACTTCTCCCACTTCCGCGACCCCGCTTGACCCATTTGCTGGGTATCACAACGTACTTTAGGTGATGTGAGGGCCAGAAACGACACAACCATTACACCTTCTCGACCATTCACCATGACTCGGCCCAAGGTTGACCCAGAGAAGAGACAGCGAACCGCCAACGCGTGTGACAGTTGTAAACGGAGAAAGCAAAAGGTTTGTCGCTTCCTCCCCCACCTCGACAGCCGATAGATTTACCACTACCGCTACCGCAATCCTACCACTACATCATTATCCACTTGCGCGTCGAACAACCTCTCTAGCATTGATAACTAACAATTGACCAGTGTGACGGCGAGCAGCCCTGCAGTACTTGCGACAGGAAACACTTCACTTGTACATACAATACCACCGACCCCGCTCATGATGCTACCTCCCCTACCCAGCCTTTGGCCAAACGGCGCATCAGAGAAAGCGACGTCTCCAGTAGACCTGGCTCCCTGCAGAACGGAGGAAGCCCATCAGCTGCCAAATACCTCCCAGACGTACCTCTAGGTGTACAATCATACCAGCCCCGTGTTAGCACACCGTCCATTGGGGATGCTGCCAGATCCATAGGCTATTTCCCACACCGAGCCGAAATGAAACCAGAGATCAAAATGCACTCTGATCATGCGTCTAATAGTGCTGGGGAGGAGGAGGCGGACAATCATACAATGACCCGAATGTTGGAAGATGGCACGGGAAGACTGATATACATTGGCGATGCCTCTACCATTTCTTTCTTGCAGCTACTTCGCATGATCGTTGAGACTACAGTGGGCCCATCGCCATTTACCTTGGACCCAGAACGACACAAAATCAAGGAGACCGCATTCTCATTGCCGCCGGACACTGGGCTCACCCATTTGCTGCCTGAGAAGCAGACCGCCTTGATTTTAGTGGACTCGTTTTTCGTCAATGTCAGTATTGACCTAAGCCAGTCCATCATGAGCCACTGACCGTCCATAGACGCACGCTTTGGTTGAGGTGTTTGACGAGAGAGCATTCCTCGAAAAGATGGACAGGTGCTATTCAGACCCTCTCTCAGTCGACCATATATTTCTTTGTCACCTCAACCTCGTATTCGCAATTGGACTCTCATTTGCTACGCCTGAATCTGGAACCCGGGAAGCCGAGATCATCGACTCTTTAAAAGCAAATTACCCTGATCAATCAGAGATCTTTTTCTTGAATGCCAAAAGCATCAACAATCCCGTCATTGGCTTCGAAGATGCCGATCTCTGGTCGATACAAGCTTTGATTCTTATGGCTTTGTATCTGCTGTTAAGATCGAGGAGAAACCCGGCATTTGCCTACATTGGTATTGCTCTTCTCATCCTAGCTGTCCTAGTCCGATGCTGTTCCCGACTGACTACAAACAGGCATGGCGGTGCGCACAGCGTATACTCTCGGCTTACATCGTGAAGAGACCTTGATTGTCTTCCCTGCTGAACAACAAGTCGTTCGCCGAAATCTTTGGCGATCGTTGTTCGTTCTGGATCGCTTTCTAAGTATGTCACTTGGTCGCCCGATGGCAATAGCGGATGAAGAATGCTCCGGAGAGGTTCTCAATCCATCGTCAAGTTTGTACTCTGCGCCACTGCTCGATTCCGACCAATATTGCACGGCTGGGCTAGAAGCTGCCGTTCGCAGCTGCCATGTGATGGGATTGATACTCAAAAAAGTCTATCTGCAACGTAAAATATCAACCAAACTTGCCCAAGAGCTTGCAGACCAGTGCAGGCGCTGGCCAGAGAATCTCTCACCAGCTCTACATTGGCGTCAGGCATCCCGCCAGGACCGCAGACAAGCCATTGCCATTCTCCACACCAATCAAGCCTATTGCCATTCGATCATCTTGCTCACGCGACCCTTTTTTCTCTACCTTCTCAGTGCAGAAATCCAACAGACCCGCCTTGGCGCTGGCCAATGGCTTAAACGATCTCGAGGCCGAATGGAGAAATTCTCAGATGCCTGTTTGATTGCCTCGACACACACTATTGCCATTGTTCAGAATGCGTATGAAGGCCAATATCTCCCTAAAATCAACCCATTCGTCACTTACTGTCTCTTTGCTGCTGCGCTCATCATCTTCTCCAACGAATTCGCTCGCCCGGCTTCATCGGACCCACTGACCAAGCAATGTATGACTAATTCGATCACAATCATGTCTTACTTCGGCGAGATGGATCCACAAGCGAAACGTACTGCTCACGTTCTCATAGAATTCCGCAACGTCATAACTGGGCACGGAAAGTCGTCAGCTGTTCAGCTTCAGTCCCCTGCCTATCAGACCCCTCTCCCGACCTTGACGCCAGGACTGGACGCTCAAAATATTCCGCCTCAATTCGAGTCTGGCTTCGGTCCCATGCTCCCGCTACCAGGGGCTACCATGGCACCCTCTGGGACTCCTATTCCCGCTTCCAGTACAATACCGAATCCATCGGACCCCGCTACCTTGGACCCACCCTCCATCCAACGAGAAGATTCCTTCTCGGGGCTTCTGGATCTGACAAACACGGTGCTTCCAAGCCACTCTGAATTTGGTTCTTCGGGCACAGACGAATTGATCGATTTCGATTCGCTATGGGCAAGGCCCAGCTCGACGCCCATACCTTCGCCCGGTCTCGGAACTGCGGGTGGTGCGCAGGCTAGGAACGGTAATGGCAATGCGGTTCAGGGGTTCTTTGGTGCTCTTCCGGGGACGCCCTTCTTCGAACAAAACTAGGTATTATGTACCACTTTGAAGCACAGATACACCAAAATGAACGATACATGACTGGCCGAGCGGTCCGAGTACGGCGTCATGTGGCTAACATGCGTTTCAGCGAAACGTGAAGGAGGATGCCAGGCAGGATCCCGGACATGGAACGCAGAAAAGGACGGCATGACGATCATGAAGGATTTTCAGGACGACCTCAATCGACGTCGTTCATTTATCGACAGGCTACACGTGGTCCTGCAAACTCGGTACCTTACATTGTGGAGCTTTTAGCAGCGGAGAAAGTTCTTCGTCTCCACAGCCACAGCTACCTGCAGCTATCCATCGTCTCCGGGCCATCAAGGTCCATCCAGCTTGGAGTTGCAATTCACCACTTAGTCTCACTGCTCAGCTAGAGTTAACAGTGAGGCGTAAGATCAGAAAAGCCCCAGGTGAGCAATGTGATGCACCTGGCGGTGACGAGCCTCCGTGAAACACGGTGCCTCATCCCCAACTTACAGCTCGGTTGAAGACTTTGTAAGGGTCTCCGGGATGATAGCTCGTGGCAGCTTCTTGCTTCTTATTTCCAATCAATCTCCGAGGTCTGTGGTAGAGCAGCGCAAGAGCTGACAGGGGCGGGTCGCTTAGAAGACGGGCAACACTTGAAACAAACTTACATCTTACGTCTTCCCCTCACTAAGCATCTTTCCCTTCACAACCTCCTTTTTCCTCACCACACATCGATTAACTGATATTACACTGTCCCGTGCTCCGCTGATGCTACTGCGCATTCGGTCAATGGCCGATCTTATTCCTACTGTAGCGCTCACATCGCCCTAGGTGGGACGAGAATCGTTTCATCCTCCCCCACTATCACTACGATATAGGCGCCAGGGACATGTTAATGACGGTAAAAACCCTGCACCACGTGGAATGTCATCCTATGATATTCGCGACGGCCAGATCTAATTTCCTACATGTACCCCGCCCATGATGAAGGATGGCGACGTCAAAGAGCCATGTTTCGAATCCGTCATTCTCCTTCTTCTTGCCGAGATGGCCCCCAGACGGGTTATGTAGTTCTTCTACTGAGTACATCTTCTTCAACCTTTGACGTCTTTTTGTGTCTCTTCTCGTTTGATGTGCATTTCAGTCTTTACGGCAGCGTCCACCACATTCTTTTGAGTTACAAACAGTGTTGCCGTCTCTCAGTCTCACTACCACATTCTTTAGTTTAACGTTCCTTTTTTATGACAATGCATTCCATCTCAAAGCTTCTCGCTGGCTCGATTTTGGCTTTTGGCGCAGCTCGGATCGTCGCTGCTGGTGTCAAGTTTGCAGGTGTCAACATCGCTGGATTCGATTTTGGCTGTGGTACCGATGTACATCCGCCTTCTCATCTAATTTCCCAGCTTTGCCAAGCTAAACGCTTTCTACAGGGCACCTGCACCATTCCCTCCATCGACCCACCCCTCTCCCAGTACGGCGGCATCGACGGCGCCAGCCAAATGACGCACTTTACCAAAACCGACGGACTCAACATTTTTCGCCTGCCGGTCGCCTGGCAGTACCTCGTCAACAACGTCCTCGGCGGTACTCTTGACGAGACCAATTTTGAAAAGTATGATGCACTGGTGCAGGCGTGCTTGAAGACGGGCGCGCATTGTATTATCGATATTCATAATTACGCACGGTGGAATGGACAGATCATTGGGGCTCCTGGGGGGCCGAAGGCGAGTGACTTTTCGGGGCTGTGGGGACAGTTGGCGGGGAAGTATAAGGACCAAGGGAGTGTGGTTATGGGATTGATGAATGAGCCGCATGACAGTATGTCACTTACTCATGTGATGGAAGCAACCAACTGACCTCGTGGAAAGTCGAGCAGGTACCGGGTCTGGCTTCGTGGGCCGCTTCAGTCCAGGCTGCTGTCACTGCTATTCGCAAAGCTGGCGCTACAACCCAGATGATACTTCTCCCTGGTACATTTGCCCCCCCCACCCCTTCTCTCCATCGTCCAACCCACTAACTCCACCACCAGGCAACGGCTACACCGGCGCCTCCACCTTCGTATCTGGCGGCTCCGCCGCCGTTCTCGCCGGCGTCACCAACCTCGACGGCAGCACCGACAATCTCATCTTCGACGTGCACCAATACCTCGACTCCGACTACTCCGGCACCTCGACCACTTGCACCACCAACGCCATCGGTGTCGCTTTCCAACCCCTCGTCAAGTGGCTCCAGGATGCGAAACGTCAGGCCCTGCTGAGCGAGACCGGTGGCGGCAGCGACAGTCAGAGTTGCCTGACGGACGTTTGCGCCGCGTTGGATTTCCTGAATGAGAATTCGGGGAGCTTCTTGGGCTGGGTGGGGTGGGCGGCGGGAAGTTTTGCCAGTAGCTACGTGCTGAACCTGACGCCGACGGGGGGGAAGGATGTCCAGTTGATGACGAAGTGTTTCGCGGGGAAGTTTGATGGGGGTGCGGGTTTGGGGTCAGGGTCTGGCGCTGGCACTGGCACTGGCACTGACACTGGCACTGGCGCTGGCACTGGCACTGGCACTGATGCGCCCGAATCACCTGCAGCGCCCACTCCCACATCCTCAACCGCCAACGCCGCTCCTTCTCCTCCTCCCGCTCCCTCTCAAACTTCGACTCCCGCCGGTGCCGCCGGAGGTGCATACCCCACTCCTACTTCCAGCGCTGCTGCTTTCCACGCCGGTGGCTCACCGGCCGCGACGACCCTCTGCACGTTCCAGTCGTTCCGGTCGTACTATCCGACCGGTACTGCGGCATCGGCTGGATTTAGGCCTACCGGGTATGTTGTGCCTCGGGGGTGGGGTTGCGGTCTGTCTGGTTCTGCGGCTAGTGGGCAGGGTGGTGGACAGGGGAGTGGTCAAGGTGGTGGACAGGGAGGCGGCCAGGGCGGCGGCCAAGGTGGCCAGGGCGGCGGCCAAGGGGGGGCAGGGAGGTGGGCAAGGTGGAGGGCAAGGTGGTGGACAGGGAGGTGGGCAAGGTGGAGGGCAGGGTGGTGGACAGGGAGGTGGGCAAGGAGGTGGCCAGGGCGGCGGCCAGGGTGGAGGGCAAGGTGGCGGCCAAAGCAGTGCCCAAAGCGGCGTCCAAGCTGGCAGCCAGAAGTCCGGCTCCCAACCCGACTCCCGCCCCGTCTCCCAATCCGGCTCCCACTACACCCCCCCAGGCCGCATCAACCCCTCCCAACCCCTCTGGACCAACGCCACCGCCACCGCCCCCTCTCCCTCCTCCGACGACGAAAAGGCCACCGCGCCGGGGAAAGCGCAGGCGTCGGGGTTTGCGCAGGGGATGGGATTGGGGGTGGAGAAGGGGAAGGGGAGGAAGAAGGGAGACAGTTGTAAAGCGCACGGGGCTAAGGGGACGGCGACGGCGACGGGGAAGGGGAGGATGAGGAGGGGGGTGAGGGCGAGTGCGGATGGAGTGAGTGAGTGAGTGATGGAGTGAGAGTTGACTACCTAGTCAATCGGTGGGGGGGGGGTTTGGGATGAAGGGGTTTTTTTTTCGATTCTTGTAGATTAATGGTTCTTTCTCAATGAGTGAGTGGGGTTTGTGTATGCTTTGAATGTTTTATTATTTATTTTCGTATGCGGAATTGGAGAGTCGATGGGGTTTTAATCAGCGGGGTGTTAGTATTCGTTCAGAGTGTGAGATGTCGTTGTTTACATTTTTGGATTACAGTGGAAGGATAGAAGCCCCACGGTTGTCGCGGAGTCAGAAATCCGCCGCTATGTATTCTAGTTCATGTGAAGGCTTAGAATCCTCTCTCGTTGTAGGATTATGCTTAACCGGTTGAGTTGATGTGGTGTCTGCTTTTAGAAACCATTCTACTTGATACGGCCGACATGCCGAGCATGACTGACGAGGGACATGGATCGCTGAGCTTGGAGGTCTTGAGGGCAATACTGATTGTAATCGTAAACGAAAGCTATTTTTGTTTTTAAACCCTCAACGAGAGGAATACAGTTTGTTGACGAATGCACGGATGTGATCTCCTCTGGTTTAAAAGCCAAGCGAGTCGTTGCAGAGACCCACTTCCGAGCCAGAATCTATCGATCTTTCATCGCCTTCACGACCAGGCTGACAGCAGGTTGTTGCCCGAGTGGCTTCGAGGGTCTAATTTCCAGGAGGGGGAGGCGGGGGAGGCTGGTCGCTTGGGGGCTAATGGTGCATTAGTACGCTTCTTTTGCACACATAGAGAGGGCAGCTTACCGGTGGAGGAAGATCATCCGAAGGAGGTGGTGGTGGAGCGCCACCTGCAGCTCCATTCGCGCCATAATTCTGGAACAGAGCGCCCAGACCCGGTGGAGCACCAAGACCACCGGCCCCGCCACCAAGACCAGGAGGAGCACCCATAGCCGGCTGACCACCGTAACCGCCGCTTGCGCCTCCATAGCCTCCTGGATATCCACCATAGCCATACTGATCGCCTGAGGGAGGAGGTGGAGGAGCGTTCTCCTGTCGTTGCCAAGGAGCAGCTCCACCGCCGGGAGGACCCCCATAACCATCACCTTGTCCGTAGCCGCCGTGGTTGTCGCCACCCCCGCGACCAGCCGCCCATGGTGGTGCGGCACCTCCATCCCGATTGTAATCATCACGACGATCGTCTCCGCCACGTTGTTGCCAAGGAGCGGCTGCGCCGGTAGGTCCACGTTGCCATGGCTTGAGATCACGATCACCTTCCCCACCTGCGTAGCTGTCTCGGCCGTTCTCGAATCCACCAGGTCCAGCCTCGATACGTTGAGGGGCATCACCACTGGGAGCACCGCCAGAAAGTTCGTTCATGAGTTGCTAGATCCAAGTCAGATATTGCACGTTGTTATGGTGAGAAAGCAGAATAGCTTACCTCATACTCGCGGTCGACAGCATCTCCTCCGCCAATACGTCCAGCAGCCGGACGGCCAGGCACGGCACCTCCTGTTGGACCGTTGCGCCAATCAGCGCCACGTTGTCTATCAGGACAGTCTCGAGCCATATGGCCTGCATTGCCACAAACACGACAGATGATGTTGGCAGTGAAGTTACGCTGCTCAGGGCAGTCGTATTTGCGATGGCCGATTTGGCCGCCTGATAAACCTTGAGTATACGCTTTGGATAATCTGAAGTGTTTATACTTACAATTCTGGCATGCCTGATTCTCATCGTCCCGAAGCGTACCGTTGAGAGCTGCAAGCTCACGAAGCTGGTTGCGCTTGAGCTCATTTTGACCTTCAGGGATGGAGGCGGCCTGGTATCTATTAGCGAGCAGACATTTCAAGATTGCCTTGTGATGACGTACCGTCTCGATGACATTGTGAATAAGCTTCTTCGCCTTGTTTACCTTCTCTTCGGTGTCGGCCATGATCAAACAATGCAAATCTTCTTCCTGGTTGCTGGTGTGAGCTGCGTCAGATCGTCCCTTTCCTTCTTTGACAGATCCTTTGCCTCGAATGGCTATCTTTGCGAGAGACTCTGTTTCCATTTTCTTCAATGTGTTGCCACGAGGTCCAATGAGCAGTCCAACTTTAGTAGTAGCGCAAGCTAAGTGTTAGTCTTTGCAAGTCCAAAAGGTATGACAGTGTGTGAGTATGGCATTTAGGGTTAGCGGTGACAGATGCTGCATCCTCCAAGGAATGCCGCACGCATCACCCAGAAGGAAAAGATGACAAAAGGAAAGGGTTAGGATAGGGTTAGTTATCGTACTGAAGTTAATCTCTGGGTAATCATTGACCGGCACATAGACCTTCTCCTGTGTCTTAGTTGGACGTCTGTAATCAGACGGAGGGTGGTAATTAGGAATGATCTTCATGGCCTTTTCGATCTGCTTGTGACGCTCATCTTCAAGGCGCTTGCGGTAACGATACTCGCGAGTATTGACACGACGCCCAAAGTTGTCATATTGAGGCGGAGGAGATGGGGACCTAGATTACAGTGAGTGACGGTGTATAGGCTCGGTACTCGGAAACATACCTGTCGCCATCTGCTGGCACAACGTCGTTGATTCTTAGCTTTTCACTGATCTCTTGTATGCGCAAGTGCAAGGTATATGCTTCGAGTTGTTCAGTTGTCATATTTGCTTTTATCATAGTAGGCAAGCCCATCAAGCCGGCGGCCTTGTTTTCTGCAGCGTCCCCCCATCGATTTCTCTTCTTGCGGCGCCTCTCTCCATCAACGACGACCTCAGCTATGAATGTGTTAAATGGATTTATGTGGTCGCATGGGTCGTTAAGCTTACTTCTCTCTGGGCTTCGGCCACGCTTGTAATTCCCATCAGAGAGCCCTGCTTGAGGCTGAGATGGGTTGTAGCCTCCATCATCAGGTGGAGCGGAGTCGCTGCCTCCAAAGCGGCGACGAGCCCCCAAAGGAATATTGTTCGAGCCTGTGATGCCTTGATTGCGCCAAGCCATCGTGATGAGTGTTAGTTGCCGATTTTACAATTTCACGACTCTGTCAATGTGATGAAAAGATGAGGACGAGGACGGGGGCCACGGGCCAAATTTAACTCGACTCCTAGCGCGAATCAATGCCAAGCTTTTTAGTATGCGCTAGTCGTTTACGCCTAGTGTTTAGGGGCAAAGGGATTTAGGCAAGTTGAGAAAATGTACAAAGAAAAGCGACACCGAGGTGAATTTCAAAAGTCGTTACACTTTGGTAGGCTTAAAAGCGGGGATTGAATTGCCTTTAAACAAAAAGACTTATTGTCTCCGACCCTCGGTAACGACCTATCAAATAAAATGTGTAGGAGAGTGAATTCATGTCTCGGCCCCATGTTGAGGGCCGAGCTGCTACCTCTGAACTACCCAGAAGCGCAAACACAATAATATTGAATTGAGAAGCATATAAATTAACCAAAAGACAGTCCATGTAAGGGATGACATTTCTCACTACTTCAAGTTCTTCTCTCCTATCCTCATGTGCGCAGTTCTCTTCACAGCTCTATATTCCACGACCATCTCCGTCATGAGTATATATCCAAGATTCTTTGCTACGACGACTCGATGCTTGACTCCATCTTGATCTCATTTTCCTCTTCTACCAGCCTTCGCTCACCACCATGACGATGGAACATCGTCATGGTGGAGCTCCTAAAGGATGTCTCGTACGAATGGGAATCAGAGCTGTAGCTGGAGGAGTAGGCTTGGCGTCTGAGAGCGTAAATGCGCACACAGAGAGTAAAGCGGGGACGGACAAGAACAAGCATCGAAATCTCGTACGAATCCTGAGGGGAGAGACAATCCCAGTTTTGATGTCGATGCTTCCAAGGATCTCACACTGTATCAGGATATCGGCAAGGATACTGGACATGACCTTGAGGATGAGCGGAAGTGAGACGACGCTCAGACGAAATCTTTTACGATTCGAAGATGCATCCTGTTCTCGACGATGACGATCTTGAAAATGCATTCCTCCGCAAGCATCCACCGGCAGAGATGCGCTTACAGCGAAATTGTCGCTTCCAGTGGTCCCTCCGCAACGTAGACCAAAATATCTTCCCTGTGGTTTCGTCAAAGCATCTGCACCCGTGCCCGAGGATCGCGGGCTTGATCAAGCTACGTGGCTTGCCTTCCTCGACACTCTCCAGAAGACCATCCGCCAGCTCGTGGCTCAATGCTATAAGTCTGGCTTCAATTGGTACGATGTTCATGCCACATATTATAGGAATAATCGTGGAATATGCCATTAATCAGGAAACTAAATCTTTGTCGAGCTACAAGCTTGACAGAGATAGTCCATTGGAAAAGATATGTCAAGCAGCATACTGAAAACTGCATCTAGAACAACGGATTTCCTGCGCAAGATATTTGAAGACTTCTTTCGACCTCGAGTATCCTATTGTGTTGTCAAAACATGGAACCCACAATCCACCCAGCGAGTCGAACAAGTCAACCTCACCGCATCGAGTGACAATCCCACCACGGGTCTCGGGGGGTTGCAAAGCAAGTATAAGACCTCAGATGGAACCCCATATGGCGAATGGGAATTTCCCAACGTCGCTCCACTCGTATCCCCCGCTCTGAACTAGCTGGCGGCTCAGACTGGCGAGGATGGCGTAGAGGAGAAGTCGAAGATGGCAAAAGGTTATGAATTCGTCGCAAAGTACTGGGACAAGAGAGCTACTGCAGAATACGAAAATTTTCAGTCTATTGTCATGACAACCCGAATGCGTTTTCCTATTCTTGAGCTGGTCCTACTTCTCCTGACAACACCTGCCTAGGAAGGCCATGAAGAATCCAGATAGTGTCTTGGCGAAGGTTCCTCAGAAAAAGTGCGATTTTCGCTATACAGATCTAAATTATCCTGCCGCAAGCGGTTCATTCATTTCGTTCGTGTCCGGTGGACTTCTGATACCCCCCCGACTCACGTGGATTAGTGGGAGGCATGATCTCAGTGGTCGGCCAAGCCGTGCGCGGAAAGCGTCAGGGCTCGGAGCGGGACAGCCAGAACAACAATCAGCAGTACAATAGCCAGCGATACGCAAATCGGAACAGCCACAACTACCGGGGCATGTGACAAGCAAGGAGGCCGCACTGATTCTGACAGAAGAATCGGACTTGTTTCTTAACAATCTTACTCAAACGCCCGACTCGTAGTTTCCCGGTAAAAAGGCGCCCCTCTCACTTCGACCTTGCTGCTAACACTTCCTTCGTATCTTCTTCTCTGTCCAACAACCCCAAATTTCTGATCGTCCCCGCCTTGGGCGCATGCTCTCTCGGATTTGCTGCCACCGCCTTTCTGTATGCCTGCTGTAGTGCCCTAGTCCTCGCTGCCTAATCACAGAATCTTTGATCAGCATATTCACTGCAGGCCCAAGCAGTACGGAGCAAGAGAAGTAGAGCGTACTGACCTCCTTCCTGTGGTGCAGACATTCATAGTAGTCCTCCAGCGCTGGTAGACATTGCCTTCCTCCGGAAATATCGCCAGAATCGGTGTTCACGACGTAGCAAGCTAGAAGTTCCTGCCAGAAGGGGAAGCAGCGTGAGGGACCTGGTGAAGATTTAGCCAAGAGTGGGGATTTGGCGGTACCGCAGACGATCGAAAGACTAGATGCGGAGTTCATTGGGGTCACTCACCACCAGAGAGTCCATATCCGGACGCCATGATTGCCGACCGTGCTTTCGATCAAGTGAATTACGGTCGACAGAAGAGCAATCCAGGTTCAGATTTCTCAAGCTAGCTGTTCGAGGAGTGCCCGCGCTTAGCGGCGCTTAAATTACCGCCTTCAAAGATCGAATTTGTGTAATGTTTTTTGTCTATGTGGCACCAATCGATTTTGTTTCCATTCGTTCTACTTTGTTATCATCCTAGATGCTTCTTTAGAGAATTGACCTAGGAGAATTGTTCTGCAAGTACAAGGACCCCATCTGAGAGCCGGCATAACGCAGTATGCACCTGGTCCACCAAAGAAGCCTATTGTCTTCTTTCTTAACACTTCCAAGTCTTTCTTATGGCTCTTTAGTCTCGTGTGAATGATCAGTACCTATCTAGGCATCCTCATCGGACACTTTGTTCCCGAAGAAACAGATATAAAATGTGCTGGCAGTGCGTCTGTTTGGGGCTTCATCCGGAGTCTCGGAAGTGGCACTACACGTGTAAAGCTCCCAGTGGGCCGCATCTTACCTCACAGTCTACAGGTTGCCACTGACTTCGGATATTGTTCACATGTTTGTGAAATCGTCTTCAACAATGTTTCCCCGCTTGATTTCTTCCTACTGAACGCTCTTTTCTTGCTTTCTGTCTACATCTCATCCTGTTTTAACATGCCGGAAACAGAAGAGCCTCTTACCCTCGCCCCAGAGGAGAAAAACTCTCAGGTGAATACAAATGACAACAGAATTGATCACAACCAGAGCCACACCAACGGCATCACTAGAGGCGAGTCCGCGACCACGCCGCAGACACACCGCTTCGACCCAAGTTTCACGCAAAGCTTAATCAATGCAACGGGCCCCAAGGCATCGCCGCGCATGCGGAAGGTCATGGCCAGCCTGATACGACACGTGCACGACTTTGCGAGAGAGAACGAGATAACTGTTGACGAATATATGGCCGGCGTTGAGATGGTATGCTCCTGTGCCAGGGTTCATTGCTCTCCTGCTGACGGTTTGCCCTTTTGCTTAGATCAACGAAGCCGGCCGCATGTCCACTGACAAGCGCAACGAAGGCCAGCTCCTTTCTGGTGTCATTGGACTCGAGTCCCTCGTCGACGAGATAACCTACAAGCTTGCCACAGACGCTACAGACGCACCCACCTCTAGTGCGATCCTCGGCCCCTTCTGGCGCGCCAACGCCCCGGCTCGAAAGATGGGTGAGAGCATCGTGCATAACATAACCGATGGTGATGATACTTTCATGCATGGGAAAATTACGGACTACCTGACCGGTGAACCAATTGAAGGTGCGGAGTTGGACGTCTGGCACACAGCGCCCAATGGGCTCTATGAACAACAAGACGAGGATCAGGTCGACTTCAACCTCCGAGGACGGTTCACAACAGGTAAAGACGGTCGTTACAATTTCTACTGCCTCCGCCCAACTTCATATCCCATCCCTTACGACGGTCCAGCCGGAAAGCTGCTTCAGCTCCTCGACCGACATCCAATGCGTCCAGCACATATACATTTCATTGTCAAGGCGCCGAATTATAAGCCAATTATCACGCAGCTCTTCGATCGAAGGGATAAGCACATCACAGACGATGCAGTCTTCGCGGTGAAGGAGAGCCTGGTAGTAGACTTCCTGCCGAAAGAGGGCGATCCGAAGGCACGGTTTGAATTGCCTTATGACTTTCGCTTAGCGACATATGAGGAGGCTAAGAAGAACTCGTTGGTTGGAACGACGGAGGAAAGTGCGAGCTTCAGTGCTAATGTCGTGCAGGGAAGAAGCTGAGGCAACTTTTGTTGATCTGACGGGACTCAACCTGTCCTGAGCCACCCCTTGTCTGGAATCGTTTGGATTCTTCTGTATTGCTGGAGATTCTAAATTCCTTTGTGCCTTGCTGTAAGCGCTATTGGTGCAGAGAAGCCGGAGGGTTTAGACTCGCGCTAGTGGGACTTACTCCTCTGTTAATGGACATGATCTTATCTTGCAATCAACTACGTTGTCTCAGCTTTCCAGTATATGGACAGCTTCATGGCTCTGGATTGACGGTGTTCCTGGCGTCTGAAGCTGAGGTGCGAGAAAAGCAAAACCACTCCTTGAGATGTCGAACGAGTCTAGCATGTTGGAAGGCGAGAGGTATGTACGTACGCGTCGTAGGGAGGCTGAGCGGTTGGCACGCTGTCCAACTTAGCCAATTGACGCTGACTATGGAACACTGATCAGGTAGAACCGTCCACTTACAAAGTATTAAGAAGAGGCTTTGCCCTGACCGATCTCATCCCTACTTTCCCGCTTTATATCCATCCTATCTACAAAGTTTCTTATACGTCTTAATAGATCTTCACTCTCTCTGAAGTCATTCCCGTCCCGAGTTCCGACCTGCTCCCTGGAAGCGAAGTCAACAAGCTGGCTTTGGTCTGCGTAGCTCCGGCTCAGGTTCATATGAGAGAGGTGCGTCCCTTCTCTACTGCCAACTGGCGTGGCTGAGAAGGGTTTTTACGAGGCAAACACTGATTCCAACGCAACCGCTAAGGCGTATCATTGAGGGACTCATCCCAAAGCTGTTCCATCTGGATATCCCAACCAATGCGCCATACATAACCCACGAGAGGGTCACCGTTCTGAACGATTCTTTTTTGGCTCTCTGTCCGACAGAAGGGGATATTCAATATGCTACGAGGCCCCAGGCGCTTTAACCCAGGCACAATTTTTCCTTCGTCATTGAACACTTACTGTGCGTCCGACCCTCAGCTATGGCATCGATTTAGGAATGTATCTGTTAGACTCAACATTGTTGTCGCCTTGTTTTGGCCCTGTAATTTGTTAAAGTTATATGTCAGTCGTTTTCATAAAATTGCAGTAGTTTCGTTGCGAGCGCAAAATATTGCCGTTGCACCATGGATAGGAGGAGAGGCTAGCCGACTCAGTCTCGCTCTTTGGCTAGTACCTGCATTCTTTCTTCGTGCGGCATCAAATCTATGGCAAGTCGTTTGCTGGGTGCTTGGTTAACAATTGCTACAAAAAGAGAATGAAACAATGGCTTTTAGACTTACGGAGTAACCGTATCATGCGTGTAATGAAGTGAGCTCAGGACTTGAATTTGTCGCTCCGATATTGCATGTGCATTATAGATATGACCCAGTAGACTCTTAAGACATTATTCGCTCCATTCAATACGTGCGTGTAAAGTGGAGACCTCAAAAATGGGAAGGTCAAATCCCGCAAAGGCCCAATCGAGGAGGCATACACAGCCATCGCGTAGGAACATGAGATTGCGAGGAGCAACGTCTAGGTGGGACATGACCAGTTTAGTCCAATGCAATCCACAGCCTCTCTTGTAGTCATCCAACATTTCCCGTCCATCAATGCGCGCCTTTCGTATGATTCCAAGCCTCAGCTTCTGGGAAGCGAGCCTGTGATCCATCCAATCATTCATCTCAGATGTAGTATCGAAGGCGAGGTCAAACCAGGATCGCCGAAGATGTACCCCTGTGGTAGTCCACCACTGGAAGGACCCGGGCCTTGTTGATCATGGGGGATAAGAATCTGCCAGAGGTACTCTAGAGAGGCAGCGATCGGTTCCATAAGGCCTGGATGTTGGTCCAGGTCAACCGCGTCTAAGCACAGCCCAAGGACAAATCCCATGACAAGATAACCGCGTTCGCATGAGTCGCCATAAGGACTTCTGAACAAGCGGTAGACTTCCGGACCTCTGATTTCATTACTGCCGTTTGCATGGCCGTATAGACGTATTGTTGTGTAGCAGCTTCCCGACGCGTGACTCCAGGGCCGTACTTCACAGCAGCCTGCTCTGATCTTTTGACCACCTTCCGCCCAAAGTCGAGCTGTTCGGTACCGGAGAGAACGAGCTGTGGCAGAGCTCAATCAAGGCTTCTTCGCTCGCTGTGTGGTGATCTAGTGTCTTTCTTCCCATAGCTGTGAGTTTCACAGTATAGGCTGGCACGCTTTTGCAGCATTGGTTTCTGGACGGTATCCGCCGGCATGGGTTGCAGACTTTGGAGCTAATGGACGAGAGAGAGCTTCCATCACGCATGTGAGAGAATAGCGCCAAGGCGCCAAGCCTTCGGGTAAGCTTCCTCTTATCTCCTTTTTCCCCTGTTCTCGCGCCTTCCACTTCTCTCCCGAGGTCCGTCCCAGTATTCTCATTTTGTGGTTGGTCTCCAATCTTGACCGTAAATGCGATTTCCATGTTGCGCAGGCCATTTTCGCTGCGATGTCTCTGCCCCGTCGTGCGTCCATGGTCTTTTTCCTGTTCCTTAACCTAGGGTTTCTTTCCATCCTTCCGCCGCGTATGGGATTCATCCCGAATGGAACGGACCGCTAGCCTTGATCAACAAAAAACCAATTCCGTCGGACCTTGGGCGTTTGCTTTAATCTTTGGTTCCAATGGGACTGCAACGGTGCCATGTCCATTGTGTTTATGTGGATGTTTTTGAGATTATGCCACCTTCCCTGAGCTGCCTCCAAAGTCTTTACTAATTGCGCTGTCGGTGTTTGGACAATCACATGGCCAGAATGAAAAGTTGGAAATAGTGAGCGATGACTAACTATGACCTGGCTTGGTATATCGTTACGTACGGGTCACCAAGAGTACAGGCTCTGCGTAGGTGCAGGTACGGGTGCCTTATAAAGCCCATCGGTAAATTTTGCCGCTGGCATCAACGAGTGCAAGAAGTATTCGTACAACATTGCTGTTTTCAAACTAAGGCTTTTCCGAGTATATCAGGTAGCAACTGGTGGCGTCAGTCGGTGAGGTTACGCGCTTGTTTCGCCAAAGGTCAGCACTGTGGCTGGATTCTGTGACTGACTTCAAGCCATATCATATAGATCGTTGCCTCCAGAAGTTCAATCAACTGGATGCACACACTAGGATGGGTCTTCCAGAGGCCGATCTTGTTGTGATCGGCGCAGGTGGAAATAATTAACCCGTGTCCTCCTCCAACATCCAATCAACAAGTCGGGTTGGGGATAGCTGGCATAGCTGTAGCTGATTTTTATCCGTAGGTACATCTAAAATGCTGACTTGTTATACTGGAGCAATGCCAGTCGCCTTGGAGGAGGATGGACTCCCAGCAACGGTTTCACGACATACTTCTTGTCTCAAAGGGGATACGCTAAGCTGAAGAACTTGCACACTGATTCCGCTCACCAGTCGGAAGGGGAGGCTTACTCAACCGAGGTGACTTCTGGGAGACTGTCGCGCAGAACGTTCAAGTCTATCACGATAGCGGTCTCGAGCTAGACAAGCATCTAATCCGTCTAAAAGGCGGAGAACAAACCGCCAACCTTCTTCTTTATGTCTCACCGGCTGGAGTGCCGCATCTGTTGGCGTCTTCATCTCAGACCGGCTTGTTCCTCAAACTCTGAAAGATGATGTGGAAACTGAAATAGGGCGCAGCTCGAAAACAAATTCGATGAGAGAAACACTATCCACTTCTAGCAAATCCTCCAGATCATTTTCACGAATCTATCGAATCACATCATACCGCCTTTACAGTGGCATTGTTCCATTACAAAACGAATGGACCGCACTCATCGGCTATCCCCTTTATTTGAACTACTTCAGAGGGGTAGAACGTGAAGCGATATGGGCGACGGCCTGCTTGGAAACCAGTTTTTATTGCCTCCCTTAGAAGACAAACGCGCAGAAGTCGCCTGAAAGATTGCTTGGTGCTGCCGAAGATATCTGTCTAACGGTGATAATGGCAGTTTTGTGCCTTTCGAGTCTGAGGGTTATATCGACAGGATTCTTCGAGAAATTGGCCTGTCGTCTTATCGTGAAGGGCGCTTCGGAGACTATTTGGTGCCGGGCTCGCCTCAGGGTTTGGTCGGCTTAAAAAATGAGCATCTCGCTAGATGTGGTGGGGGCGTCTCTTCGGAGTTCGGAGACTGCGAGGCTGAAACGGCTGCGACAAATCTGATGGCTACGTAGTGTCGAGGGATCAGATCTTGTCCGCTTCCCGATGTCTGAATTTCATTAAAGGGAGGAGAATGTTTACTTGGGACTTCGGGGCCTCCTCTTGGGTCAAGCTCATCGGCTGGCCAAATTTGCACTTCTTTCTTCCCTCACCTTCTCTGTTTCGTATATTCATTTCCTTGGTGAATGGGTTGCGTGAACGTACTGAAGAGCTTCTTCAATTCTTCGTGATCAAGCCTCCTCAATTCAGTCTTTTGCAGCTTTTCGAATATATGATTGGATTCCAAGCGGGTACCCGCATGAAGACGGATGCGCTTCCAATATCTTCCGAAGCCGTGGAGGATTTATACGGCCGTGAAGTGCGTGAGCAGCGAATCACTCGATGGTAACTATGGCCCTAATAGAAGCTCGAAAGACTCAAAGGAGTGAATGTCTGAGATCGTTACGAAGTCAATTGAAGGAGGTATCGCGTCGAGTAAAGTTGGCAATACCTCGCGTAACCCTTCATCTCACCTCACAGCCTTCACTGGCGCAAACCTGGTATTCACTGAGTTTCAGGCTCAAGTACATTAAGATGCACAGTTCGTGGCGTCCTCTTTTCCAACAACGCATCAAAATTTTTCGTCACTGATTAAAGTCCCTGTCTGTCTCCGCTCAGCAAAAGCCGCAGCTTCAACTATGGACGCCGGGTCTCCCACCACCACTAACAGTCGAAATGAAGACACCGACAAGATGATCCGTGCTTGTGCTGAAGCTTGCGGGGTTGGCCGTCAGATCATTGAGAAAATTTGTCCAGCTTCTGAAGAGCAAGAACACTATATGGAACATCACATAAGCACTGGATCATCATATATGATGCAGATGGTCCTGCATTATGAGGGCGATCTGAACCAGAACTTCCTTCTTCGAGTCCTGAGCGCAATGCGTTTCAAGAATCACGTTTTGCGTACAAGACTGGTTAAACATGAAGGCCACGTCTACCAGGTTGTTCTGAGAGATCCTATCGTATTCCAACAAACAGGGGTCGATCTTCACGGCTTTCTAGCACAGAACTCTCGGACGCGTATGGACTACGGCACTCCACTGTCTCGATACGCCTTCGTTCGGGAGCCTCATGGTGAAGCCTTCTTTGTTTGGACGGGTAAGTCACTCCAGACGGAGTTCATCCCCTTTTTCGAAACCACACTCTAATGTTCTATCACTTCAATCAGTCCATTGCAGTGCTGTCGACGCGTGGTGGGTCCAATTTGCTTTTATCATTGCTTTGTTGCTAAGTTCGGATAGGACGCTACGCCTGATCTTTGACGACCTACAAATTGCCTGTTCAGATCTACTGGCCTACTCCAAACTCCCTCCGCGCCCGCCTTATGGAAAGTACGCAATATGGCTTGCATCGCGCGTCTATGAAGTGGGACTTACATTCTGGCTCACTCATCATACGACCTTTGATAACCTCGTGCACAAGTTTCCAGTGCTTGGACCAGGAGGCATTCCCTCGGCATCTACGATGAAGACCAAGAAGCTGCTGCATCTGCCAAAGTTGGAAAACTCAAGGTTCAACTTGCCTACCATGGGACGTACGTGCTTTTTTCAGTGATTACTTCTATTCCTGTACCAAATCTGTGCCTGATTATATGTCTGGGTAGCAAAGCCTTCGTTGACATCGGGACTAGTTGTATAGCTCGATGTGCTGCCTTAAACAGACCATGCTGACTTCGAAGTGTGCGCAGATGCTGCCTGGGCTCTCACCATAGCAAAGTTCCTGACACGGGAATACCCTCCGCTCGTAAACGAGGATATCTCGTTTATCTCTATGAGCTCGGCTCGTGAAAGTGACCTCCCTGGAATCAAGCGCACAATGGGTCCTATCAGCGCTCGGGTACCATTACTAATTCGCTTCTTGCCGGATCTGTCAATCGAGAACCTCATGTGTGACGTCGAGACCCAATTGTCGTCAATGATTGGCTTCGAACATTGCGCTATGAAAGTATTGAGTAGGGAAGCCGGTTTCCAGAATATGCTCAAGCAAGCGGTCTTCAGTTGGAACCTGCCTGACTGCGATTTGTCTTGTAAGAGAATCATCTGTTACGATAAGGAAGCAGCACCAGCAGTTCTGGATTACAGAGAAGATCTGTCCGTTCCTTTCGCTCATGACTATGGTCTGATGTTCGAGGTGTACGAACATGGCGAGCATATCACCATCCACGCAACCTGGGACCAAAATCTCGTCTCGGGAGATCTCATAAGCCGGCTACTTGAGGATTTCGGAAGTTTTCTCGCGCTGATCATCAAGACGCGAGGTGCGACAGTGGTGGAGCTACTTTCTGTAAACAGGGTGTGTCAATCTGGGCGGACGGCTACCTTTGATCCCCACTTCCACCTGAACACCCTTTTGATGTGATGATAACGAGGAGTTGGCGGGCCATAAGGGCCTGGTGGGAGGGACTGTTGGCAGCCTGAAGCAACATCTTGAGCCCGATATCTTGCATATATATTACTATTTACGATACGACACTGTGTTAGATAGGCAATAGAGGGGGCGGTTATTCAAGATGGAGGACTTGGGAAAGCAGCGTGCCGAAAGGTACAGAATCTCGATGAGCACAACCGTAATTGAGTCCTGCCGCACGAATCTGTGTCCTTCTTATGACCATGACCCAATTCACATTCACAACGGTTCTCTGAAAGACATACGAGGGAGGAACTTGGATACCTACGCTCATCTCTTGGCTTTGCACATTGCTTCAATGACTGATTACTGCGTTGCAGTGCCTCCATCCCACACCTTCCAAGTCCAACGCTGCTGGCTTGGCTCGAGGCCGCAAGTGTGTGCATCGAACCCGGGAACGCTCCTATCTACATCTGCCTCTTCGTTGCTACCCTGAACGATCTACTGGCATGGAGGCGATGTTTCGATCCATACTGCCAGCTTTCGATCTTGTCCCCATATAATGACGGAGATCGTTGGGTGAATGTGCAGAGAACCAGCTGGTTTCAGTGCCCAGAGTACAATACTATCTTGGATTTCGAGGCGTTTAACCTTTCAGCGTTCCTGTTGTCGGGTTCCCTACCCACTGAACGTGGCCATGTTGAAGACGGCATCCGCAAAGTTGGAGAGTCGATGTTGGGAGAGTCGAATCTGCATTTTCGTGAGTGCTTTTCTGGCACGTCCTTCTAGCTCGCTACGATGGGTACTGGAAATTCTACGATCTTGCCGTTGACACGAAAATTTCTTCCAATGCCCGAACCCGCTCTCCGTCATGCCACCCTTGCCCGAACCCAGAATTTCCCCCCGTCTCAGGAAGGATCTACTGCCTCCCGTCCTTTTGAAACCATCAATCCCAGCGCTTTGTTCCGTTGTCCTGGCGTCACTCCTTTAAAGTCCCTTTCACATCAACCTCCACCTCCACCTCCGCCTCCCACGCACCACCTCTCGGTAGAATAACAACATCGCACTACCTCATCATCGGACCGTAGCAAACAACGGAGAAATGATCGAGTGCATAGCCCGCACGAGCGGACGATGGTTTTTCCGGCGACATCCGGGCTGGCTTCATGATTGTTATTTCCCCTGATGATTTTGGATGCCTCGCGGGCGAAAGCGTCGAAGATAAAGGCGCGGCCTAGGCGCCACTGGAGCCCGTGGAGATGCAGAGATGTCACTGTGGAATGGGTGTTGTGGGGAGCTTGAGGGAGGATGCTGTGGTTTTTTCGCCGTTTCTTTGTCCTGGCTTGTAAGCGGAGGCGGGAGATTCGCTTGCTGGGTTGACTGTGGACTGAACTTTATAGCTGTGAGACTTGTGTTGATGCGAGGGATGCGAGTGCGGTTGTGAGTGGGCTCGATGCTGGACGATCTTTGTATCGTGAGAATGGTAGCCGTTGAGAATTTGGGGATTCTTGGTCATAGTAATGGGACTGTGAATGGGCTTTTGGCTGGTGAGATAGCTCGGAGCTTGGCCGGTCGGGAAGAAGGGGTGTGTGGAATGGAAGTGGAATGATTGAGATGGCGGTCCGGGAAAACAGAGTGACAGATAGGGTCAGATTCATTTCCGGCTCCTATATCTATAGTGACATCTGACGTGTTCATCTTCCAGTCCCTACCCCATGTCCGCTTGGTCTATTATTCACAGGCGCACTCCACGCGGGGATAACAGCGTTGACTGCTACATCTCATCTCTTCACTTGAAAGCTTGAATTGGTTGAGTGCATTCACTTGCACTAACTATTACTTCAATTCCAGGTTACTAGCTCAAGACGCAAAATTCTATGGACTTCTGGCGAGGTTCGGAGATTTGCTTGCCAGAGTAAACTGTGGGCTATGTGAACCGCGGCTCAGATGGCCTCGTTACAGGAAACAGCCTATACGTCAGTGGTGAACTAACATACTAAAAAGCAAGGCCGAAGAGCCCAACGCGAGCGCCCATGTGCTGTTGAAACGGATTGCCAGCGAGGCAGACATCTCAAGTTTGAGTAGGTGGTCGTTCACAGGTACGTTGGCTTTTTGAATGGATTGTCAGGATTGACAGCGGGTCATCATGGAAGTAGTAATTCTATACCAGGCTGTGAGGCTAGGGAATCTCTGGTTGGGGCTCATCTTGGCCATTCAATGTTACTCTGGCGATGCCTGGGGTATCTCGACACAGAGTAAATGCGAGGTGGTGCATCACTTTATCCGGGCTGGGTATCGCTATGCGTCTTTGCGCTCGGTCGTGATTCGCGAAGATGTGGATTGGAGGGATAAGAGACACAGAGTTGGAAAAAGGGCAGAAGAAAAGATTGAAGAAGGTGGTCAGAGGAAGACGCTGTAGAAGGGGAGTATTCATTCAAGGATACGAGGTAACCGATGTGGCAGTGGGTTGGTGCTTTGCCTTTGAGCCGCCCGGAAGAGCCATCGTTAGGGTGCGTAATCCCAAAAGATTGGCATGGAATAGTTTGGTAGGATTCGCAATGGAGGCTGACGGTTGGGATATGAATCCATGGGGAATCGTGGTGGTTCCAACGAATGCAGGAAAGGTGGCAGGGAAAAGTGACGGCTGAAATTGTTAGATCCTCAAAACTTCGATCGCAACAGCGAGCAACGAAGAGATTCCTGAGGTTTTGAAGAATCTCTCTGAAGCACTTTGGGTCATGAGTTGTATATAAGTTCGGGACGATGCCCAAAAGCGATGTATGAATGAGAGGGTCTAACGACGCACATTTTGACAGATCTTTTTGGACAGCTTGCTTGCATATCTACAGCCCCAACTATGTGGGATTTGTTTTCCACCAAGTACCAATCCCGTTCCATCGTCACTCTTTCTTCGCATCCTTCGCTTGCTCCCTCTGGATCCCTATTCATATTTCAGAGTCAGCACGGCTCTCCAAGAAGGCAAGAAACCGAGCTTGAAGAGTAACACGAGCGCTAAGCTCCCGAAACATGGCTTGCGCCCAACGCCTTGACATGGAATAGGGGACGATTGCAAATTCTACGTACATTGCGCACTCTCCTGCGCATGCTTCTCCATCTCTTCCTTACTCATCTCCTTCATGCGATGCGGACTCGGCACATGCCTCCCCCTCTCCACCCCCGGCCTCGCCAACATCCGATCCTCCCACGCCTTCAAATGCGGGAACTCATCAATTTCGATGCCCGCCCATCCGGCGGCTGCGACCCAGCCCCAGTGCGCGATGTCTGCTATTGTGCACTTCTCGCCGACGAGGTAGCCGGATGAAGAGGTCGAGAGATGTTGGTCGAGGACTCTGTACAGGCGGCGGGTTTCGTTCTGGTACCGCGAGATGCCGTATTCGATCTTCTCGGGGGCGTAGCGGAAGAAGTGGTTCGCTTGTCCTTGCATGGGGCCTACGCCCGCGTTCAGGAAGAAGAGCCAATTGTTGACTTCGTAGCTTTCACGCGAGCCGGCTGGGTAGCTAATCTTGTGATGGACGCTGTCGTATTGTTCGACGAGGTACTGCATGATTGAGCCGGATTCGAAGAGGCGGATCGTTTGGCCGTCGGAAAAGGTGTCGGTGAGGGCGGGGATGCGGCCGTTGGGGTTGATGGCGAGGAAAAAGGGCTCCTTTTGGGTGTTTTGGGATATGTCGATTTTGTGGGGTTTATAGGGAATGCTGGGAAAGTGGAAAAGGGTGTTAGTGGGGACTTTGGGTAAGCAGATGGAGTGTGATCAAAGAGAAAAAGGTCTGGAACTCGGAGACAGGATGGGCGAACCCGAGTTCTTCGAGAGTGATGGAGATCTTTATGCCATTGGGAGTTTGGGTTGTGTAGAGATTGATATTGGGCGTTTTCTCGGTTGAAGACATGGTGGTGAGTTGTTTGGTCAATTGGGAGACACGAGATAGCATATGAGAGTATATTCGGGGTGAAGAAGAAGAAGAAGAAGCAAAGAAAGAGATATATATGTAGGAGTGTTGAATAATTGAGAAATGGTGTGATTGGTAATGCAAAAGACTGAAAGAAACGCCAAGACCGGGACCCCGCCATTGAGGCTCAACCGATGCAGTCATCTCATTTGACAGCTGTGATTTTAAAGTAAGGTTAAGGTACTACACTAGCAGTCCTGTACCTTACCGTAGCTTTCCGCCTTTGGCCCGCACCCCAGCGAACTAATGCTTACCTTATGCAGCATCTCTGAATTTAGATACTCAAGCAAAGTCTCCCAACGATACTCGTCTGCTCCCCAATCCTCTCGAGACATCTGATTTGCTAGCTGGATCCAAGCGTTCTCTGACTTCAAACCATGCTTATTCGCGCTATTGTGATGGAAGACTGCGCTTACACCGCGTACTTGAATAAGATCTTTGACCCAACGAAAGCGCTGAAAGTCCTGAGGGATCGTGAAATTGATATTGAAGCTGAATTCCTTAACCCGTAGGTGGCCAGCGATGTACGCGCAGGCATCACTCCAATCCAGGCAATTGTCATTAACGTCTCGTTCCGGCACGGAGCGCAGTGGGCGACCGATCCCATAACGAATGAGCTCCATGTGTATGCAACCAACATTTCGACGAGCGGCGGTGGAGATTTGATCGAAGAATGGTGCAACGTAATGTACGTCGATACCAAAATCGAAGGCGTGTGATTGATAGAGTACTGGAAGAGCTTCGTCGTGGATACGTCGATTCGTACGTAGCAGGGCGGTTGTGATTTCCTTCCCATAGACATATGGCCCCTCCATCTTACATGACCGTGACCACATCGATGACACACTGTCTGCAGACACCACGATTCTCCGTCCTTCGCCAATGAGGAGCTCTCGGTATACTTGCTCACGAAGCTCAGTGGGTAACTTCATGAGCTGGAATGGGCGTGAGTCTGCCTCAGTACGTTGATTTGCAGCAAGCATTGTCAGAGCTCGGCGTGCACTGGACGAAGCGGTGCCCTGGTTGTAGACACGTGAGCTTCTCTTAGGAAGTGAGCCACCAGCACGCTTGTTGACCTACAGTAAACATCCACTCGCGATCCCTTGCCCAAAGCATATTTCCCCAGTCTCTCCCATTTGTCTCGGGGAGCCCTGCCATACTGGGTTGTCCGTTCATGGCACTTGTCTGGCGGGACACTGCGGTACCGCGGCGTTCGCCAGCTTTGAATACCTGGCGGCAGAACTGTATCCAAGCTTCTTCCTCATCATTGATATGCTTTTGGCCGAGCGCTGCCATGCCATTCTCAATCTCCCCGTTTAGCTTAGAGAGCTCTATGGGCTTATCGTGACCATAAGCTGACCGTTCCAACTGCGCTCTGTAGTCCCCATCATGCATAGCATTTTCGGCCATGAGTCGGTAGATGTTGAAGTCGTCGAACTTGAATTGATGTATGAGGGGTGGTCGGAGACTCTCATGAGCCCGCGTAGGGGCCATGTCGGAGGGCAGGGTGCTCAAGAGATGCTTGGGAGGTTTGAAGAACCATTCCGTTAAATATCTTGCTCGGGACACGGATCCGATTTGCTATCATTTTGGTAAGGCAATGTTCAATTCCATTCCTCGCGAATTCTCCTCATCTCGAGCAAGGTCAGATTCAGAGCACTGTTTGAGCCATCAAAAGTGACGCGCATGGCGCGGTCGAAGCCGATTCGCTGACTAATCGCGGAAGGAAGCCGTTCCGAGGTTTGGATTGAAATGGGCGAACAAGGCAGTGTTCCTGCTTTTACTTATTGTGATGGTCGAAGTCCTCCTGGAATTGCGTTGGGAACGGGGACGAAATCCGGTTCTTCTACGCTGTTTGACTGACTGATCATGGCCAATCCACAAACAATTTTGGCAGCAGTCCGCCATGCTTCCAACGCAGATATTCCAGGTTTACGCCAACTGTTAGGATGGCCAGATGCCCTGAAGCTTGAGCTCACACTACGAATCCTCCTTACGTTTCTACCCGAAGGTACAGAGCCAGGGCTTTATGTCGACTATCTCCGCAACCTTTCCGATGCCCAGTCAAATCCTGAAGGCTACATTACTCCAAGCTTCCCTGAGCATCCGGTGCGGGATATAACAGAAGACGAGGCTCGCATCCGGGTGCGAAGATTACGCCTGACTCCATTGCTGGATCCTAAAGCCCACTACGATCAAGAGACAGACCCTCTCACACTCTTCCTTTTACACCAAGCCCACAAGATAGACGTAGAGACTGGCTCCCTGGATCTTGTCTGTCAGCTCTTGGAGCCGTTCTTCAATCACTCAGAGGTCCTACGCACATGGATGATGTCGAATCTCCTACCACTGCTACGTCTAGACTATGAGTACTATCCCCAGTCAGGAACCTCCCATTCTCTGGAAGACTTCGAAAGACTCGATGGCAGCATTGCCGTTCAGTCACTACTTTCAAAGGCCGCCCAGCGGAATGATCAAAGAGATACAAGAGAGGTTGGCAGAGACCTAAGAGGGCTGGTGGGTCCATGGATGTACGGGGAGACTACAAGGAAGCGTCGGAAGCTCAGCCACGGCAGGAGAAGACAAAGCTTGATCACTGTAGTTCGTGCTACAGAAGACGAACTTCCTGCGGAAGAGGAGATGCGGAGCAGTGATTGGTCTCATGTTAACGAATGGCTCTTGAATCTGGGGCTTCGGGACTTTCCACGAGCCGTTGATGCCATGACGCAGTGGGATGGGCCTTGTGATGTTGACTACGGAGACTGGGGCGCAGGAATCCAGCCAGCCGATGAGGACGAGCTACGAGTACAAACTCGGAGATATTCACAAGCTGGTTTGGCTGCCCTTTACGCCACAAACGACAGCTCTCTTGAGACTATCATTGGTTCCCACCGAGTGCTACTGCAGATAGCAAGATTAGTAAAACTGGATGAGCCTCCAGATCTTAAAAGGTCCGATGCGCCCATTGCCAGTGGGATATCCTGGGAATATCTGGACAGTCTTTCCCCAGCGCACCTCTTTCACAATGCGCTTCTGCGGTCCCAAAATCCTTTGACCTCTCCTACAGTTCCCGCTGTATCTTTGTTCAATCTTGTACTTGCCTCATGCTACAAGCTGTTGAACCTTGGAAATCTCAAAACCAGCAGAAGTGTGGCAGAACTAGCCCTCTTCGGAACCGAAGCAGACCAGGTTGCAGAGCTAAAGAAGACTCTCTACACACTGAAGGCTGAAAAGATGGACGAGAAGCTGTGGGCCTCCATTCGAAGGCAGATGCTGTGGCTGCGAAATTGGGAGCATCAATTGAATAAACAAGGAGAACCTCGTGGCGTCTTCAGTAAAATCGCGAAGATTGACTTGGAGGTTGAGTTGTTGCGGGCGATGTTAGAAGGGGGTTGCTACAGCCTTGCTGAGGACATATATTGCAAGCAGACAAACCTACCCATCTCCAAGGACACTGTGGAACGCACAGTCTTGAATGCAGCATTATCTGCTTACGACGCTGCTAGCAACGGCAACAGAAATAGAGGAGGTGTTCGTAAAGCATCTGAGATAATCTCGACATTTCGCAATTACTTTCCCAGATCGACACCATTCACACAGACCACCGCACTTCTTTCTGCAACGCATGACATGTCGTTCTACTCTCTCACTCTTCAACACGGCGTTCCGTTTCAGCCAGTGAACATACGAGCTCATAAAGATCCAATGTCTTTGATAGGCAAAATCCTTGGTCAAAATCCACGGAGCTATGCGCATCTCGATAACCTGCAGGAAATTGGCCAGAACCTTGTGACGGCAGGTCTTACAGACAGTGTGCAGGACTCATCGGCGGCTTCTGATGCCCCGAGAAATCCACAGCAGCAGGCTCTCATCGCAAGGCGGAGAATTACTCGCATGGCCATCGAAGCTGCACTGGAGGAGGATGACTTTGATACAGCCTATTCCTACGTCGTCAACCGCCTGGCGGCTGACCAGCCCAGACCGAATACATTGGATTCGCTGCGGGACTCTGCGACCGTGCAAGATGATATATCGTGGCGAGCAGCGTATACAGCAGGCCGTTATCCAACGAGCAATGCAGGCAACTCTACGTTACGACGTCTCGAACAACGCATGGAGCTTCTATCGCAAGCATTACTTTTAGCACCACCATCAGCTTTGTCTGAAGTCTTGACAGTATGGCAAAAATGCGAGCAGCAAGTGACTACGCAGATTGCCAAAGAGACAGAACAGGAGCAGAAGTGGGATGAGAAGGGGGACCGCAAGGTGCCTGGAGGTTTCGCTGCAGATGCCAGTCCTATTGCGCAGAAGGTTCGCGATCCAATTCGAAGTGCGCTGGTTGAAGAGGCGCCCATGGGTTTGTTTGACATGGCGAGGGGGGCTGCTGCTACACTCAGCAAAAGCGCTTTTCCTTTGAGCAGATCACAGAAGACGGCGTCATATCCTGCAAAAGGTTCGCATGACAGGCCATTGAGCGGTATCAGTGCTGGGAGCAGTGATGAAGGCAGTGTCGGTGGGGCAGGAGGATCGGGAAGAGTGAGGAAAAGGGACATGGTTAGTAGCATGGTGACTGGGGGGCTTGCGTCTGGGATTGGATGGGTTATTGGTGAGTCAAAAGGAATCTGGATAGAGTCAATCGCCAGCTGATAGGTATTCTAGGAGCGCCTCCAGTGAGACAGGAGTAGCCATAACGACAGCAGAGCTATGGATTGAAGCTCAACATAATCGGGAACAGAGGCCTGATCCCAACCTGGGAAAAAGGCGAAACGGACAGAGACTGAAGCTGTGTGAAGGAATGAGGATACGCACCCGAGAAAGCCAGCCATTGGAAGGGCCACAGGCTTTTGCTTTCGTGCACTTGCCTCAGTATACTACCACGGCCATGAACAAAGTAAAGTACCTTGGTTGAGACCCTGTTTTAAGTACCTTTTGCACCGATAAAGTGGTATCGAAACAAGTGTCCAAGATTAGAGCAGGTTCAAGGATATGAGTAGAAGATAATTGAGCTTTTGCAAAGCTCGTAGCCCTACGGGTCATAGAGTGGCGAAGTATTATGGGAAAGATCCCCTCGATTCCACATTCGGACTAGATCAAGCATTTAGCCGTGGGCAGCGCACATAAAACTCCTCACTCATCCGTCCTTCTTACACTTCTTCTTTTTCTTTTCTCCTCTGTCAGCTTCATACCATTCTTCAAGCAAGAATACCTGAGCAGTATGCATCACTCATCTCACCTTCTCCTTCATGACGAGCTGACTGAAAGACATAGATCCCTCATTCCAAAGTTTCCGCAACACTTGGTCATCATATACACCAAATCCCTTCACCGACAACACAGCAATCATGGGTAAAGAAAAGATGCACATCAACGTGGTCGTTATCGGCCACGTAGACAGGTATGATACAATCTGCATTGCTTCAACCATCGTATTGCGCTGACCATAGCAGTGGGAAATCGACTACCACCGGTACGGGCCTCGAGCTATCCTCTTACCTCTATCACGCTCATACATCACAGGTCACTTGATCTACAAATGTGGAGGTATTGACAAGCGTACTATCGAGAAATTTGAGAAGGTACGTCTACACCGTTGGGTCTTGAAGCCTTGTTGCTATATTTGAGTCACTGTCGGATTTGGCGGGGCAGACAGAAATTGCCCCGCGCAAAATTTTCTTATCGCAACTCAACGCGACCAACGACAATAAATGCTGACATCCATTATAGGAAGCGGCCGAGTTAGGCAAAGGCTCCTTCAAGTACGCATGGGTTCTCGACAAGCTAAAGGCCGAGCGTGAGCGTGGTATCACCATCGACATTGCGCTATGGAAATTCGAGACTCCCAAGTACTACGTCACCGTCATTGGTACATCTCACCGGAATGCATTTCTCGAGCCGGGATAAGTGCTGACGGTCTTCTACAGATGCCCCTGGTCACCGTGACTTCATCAAGAACATGATCACTGGTACCTCCCAGGCTGACTGTGCTATTCTCATTATCGCCGCTGGTACTGGTGAATTTGAAGCGGGTATCTCCAAGGACGGACAGACTCGCGAGCACGCCCTCCTTGCCTTCACCCTTGGTGTCAGGCAACTCATTGTTGCCATCAACAAGATGGACACTGCTAAGTGGTCCGGCGACCGTTACAACGAGATCATCAAGGAAACCTCCAACTTCATCAAGAAGGTCGGCTACAACCCCAAGACCGTCCCTTTCGTTCCTATCTCCGGCTTTAACGGCGACAACATGATCGACGAGTCCCCCAACTGCCCATGGTACAAGGGTTGGGAGAAAGAAACCAAGACCAAGACCACTGGCAAGACTCTTTTGGAGGCCATCGATGCCATCGACCCCCCATCCCGTCCTACGGACAAGCCCCTTCGTCTTCCCCTCCAGGATGTGTACAAGATTGGTGGTATTGGCACGGTTCCCGTCGGACGTGTTGAGACTGGTGTCATCAAGTCCGGCATGGTAAGCTAAACCAAAGTCTGCTTGAACTGCTCTGTTCTGACCTTTCCGTTCCTAGGTCGTGACTTTCGCTCCTGCCAACGTCACCACTGAAGTCAAATCCGTCGAGATGCACCACGAGCAGCTTGTCGAAGGTCTTCCCGGAGACAACGTCGGTTTCAACGTCAAGAACGTCTCCGTCAAAGAGATCCGTCGTGGTAACGTTGCTGGTGACTCCAAGAACGACCCTCCCAAGGGTGCCGAATCCTTCAACGCACAGGTCATTGTTCTGAACCACCCTGGCCAGGTTGGTGCCGGTTACGCACCAGTGCTCGACTGCCACACCGCCCACATTGCCTGCAAGTTCGCTGAGCTTCTGGAGAAGATCGATCGTCGTACCGGTAAATCCATCGAAAACGCCCCCAAGTTCGTCAAGTCTGGTGATGCCGCCATCGTTAAGATGGTTCCCTCCAAGCCAATGTGTGTTGAGGCTTTCACCGATTACCCACCCTTGGGACGTTTCGCCGTCCGTGACATGAGACAGGTATGATCTACTCCTCTTACATCCTTCCACCCGGCGGTCACTCACTAACATTCTGTTCTAGACCGTTGCTGTCGGTGTTATCAAGTCCGTGGTCAAGGCCGAGAAATCCGGCGGTAAGGTCACCAAGGCTGCCCAAAAGGCCACCGGAAAGAAATAGAGGATCGTGTGACATCCAGTCTTCAGCGAGAGGTGTTTGTGGTGGGCGATGGTACAACATGACTGGTCATCATACATCAGACATATTGGCATCGTGGTTCATTCTAGCGCTGTCTTCACTACACTACTGTCATACCCTTCTGCACTTCTTCCCTGGGCGTCTTCCATTACCACCTGCATGCGGCAACGGTCTTACGAATCTCGGCGACGATCAGACGAGATCACATTTTCCTATGTTCGATAATAAAAATGATGAGATGAAGGGGGATTTTGCTCGAATGGCTTGTTTGTTAGATAGATCTCTGTCTGCTAGAACAATTCAAGCTTTTAGAGGCAACCGCTTGAATCTGACTATGTTGTGATGTATGGATGGGCAAGCGCAATCCCTATAGTTGTCTTCATCTCGCTCGGCCTATCTCTATGCCTATCTCTATGCCTGATCTCTAATCTCTACAATATTCACATAGGCATGCACGTATGCAGGCAGACTGGATCCATCGGAATGGTAAATGTCCGAGATGCCGTCAGGCGTGCCAAGGCCAACGTCTGTCCCAACATTCATCTCGCGCCATGCAATGCTGACTGCAGAGAAATATGATGATGAAGAGCGAGCAACGCCGACCTCTTCTTTTGTGACATTATGCCCTTGCCCTTCATTTTGTGTACTTCTAATCTTTTTGACTGTCCATGTTCTCTTCAGCGCAAAAGCGAATACATACTTACGTTGTTTACTCTTAATTGGTAATCCACCGACTCATCTGCCCTTGCCGAATTGGAAATCCTTGAGATGTTCGCCGCCCATGCCGTGCGGCAGAAGTGTCGCCCAAAGCACCAAGTTTTGATCCTCAAATGCTACCCTGCTTTTCAGAAAAACGTGCTGGATGTAAAGCCGAATTCGAGCGAGCTCAGCTACATGCTCTATTATGCAAGCACGAGGAGAAGCAAGCTACAGAAGGTGGGGGCTTTCTTGGAGAAAAAGACTACCAGCGATGTTTCCAAAGGAAAAATAGGGTATGCTGTCTCAGAAAGTCTACGGACGTCGGTCAATTGGTGATGAGGCTGACTGTGATGGGAGCAGCAATGTACAGGTCACACTCCAGATACTGCAAGCGCTCATTGAGAAGCTTCCTCGAGACCTTCCCCTCTACGCGCCCTACATTCTACGAATTTTCGGTACCGTTCTACGTTCGAAAGACCTGTCTATGGTGGAGGAGTCAGTCCCGACCTTCGAAGCTTTCTGTGAGCATCAAGATGTCGCTACACTTGCAGCAGATCAACAGCATATTGGACAATACGAGGACATTGTAAGGACATACGCGAGCTACGCAGCGCTCAAGACGCCAGTGCAGCCAAAAGGTGGGCTTACGGCACCGATAGCCATAAGATGGAGGAGCGCAGGGCTGCGGGCAGTGAAGAGTATCACCTCATCCGAGGCTGTAGGCGCGGATGGAGGGAGACAGATGAACATCATAATGCCAGTCATTCTGCAGAACCTGCAATCGGGAGACGAGGAGCAGTTGCGCGAGTTGCAGCGGAAGGTCGAGGCGGTTGAGACCAAAGACGAAAAACAAGCCCATAGGAGACGGATGAGCATTGCCACAGTCCAGACTAATGATGGAAACTCGAGACCTAATTCGGACGCTATGACTGGCACCGCGGACGATGCAGATAGGCTGGCTGAAGAAGAAGTAGGATTGCAGGCTTTACGAAGCTTGAAGCAAATATTCATGGCCAACAATCGAGCACAGATACGACTAGCTACTGAGGCGCTGCTGAAATTCATTTGCACGGTATCGCAGCGACGGCTAGGGACAAGCAAGAGCACAAGACCGATCCACAATAGGAGCTGGGCAACTACGTTGATGGAGATGTGCACCAGATGGGCGCCTGTGCAGGATCGCTTTGTTATATTCGTGACAGTGATGGAGACGCTGGTAAGGAGTCCCGTTGCGGAGGAAAACATGGAACAACAATTGCTGCTCGTGTCGTTAGTGGGATGGCTACTCAGATCGAACATTAACATGATCGGGCTGAGTGTAATGGACGTACTGCTGGGCTTGGTGCAGCACATTCTTTTACTCCTCCAGCTAGGCGGTAAAGGATCGAATATTCTACCACATCATCAGCAGACGGACGCCATTGATCTCTTCAAGGGCACAGAGGATCTAATCGACGGGCCAGCATCACCCGGCCAAGGAGAGACAAATGGCATGAAAACCGAGGAGTCATCACCGTCGTCAAATCGGCAAGAGCTGCTTTCCAGATTGCACAGATGCATTGGCGATCTGGCAACCCATGTCTACTACTCAGACCAGATCTCGGATATGATCACAGCTATCCTGCTTCGGCTGAAGCCTTCTCCCATGTCAGGTATCGCGACAGCAGCCGCCGCCATCGAAGATCCTCAGGCAGCTGCAAGAGCTATCCAAGCCTCCGTGCATTTGCAAGAGAATCCAGACACTGATGAATTCTTTTCCTTTGGCACCGCACGGGTTACAGCGCTTAAAGCAATCAAGGAAGTGCTCACGGTAGCTAACATGAAGGGCACTGTCAGTGGCGGTGCCCCGATTGGACGCAATCGAGTTGGCGTGCAGGTATGGGAGGGTACTCAGTGGCTCATTCGAGATGAAGACAGAAGAGTCAGAAGAGCCTACGTTGATGCACTTCTGACGTGGCTCCGGCTGGAGATGAGCTCCAATGATCTTCGTGTTTTAGAGGACAAACGCAAGCTTTTAAGCACTGCCTCCAAAACAGATGTAAACAGCAGCAGACGGGATCCAATGACCAGGAGAGTCGTATCCAATGCATCTAGAAACGAAAAGACCGGCAAGCCAGCCAAGTCAACCTTCCTGCAGTTGCTACATTTAGCTATATACGACAACGCAATCGAGGCGCCAGAATCCGACTCTGACCTGCTGCTGATCCATCTCCTCCTTGTCAGACTTGTTGAGAAGCTGGGTGTCAATGCAGTCAAGACAGGACTACCGATGATCATGCGACTTCAAGAAGACATCAACGTTGACGAACTGATATCGACGCCCATTGCGAAGCTCAATGTTGGTAGCCTTGTGCATGGATACTTTTGGACCCTATGCGACAAATTTGACTTCGACACGTCAAATGTGGGCTTTGCGGTTCAAAGCGAGATTTCGCGGCGGAAACAACATGGGTTGTGGCTAAATACGATTCAGGTACCACCTTTACCGTTGGAGCAAATCATGTCAGCTGCATCACGTCCGCTCTCGGAAAAGACTCCATTACCTGTTTTGCAAACAGAGTCGCTGAAGCCTTTCGATTTACGTCCTGCCATGGTCGACCGGATCGCTGATTCATACGCAAGCACAGTAGCTTCGCCCCCTACGAGCCCTCCGGCTTCGCCTGGGCGAGTCTTTAGTTTGCCGCCGATTTCCTCCCAAGGTCCCACGACAACCCCTTTGAATGGGAGTACTCATGAACTTCCTCCCGGAATACTAGATGTCATGCTCTCATATTGGTCTAAGGAGCTTTGCATTGCCAATGTTGAGAAAGAATCAACACGCACCATGTCTCTCAATTCGAGGAATGGGACGAATCTATCCAGATACCTTGGTGTCAATGGCCAAACTTCTAGAGGCATCTCACCGAATGGAGATCGCAGCCCCATCCACACTCGTTCTCCTCCCAATGAAAACGACATCACCTCGCAGCCACACACCTTAAACTTCGCCTTCCACAACCAGCACCGCCGCTCCAGTGCACACGACACTGGCTCTCCAACCCCTATCAGCAGCTCAGATCAGAGCACCACTCTTCGCGTGGACGATCTCAAGCGTGTCCTAGCCGGCGGTACCCTCAATGTTCGGGGCGCAAGCCCTCTCCGCCACAGCACCGCTCGCCACGACTTCATCCCTTTGGAAAACAACGACCAAAGAAGTATTTCGTCCAGCTCAGACTCCGTCGTCAGCGCGGAAGGCTTCGAGTCCGCCTCTGAAGGCGACATCTCTCGTCCCCTTCCGCGGGCTCCAAACACAATCGCAGAAACCACTCCTAGCAATCCACCAGCACCTAATTCCAACCACGCAGCCTCAAGCACCCACTCCCGCACCAGCTGGGTAACCCACCCTCGTTCTCGACCGCAGTCAGGGGAGATGTCCCCAGGCAAACCATCTACCCCACGCTCCCTCAGGCGTCCATCTACCTCCAGCTCTGGCGAAGATCCAAACGCGAATGCTGCAGCCCTGAGGGGCGAGATCGTCCATCCACGCCTCTCAGGCGAGGAATTTGTGGAGGATGAAGTGCCGCCAGTGCCGCCATTGCCGGCGAACGTCACGGCCTTGCCTACTAGGCCGCTCAGCGTAGGAAATCCTCCGATGCAGCCACAACAACAGCACCAATACACGGAGCCCATGCCAAACGAGGTCAAGCAGTCGAAGCACGCAAGCATTGGAAGGAAGAAGGGCGTGGATGTGAATGCACTGTTGGGGAGTATTGACGCGGTGTCGGTGGGTGAGAGGAGGAGGATTGGAGGTGGGCTGGGAAGACCGCCTTATTGATTGGGGGAATGCTGGGTCTGGAGGGCTAGTTTGTGGTGCGTGTTTTGCAGGTTGCAGGGTGTCCAGGGCGCTCGCTGAGAAGGCGGAAGCTGTGCATACGAGCTGAGACAAACCATTTTTGAAAGAAAGGCTTGTGATCATCACTTTTTGTATGCATATGAGATCACAAGTTTAATATTTTCTTGATACGTCAATAATAATCGTCTCCACCGATCAATGTCGATGAGCTTCATACTCTACGTGCCTTTCTTTCTAAGGCCCCAGCTGTCATCCCTTCACCGATACTACCGCGAGTCGAATCTTCACGTCTTGTCTTTTGCAACGCTCCAGGTAACGGAGGACGACATGCTTAGGCACTGCGCCGACTTTGAACCACTCAATTCATCCCCTCTGGTGCCTCCCCCTCCCCCTTCCCCTTTCCCGCTCGAACCTCGAAGCTCAGACGTCCAGCGACCAAAGACGCAGCGTCCCCTCCCCCTTTGCTCCCCCCCTACCGGTCATGCCGGAACCTTGAGACCGTCGGCGTACCACCAGGGGTAAAGGGGCTTCTCGATGGCGAAATCCGCAAGGGGTTGTTGCGTAGGGAGTTGGGTGACTGGGGACGTGATGGTGGGAAAGCTGTGGTTATGGGTGTCGTAGGTGAAGGGAAGGTCGATCAGGAGGGGGGGAGGATTGGTGCTGGTCGAGTTCGATGAGATGGCTACGACGGTGAATGTCATCGGGTCCGGGAGGGTGGTGAGGATCGGATAGGACGCGGACGAGGGGCCTGCGACGGCGCCGAGGTAAGGCGAGGAGCCGATGAGCGGAAAAGGGTAATAATCCAATAGGCTAACCATATAGAGTAGTTATTAGCCTCGTCGATCACCCACAAATTGAATCACTGTTTTATATTATAAAACAGTGATTCAATTGCAAAGTTGCCCTATACGGCGTTAGCGTAACTGCTTATTTGGACATAGCAAAAATGAAGAAATAATCTACCCACCTATCTAGATGTCATTATACATACCTCTCGTTCTTACAGTACACAATGGCTACGAGCCATTCAGCCAGTCACTCAGTCAGCACTACCTACCCCGCCAGCTCACCACTCCACTCAGCCAGCCACTCAGCCAGCCACTCACTCAGCCACTCAGTCTGATATTCTACAAGAGAAGGAGCAATGCAGTACGGAGAACATTGCGGAGACAGTCAGCAGCAGCAGTGACACAACAGACCTACTCTCCACGATCTCATACCAGCCCGATACTCAGTAAGAGGAGGAACCACTGCAGCAGGTAAATGCGGAGAATATTGCGGAGACAGTCAGCAGCAGCAGTGACATAACAGACCTACTCTCCACGATCTCACACCAGCCCGATACTCAGTAAGAGGAGGAACCACTGCAGCAGGCAAATGCGGAGAATATTGCGGAGATAGTCAGCAGCAGCAGTGACATAACAGACCTACTCTCCACGATCTCACACCAGCCCGATACTCAGTAAGAGGAGGAACCACTGCAGCAGGCAAATGCGGAGAATATTGCGGAGAAGTCAGCAGCAGCAGTGACACAACAGCTCTACTCTCCACGGTCTCACACCAGTCCAACTCAGTCAGAAACAAGAGGAGGAATAATGCACTACAGAGAAATTGCGGAGACAGTCAGCGTAGCAGTGACACAACAGGCCTGCTCTCCACGATCTCACACCAGCCCGATACTCAGTAAGAGGAGGAACCACTGCAGCAGGTAAATCGGAGAATATTGCGGAGACAGTCAGCAGCAGCAGTGACACAACAGGCCTGCTCTCCACGATCTCACACCAGCCCGATACTCAGTAAGAGGAGGAACCACTGCAGCAGGTAAATGCGGAGAATATTGCGGAGACAGTCAGCAGCAGCAGTGACACAACAGACCTACTCTCCACGATCTCACACCAGCCCGATACTCAGTAAGAGGAGGAACCACTGCAGCAGGTAAATGCGGAGAATATTGCGGAGACAGTCAGCAGCAGCAGTGACACAACAGACCTACTCTCCACGATCTCACACCAGCCCGATACTCAGTAAGAGGAGGAACCACTGCAGCAGGCAAATGCGGAGAACATTGCGGAGACAGTCAGCAGCAGCAGTGACACAATAGACCTACTCTCCACGGTCTTATATTAATTTATTCAGTCAGCTACTTAGCTAGTCACTCAGTCAGCCACTCAGCCAGAGCACTCAGTTAAGCAAGAGGAGGAAACATTGCAGTAGGCAAATGAGGAGAACACTGCGGAGAAACCAAGCGGCAATAAGGCCACCATCGTCAAGAACACCGCTCAGCTCTCCAAGATCCCACGTTAAATTACCACACAGCAAGCGGAGAATAATACTACAATTTAGTCTGCTATCTCCGCGTGCCTAGGCAATATCACATTATAGTACATCACTGTAATAAGTATATAAGAGAAGGATCTACTGCGTCGATCACAGCCAATTAGACCTCTGCAGGTAAGGGTCACCTATCGAACAATGCATATTTGGACGAATTGAAACCGTCCGATGTGTCGAAATGTGGCCCCGCGCGCGCATCCCAGCCACCATGTTTTTCAGCCACCTGATTTTGTACTGTACGTATTTAGGACCTGGCCCCGGAGAGGTTTTGAAGAATCAATCCGTCCGTTCTACACATCACATACCTGAAATTCTAATACGATGTCTTCTTTCGACAGCCATTTTATTATTCGAAAGCTTTCACTGCGGCAGGAGAACTCGTGAGATACCCACCACTAATTAGCCTGGTGTCTCCAATCCTTTCCGGTATTTCGATACTTCTTGCCATGAGGACATGGCATTTCTCTATTTTTTGTGGGTAATTGTCATGTACTCCACTGGGGGGACGTATCTATGACGTGGTGTAGTGGCGATCACAGCTCAATAGCCTAGCAATATGACTATAAAGGTCGTCACAACGAGGGCCCCATCATTGAAGGAGTTTATGATGTATATATGTGGTGAAAGAAGAAGAATAAGTGAAATTCAAAGAGATTTGTGACTCTTCGGCAAAGGTTTCGCCGAAGTCCGTGATATTGCCCAATCGAGTTAGCGGTAGAAGGGTAGGGCTGTTCCCGCTTTGAATCATTCTTTTGAAATTCGGCAAAGCAATTACCATACACGTGAAAACCAGGATGTGTTTTGCGGAGGTCAAGTCTACTCAACCAAACATATACATTTGTGAGAATCCTTCCTAAGTAGTGGGTTTGCGCATAGCGCTACGTCCAAATTGAATGTGAGCTGTTATTCATCGTATGCGGGTGCAACGTTGTATCAATTGATTCCATATGCCAATGGTGTCACATCAATAAACGCGACAGCCAATAGGTTGTTGGTTGAGGCACCTTCGTGTTTCGAAAGGTGGGTGGGAAGTGTCAGCTTTCCCTGCTGCACGATGACCCAAGCTGAGGGCAGCACGCCCAATCAAATCATCTGCTCTTCACTCTCAGCCTTGCTGCCTCTTGCTGCTCCCTCTTCATCTCAGAGCCAGCTCCACCTTGTAGTGTTCTGAATGCTTTGCTGTGTCACATTTGACTTCTAGCTTTCATAACCACAGTAGAATGGATCCACTTAGCATTTCCGCTAGCATTACTGCATTACTCCAACTCGCCTCAACAGTCATACAATACCTGAACGGCGTCAAAGGCGCTCCCGAAGATCGTCAAAGAATCCTCTCTGAACTAGCCAGTGTCACCGGAGTTCTTTTCATACTCGAGGACCAGGCGGATAAAGCGAAGCAGGGTGATCAGTGGTCTTCAACATTACAATCACTCAACGTGCCAGAAGGACCACTGGACCAGTTGCGAAGAGCACTCGAGCGCTTGTCCTCTAAGCTTGCCCCGTCAGCTACAGGGTTGAAAAAATTTGGCAAGGCTATCATTTGGCCGTTCCAGAAAGTAGAAATCAGGGAGATTTTGGGTAGCATTGAGCGACAAAAAGCGCTGTTCAATTTGGCCCGGCAAAATGATCATATGTAAGATGTTCTGGTATGCCCGTTCTTCTGTCAGTTCACAGCTGAGGTCTCTTGCGGTGCAGACGACTCTCCAGAGCCATCAAAGAAGATGTGGCAACCATGCGTGAGGAAGTCGCAGAGATTGCCAAAGGAGTCAGTACAATAAAGATGAGCCAGATAAGTCCGTCACCCCTAAGAGTAAAATCACAGAACTTGTTCATCTTGATTCCAAGAGCTAGTCTTGAACAGTGTTATGGGCCCTCAATGTTCAAATCCTGTAATTTGGAAATTCTTTGCTTCGTCTAGATACATGTGTCCTCGCATAGCATACTTACGAGATATAGCCAGTGAGCATCAGAGGATCATCGAATGGCTTGACGCGCCAGATCCATCAACGAACTACAACAGAGCGCTGAAAATACGCAACCCAAAAACAGGCTCATGGTTCATCAAGAGCAAGCAATTTGCTAATTGGAACACCGCACGGGGGTCGTTCATTTGGCTGCACGGGATCCCTGGCTGCGGCAAAACCATTCTCAGCTCTACGATACTTCGAGATGTGCTCGAGCAGCACCATTCAGAGCCCAACTCGGCCGTGCTATTCTTCTATTTCGACTTCAACGATGCCGAAAAACAGCGACATGAGAAGGTGTTACGCTCATTGATCTGCCAGCTCTCCAGGTACTGCGCGAATTCGATCCTCCAGAATCTGTACTCGTCAAGTTTGAATGGCAGGCCGCAGCCGACTGAGGAAGTACTGTTAAATACCTTGCATCAAATGATGACCTCTCTGGGAGACACATACATCATCCTTGATGCTCTCGACGAGTGTGCAGAACGTGACGAGCTTCTCAAAGACCTTGAAGAAATTATATCATGGGAAGGTGCGAATGTGCATCTGTTGACTACCAGTCGAAGGGAAACAGACATCGAGGAGGCTTTGACACCATGGAGCGATACGCGGAATCGGATCAGCATTCAGAGCGAACTTGTCAATGCTGACATTCGCACCTATATACGCGACCGGCTTCAGATCGATCCAAGACTTAAAAGGTGGCTGAAACGTCCTGAAGTGCAGCGGGAAATTGAGGATACGCTTATGAAGAAAGCAGATGGAATGTGAGATAAGCAGTCATTACGGCTCTCATTAGGCTAATTTTTGAATGTCAGGTTTCGATGGGCAGCATGCCAGCTCGATTCATTAGGAAACTGTTTTCATCTCCCTCACCTCCGCCAAGCTCTGGTGTCTCTTCCAAAGACTTTGGACGACACGTACGCGCGCATACTCTGCAACATTGACAAAGACTATAATCACTACAATCGGTACATTCTAAAAATACTGCAATGGTTGACCTTTTCTGCTCGGCCATTGCAGCTCGAAGAAATCGCAGAGATCGTTGCTATCGATGTTGACGAGACTCCTCGCTTTGATCCGCTACGACGATTACCCGAACCACGAGACATACTAACGATGTGTTCGAGTCTCATCACGCTGACAATACAACGTCTACAACCCTTCTGACGAAGAAAGCGGCGGTGAGCTCAGTGAGGATCTCGGGGCCCGGATGCAACAGCGTGGCCGAATTTGACCCAGAACCCCATGAAACCTACGTCAGACTGGCGCACTTCTCCGTCAAAGAGTATCTAGTCTCAGACAGAATTCAGCACGGAACGGCTCCGCATTACAGAATTCGAGAGATAGAGTCCCATGGTATCTTAGCAGAAGATTGTATTGCATACCTCCTGCAATTTGATGAGCCAGGTTCTTTGACGGATGAGACTCTTGAACTATCTCCACTTGCTGGGTATTCGGCAATGTTTTGGCCTCACCATGCAAGATTGGCTGAGAAAGCCTCAACCAAAAGCACCACTCTCTTGAGCACGGAACTTTTGATGTCAGATAGAGAAGGCTTTTTGAATTGGATCCGGATTTGCGATCCTGACAATGACTACGAGAACGTGAGCCGCAGCATGGATGGCCCAGCCCCTCCGCTATACTATGCATCGCTGGCTGGGTTGTTCGAGTCAGTAAAGATGCTGATCGAGGGGAGTGTGAATGTTAATGCTCAAGGTGGAGATTATGGCAATGCACTTCAAGCAGCGTGCCTCGAAGGACATATTGACGTCGTAGGCCTCCTACTTGATAACGGAGCTAATGTCAATGCTCATGGTGGGGATCATGGCAATGCTCTTCGAGCAGCGTCAGCATACTGAAAAACATTGACGTCGTAGGCCTCCTACTTGATAACGGAGCTAATGTCAATGCTCAAGGTGGAGATTTTGGCAATGCACTTCAAGCAGCGTCATACAAAGGAGATATTGACGTTGTACACGTTCTGCTTGATAATGGAGCTAATGTCAATGCTCAGGGTGGGGATTTTGGCAATGCTCTTCAAGCAGCGTCAATCTTGGGATGTATTGACGTCGTAGGCCTCCTACTTGATAACGGAGCTGATGTCAATGCTCATGGTGGATACTATGGCAATGCACTTTGTGCAGCGTCAGCCTCGAGACATATTGACGTTGTAGGCCTCCTACTTGATAACGGAGCTAATGTCAATGCTCAGGGTGGGGATTATGGCAATGCTCTTCAAGCAGCGTCAGTCTTGGGTCGTATTAACGTCGTATGCCTCCTACTTGATAACGGAGCTGATATCAATGCTCAGGGTGGACTTCATGGCAATGCACTTCGTGCAGCATGTGACGCTGGAAAGAAAATCTTGATAACGGGTGATATCAATGCTCAGGGGGCATATGGCAATTGATAACGGGGTTGATGTAAATGCTCTGGGCAACGCATTCCATGGCAGTGCAGCGGGCTGCATCTTGAAAACGGGAAACAACTCAAATGGGGATGAATTGCTTTGCAGAGCAGGGCGGGAGGACATGAGGTGAAGATGCTGCTTGATAACGGGGCTAATGTAAACGCCCCGGGCAAGGAGTCAGCTGGGCAGTCCATTGTGGGCTGCATCAGGGCAAGGCTATGAAAATGTGGTGAAATTACTGCTTGACAATGGGGCTGATGTCAACGGCAATACCGGGGCAGTCATTGCGGGCTGCATCAAGGCAAGGCCATGAAAACGTGGTGAAGATGCTGCTTGATAATGGGGCTAATGTCAACGCCCCGAGCGGGAGTCAGCGGGACAGTCCATTGTGGGCTGCATCAAGGCGCGGCCATGAAAATGTGGCGAAGATGTTGATAGCAGAAGGAGCTGTGATGCCAAACGAAGAAAGCACAAGACGCAAGGAAAAGCGAAGAAAAGAAAGCGAAGAAAGCGAAGAAGAAGACGATCCACCTGCGCAGCAGGCCGGAGCGGTTGACCCCTTTGCTACTCCCGCAATCGCGAATTGAAACACCCCTGTTGCAGCGATACGTTGCCTGCCGTTCTCCGGTCTGTATCTCCTTCGTCCCCGAGTTCCGACTGTTCGCTAAGACTCACAACAGGCTCGCTATTGTACCGTTTGGATCAACCGTGGTTGGATTCGTCCAACTGTTCTCCGTCGTACTCGATCGCTGTGTGCAGCTGCGGGGCAAGATCCCAGAGTTTTTCTATCGCTTTACGGCCACGAATCGTCATGTTGAGGCATATGTAACTGGTTTCCTATGCGAAGTGATCAATAGAATGAATGAATGAATGAATGAATGTTCAATAGCAGAAAGTGCAGAGATTGAAGGGATTTAGTCCAGAGAATATTTTACAGCGATGTACGGATTTCTATCACGTAAGTTGAATCGTCTCCCTGGATGGCTGGGACAAAGTTGGCGCCCTACGGGCTGCCATTTGGGGTCCACGAACAGAAAGGTGGTTTCTGTTTTCTTTGCCTCGGCAGGTCGTTCGTGAACCCTTGTTGTTGTGGCCGCTTCTCCTGGGCGTGCACAAACACGGATCAATGCGTGTCCTTAGTAGACGGCCATGTTTCCTGGGCCACACTGAATACCCAGAGATGTGAGTATTGAGCGTGGATAGGCTTCCCTGAGCAGCGGCTTTTCCATTATTGAGCAGTGCCATTGCATCTGGCATGGAGGCAGCCGTGCCAAACTTCCCAACTTCGGAACCGGAATTTGGGATCCTCTCTTCGTTGTGTTCTAAGAGCCTTCGTCAGTGAAGACCTGCGCCTCCCGGGGACTTCTCTTTCCGAATTTGGCCTTGCACGTCCTCAGTGGCCGGGGGAGCGGGCCTGGGAAGCCACCGCAATGTTCTGCTCACAGTCGAAGCGGCATGAGGGATGGTCTATCCGGCCTTCCACGGAAACGGGGAAGTTTGCTCCTGAAAATGCTCCAGTTTTCGGGACAGTAAGAACGGGAGCTCTGGATCATGTGAAGAGGCTGTCATTCCAACGGGGAGCGTCTCCCACAGACGCCAGCTATCTGGAAGGCAAGACGATCATGTGAGTTCGTTTCGAGACGTGTAATAACGTGTAGCGTTGACTGGAACCACAGATAGCAGTGGAATCTCTGAATCTGGAAACTTCTTCGGGTGCTGATGAATGTGGGAGCTAATCCCTTTGCTCGGAGCTCGTTTGGAAAGCTCTACGCATTGGTGCTTGTCTGCCGGTGGCGATGAGTGTCTGCAGATCTTACTCGATGTCAAAGCAGACGTTGATGTGAAAGATAAACTTGGTAGGACGCCACGTTGTCTGGCTGTCCAAGTTGGTGCCCCTCTGAACCTTCTAAAGGCATTGCTCACCTACGAGCCCGATCCGAATAGCAAAGACGGTCACGGCATGATGCCTTTGCTCTGGGCAGCACATTACGACCGACCAGAGATTCATTCATGTTTGTCACGCAACGGGGACTCCGTCAATAATACCAATCCAAATGGACGCACGATACTCCATGTTGCTATTTCTCTCAACAATTATGGTGTATTAAGATTAATTCTGAAGCACTGGCCATCAACTTTGTTTCCAGGCAGATAAGAATGGGAGGAACCTGATCCATCTAGCGGCTTGCTTAGGAGATACTCTCCACCTTGGAAATCCTCCAGACAGCGAGCCTGGGAGGGTTGAAGGACGCAAACGGTGTGGACTGCACAGGCACCACTCCAACCCAACACGCTCAGTGGCGATTGATGAACAACGAACAGTGGTCGAATGGGGTCATAGAGCCCCGGGACAAAGATCCGAACGAGTGTTACCGTGCCTTCGAAACGCTTTTGGCAAGCTGTTGGGGAACCCCTGAGGAAGCTCCCGTCCAAGACCCTGTTTCGCCCTCGTCCCTCTACAACGTTCTGGCTGAACTCGGGTCTGACGACGAAGAGGATCAAGGTCGATGGCGATCAAGTATGGGAGGATTCTCCCGAGAGGCCAGAGTGAAAGTGCGGCCTCCACCAAACGCCGTCTGGGATCCTTCGTTGTTGGTGGAACGCAACGACTCCATTTGCAATCTCGGTGTCTTCTTTGGTTTCCCGTTCCGGTATCAGCGTTGGCATATGGGCACGCTTAGTTATTGGGGCGAATGCATGCCGTTGGAAGATAAACCACTGGTGTCACCTAGCGCTCCCGTTGCGTAGATGTAGGGGGTGTGGTGGAGACGGCGGTGAGGACTGAGATACATGGCGAGGAATCATGGAAGTATGCCAGGTTAACAAAGCCTATGAATGCCGAAAACAAAGCCAAGGTGACAGCATGATAGACGCGAAGTGTTTGGATAGATAGACATGCCACATCCTATGAACTCAAATTGTGTACCTATTGTACAAGTCGCTAGAAAATAATACCTCAAATGCAAATGCTGCCGCATGATCTGCTGTAACTTACAAGCCCTTCGCCGACGTCGACATCTCACTCATATCCAATAGCTCTCGTCGAGTCTTGTGCAACCTTTTCTCATGGAGTCGAGTAGTACCACTGGCCTATTTCTTCCCAGTGACCGTCCCAGCAGGCTTCTTCGCAGCACCAGCAGCACCACCTCCTCTCCCCGTAACAGTCCCTCCGACCTTCCCACCACGTCCAGCCGCGTTCCCGGGTGGCTTCGTCGGGGCGTTGGTAACGCCTCCAGCAGGGCCCTTCAACGCCTCTGCCCTCCCGGTCACCTTGCCCCCTCGACCAGCCGCGTTACCGCCAGCACTCGGTCCCTTGCCAGCAGCAGCCCCACCGGCCGCCTTCTTCTTGTTGTAATTCTCCTTGGCGGCCGCAATCGCCTTCGCCCTCGCATCAGCCGCCACCTGCGCCCCCACCGCACTCCTCGCCTTCGTCTGCTCCGTCTTTCCCGCCGCGCTCGGTGCCGCCGGCATGATCGCCTTCTGCTCCGTCGTCTTCGTGCTCGCCTTGTTGCCGCCCTTGTACGGCGTGTAGCTCGAGAAGCCGCCCGTCCTCGCGGCCTCCTTGCTCTTGGCCAGCCCGAGCGGGTTGCCGGCCGAGCCGACGCGTACGCCGCCCGCGCCCGTCGCGTCTTTGACGTAGTTGGCCCCGTCGTTGACGTAGGAGCCCCAGCCGCCGGCCGCGCCGGCGATGCCGTCGCCGACGTTGCGGCCGGTTTGCGATATCCCGTCGCCGACGGATTGGATGGCGCCGCCGACGGCGGTGCCGGCTCCGGCGACGGTGGTGTCGACGGCGTTCCAGAAGGGGTCGAGCAGGCCCATGGTTGTGGTTGGCGTTGGTTGGTGTGGTTGGTTTGGGGTGGGGGAGATGATGGAGGGGTGTGGGATGTAGTTTTGAAGTTGTAGAGTGTTGTTTGAGTTGTGTGGAGGAACAAGAGAAGATGTTGAAGTGTGGATAGTAGGCCAAGTTGGAGAGCCGCTTGGAACAGGATTGAAATTCAGGGTCTCGATGACGCACATGGGCAGGGGTCTGATTAGTCAAAAAGCCAGTATCAAGTCTTGGCAACTCTGATCGATCATGCAGGAACATCACTTTCATGCACGTCGAACACTGCTAGACTTTCACCATGATTCAGTTGAAAATTATGTAATAGTAAATTAATATACGAATGTTGAGTTCTGTTACACTAATATAAATTTGTTAGTCTAGCTTCGACCTTCAAGCATTTGCGGAGGTATCTCGGCGTTCAGGACATTTGTTGCAGACCTTCGCATGGTACTTGGTATAATCTAATCTACGAAGGCAGCATTGGGTCCTTGCATTAACGATCCCTTGCATGCAGAGTGACCAACGTCGGTCAACGTAAGCCCGTCATAATCGCGTCCCACTAATCCCAACGCAGGCTAAAAAATGATTCGCTGAACGGCGGGTATCACTTGAGGGCTCAGAAGTCAACATGACGGCGTTCGATGAAGACGTCCCCCAAAAATCTCCTCCACAACTTAATCAAGAAGATAGATAAGATCGGGTATCTACCTACCGTACGCTCTGGGAACTCCGGTAGACGTCAGGGAGTTGGGGGCAAACAAGACGATAGGAACCTGGCCCCAGCTCAGTCCGAACTTGACGTCTCTTTCGAGTCATGGTACGGTGATATAGGGAGATATAGAGGAATGCAAAGGTTGGAAAAGGAGGGGAGGTAATTCACTCGGTTGGTGACACAAGAATGTTTTCCCCCCACCAAGCATCATCCTTTTCCCAAAAACACCACACTCCGGAGCAATTACCTCAATACTAGGTCATAGTCAGTCAGAAAGTCGAAATCTGTAAATTAAAAATGGTGGGATGGCTTGTAAGATCAACAATGAAGGATTGTTGTGGTTCTTGCAAAATCGCTAGTTTTGTCTGCCACACCAAACTATTTCGTCATAAAAATAAGCACAAGTCCTTTCCATCCATCATCGCTACTGGCCACAGTCTTACGCTTCTCCCATCTCTTTTGCCAGCAGCTTTCGTTCATATCGCTTCGATCACTTGTTTCCTGTGAACGCCACATTCGTTACCACTGTCTCTCGATTATATATATTCTAAGCAACTGTTGCACACCAACATCTTGCTATTCGGGCGTGCAGTCCATTCACTTATCCACCCTCCCGTGCTGATGCTCAACAACAAATCTGCGCCTTTTTGACATACCCCGGGACGCTTGGGCGGACCTCGCCCACATCGTTTACCGACCATGGGTTCGGACTCCTTAGGTATTTGACGCCTTACTCTGTAACAGCGAGGACGTACTGATACTACAATAGCGACCTACGCTATAGTTCTGATCCTATGTTTTGGCATCCCGTTCCTCATTCTCGTCGTCTGCTGCGGCCTTGTCTGGTGCGGGTTTTGGGTCAATGTCGGATGTGGAGGCATTCTACACTGCTGCCGCCGGGCACGCGAGCGACGAGAAGACCACCGACAAGGGCGGAGATTACGCATGCTACAGCAAGAGGAGGAACGCAGAGAGCGTAGGTCTGAGCAAGAAACCGAGCGGAGACTGAAGCGACAACACCGCGAATGGATCGCTGCAGAGCGATGCTCGCAGGGTGCTCAGCACACTCAACGGCCGATGATCGAATATCCGGCGTCAACACGAGTCCCTCTATCTGCGGTTGCCTCCTCACATTTATTCAATAATAGGAGCCCTCAAGGAACGCTCGGAGCTTCTGCCGGCGTACCTAGCAGCAACAGTCTCGACGGCCATGCTCCTATGACCACTAGTGGAGGCAGTCGCGTTATTGCTTGGGTTCGGAGAAGCACGCCTGGTTTACCTACGGACTCCCGATGCCAAGCGAGCTACACAAGTCGATTGAGTCGACGTCGTCTACAACGGCGGAATCGCAGCCACAGTCTGACTGCCTGGTTACAACCGGGCTCCCCGACAGCTTCCCGAGGCTCGTTGGATCCGGTAGCGGCACCTGCGCCCGCTCATACGGTTCCTTCCTTTCGATTGGAAAGACAGAGCCAGACCTCGATTGTTCTGGCCTCTAACAGATCCAACAGATCCTCTCATCACCGTCTGCTCGGTGAAGCCTGATTCGTTACGATACCATCTTCCGACAGGTGACTTGCCAAATCTGCAGGATCTTAGCTACTGCTAGAGAAAAGTTCCAGTCAAGGCAAAAGACGACGTACATTCATTTTGATGTTCAATACCTTAATTTCCACCTCTTTCCCATTTTGTCCTTGTCTCCAACCAAGGTGTTCCGCCTCTACCCTCGGCGATTGCCATCGCAACCGCACAGAATCGGTTCGGCCATCCACCTTTACTGATCCCGACTTTGTTGGCAAAATTCCACCTTCGACCACAATGACTTCCGCACTGGCACGGCGCCCAGAAGCCAAAAGACTTGCAGAGCTCACGCCTCTCGGGAGAGAGAACGACCTTCTTCGGACGCCGAGCGTCTCTGCTGTTGGGCTTCCTGTCGTTGAAGTGCGATTCGATGTGCAACATGTATATCATTGCTACGACAAAACCTTTTGGATACGGCGTTTTTTCGAGTGGTGCTGAAGCATTGCGGAGCAAGCGACGCCACGTCTCTTCGATGAGGGCGACTGGAGGGTGGTGGCCGCGAAATTGGCGTCGGAACATGGAGTCTAATCCTCGAAACAGTGAGAGTCAGCGGATCTGTACGGCGATATCAAAGTCTCTGGGAAACTGGCTCTCCTTGACGACAGGTACTGATACTTCAGTGATAGCCATGTCCGGACTCAAAGTTCAACTCACACCACACATAGCCATTGCTTTCAGGGTTAATCTTGCATGTTTCATGATATATCTTCTCATATATGGTGAGCGATTCTAGTGTGATGTAACCCCAGTATGAGTCGCTTGTGCGTTTCAAAAATGTTGATGACCCATTCAGCCTATAAAAGTGGCGTTCGGACGTCACACGAGGCATGGACAACTGTCCCACATCTGCAGCAGCAAAGTGGAAGTCAGCTTTCACACTACACCACATCAAGACTGAATACAAGACTGGATACCATAATAGTATCACCCCATGTAACGAGGCTCGCATGCAACCTGAAAAAATACAACAGCGAACGCGATGTCACCGCGACCCTAGGCAAAGTTCACTTGCTCCTCATGCTCCAAGTATGACGTACTCTGCTCTGATCCTGCCGCTTCCTGGGACTGCAACAACCTCGTCTGGTGATCCGGGTTGTTGCCATAGTATGCCGACAGCTCTGCAACTCTATCCTTCTTCTTTGCGTCCGCCAACCCAATATCCTCCATGTACTGAGGATCGAAGCGCATGTACCGGTGGATCGTCGCTAGATCCTGGTGAGCTCGAAGAAACTCTTTTGCGGTATCATCCGTTCGCGTAACGAGCTCGATGAACCTCTTCGCGACGTGCTTGACTGTGCCATTGAGGGCTTTGGGGCCCATTTTCCCAGTGCCGATGGAGAGAATGCAGCGGATGCGTTGGGGAAGCTCGGCGTCGGTGAGATTGAATTGCACAAGGGCTTCGCGCCATAGGATTGAGACGGGGTTGTTTTGGTAAAAGCCGCCGTCGAGGAATGTGCGGCTGATGCCACCGTGGGAAATCTTCATGGGCTCGAAAAAAGAAAGCGCGGCTGTGGACGCAAGAGCTGCTTCGCACAATGTCACCTGGTCGAAGTAGTTGGACTGCTGCTCGAATGGCCGGGCGTAGTTGGTGAATTGGACGTCGTCACTGGTGTTGGCGTCCGTGGCAACAACGAAGCTGAGAATACTGTAAGCCGCCTGAGCTTAAGGGTGCGCATGGTGTACGTGCACTTTGCAGTGAGACGGTATGCCTGCCCTCCTCATGCGTACGGTCTCTGGTGGCATGCCTTGGGTGACACGCGAATCCCCGATCACACTCAGTATACGCTCTCTCAGCCTTGACTGTTGATATTTGGGAGTGAGCTCTCGGCTGAAGATGTTTACAGGCATTACAGGCGTAGGATTGTCAAAGACGTAATCCATGACCTCAATGTATTTCTCAATGCAGGTCTGAACGTCCATCTCGAGGCACCCAAGCATGACGGCAATCAAGCTGTCAGTGTTTGAGAGTCAGTGATGACCGGGCTGCCGCCAGAGAACTATTGCGTTACTCACGCGCCGGTGCTTGTACCTCCGATCATGTCAAAATAGGTGCAAGGTAGCTCATTTCCGACAACTGACATCACTTGCTGCAGTATAAACAACGAAGCCAGACCCCGCACCCCTCCGCCGTCGAAGCACAACAGGCGGAGACCCTGTTCGTTAACTACAGATTGAGCTGTAGTCATGGCTCATTTATGATTCCCAGCTGCAAGCTTTTGGCCTGAACGAATGGCCGATACTTCAGCTGAGAGGATACAATGTCGAGTGGGTCGACACCAATTTTCAAAGCGTTGAGGAAAATCTCAGAGGGTGGGGGCATCGCTCAACCTTGTTGATCCTCAATTCGCATAAGTGCTGATGGCGCTGCTTGGAGTTTTATCATTGGAGGAAAGGAGGCTAGCTTATCATGGCGCGTTTCCAAGGCTTGGAGCTGACACCTGTGATCGTCCGCTCTACTCTAGTAGACATGTGCTGGTTGCGCGGCTAACCAGTAATGGAACGCTTGCCGAGACTGTGGGAAGACCACTCCTGTGGAGTGTTGAATTCATTCTCGAGGGGGAGGACACCCAGCCCCACAGACCCTCCGAGGGTTTTTCGAGGGCTCTTCGAGGGCTCGGCTGTCGAAGCAAGCTTAGATATCTCGGAGAGCTCTCGAAAGGTCAGAGGGGTTTGGATTCTTGATTATCTTCAGGTTGGACGTGACTCTCTAGGAACTGATTGAGGGTTCTTTGAGTATTCACGTCCAAGGGACTAATCTTGTAAGCTCGAGATCATATTTGATATCTTGACTTCTAGTTTTAATTCGCCAAGATTTGTTTAGATGGCACGGTTGAAAACCGTATGGAAGTATTTGGCTTTTAGAAGTTTGCAAACTTACTTTAGTGATAATATATGATAGGTGTTATTGAAGGGATTAAAGAGATGATTGATGAGATTTTGATATTCGATGTTTACTCTAGTCGTTCAGTACCTAAGGTAAGTAGCAGTGCTTCAGCTGGGAAATAGAAACAAATAAGGTATGTTTTAGCGTCAAGTTTGCGAAAACAGGATTCGATTGGTTCGGAGTATAGCACTTGGCATTCTTCGAGTCTACAGCATTGAAAAAGCAAGCTTTTCAAAATAAGTAAGGTAGCTAGTATTACGGAGGTCGACACCAAAAAGTCTTGCACCCGCCACGAAATGGGTCCAGCTGTCGGACAACGCCCCGCCCGGACAATGCGCTCAGAGCTGTTTCGGACCTGTACGAACCCCATTCGAGGGCCCATGCCCCTATCAGGCCCAACAGACGTCCCCATGTTCAGTCTATGCGGTCCCCGGAAATGAGTACCTAGGTAACTCCAAGGTCTTTAGCGACAGGGCTGCCTTCCGAAAGCAGGGTTAGGGCTGCTATTAGCGCATGTGCGAGACCGACCTTTTGGTGTCGACATCCATAGCAGCGGGCCAGCCACTGTGACAGGATCTCGGGTTACGCCCCGCCTGAAGGGTTGCATGGACGGGCTTGTAGTGCAGACCTCCGTAATGTTTACGTTGCGTCGCTTCCTTGTGCACGGTACGTAACGCGAGCAAGGGCGAGATGGGATTGTCTTTTCCATTGTCCAATCACTGCGGCTCATTGCGGCTCAAGACGTTTCGAGCTTGAGTCGACCAATCCAATTATCCTAACATTTGACCTCGCACAGAAGGATGATTTTTGGCAATTTTGACTGTCAACGATTGCAATTTTTCACAGATCTTTCGACTTGTGGTCGAACACATGATTTTGAAGCACGCATTCTGGAACCACTCTGTTGAAGAAGGCTTCAGGCTTCCAGGTCAAAGTCCTGCACGTGCCGTCTTTGACAAACCATTGACTGATTGTTGGGTTATTTACCCATTCAGGATTCCTTGTGCGTTTCAATCGGGGTCGCGCATGCCAATAATGATAGATCGACGATGACGGTGAGTAAGATCCCTCAGTCTCGGCCGAGCTTTGTCGGATCCAAGCTTAAGCGAAGACGGTCAGCTGCCATCCCTCGTGAGGTTGCTTACATATTCCTCTCCCCCGGGTCGCCTCTGTGTGCGCCATTCTATATTGTTATGTTCAGGGAATCATGACTCGTACGGGTTCAACATGTGTAAGAGAGTCGTACCTATTGCGGAAGCGTGCGAAGGAAAGCTTTAATTATAATTCATTGCATACATATTCCACACATTTCACCATGCCGATATTCTTGTGCCAATTATTGAAAGCGATACGACGAGACCTCTCCCCCCACGCCGGATTGTTGAAAGCAAGTAGACAATGCAATATTGGTGGCTGCCGTGTGGCTGCCGCTGTGCAGCAGTCCACATAGAGGTCCGTGCCACAGACTTGGTTCGGGTCTGCGGCGCAGACGCGCTTCTGCCGGAGAGCGTCAATAGACATTTTTGGGACCCACGTATACGTTATACTCTGCAGTCGAGTTGGGTGGCTCGTATTGAATTGAGATGTTGAGATTTGTAGGGGTAGCTACGAGCCGGTTGTAAGTCGCGATTGGAGGAGAAAATAAAAAAGCACCGTCCCTAACACCATTGTACCAGCACCATTAGGAATCGAAGCTGATATATGCAGACGGATGAATGATCATCGATTTATCGAATGCTCGCATTAGCAATTGCCAACTGACCAATACGACTGCACTCCGGGGTTGTGTATCTTGCTTCAATTAAACTCTAAATACTCGTCATGGAATTCTGCATCATGTATCCTGTATCATGTATCATGCATGTCTCCTTTAAAAGCTCCCGAAAAAGTACAAGTACCTACCATGTCCAGCTTGAGGAGGGGGGAGCAAGGAGCATTACAGCAGGATATGCTAACCAGTACAAGGTTAGGCTTCCCTTTCCGGCATCCGCTAGAGCCCGGACACTAGATATGGCCGCAGGATCTAGTCATCCGAGACCCGAGTCATGCAACTCGAGGAACTCGACCTGTGTGACAGGCAAAGGGTCGGTGAAAGTGGGTGTCTTGTAAAGTACATAAGTACATAACAACAAAGTACCAAAAGTATCTCGTATACAAGCATGTGGTAGTAGCGTAAGTAAGCAAGTTGACATACCACTCACGAGTCTCACTCTGAAATCCCATCGGCCATTACTTGTACCCGCAGCAGTCAAGCCTCGGATACGAGCAGAGCAATTTGTACCCTCTCGTCTACCACACCTACTTTCGCTTTCTTTTTCTTGACTTCCTCTTCTGTCCGACATTTGTGCAAGTACCTTACATACATGCAGGATAGGTACCTTTTGATCTGCATGACACTTTGCCTACCGGGTCTAGGCATCTGTAGAATAAATCCCTCGCTTTCCTATCATTCGTCCGCCCTTGCTTGGCGTCACTTGTTTCATGGTCTATGTCCATTGTCACTTTCTCATTTCCGCTTTCCCCCCACCTTTATCAACCCTACCTCACAATCGCACAAAGACATTATGGACGTTTATGTCGACAGTGAAAGACCGTATTCTCCAACCAGACGTCCCACAATGATTCGTCGGGAGCGGAGGGAAGCCAAGCGGAGAATGGTGCTACTCTCTCTTCTGGCCTGCTTTCTCTTTCTCACATTGGTCGCGTTCCGACGACCGAACAGCCTCATGGGCGATTACACTCGCCAACCCGCAAACTCAACAGCATTAGCGCCTTCAAGAACAAACGCCAAAGCAAAGTCATGGTTCAACGGGAGGCCCAAATCGACTGGTCCAGACCTGGGCAATAGCGAAAGACGTCTCCCCGACAGCAGTCTTGCGGATCTGAAGAACTCCTCTCTCGGGGTACGTCCAAGGCGGCTTGTGGAGGGTGAGGAACTGTCACTGACAACACTGCGCTCCACAGTTCGAAAAGGTCTTCGTCCTCAATATGCCATCACGAACCGACAAACTTGACGCAATGATTCTGGCTGCCTCTGTAACGGGCTTCGAATTTGATGTCCTCGAGGGTGTTCAAGGAGATTCCATCTCGAAAAAAGCTCTGTCTGGTGTAAGACTGCTTCTGCCCTCAACAAAGAAGACCCCAACGCTGAAAGTTGCTCTAGAAATGGGAGAATAGACCTGGTATTGAAGGCGTCGTGGGCTGCTGGCGTGGACATATGAATTTTGCCAAAGAGTGCCTCTACCTCGCTCCGTTGTCCAGAACTCACGCTAAATATTTACTCGCCTTCAGGATCGTCAGCAGACGCTTGTCATCAGCCATCATCATCGAAGATGATGCCGACTGGGATTTTAACCTCCGATCTATCATGGAGTACATTGCTCTCGGCAGCCAAGCGCTCCTCGATACGCCCCAAGACGAAGCCCCTCGCTCACCTTATGGTGACGGCTGGGACTTGATGTGGTTCGGCCATTGTGCATCTTCCTCCATCAAAGGAGACGACCGGCGATTCATCATTAAAAACGACCCCAACGTACCCCCACGACAACACCGTGCGAATTATGGAGACATACCGGATATGTCTGCCTACGACGACAACACTAGGATAATGTTCTTCACCGCTGGGAACACCTGCACCTACTCTTATGCTCTCTCATACCACGGGGCTGCCAAGGTCCTGAAGTATCTCTCCATGGATATTTTCAACAAGCCCATCGATTTCGGCCTTCGTGAGATGTGCGAAAAGAAGGACCGAGGCTTTCAATGCATAAGCGTCTTCCCGCAGATCTTCGGCGAACACAAGCCTGCTGGAGCTAACGAGAGAGACTCGGATATAGATCCACAGAATCGGTCCAGCGTCAGGATTAAAGGCTACTCACACAATACTGTCCACAGCACGAGACTGAACGTGGAGCATTTGATTGATGGGCGAATGGACTTGCTGGAGAATCAGTACGGCGAAGATCCCCACCTGGAAGGACCTATCGTTACAGAATACCGGACGGGTGTAGAGGAGCAGATACCGGGCAGTTGAGCATGTTTTGCACGCGATGATTTCCATTACGACCAAGCATGACGTTCCGGTCTCGAGGAGTTTGAAGGACGGGGGATGTAGCCAGGAAGGAGTGACATCACCTCTGAGGCCATTCAAACTGTTTATTGCTCGACCGCTAGAGAGACTGGCATCGGTGAGAAAGGAAAGAAGGGATACTGAGCCCGTGGGAGCCAGACCTGCTATTGCTCGGTTGCTTCACGCATGATCTCCATCACGAATTGGCGCTTGGGGCTTGGGAAGATGCGTGTCAGACCGTGCCTTACAGCGACGGTCTTTGATAGATGATATCCAGCATATGGTACACTGCTTGTCATAAGAGTCAAATACAGTAATACAAAACGGTTCGAAACATGAACTTCCTCTGGATGGCGCTCTATTTTTCATGGCTTTCGCCTACACTGTCCCCTATTTCAGTGACTTCTCTATTCTCTTTAACAGCAAACAGGATGACTCTGGTAATTCCGTGTAGAGCTTGCCCGCAAAATGGACCAAAATCCATCTCAAGGCAGAACTGCTGAGATTTCCCTCCTCACGTGACACCAAAGCCGTTGCAGAATCCCTGCGGTCGATCTCGCCTTCCAACTTTGCGCTAAATTTTGGGCCTGGTCCTCGAAGATCGCGAACCGGAAACACCCTCTCCCACGGCGAGACTTCCAGCATCCCCATCCACCCACCCACCACAATGCGCCCCCAGAAGCCATCCACAGATGCACAAACACGATCGCGGACCTCTTTGACCCCCTTTGCTTGAATTCAACAGCGACGGACAGGCTCCAGCGCCACTCCGCGCCATCATGTCCAAACTCTCTGAACTCCTCAACCCCGCCCCGAGTTCTGCGCGACGTTCTCCCCCCCCGGTTCCTCAACCGTTGGTCTTGGATGGACAGGATCATCGCGCCGGGTATCGTTCTTCGTCTGAGGTTCATGGCGCAAGTCCGACACCATTTGCGTCCTTGACGTCACCTGGGCTCGAAGCTCTGGCTGCTGCCGCGAGCAGTACCGCTCCCATACTCTCGCCTCCTCAGAGTGGCAGCTTTGCGCAGTCGATGTCGTATCAGACTTACAATCACTACGGGTCAAGGCCTGGATCCAGCCATACCTTACCTCCACTTACCAATGACTTCTCTCATGCTGGAAATCAACCTTCTTCTACACATGCCTCTGGTTTAGAACAATACCATCATTCATCTACGGGCGAGAGGAAGCTATCAAATGAGACTGACTACTCCGCTCGACTTCCGCCTTTCGTACGATCACCACCAAACCAAAGTAGTTCCTTTTCAATACATGCGCCAGGTGCCATGGCACAAGACGATCTCATCAGATATGCCAGTGGTGATACGTCGGAACAGGTAGCGATGTCATCGTCACGACTTCACGGCGAGACCCACAAACAAGAACCCTACCAAAATTCAGACGCGCCGGCTACCTCACAAATACGACAACCCTCACAAGGACCCTCAGATTCAATCTTAGCTTCAACTCTACCAAAGACTCAAAGTGATCAAGTTCAGATCAAAGCAGAGATGCAAGAGATCCCTCTGGAAACGCCTCAACAATACGACGGGCAAGCCGTGGAAGGTTCTACAATCGCCTTTGATCAACCTTCCAATACCGGTACCCCCACTCTCAAAAGTATCACAGACATCAAGAAAGACGCAAGCCATACTCCATCACCTATTCCGACAGACTCTGCTGCAATGAAGGCGAAATCAGGGCCGAGCAAGAAGCGGGCAGCTCCTAAGAAGGGGACTGCCAACACAGTGAAGCCGCCTGCGAAGAAGCGCAAGATCGAAAGTGAGAGTGTTGATGGTACACCATCAGCGCAACATACGGGCACTCCTGCAACGAGTCGTGCGAGCCAGACTCCGGTGCCCAAGAATCGCAAGCAAGGATCCGAGACACCTGCGCGGAGTTCGTCCGTACTGAATGGTGAGGAGGATGATGACGATGCTACAGATGATGGGGAGCTCTTCTGCATATGCCGCAAGCCTGACGATCATACTCTCATGATTGCCTGTGATGGACCATGCGATGGTTGGTTCCATGGTCGATGTGTGGATATGCCTGCGGAAAAGACCAAACTCATCTCCAAGTGGTATTGTGAGTTGCCTAATCGTGCGATAGACGTGGACCCTGCTGACCATATCAGGCCCGAATTGCGCCGAGAAAGGGAATGAGACTCTATGGAAACGGATGTGTCGTCTTGAAGGGTGTAGTGAACCCGCACGTGATGGATCAGAGGGCCAAGTAAAGTCGAAGTACTGCTCGGACGCACATGGTGCTGAGTTCATGAGGATTCTCGCGCTTGGTAAATGCTCCGCAGAACAGAAGGATCGACCGGGCAGCAATAAGAAGAGGAGGCGCGACAATTACACTGACAATTTCGGCAATACTGAAGAGGTCTCCGATGATGATCATGCGCATCTGGGCGGTGTGTTGAAGCCGTCAGAGTTGAAAGCTTTGACTGATAGATCGAAGGATCTTAACGCGTTTCGGAGACTAGGTGATGGGGTGCTGAGTCCGCCTGCCACAGTGAGTCCAGAAGGGCAAGATGTCAAGATGGAAAATGCGGAAATTGAGAAACCCAAAGCTACCCTCACTCCAGAGGAGACGGCTCAGCTGGCGGGTATTGCGGAAAGGAAAGCTCGCTGCAAGGCGAGGAGGAAGCTACTGGATGATCGTGACAAGCTTCTGCTATTGATTACTGCCCGGGCGAAGAACGTGCTTGGGGAATTGAAAGAGCAGGACAAATCCATCAACAACATTTGTGGTTACGACTCCCGATTGACCTGGTCTGAAGACGAGTTCAACGAGTGGCGCGCATCGCACGATGGTCAGAAAGCGCTGCAGACGGATGGGGTCCTGGGAGTGCCTACACCGAAAGAGAGAGAAGAGGGTAACGAGGCTACCAAGGATGCGGAGAAAGAGGAGGAAGAAATCGGTCGCGGCGTTTGCAAAAAGAAGCGCTGCGAGAGACATAAAGCGTGGCTGAAGCTGCAGCAACAGGATAATCTCTTCGAGAAAGATCAAGCGAGGCAGGAGATGAGGAAGTTGGAGGCGGAGGAGAGGGGGTTGAAGGATCGGGCCATGATTAGGTGTCTGGAGGGTGGGGAGGTAGAGGGATGATGGAATGGCAACAGACATGAGATCATCGGTGTTCACGCTATCCAGTCAGCAGCGAACAAGCTGGAGGATGGGAGAACCAGGAGGCGATATCAGGTCGCGTTGGATGGAGATTCACCTCAGGCGCTGATGGAGGAGCTCTTAATGCGAGAACCACAGTATCGCATAGTTCAGCATTGCATAGTTCAGCATAGCATGGCATGGCATGGCATTAGTCCTGACAACATCCATAACAACATTCTCTCCTCCGTCTGCAACACTCTCAACCAAGCGTTCTGCAGCAGGAAAAATGGAAGTGCAAGATGACGTTTCCTCATAGGGCTGAAACAGGACGCGCGACTCCTACAACGTGTTTCGCATCTCCATCTGCGTCAGCCTCAAACACGACTACCTACCCTACTCTCCCATCATCAATAAATAATTCCCGGACATACGTACCCCATTCACCCTCCTCAACACGTCCACCATCCTCTACAGTCTTCATCCTCTACAGCCTTCATCCTCTACAGCCATCTTCATCCTCTCCGCCTCCGATCACAACAGCTCCCGATCGGACCTCCTACCTCCCTCCTTCCTTCCTTCCTTCCTTCCAACCTTTCAACGACCCAAAGCTCGCTCCCCAACCACCATGAGCGACGAGGTACCCACCCCCCTCCCCCTCCTTCCCCACCCCCCCCCTCCTCCCCCCCTCCTTCCCCCAACCCCCCTCCTTCCCCCCCCCTTCCCCCACCCCCCCACACCCCCTCAAACCCCCCGCCCCCCGGCTGAACAACAACAGGGCGCCACCCCGCGCGAACTCCTCCTCGAGTGCTGCCGCCGCAACAACACGGCCCTGCTGGCGGAACTGCTGGCGGCGCTGGCGACGCCGGAGCAAGTCGCGCGGCTGCTGAATGAGGCGACGGATGGGGTCGGGCGGTATTGCTTGCATGTCGCGGCTGGGTGGGGGAGTTGTATGTTTTTTTGGTTCCTTTTTTTTTTTTTTTTTTTTTCTTCCCCTTCCCTCTCTTTCTTTCTTTTTCTTTTTTTTTTTGGGGGGGGGTTTCTTGTTTTTGAGTGGGAGTGAGGGGGACGATGGCTAATTCGTAACCTTTTGGGGGCGGGCAGATGAGGTGCTGGATACGTTGCTGGATCAGGAGGGGTTGGAGGTCGATCCGGTCGATCGGATGGAGGCGGATATACCGTTGCATAAGGCCGTCCGGTTCGTGAATGGGTTGGCGGAGGATGGGTGGGAGGCTGGGGCGGGGCTGGTGGAGTTGCTGTTGGATGCCGGGGCGGATCCGAGGTCGGTGCCGACTCTGTCATTTTTCTTTCCGTTCTTCTTCTTCTTCTTCCGCGCTGTTGGGTTTCTGGGGGGATGGTTTGGGGAATCGGGGTGGACTCTTGGGCAAGCGTGCATGGGATTCAACAACGACTACGAAGCTAACGTCCTTTTTTTTCTTCGCCGGCCGAACAGGATACGCAACAAGGCGAAGCTGAAGCCGTTCGAGCTCGTCGACCCGCGGAATACGGAGTTGAGGTCTACGCTGCAGAAAGCCGAGTTCGCGATGATGGCGGGTGACGATGTGGTGGGTCGGGACGGGGAGGATGAGCAAGGGCCGACGGGGAGCGCGAGTGACAGCGAGTGATGGGTTGGAAATGGACGTGGGCACGGGGAGAGATACGCTTGGGGCTGCATGGATTGGGAAACACACGTTGCATAGCCTGGCGCTGATGGGTATGGATTCCTTTTGCATCAGGAGCGTCGGCTTCAAGCAGGATGGCGTGTACATTAGATCTTTGCACTTTTATCGAGCGACACATGCATGCATTGCAGTCGCGGTCGATTCACAGTCGTTCGCTCGGGATGAATGAAGCTCGCTGCTTTCCGTCCAATCCTGCTTCCCCTCTAAATGAAAACCAGTCCCCCATACCGCTTCCTACCAAAATGCTCAACTGTCCCCTTTCATCAGCACCTGCTAATTTGATGATGCTCGGCTGCATACTCACACCGTGCATACATCTCATCGCTCCATCGCCTGAAAACTCCAACAAAGACACTTGGCCTTCTCGATCGAGAGGTGCATCTAGGTATCTCGTAATTAGGTATGATCATGGCCGGTATCGTGGCCGCCTCGACATGGGGGTTCTCGTCCGCGGTTCTTTTACTTGGGTGGCTTTTCGTTTCGAACGAAGTGTCTCTCTCTGAGTGTGTATGTATGAGTGGTTTTTCCTGCACAGAGGCTAGGTCGGTCTTCTCAAAGCTTTGGCCCTCTCCTACTATGGCTCCTCCCTCGCACATCCCTTCCCTAACCGTGTCTTTCATACCTCCATCCCCCCCTTCCCTTCCCTTCCCTTCCCTTCCCCACACCCCCTTCAGTTCTCCTTCCACCTCTGCGCACATGTCGTACACTACATTCTCCCCTCATCAGTCATTCTTCTTTCCCCCCCACCTGAGCCGGTTCCCATTCGTAGAAAGAGAGGACCCAGACACGCACCTTGTAGAACGTCGTCATGGGCTCGTCCGCGCTCCGTATCTGCACTTGGTAGAAGAAGGCCGAGGAGCCGTCGCAGCCTTCGCGGGGGCATTGCGCTGTGAGGGGGAGAGAGAGAATGCGTTAGCGTTGGTGGAGAAGCAGTGGTGGCGTGGGCGCTCGTTGAGATGTCGAGTCTTGCGATAATTGCTTCCAGAGCTACCCCTTCTCCGAACCCCCTTTCTGTCTATCCCTCTACCCCCTGCCCTACCCTCCACTTCCTTCCCTCCCTCCCTCCCTCCCCCCCCCCCAAAACAACGAAAAGTATAAACGACACTCACCGTCCGCCTTGTCCACATTCTCCCACGCCTCCTTCCCCCCAATCACGTCCTCCACCTCCTTCCGCTTCATCTCCCGCCGCTCGTAGTATTTCTGGTCGATGAGGAATTCGTACGGGCAGGTGCGGCATTCGAGCCGGTTCTGCCCTTCGGGGAAGGAGAGGGTCGAGGGCGCGCGCGAGACGGTGAGGACGTTGGCGCAGGAGGGGCAGACTGGGGGACGGTGGGTGGGTTAGCTGGGGGGGTTGTTTTGATGCGGGAAAGGGGGGGGAGGGGGGGAGGGGGGAGGACAGAGGAGCATTTTGGTGGGTGGTGGGTGGTGTGCGGAGTTTCAGAGTGTCGAGTGTGGGGTGTGGGTCTTTGGTGGAGAGTGGTGTGTGGAGATCGGTCCTTTCAGCTGCGACAATTTCTCGGCTGCATTGCAATCTTATCTGTCGCTCTACATGTCTCGGTGTGCGCGAAATAAACTGCAGAGGGGGCTAAATTTTCCCCGCGAACCAGAATTTTCTACCAAATCTACTCCCTAATTGTATTCCACATATTCCACACAGTCATAATATCATAATTATGGGTACACGCAAGGGTCAAGATCCTCCTAGAACCCCCAGAAGACGTCTTGAAGGAGGGATGACAGGCCATTAATAGTGTAGTTATCATAGAAAATGTACTTGATTCTCTGGCGCAAAATTTAGCCACTCTGCAGTTTATTTCGCGCACACCGAGGCATGCCTCGAAGGTCGTATCACGCGTACATGAATGGGTAAGGCTATATCTATCTCACGACAGATAATCCCCTGCAATGTTAACAATTTTCTGCGGCGAATATTCCCCACGGTACAGTTGTTTTTACGATTTTTGTTACCTTGAATCCCCTACGGTACCCGTATATTGTAAAATCCCAGCGGTTTTTACAACTCACATAGGAGGCAATTGTCTCAATGAGTCGCGCGTCGTCCCTTGAAAATATTATTGACTATATATGACTTGGCGCGAGAAGACGTCAAAGCAAGGCTCAAAACGGTTTGATTAGAATTTAGTGATGATTTCGATTGAATTTCGTTTTTTAAACCCCTAAGGGCGCCGGGGGGTTTTTTTTTTTTTTTTTTTTTTTTTTTTTTTATATTTAATCACCACTTTTTTTCAACTTTTTTTTTTTTTTTGGGCCCCCCCCCCCCCCTTTTTTTTTTTTGGGTTTGGGGATATCTTTTTTATTTTTCTGTAAAGTACTTTACCTTACTTTAGCTGTAATTTTGACGATACATCAGTTGGTTGCCGTAGAGTCCCTTCATGAATGTACTTCACAGCCTCCAAATATTCTGGATTGATAGTGTGCTGGTCTATTCAGAAGGCCCTGCTACTTTAATAGAGGGCTAGAACCCCAGACCAGATTGAGTAAGTGTCTTCATTGGCCTGAACCTGTACTTCACAACCCTGAAATCTGATTCCTGAAACCTGGATCCTGTGATCTTGGTTCTGGAAGGCCTACAAGGATGAAGATGAAATGGTTGCCTCCTTACTCTGCTCTCATCTGCTGAACCACAATCCCGAAACAATGCCATGTTCCACATGATATAGCTTGACAGGCAATCTAAGGCTGGACTTTCAACGTGTTCATCCCTTGCATGAGTGTAGAATAATCATTCTTCGCTTTCACAACCTCTTGATCAGCCTTGCTGATATCAAAATGTCTCCGTGCAAGATTAGTTGGATGAACTTACCGTGTTTACCATTTCGTCAAGTCGTCGATGAGCTTGTTGATTCTCTTGGCTTGCACAAAGTCTTGACCCTCAGACTAGTCAATGGTACGTAATTACCCCCAAGAAGGTTATCATGGTAATGACTTCATTAGTACGGCTCGATCACGAGATACTGGATGTAATCCTCGCACGCCAACTAATCGCCGAACGCAAGGGTGTACCATTCCCTTATATACGAAAACCAATCATGACCAAGCTGTTGCTCAAAAGAGTTGAGAACCCTAGAATCGATGAAAACCCCCTTATTCTAGCAATCCGTCGAACAGCTGAATCGATAAATGGTACATACCGGCAACATATAGATCTACCAAAAGATGGCGTCAAATACATACTTTGTACAGCAGCGGTGAACCATCTCGGCTCCCGTAGAACCGCACAGTTGATGGCCTCCTCATGCCAAGGGCAAATCCAAGCAACCCACGATCCAAATGACCTCGTCACTGCGGCAGCACTGCTTGGGAGCTTGGAAGCGCTCGAAATCTTGCTTTCCAAGGGAGCTGAAGTCAGCAGTGTAAGCAAGTACTTTGGCACCCCCCTGCAAGCGGCAGCCGCACAAGGACATCACGAAACCGCTCTGTGTTTGCTCGAGCAAGGAGCCGATATCGACTATGTGGCACTACGATCAGCCTCACGACGAGATCATAAACCAGTTGTTCGACTGCTATTGGATCCTGTATACAATCTGAAAAGTTCAGGAGCCGATTACGAGAATGCTATAATGGACGCCGCTCATGCCGGTCACACTGATATGGTGAAATGCTTGTTTGAAAGGGGTAGTTTCACCAACATATCGAATTTGCAATATGAGGTACTATGGACGGCTTGTAGGTTCGGCTATCTTCGAATAGTTCAAATCATGCTTGATCAAGGACTTGATGTGAATGCCACAAAAATCGGAGGTTCACGCGCTCTAGAATCTGCCGCTTACTACGGCCATGTACCCGTCGTATCCTTGCTTTTTGAGAAGGGAGCAGATCTTCAATACGAAGGTAATGAGTGGCATGCCGTACATGCAGCAGCGAGCAATGGACATGAAGAGGTAGTGCAGATGCTCTTGGACAACGGCGCCGACATCAACTCTTCTGGGTCTCGTAGCCTCACCCCTCTCTGGGAGGCCGCCAAGAACCAACAACTGAGCATGATGCGGTTTTTACTCAACAATGGAGCGGATCTGGCGGTCGATGAATGTGGTGACTACGCCTTCTTTCGCGCCGTCATACAGGGACACGAGCAAGTGGTACGTATTCTAGCAGAAGCAGGTGTCAACGTCGACGGTGTTCCCAGCGACTCGGAACCTCCACCAATACTTAATGCGATGATACACGGGCAGAAAAGTATGGTCAAGGTGCTGCTTGAGCTTGGAGCGCAATGGGTGGACCCACTAAAGAGTGCCTGGGGTGAGAAATTTCTGGATGGTACCTACCCAATACGCCCGTCACCTCCAACTTTTCTGAAGAATTGAGAGACATGGTTGAATTAGATTTTTCTGTGTCAAGCATACATGGTCTTGTCATGGTGTAATTGATTAAGCACAGGGTGGTTGGTGTTCGCGTGGACGGGCGACTACCTTATCTTTCATCGCCCAAACTCCTGGTTCAAGATCTACACATCTCCACTAGTCAATGTTTTTCTGTAGAGAATAGGAGTCACCAATATGGCGTCCTGAGACACACTGCTTTTGCGAAGACTTCCTTTTCAAACGGCCGAGCTCGAAGGACCACAAGGTTTGTCCCGGCTTCGCAGAAGGTCTGTCCCATATACGACCTCGACGTCGATGAGTCGTTTCGTACCTTGGCAATTTGCTCCGAATGTTTGCATCCTGGGTTGTCTCCAGATCGCTTGCTCTTCAATTTCCGAGATCAATGCGGATGCTGAAGTCGTCTAAGTTGGTTGGCAATATCATCTTGATGAGAATCTCAAGATTATCAAATCTTCTAGCTCAGAGATACTCTCCCTTATATCGGGCCGCAGTTTCTGCGGGGCTTGGATGGACGGTTCACGGTCGCTAGATTATGATAGCCACGTATCTGTATTATCATTGTTTACTATTTTTTTTCAATAAATGAAAAGATGTTCATACTGCTGATTTCTAATGGAACAGTCTCCCTCGGCACAGTGACCTGTCGAAACGAAGAATTAACAGAATCGCACCGCCGAATGCATTATACAGAAGAGCCTATGCCTAACCCTCACGCCATCATTTTCTACATTGGGGACACTGTATGTCTTCGCTACTTGTCTGGTTCCGGCTCTGGAAGCTCAGAGCGAGCTTGGTGAAGTTGGGAGTGCTCTATTCAATGCAGACTCTCAAAAGCTGTAGCGGCTTGAGAACGCTTTGCCTAGACGAAGCACCTTTTTGGTTCTTTTCTGTAAACTTCTAGCACCTTGCAATACATGACTAGGACTCCTACGATGCACGGACGCAAGTCATCCATCGGAAACTACCGAAAAAGGCACGAAGCCCCTCAGCCACCGCGCGAATGCACGCCATCCAAGCCTGCGCTCGCGGCCACGTAGGAACACCGTCCCAGATCTGAGCTGCGTCCTGAGATCAACTCCAAGCGCAGATCGTGATTCAGTCTCTCGCCGCTTCAAATGTTCAACTCAGCGTTGTCGGATTCTTTTCAACAAACTTTGGGTCGGAGACTTGGCAGAAGGCTGGACTACATTCTTGGCAGTACGGTACCTTTGGTACGTGATGCGATTGAAAATTTGATAGAAGGACCTTGGGTCTGGCTCCACTAGTGCGTGTCAAATCATCGGGTAAGGTAGAGATTGACTTGGGGGGCGTGTTTCATGTGGTACGAACGCAAAGGAGGTGGGCCGCACTCTGTTAATCGGGAGTAGACCGAATTGGGATACCCCCTTGATGATAGATGGAGATTGGCGATCCTTCCGAGAGGATACTGACTGAATGATGTTGACACCCACAGTAATCGTATCGCATCATCGTCTGTGGACGTATTCCGGAAATTAACGCGATGGTGGTTCGTGGGTCTCCGTGCGGCGCGTGTGGGTCGTGCTGGCGAGGCTGATGGATGGAGACGGTGGGTGGAGCTTGGGATTGGAAACCTGGCCGGTGGGTGTATCGGCAGGTTCTCGCCGTAGGTCTTTCATCGAGATGGTCGCACTGTCAAATCATCAGAATATGTTGTACAGCGAACCCGATCCCTACATTCTAAAAAGAATGATGCTGTCTACCCCCCTCACACAACTGTCTCATGCTACTCGCAATATTTGGGACTTCCATTCCCATCAGCTCATCTCCGCGATTCCGGCCCTTGTATGCCCGCGCGTTGCCCATCGTCGACTGTGTCTTCACGTCGAAGCAGGCGTTGGGTTAAAGCAGCAGAGCGCGAGCGACACCATTCCTCAACTTAGCGGGTATCTCATAGTCGATACACTCAACCCTAGGGCCCCAATAACCTCGGGTGCTCACGAGTTCCCTTGGCGCTGTGCACCGGGTTGTCGCTAGGGATTAGATGAGTTGGGTTGCATTTGCTTCGGGCGCTTTGCAAACCAGCGGCTCCCTGGCACGTTTGCTCTACATAGTTGCTGTTGTCGGGTCGGAAAGGGCGTTCGTTTGCCTTGTCGATCACTTCCGACAGGTCTTCGTTGCTGTCGTTTTTCAATGGCGGCTGGAAGGTCGGTCCTCCACCAGAGCGTCAGCCACGGTTCAAGGCCAGAAGGTCGTTCTTCCATTGCTCCTGTAGAACACGTCCTGCGTCTGGGGTCCTCTGGAACTGTGTCGGCTTGTGAGCTCGGGAAGGCGGGCTTGTGGAGCGGAGGAGCTTTGGGTCTGTTGCTGTGGAACGCTATCGATCCATATGAGGGTGGCAGTATAGGTACAATCTCCGACTTTGAAATTGGGGGTGTACTAATTGGCTTTACAAATTTTACAAATATCGCCAGGCCGAGTCCTTTCCGTGTCGTCGCTACTCACAGTGACGTTGAGAGCAACGGCAATAGCGTCACTTTTATGCAGGGCGAGCATGACGTATTGGGCTTGCACAACATGGTCTGTGTCCTGGTGATGTACGATATTGTAAAGGTCGACGGGTTGGGAATCCATCCGGCTGTTTGCGTCGCCGTGTCGCTGCCCTATGCGATTGCCTCGCACGTCCTACAGAGCCAAATGTGGGATGCATCCCCCGGCGTAGTCTCCACGGCCACTACCTGCCTGGACGGCGGTACTTTGCGAAGTGAGGAACGTGGCTTTGGTTCAGGTCTTCCCAGGGTACGGCGATACTGGCGATGCCTGCTATACCGTTGATGATGCGATGGGCCATCTTGTTCGTATGAAAGGGGCAATGTTGATTTAGTATCCCATCTTTCGACCTCTGTATGGGTTGAGTTGGTCGAAGTGGTGAGACCGATTTGAAAATTCGAAGCGATCGTTGTCGTTTCTGATACGTCTGGGATGATGAAGGATTTCAGAGAAATGGACCAGGGTTGTTCGTGCATTTGTTATGGATGGGTGTGAAGACAATTCAACACAGCCCCGAATTAGATGACGTGGTTTCGGTGGGCAGCCGGAGACTTTTAAGATGGAGGACTGCCAATCTCCTCGGTAGGGTCTTGGGTTGCAGCCCGACACAAGCAGCTCCAAATGAGCAGCCTATGCATGAACAGCGAAGGCACTTTCATCTCTGGATGAAAAGAGCTCTGTTCAGCTCGAACACGGCCGGGCATTCCAACGGTGCAAAGAGCGGAATGGCAAACCATTTTCAAATTACCATGCGTATATAATAAAGGATCCGGTGTCACCAAATCCTTAAGACACAACCCAGTGGTGTATGACGGTGATATTGATCTAAGAAACCTGCTGATACTATGGAGCATACAGCTCAGTGGTTTATAATAAGAATTTTGAGATGAAACCTGTCTAAATGAGGCACACAGTTGCTGAAGTATAGCAAGGATTGTGACATGAGACCTGTTGATATGAGGCAAATTGACATATTGAGCTCAAACATGGCGGAGCACTTCAATGCTAGGAAGGACGAATGCCCTAGATCTTTCATAGTAATACGCATCAGACTCAACAGCATCTGGATTATAAAAAGCTCAGTGTTTCCCGCTGGTCTATAAAAAAGGTCTTTCACCATCATCGGCTTCAACATCGCCGGTTCCAATAGCAACAGTAACTTTTGCATCATCATCGGCTTCAATTTCCCAGGACCCATTCGTCTTTGTCTATTTCCTGAGCGTTCGTGAACGAGACTCGCAGGATAAAAATCATCCTCGAACGCGAGTAAAAACAACATCTACCGTCTTCAACATGCGGCTCACTCTACGACATGCCCTTCTCGTGGCTGCCGCTGGTGGATTGTTGTTCAGAGCGTCTTCTAGACCTCGTAAGTTTTTGGCTCTTCTTCGACAGGCAGTCCAACAGTACTAGACTGACGACTCGAGCGAGTAGAGTCCGAGCTGTCAAGTACTCAGCTTGGAGCGGCGCGTGGACATCGACCCCATCGACCCCGATGCGTCCATGACAGATGCCCCTGGGACTCAAGAAGCTTCTGGAACACAAGGGGATGATGCACCGGAAGATCCTACATCTGCTGATCCGGCCACCGGCACCTGCTGCTGGCGCAGCGAGTGGTCCAAAACCACCGTTAACGGTTCCGGAGTTACAGGCTAGGGGAGATACCGCCATTGAGAATTTGAATAACGCGATCAGTCAAAACACCCCCGACAAAAACGCAGCCAACTTCAAAAATGTTTACAAAGTGACCGATGTTAAAGCCATGAGAGCAGCGCCAGATCTCGGTCCAATTTTACGAGATCCAGCATTGTCCGGTGGGAGCAAGAACCCAAGGTCAGGCACCTATACCGAATACACTGTCATCAATAAAGTTGGAGGCGATCCGAGAGACCCTATCCTGGACTTGGAGGTCAGCGGTGACCAAGGCACCATGATTAACGAAGGCTACGCCAATAAGGATAACCTACCACAGGGCCAGAGAATCCATTGGTCCGATCAAGCATTCCAAGCATGGAACCTGGAGGAAGGGAACCCTCGATGGGATTTGGTGATACAACGCAACATCCGGAACGATGACACTAATAATGCCATACAACAATTCCATACAGCGTCCAAACTCCGTAACAACCAGCCCGGCGTTTGGCTACCGGGAAGCGCCCAATATAAAGCTTTGATGGGTACCGACAATGGTCGTTCGGTAGCACGCATGCTCCAAGATCATCATCAGGCCTTTCGAAACGAGAGAGTTACCAAAATTACCACTTACGCCACGGGTGGGTCCCGGACGAAGTCGCTCATGAGCTTGCAAATCGGTTAGGTTGAATCTCAGCAGAAAAAGGATGGGGAGGGCGGAAAGCAACATGGGAAGGTTGCGGATAGGGTAGCTAAGGTTGAATTTGGGGCTTCGTCGAGCTTTGGTTTGAATTGTCTCCTTTTGCTTGTGCCTGTGCAGATTGGACTTCAACGTTGATTTGATAACTGATTATCATTTGGAGGGGAGAGGGTATGAGTCTAATTGCTAGTATAGAAGTTGACGGTTAGCATTGCTCAATCAAATAGATCATCCAGTTCCTCCACATAACATTGAAATCCGACTGCCTCGATAAAAGCATGCAATTTGTAAGGCGCTGTTAATCTTTGTAGATTTCTGCCCACCGAGGCCAGCATCAGCAAGCTACTGAACAAACCATCCTGTGTTGGAGGTGGTGTATCGGACAGTGCCAATGATGTGGGTATTCAATTCCAGAGCGTGTTGAAATGACTCCGTGGCTATGATCGATGTATCCACTGAAGCATCGTTCGAAGAAACTTTGTTCGCTTGGTGAACAGGTCGAGCCGAGTAGATTCGCGCGGAATGCACGTATGTTTGTCCTTCGATCGGCCGTTAACGAAGCTCCTAGGATATCATAAGACGCTCCCACTGCAACCCGAGGTCAGTGATGTCCCCAGCGCTTCTCGGGATGTCATTCAGAAGAGACGAAATCTTCCAGCCCAATACATGTGGCCAGTGCAGCAGCCTCCGTCTTTGTGCGCTCGTGGGCATGTCTAGCTAAATCAATGCTGCATTACAGGAGCCCGACAGAGCGAGATTGTGGTCGGCCTGACTCTGCACAGCCTTGACGAAGCTCGACCCCGTCAACGTCATGGGAGTGTCCGGAGTGGGCATTGTTTGAAAATGTCCGCTTGCAACTGCCAAGCGAACGTGGGGCTACCTAGTAGAGTACTGGTTAGGACTAAAAGCAATAGGCTAATAGCTTTGTTCTGGAGATGGCGTGGATCAAAGATAGTCAAACTCTTGACATCTTAAGTAATTTTCGAAATCATAGTGACCTATGTTGGAAAACACACATTTCACGAACCCTCCAATGTAAACAAATAGACTCGAAGGACTTGGCAATGCCAAGCCTCCTTCATTAGCGCCGAGATTTCGGCAAATCCCGGCACAATTTTCAACTCCCAAAAAGCACGCCTTTGTCAAGTGCCATGACTCTGAATAATTTTCGGTACCTTTACTCCTGAGATGGGCAAAATTTTTGGATAGAAACCGCAAAAATAATTGCGTTAGGAGGGAATCGAACCCCCGGCTCGTCGATGGCAACGACGAATTTTACCACTAAACCACTAACGCCGTCTCGCTTCGATGGAAAATGGTCAGTTATTTTAATATATAAACTAGATTAAAATAAATTAAATAATCCCTCGAGAGACCTCGTTCAACCCACAATTCCCTAACCAGTGTAAATGCGATACAAATCTAAAACACAGATTGCTCTTCTTGAAAAGCGCAACGGCTCCGCAAACAGAAAAAGTTTTATGGCGCTACGAATACTCTACCCTATGCTAGCTTACTTTAAACGGTTGGCAATCATGCCGTTGACGTTGTAGAGTGTCGGCATAGCACACCATCGAGACTCCACCTTGGCACCTGTATTTCCACGATGGCTTCAATGCCTGTTGATAAACAATCCCTCCTCGCTTGTTTTTTACTGTTGTGAATTAGCTGGTTGTCCCCTTGCTGAAGCTTGGACGACTTTTGTTGGACAGGTCGAGTCATCGAATTAGTTTTCAACCGGTCATGTCTCCGCTATAAAACTAGTTACGATTAAACGAGTGGTATATGAAACGCTTTTCGCGTCATAGTAAGCAGTTTCTCCTCATGCTTTGTGATTCGTTTACGGCAGTCCTGCCGCGAGGATGCAGTCGAGCGTAGCTTCTTAGCGAAACATTTTGAGGCCAAGGTCTCGTCTATAGACTCATACGAATTTGATTGGATTAAGGTATCTTAACCGGAACGTTGTGCACCATCACAATTGCTTATGGAGCTATACTATGCTCCTGGATTTCGCTAAGCCTACGATCCCTGCTCACCACATTTGAAAGGACTTCGCCCTTCTCATAGTACTATCATTTTCTTGTCTCTATATAGTATGTACAGTCGCGAGTGAGAACATCCTGTGGTTTCTGTGTATGTATCACGGCAATGCTTGGCAATATGTCTTCATTTCTGCAACGACTGTTTGGCTGGTTTTCTCTGCTTGAGCATTGTCTGTTCTGATCTGTAACACCAGCTGGTGGCGATTCTGATAAGCCACGGGTGAGGATCATGGCTATTGGTGTGACCGTAGCGCTGGAACAGCCCCAGTCCACGGACGGACGGGTCTGGGTGGCGTCGTGGTGGTATGGTTGCCGTGGTGCTAAAGGTGGTTCTTGTAAATGGCTTGCGCTGGGTGGGTGCAAAGAAGTACAAAGGGACCTTATGGCAAAGGTGCTCCAAATGGAGTATTGAGGAAGGCAAGTGTCGCGCCGCGGGCTTGCGGTGCTTTGAACTGAAAAGGACCGTGACGATGGTTATCAGGATTGAAGACTGTAAACTTGTGGAAAGTCTTCAAACTACCTTGAGCCTTCGAAAATAAATCGACAATCCTTTGCTCTTTTCCTGCTCGATACGCATAGGATTGGGGTATGGAATATTCTATGAACTTGTGAAATTGCGGCTCGGAAAGGAAGATTGGGCAGAGGCTCAGTGGACCGAGAACACTGTATGATTCTCATATTCCAGGAACGATGATCAGATATTACAGGATTGAAGTCGTGGCAGGGATTCCTTCGAAACCGAATGAACGGTAGAGTCCTGGGCTTGAAGACGCTTTTACATATTGTCGGCTCAAGAAACCCAGGACTTGACCCATGCTAAAGGAGCCCTGCTTGGCGGCACCTCAGTGACAGGAACAAAATTGCCTGACAGGTTTTTTGGGTCTCGCATTTCCTCGTGGGTCGAGGGCCAACGAGGATACAAACCCCGAGTGCCGACGCTGCGTCTCATCCATTCTCCCACTCTCCTCTCCTCCAAAGCCTCCCACGTGCAACATAGGGTACGTTCCGAACACCACAATCCTACCACATGTCATTACTAAACAAGACCATAAACCCCCAAACGTCTTCAAGCTCGGGAGTCTCAAGAATCTCGGAACCCTCTTCAATATTAGTGAGATCATCAAAATCGGTGTCATCCTCAATCTCAGTAACGTCGTCAACCTCAGGAGTCTCCTCGATCTCGTAGGGCTCCGGAGTCTTGCGATGAACCAACCTCAAAGCTCCTCCTCGCTGAACTCAGCGACTCACTCTCATCATCATCAACGACTTTTCATGTTCCTAAAAGGTCAGATGTGGCATGTCGCTGGAGTCACGGTGGGACTTTTGGCGGACTACGAATTCAATGTAGTAATAACCCTTCTCATCTCGTTCATCGCTCAGACGTAGGGCCAAGTCTTCAAGTCTCCTCGAGTCTTCGAAGAATGGCCAGCTGGTACCGTCTGCGTTTGTCGACTTGCTCCTGATGAACCTTACGCCCGCGAGCACTTTGTAACTTTCATTGAAGCGACAATCAACCGTCACTCTTTTTTCATTATTCCTGAGAAGGCGGACTTCGGCTCTGTGCGTGGGTATGTAAGTGTCACAGTCGTCGGTTTCTTCGCTGCTGCTGTCGATGCTTTGTGTTGAAGTTTCTTTTATAAGTATAGAAAATTGAACAAGCTCTTTCGAGTCAGATCTCCAATCCTTTTGCGTTGTTTCTTGCGGTACGAAGACTAGGTTATGATCGCAACGCCAGACAAACTCATAAGTCGAAATCGGTTCTTCAGGCTCTGGGACCTCAGCGAGCGGCTCGGTCTTGTCCGGTTTTTCGGCAGCTTCGGTGTTAGCAGCTGGCTCTGCAGCGATGGGAGCAATGGCCATGGCGGTAGCGGTATCCGGAGCAGGAAAAGCTTTGATGTCAAAAGCTTTGTTTCCTGCCTCAGAGGTGATAGTAGTGGACTTCGGGAAACAAGAAGCCTCGGTGTCAGAAAACTCGTCATCTGCGTTATAACGGGATTTACTAGGGCTGATTCCCAATGTCGGAAGACCAATCTGCTATGAAGGAGGCCATGGCATTGATTGAATGCAAAGAAGCCCAGATGCTTGGCGGACTTGTCCGATTTTTGGCAAATCCAGAGGTACGAATCTTGCTTTCCGTATTAGACAAAAAGGACGGAAGGCTCATTTGGCTGTGGATCTGTCCGCTCTTTTAATTTATCTGGTACTTGTGAACCTTGGGAACCATGCTCTTTTCGTGATGCCTAGCAACAATTGCAAGATATCTCCTGCATCCGGTCAAGGCATATGAGTAGGTGGTCGACAATTTCTTACCATATAGAACACTGCTGGGCGCGGAGGATGTTCGGTAAAGCATAGCAATCACACCCTGCCTTAGTAGCCATTGCCTCGGAAATACGGTCGATGGGACCTTCGACCGTGGTTTTTCAATTGGGGTGGAACTCAACGGTCTGAGGATCGGGAAAATAGCTGGTAGCTTTGGAGCAATGGAGAGCCCCAAGGATATAAGAACAGTGTCGCAGAAGGTTTAGCGTCTGCTGATTGACTATCTTAACTGTCACATATGGTGCGCACGTAGAATCTACGAAATTGAGCACCCTTCGTTCCACGTCCCTTTCTGAGACTCTATTGCAGATTTTTGTCAGTGCACCATTCCAAATTGAGTCCTGATCTGCAAACTCCTTGTGCTCGCCAGCTTCGATATACGTAGTTCTGGAATCAAGTCTTGCCCCAAGCACACCACGCACTCGATCAATCATCCGTGCAATACCTCCCCTGGGTCTAGATCGCAGATAAATTGGAACCCGTAATCTCAACAGCCCACCGTGATCATTGTGGTTATCGAAGTCACCCAAGCACGGACACATTCCTAGGGTCTAATTCCAGTGCCCACATGCAATATCAAATGACGCGTCCAGGTAACGACGATGCCAGCAACCTGAGCCTCGACGCTACCCAAAGTAGCAGAAACATCATCTGATGCGAAGGCTGTCTCTGCACCAGCATTGGCAAGAAACCCAGTGGCAGCGTATCTCGAAGTAGCTGATCCTCGAGGACGCACAAAGTAGATTTGTGTATTGAAGTGAGTAGAGCTCGCGAGAGTCAGACGTTAGATGGATTATGGTGAGGTCGACAACAACGAAGCGTGGGATACCCTCAGGGACGTCAGTTGGGCATAGTAGTAGTAGTGCAAGTGCAGATGGTCGCCAACATTCTGACGAGGCCAGCGCGTGAGGTGGTTTGGGAGTGGGGGTCCCGACGCCCATCGTACATGGTAGTAAGGATGTACAGAACTCGAGTGCGGCTGACTGATCGAGACTCTTGAATCGTCCATGTAAAGTGCACACGCGTGCCATACTATTGGGGGCGTCTTGGATCCTGCTTCCCAATAAGCACCAGAGACAATGGCTCCAGCCGAGTTGCAAATCCCGCCTCCGTAATTGAGCGGGATGGGTCGTGCGATATTGGTAGGTATCCATCCAAACATCGCCGCACCCATGCCGCCCTGCCCACCACAGTGTGCATCTTCAACGACCGTGTCCTCCCCCCCGAATAACCCTTCCTCCACACAACCCCCTCAACCCCCACTCTCCTTCATCCCCCTCAACTTCCCCCAAACCCGCCGCTCCATCTCCCTCTCCATCCTCAACTTCTCCATCTCACTCTCCACCTCCCCGCCCCGCCTCTCGCTCTCCTCCAGCTCCTCCCGGATCCTGCACACCACATCCTCGTATGCCTTTTCGATATCCTGCCTGCCCATCGTCCGCAGGATCTCCGCTTTGCGGGCGTCGAAGGCGGCTTGTTGCTCAGCGGTGCGGGGGTGGCCGGAGATGTGGCCGTGGGGGTAGGTGGAGGCGAATGTGGGAGGGAGGCCTCGTTTGGGGTGGGTTCGGAGGGGCGAGTTGAGAGGGATGGATTCGGCGGTCCGGTGGCTGGATTGTGTTGGCGGTTGCGGTTTCGAGGGTGGTGGTGGTGGTGAGGGAGGTGTGTCCATCTCAGATGTCGTGGAGGTGGTTTGAGACGCCGCAGTATGCTCGCCGACCTGCAAGACCTTTAGTCTCTATTGCCGTGAGCAGGGCGGCATATATGGAGATATTGTTCGAGGTCGCCAAACCAACTATGCCCTGGCTTCAACCCCTTTCAAGCCTAAAATGGGCGCCGCTTTACGCTACAGGTGAGCCTGAAGTGATTTGCGAAGGGGGACAGTTTCTCAGCAGCATTGCAGTTTGTCTGGCACTCTCCGTGTTTCGAAGATCGGTCACGCTTACGCAAATGAACTACAACATATGTTTCTCTCACAGCAAAGTGTGGGGTATCGAAGTACTCGTGTTGCATTCATCTATGTACGGAGGCCGGCATCGCACATGTCAGCTCTGGCCCCTTTGTACATGAGCCACGTTCACAAGTGTGGACAGATGGAGCCGTCATCTCAAATTGCACACAGTAGCTCTATTCTTTTAGACAGTATTCTCTGCATTCGACATCACAAAAAGAGGGACTGGTCTTGTATGACGCGCTTCTTTTCGGACATTCTCGGAATACTCGCGATGGGGTCTCTCTTTGTCGATGAGGTTCTTCACCGCTGTGGTGATGGGAGATGCTCTCCAATCCATCAAGAGCGTGCCTTCAGGAAGATGGGACAGTAGGCGCAGAGTGCCATGTTTGCCGAGCCATACGTCCGATTTGATGGCCATAGTTCTTACACTCCATCGTGAACTCCACCCATCTGCGGCCTCGTGGCTGTAAGCATATTTTTTGCAGAGTCCACGTGGTTTATTCCGGCAGTTGATCACCAGAGCCGTTCGGAGGACAGAGCGACCTGATTGGCCACAAGTAGAACCAAGCTCGTGCTTGAATTCAAGACAGTCATCTCCAATGACAGCCATGCAGCAACTACTCTCGCTGTCTTTCAGTATTCCGATCCAGCTATGCTCTCTGGGTTCCATAGCAATCAGTTCTGGCCTCGCTGTGACTTGAGAAGATAAAAATGCAGTCATTTGTCCTTGGTGATTGATACCAGTCTTCTCAAGAGCTTTCAGGCAAACTAGTACTGCCCGGCCAAAATCATCCTGGTATTGATCGTGCCTTTCCCATGTACGCTGTAAGGCGTCACTATCCTCTCGAAAGCCTTCCAAAGCATCGAAGTATGCTTGCTTGGCAGAGTCCGTTTTCCATCTGAAGGATCTGAGGTATTGACACATGGAGCCGAGGCCAAGAATCCGCCCTAGCTGTATTCTCTGAGCATTTTGCGTGCACAAGGAGACCTCGACGCCATAAAAGTCTTGCAAGAGTCGCGGATCACGAAGCTCTGGAGTGGTTGTCCAAGCTTCTACAAATGCTTGTTTCAAAGACTGGCCACGCCGTTTGTACTGTTTCGATGCACTGGCATTGACGCCATTGTGACCGACCTGGAGCTGATATGTCTCCGAGTCTTTGTAAGTGTGTTCCTTCACAGTCCCAAGCATTTGTACTCTACCATCATAATCCAGCGCTGCTCTTGTTCTGTCAAGATCGAAGTCGCAATTCCTCTTCAAAGCCAGTCTTTCACAGCCAGCTGCCACCGCTCCTATGAGCAAAGTTTCGTTGCCATCGAAACCCTCATCTATGCTATCGGGAAAGACAAGCTCTTCCTTGTTCGAAGAATTCTCCGAACAGCGTTCGATTGTGGTATTCGAAATCCAGTGAGATAATATCTCGTTTTCCAGAAGGCGAGGACTGGCTTTCTGAGATTTCCATTTGTATATACATCCATTACCCACAACATATCGAGTGCATGAACTATGCACCTTAGGGTCAACTACTTTCCATAGCGGACCCCATATGTCTGCGAAATCCTCAACCTTGGTAGATAAGAAGAGATGGCCGCGGGGCTCCCAGTCACTCCATGAAAAGACCCACACAGGTTGGGAATTATGGAACGCATCGAGGCACTGCAACTGACAGCGGCTCAGCTTAATCGAAGGGATTTGCGATTTGTGTAGTGACGCGAATGGGCCTAGAACGTCTATTACAGCAATGTCTTCTCCTAGATACTCTTCATCAAATCGACTTAGATGAGCTCCAGCGTAACTTGCCACTGCAAGATCAACAGTGTTAGCCACAAGTCTCAGAACTGCTGGGATCGAGAGATTAATTCTGGTGACGGAAGGAGTAGCTAGGTCCAGCCCAAGAGTAGTCAGAAAATTCGTGCAGCAAGGGACAGATGAGAGTAAATCATCTTGCTCTCCCAAGGCCTGTTCAAAAAGCACCTTAGCCGATGCCACGGAAGGTGGGGCATGCCGGGCAAATTCTGCAGTCTTTCTCAAAACCGATTCGATCTCCTTCAGTAATTGTAATATATGCTGAATATCGATGGGCAGTAGTCTGGCTACATTGTGGCGATGGGGATCAATCGTCAGTATGCTGAGTTTCTGCAAGCAGAAGCCATGAAGTTGCAGCCTCCTCAGGTTCGAGTAGGTCTGCGCATTGACGTTCCGGCATTCCAATATCTCAAGCAGGTCACGTGCGAAGGCGTTGTGAGTGACAGCTGCGTCTTGACAAATTCGCACAACATCGGAATCAGATATAGGGTCAAAAACGCCCGGCGCAAGTAGTTCCAGAGACCCAAGATACCTAGGACAGGGCTCGGAATATTTGTCCTGTTCGACTACCGTCCGTGGCGAGTAGCTCTTGCTATATGTTTGCAGCGTAGAATTCTGATACACGAGATGTGCAAGAGCTCTGAGTCCGTCAAAGTATTCCACCGGTTTGGAGATACGATCCCTGAGGCTCGCTAACGGCGAATCATATTGTGGTGGTGTTGGACCGCTACATTCGAGGTCTTCATCTCCATCGCTCATGATTTCGCATCCAGATCCAGAGCTGTCGTCCCCCGTCGCTGTTGAGTCGCCCATTCCGGAGTCTTCATCGTGATCACCCATGATCTCGGATCCAGAATCAGAGCTATCGTCCCGCGTCTCTTCGGGTAAGGGCACTTGCGTGGTTTCGCCCAACCCCAAATTACTTTCAGCTGCTACTTGAAAGGCGCCTCTTTTGTGGCCTTTGTATGATGCCGTCTGCAGTGCATTATCGTATTGTTCACTTTGAGCGTTGACGTCCCCCTCTTTGTCTGGCAGTACCCACCTATACTTCCCGTGACTTTCAGCAGATGATGCCACCTGCAGCCGTTGGGCGTTAACGTCCGCCCCTCGCTCTAGCAGCTTCACCACTTCCTCGTGGCCTTTAGCTGCTGCCACCCGCAGTGCACTACCATACAATCCACCCTGAGCGTTGACGTCCGCCCCTCTCTCTAGTAGCAGCTTCACCACTTCCTCATGGCCTTTAGCTGCTGCCACCCGCAGTGCACTGCTATATGATCCACTCTGAGCGTTGACGTCCGCCCCTCTCTCTAGTAGCAGCCTCACCACTTCCTCGTGGCCTTTAGCTGCTGCCGCCTGCAGTGCACTGCCATATAATCCACCCTGAGCGTTGACGTCCGCCCCTCTCTCTAGTAGCAGCTTCACCACTTCCTCGTGGCCTTTAGCTGCTGCCGCCTGCAGTGCATTGCCATATAATCTACCCTGATTGTTAACGTCCGCCCCTCTCTCTAGTAGCAGCTTCACCACTTCCTCGTGGCCTCTAGATGATGCCGCCCGCAGTGCATTGCCATATAATCCACCCTGAGCGTTGACGTCCGTCCCTCTCTCTAGTAGCAGCCTTATCACTTCCTCGTGGTCTTTAGTTACTGCCGCCTGCAGTGCACTGCCATATAATCCACCCTGAGCGTTGACGTCCGCCCCTCTCTCTAGTAGCAGCTTTACCACTTCCACATTATGAACATGATGCCGCCTGGAGTGCATTACCATAACTTCCCCCTTTAGCGTTAACGTCCGCCCCTCTCTTTAGTAGTAGCTTCACCACTTCCTCGAGGCCTTCACTTGCTGCCGCGTAAAGTGCATTGCCACGTTGTCCACCATAAGCGTTGACGTCCGCCCCGTTGTCCAATAGCCGCTCTACCTCTTTCAAGTGACCAGACACTGATTCTCGGTATAGTTCTTGGTTGAGTGTGTCCGTCTGCGACAGTGTCCTTTCGCTTTCTTCGACGGAAGCCATCGAGGAGACGACCACGATATCTTTGTCGTCCGTTGCTGGCTATCTTCCTGGAGAACCGGTTGCGGAGTTGATAAACACAGCTCTCTCTCTTTTACAGAAAGGCTGCTGCAGCCTGGTGCCCCTCAGCGGGAAAGTACCTCGTAAACGGTAGCCAATCATCTCTGCTCATTCGCCGGGGCGGCCACGTCCGTGCGAGGTTCGAGTTGTGTGAGGGGCACATTTCTGTCAGCTTGCAGCGCCAAGCTTTGTGATTTGGCTCGCCTGGTCAAGTCGGTGCACACCTGCTACCCGGCCCGCACTCAAGATCTTGCGAAGCTCTTTCTGCGAGTGACAGACAGACAGACAGTGACAGTGTTGGGAGATGAGTGGTAGGTGGAACACTTGTTTGATTAGGTGTGAATGCGGAGAGCATCAAAGATACTTGTGTCGCCAAGCCTCGGCAGACCTTCCCTTTCCATTATTCAGTACGATGACACAAAAAGTTACGCGTGAAATCGTGCCAAGACCTGCAAAGCGGACCCGTTCCGCTAGTGAAGAAAACTCACTCCGTTGCACTTGCAAGCTCCGTAGTGCATCTTGCACTAACTTACAAATAAATCAACTTGCAATTCCAACTTTAACAGTCCCTCCTATCTGACCCGCAGACGCAACTTCGACAACCCCTCATATTTCAACAAACAGACACTCACTCCATTCCTCCCTCTCCTCTATCCCCACCAACCCCCCTCCTCCCTCCCAACCCAAAATGGTACGTCCCCCCCTCCCCCCCCCCCCCCCCCCCCCCCTCCCCCCCCCCCCCCCCCTCCCCCCCCCCCCCCTCCCCCCCCCCCCCCCCCCCCCTCCCCCCCCCCCCCTCAAACCCCCCTAACCCCACCCCAGGCAGACAAACTCCGCACGCAACAACAACTCGAAGCGCTGCAGGCGCGCTACGTCGGCACGGGCCACGCCGACACGACCAAGTACGACTGGGCGGCCAACGTGCACCGGGACAGCTGCGCCTCGTACGTGGGCCACCCGCCCCTGCTCGCCTACCTGGCGCTCGGGATGGGGGAGTGCCGGGAGCGGGCGCGCGGGTTGCTGCTGGAGCGGATGGTTAGGCCGGTGGGGAATCCGCCTGAGGTTGTGGAATAAGTTTGTGGGGGGGGGGGGGGGGGGGGGGAGGGGGGGGGGGGGGATTGGGGAGCGGACGTGGGTTTGAGAGCGGGGTTTGAAGTCTACGAGCGTTGTGGTCACATCACCAAGTCAGGGCCTGACGCAAGGATGAAAACTTCATCAAGGGGAAAAATTCGTGATTCGGTCCTGTCTCTGTCCAAAGCCTGACAAAAGAAGGAAAACTTCATCAAGGGAAAAGATTCGTGATTCGGTCCTGTCTTTGTCCAATCTATCCTGATATGGGACTCGTGGGAACGCCAAAGTAGCCTCCCCTACCCTCGTAATTCCAGACTCATTGCGGCCATGTTGACAAGCCCATCAGCCCGCTGTGAGGTTTACCATACGCCCCTGGGTTTTTGTCCAAGCAACATTGCAGCCAGGCAATTCATGGCCCATCGACCTTCGCCCAGACTTATCGTTACACCCATCACGTCTAGAACCACCAGCGTATATTCATCAATATTCTCTCCTCTCAGGTCTCACCCTTTTGCCGCCCTTCAAACTCTTAACCCTGCTCAAGAATCCACCGCCACCACTGGGCTCCGCCGGATTACCGAAAGCTCCATCGTTGGTGATCCTTCGCTCCAGCATCCCTCCTGTAGGCGCACGCTTGGGACTGCTCATGGCTCTAGCCCTGGCATTGATCTGTTCTTCACCACCTCCGATGCTACCATTCCGCCTTCGTTGCTCGGCAACCTGAATCTTCTGTCCCTTCTTCTCATAGGCGTCATCGTAATCATTGAAGAACGGGTTCTTGGTTTGCTTGATCTTGGGCATGCCGCCTGCGCTTTGTACCTCTCCAGCACTTGTGGGACTAGTGGTGCGTTCGTAGAAGCCGTTTGGACTGGTGACTTTCGCCGGTCCAGCAAAAGCACCCCCGCGATTCGAATTGCTTATGCCCCTGATCTTCTGGGCCAAACTTCTCTTTCTGCCCAGGCCACCCCCATTGCCCATGCCCGGTATCTGATCATTCTCGGATTCACGGCGTTGGATGGCTGCACGAGCTGCCGGCGCACCCTCAAGAAATGTGCTGGTACCGAGACCCAGACTTTCTTCGCCATGGACCGGATCAAAACGAGCAGTGGGGTTGAAGCTCGATGTTCGGTCGACGCCTGGCCGTACACCCGGACCTCTTCTCAGTGGAGCGCTAGAGCCTGCGTAAGATTCAAACTCGATTCCAGATTCCGCTGGAGGTTTGACAGCCCCCGAGGTTGCAAAATCGGTGAAACCTTCGTCGCCACGGCCGTGAAATTGGGCGAAGTTGATTTCTTTGTGGACTGGACCAGAGCCACCGATTGTATTGTTGGCAGAGTCTTTCGCGAATGCTTGCATTGGTGCACGTTCCGAGCCTTTGCGGTTGCGATGGGGGTTGCAGGCATCAAAGGGGCCGTCGTGATGGAACACTATGGACATGGTCAGCGTGAGATCCCGCATGGAGAACACCGTCGACTGGAACACTCACTGCCAATGCCGTGGATGCTTGTGACATCAAGAGAATCGATGACATCTATACGACGATTTGGCTTTCCCGACCTCGACGTTGGTGGTTTGCCCTTGTTATCTCTCTCCCTGTGCCTGGCTTCTCGCGCTTTGCGATGACGCCGCCTCGCCTCCTCTTCCGGGCTCAATTGCTTGCTGGCGATGGACGAATCCGAATTCCGTCTTGTGGGCCGTCTATGCGGTCTTCTCGCGTCTGGGGGGTCGGCGAAGATATCCTGCTCCGGCGCTTGAGGTCTTCTTCCCGTGTGTGGTCGATGCTTTTCATCTTCCTGGGATCGTGATGGACGGTGTCCCGACAGGCCATTGGTAGGCTTTGGAGGGTGGTTTTCGGATCGTGGGGGACGATCGGTATATGGAGGAGGCATGCCTTTGGGTGGTGCGCCGATGCTTGAAGGCCCATCGTTGAGGGTGAGGTTGTCCTAGAGGACGCGGGGTCAGCATCAACCGAACGTCATCTTGATCGAGATGAGCAGCGACCGACTCACAAAAAGCTCCACGGCGTGTCCAGCCAATGGCGGCTTCCTTGGTGATGATCTCCCAGTCATTGCCGGTGGTCCTCTCTCAGGTGACGTCTGCGTCACTTGTACCATTGTCGCGTCTTTCTTGTCTGACTGATCGAAGAAAGGATTTCGAGAGATTGGTCTCTCGGGAGCAGTACTTGGAATGTTGAAGGTGGTGGTGACAGGAGACGGGGCTGGTGATGCGGCACGATTGCGAAAAGGGTTGTTGGACGGTAGATTTGCAGTGAGGCCAGGGGAAGTTTGTCTGAGTGAATCTGTTTTGGAAGACAGATTGTTAGCGGAAGGGCGAAGAGCTGGTTGTTTATGGGAGCGTTTTAAGCGGCCCATGTCGTCTTGTATCAAGTACGAAGGATTTGAAACAGGAGTTGTTTCGTTGATTTGATCTAATTTGATATGGTAAGGAAGAGGCGAGTCGGTGCGAGGGACAGGTGACACATGCCAGAGCGCTTATCTCTGCCCAACAGGCAAGCTGGAAAATAGAAAGAAAAATCGAGGCACGAGCAATGACTGGACCACATACCTACGCCATGACCGCCTTGGCCTTGGACCTGGATAAGCGACATGTTTGGGAAAAACCTTCTGCAAGCACCCGTCGCCCTTTTCCCGACTTTTCTGCCCTCGTATGGAGTACCGAGTCAATGGTTCCGCTGAGATTTAAAATTTGGTCCTGTCGGTCGGAATGATTTTTGGAGACGGGGACAGAAGGGAGATAGCGATGTCAAGATTAAGTCAGAGTTCAGGAAAGAACAGTAGTAGGTATGTATAGGTGTAGGTATCTCAAACAGGGACGTGAAATCTGAATCCGGTCAATTATTGGGGGCGTTCCGATTACGACTAGGCGGGGCAGATGCTCTTAAGGTGAGGTGAGTTAGGATGAATGCAAGAAAGCGAGACAGGTTCTGTAGGATGTCAAGTAGGTATAAAAGCAGAAGGTTTGTTTGATTAGGAGAGTAAGCGGGAATTGGAGGAGATGTTGTTGTGGTTGTTGTTGTCGTTGAAGAAGGAGAGGGGAGATGTTGAGTTGAGTTGATCCATTCTTCAAACTGGACCTGACCTGACCCAGGTGGTTAAGGTGGGCATTATTTCATTTTTACTTCCAGGGGTGCTGCTTAAAGCCTTGGCAGATTCTACTTCAGGGCAAGCTTTGCCTTGGCAACCCACGCTCTCACTCTCACCAGCTCTTTCCCTGTCGAAATCCAAAATCCAAAATCCCATAACTTTCCCCATCCTTTTGACCGGCTCAGGCTAGATTACTATTTATCAACCCACCTTACTCTTATTAGACTACCTGACCAGTAGGCGCACCCCGCAATTCTCCACCCCCTGGGTGCAACCCATTCAAACCTCGTGCTGTGCTCAGGCCTGCTGCTGGTCTCGTGCAGCTGCCTCGTTACTTCCATTGGGCGTTAAGCCACCGCGAAAAAGTCCTCGTAGGCCGTCAAGCCATCATCATGGCCGATGCGACCTTGAATAATGAACCATCTGACCATCCTGACACTCAATCCTCCCCTCCTCCCTTCAAACCCCACCCATCCGACACGCTCTATGGCGGCTACACCCGTTTTGAACTGGAGCTCGAATTCGTCACCATGCTTTCCTCCCCCCTCTACCTCAACCACCTCGCCTCGCTCAAACTGCTCCAGGCTCCGGACTTCCTGGCCTACCTGACATATCTACAGTACTGGAGCCGACCGGAATACATCAAGTATTTGAACTATCCGGGGCCTACGCTTCGGGCGTTGGAGTTGTTGCAGGAGGAGAGGTTTCGGACGGAGATTTTGAGTCCGGAGGTGGTGGGAAAGTTGATGCAGGAGGGTGTCAGGGGAAGCGTGGAGTTTCAAGGACGGTGACGAGGAGGTGACGTCGCGGGCAGTGAACATGTTCCCGACGGACGAATCCTCAAGGATTCATGCACCTTGGGTTGCAGCCGCAGGCATTCATGCATGAGGATATTTTAATCCAGAGGTTTGAAACGTTGACATCCGCGGGCTCCACGGCTCCACGGTGCCGAAAGAAGGCGAGGTTAGCATATTTACATGCCTAAGAGCGACGGCCAAGAATAATGCAGCAAAGCAATTACCCACAATATGCAAAACATTTACATCATCACTCGTCGCTCTCCTCTGTGTCTTCACCTCCTTCTCCGTCCTCTTCCTCTTCTTCCTCCTCGTCCTCCTCCTCTTCATGTCTTGCCCGCTTCTTGTTCCGCCCTGAAGATCGTCTTGTCTGCATTGGGGTCTGCTTCTTCCGTCCTTTCCTGCCTTTAGCCTGCTGCTGCTGCTCCTCGTCTTCCTCGGCCTCCTGTGCCCCCGCTTCAACCTCGTCGCCTTCGTTTTCCTTTTCTCCCTCCATATCTCTCTCCTCCCCGCCATTCCTCGTACTCTTCTTCTCAATGACTACCTCTCCTAGACTCCTCACAAGCCTCCGCTCCAGCTCATCCGCCTCAGCATCCTTCTTCCCGTAGACGTCTCTCACCAGCCCAGCAACGCCTCTTTCACCGACTTCCACCTTCCCCCTTGGCCCAATAATGTACTCCACACTCTCTTCACCACCTCCATCCCGTTCCCGCACTTTTACGATGTAGTTCTCTCTTTCCATCCGCTTCAGGACTTTCTCCGTCTTCTCACCAGCCAGAACGTAGTTGTCCGCGTTCATACGTTTCAAGTGTTTCTCAAGTCGAGATTCAGAGATTGTCTGTGAGGCGGAAAGGTATATGAGAGCGAGTATGAAGGTCGTAAGGCCAACGTAGGATGCTTCGGCTCCTGTAGAGGGAATTTTCGGAGGTTGGAGAACGCCAGGTTTTCGGTATCGCGCAGGGAGGGTGGACGTCAAGATGTACGCTTTCGACGGGTTCGATCCTTGAGTCCCGGAGCGCTGTGCAGCTCTCTTCTGACTGATGGTGACCTTCTCCTTCACAGGTAGCTCGGTCAATTCCATGCCGAACACAGAGTGCAGCTGCTCCTGGGCTTCCGTGAACACATGCTTGAATTGACGCCCCGTATTCGGTGCCATGACTGCCACATTGTCAGTCTTCATGACTCTGATGTAGAGCGCGTTTCCGACCTTTGGCACTGATTTCCGCTCTTCGGATCGGTATCCTCGAATACTCGCTCGCCAGCGCCAGCCTCACGAGTTTCTTCACCATCTGATCATTGCTGCTTCCTCCTTGCGTATCATCGCCATCGACTTCCTCGTCAACTGAAGAGGCATCGGAAGCGGAGGGCGACCGCCTGCGACGCGTTGGGGGAGGTGAGGGTTCGGCTTCTGCTTGCTAAATGCCTCGTTAGGATCATTTGATCGAGGTGAGAGACTCGCTTCGACTCACAGTCCGGCGTTTGCGATTGATGATAGGCATTTCTGGAGACGGTGTGTGATGCAATGTTCCTGGAAATGGGGAGTGGTTTTTTGCAGAAGACGCGTTCTCGAATTTTGGCGCGGAACGTGTTCCGCTCCTCAGCAACTCGAGCCGGCAAGTGGTAGTCTACAAGTGGAAACAGATACGGTTCAGCATCATACTACAAGACATAGCTACATCCTCGCCTCGTTCTGCCCACCGCATGTAGGCGTATTGACGCCGAGTCGGCCAGAATGACGGCTGTTCATGGATTTGCCTCCTCAGCTGAGATGGCCCAGGATCCTTCTTCCCGGACATGACAGCATCCTGTTAGGCAGAATCTCACCGGATTGTCTTCTAGTGGCGTCTCTGCACGACTCCTAGTAATATTCTACCTTTGATGGCGTTGAATCTGACAGAGCGGCGGTGGCCCCGCCGACTACTACATGTTCCCTCTATGACGTCTCTCTCACGCTCCAAAGACGGCTACTATGGTACTCTTTGCAATCCACCCTTCAACGCTCTCTCCTATACATGGGGCAGATTTGCTCTCGAAAAGGGGTTGGCTCTTGATGTCTCGGGGATCAGCTGGCAGATCCCTCGCATTGCCCCAAATCATTTTACAGTTACTGGGTTCCAGAACGTACTCAGGAAAGCTGCTGCTCCGAATGGCCTTGTATGGGTAGACATTGCTTGTATTGATCAAGAGAATCTGGACGTCAAGATGGATGAGATTGGAAAACAGTGCGACATCTTCCGCCTGGCTGGTCAAGTCTATATTTGGTTGACATCACTTGAGTCTGAGTTCTGTAGGGATTCAATGGTAGCTCTCGAACACTTCGCTGACCACTTAGAGCGTATGGAGCTAGCCGAAAACACCAGTGAGTACAAAGCCGTGGATTTCCTTGAGCAGATCCTGGGAGATACCGCGAGTGTTAGATGCAAACTTGGATCAATCTTCAGGGATCCTTGGTTTTCTTCTTTGTGGACCTTACAAGAGGCCTGTCTTTGCGAGCACGCTATCCTCCTTACTGAGTCTGGACATACTGTCCCGAAGCCATACCGTCTCGCGCACCGCTTGAAGACCCCTCCACTTCTAGAGCATTTGATTTCTGATTGCCAGACCATCAAGACGAGCTTGTTACCTTATGCAGAGTATAGCGAAGAAATCAAGGACATTCTTTTGATTGTAGATCGATCAGGACTGAGCTTCATAAATCCCGGCATGAATGCGAGTGCTGGCTCTCTGTTGCTGTACTCTGCTGCACGCTATCGGACGACTACAAATCCACTTGATCGCATCTATGGCATCATGCAGGCTTTCGAATTCAGTTTAGGTACTTCGAAAGAGCCGGGAAAACAGTTTACCCTGCCAGAGCTTGAGGATCAGCTTGGAGAAGCCCTAAACTCCCTGTCGCCTATGACTGCACAGATGCATGTCCACACGACTCCACCAGTATTAGGTTCGGCTTGGCGACCATCAAATTCTTCGTGGTTGCCCGATGTATATTACATGGCCCACTCTGTCAGATCGATGAGTACGATTGCTCGAGATGTTGGCAAGCGACCTGTGTACACAGGCAAGATTTGCCCCCTTTCAAAGCTGCACAGCTTTTGGAATGAAGCAACTGCGTACGGAGAACAACTTTTCGCTACTCTAGGCCCCAAGTGGCAACATTATCCCGTCAATATTCATCTTGACGCGACGGCGCAAGGCCCCCAAGAGCCTCCACACAACGTGCGACAGGTGCAGAGTGTAAGGCAGCCGCCAAGCTCTTGTCCTTGTAAGAGTTGTACAGAACCACCGAGACGACAGAATGATGGTTTACTCCGGTTCCTGAACGCAATGCCAATGCCAGAAACGGAGTATGAGGTTCTGTTGCTGGGGCTGTGCACCCTTACACGCTGGACCCGCCCCACAACCGAAGGGTTTAAGGGAAGCTCAAGCTACACAGTTGCAGCTCGCGCAGGCCTCTTGGTCGTGAAGGAGCCATCATTGGGCAATACAGTGTGGCGTCGAGTCGGAATCGCCTCTTGGGAGGCTGGGTATGGGGAGTTAAAGGCGGTGCATGAGGCGCTTTGGGATCCATGTCAATGCTATCTCTCATAGATGATGAGTTATACATGAGCCCGGCATTGCGCGAGGACAATTTTTGCCATAGCGGACTTCTCGTCTCTATCTTCGTTGTCACGTCCAGCAATGAGCGCTGCGCTGTGAAACATGCATCCGCTATCGATTCTGGCCGTGATTAAACCCCTTGGCGTATACATGAAAGAGCGATATCACAAGATCGACCGTACTTCTCCGTTGAAGGCAAACCGTTCCTGGTTCCTGCGTTTACGGGTCCTGCTTCAATCGCAACCAAGATTGGATCTGAATGTATAGAGAAACACACACTGAGTGCGTGACGCCTTCCTTCGGCCATGTTCACGCTCAGGATAGGTGGGGCTGGTGGTTCTGCATCGTCTTTGCATGGACACTAGAGTAGACATGGTGATCGTCAACCGTGCCTATAAATAAGGTAGGTAGCCACGCATTGGCTGCATCGGCTAGCTTGGTGGCACCAGTGGAGGTGCATACGGTGGGGCTGGTGCTGGATTGTGGGACAGCATATCTCATGTCTTACAGATCAGTAGATAACTTACTCCCTACATACACAGGAGCAGTGGGGTATCTTCTCTCGATCATTGTCATAATCCCCATCCCCATGATTGTCCCACCGCGGAATCAGGGGAGTTCACAGACTCATTGCCGGTCTTGGGTTGACAGCTTGCACTTTCTCGAAAAGGCTTGTAGTCAATGCATCACTAATCGTGTTGACTGATATAGAGAATTATTCATACGATAGTGAAGTTCCTCTTGGGTATGCTGACCCAGGTCCCATTCCTACGCCTCTGCTTAGGCATTCTGCGAAGCTTGTACTTGCCGTCCACGATGAACCTTCCGACCCTTTAAAATTCATCTTTCTTCTCGTGAGTTGGTTTCAACATCAGCCCTAATACCTGGTCGGATAACTCTTCATTCTTAACGTCGACAATTGGCAAGTATGTCAGCTCACGCTCTGACGGCCCTGTACTCTGATCCAGGTCAATACTGTGGCCCGAGTTTTCTTCAACTCGTCGGCCACGAGTCGTTCGGAAACCCCAGTGTTGAGGAGCATTTTGCTGGCAGACTGCAGGTCCTAGGATACCACGGCCTTTCAAGCACCCGCTAGTGATTGGTTCCCACACATTCTCGCTGGAATATTCTATAAGGACATCAACGACCTCGAATAACACCTCAAAATCGTCAAAGCTCGACGGATAAACGGCACCAGTAACAGAAAGCCATGACCAGGATGGTGCCAAGTAATCTGATGGTTGAATGTCTGCTACTCCATCAACGGACCAAAGTAGCTGTCGCTCTAGGCCTTTGCCCTAAAAGCCGGCAAAATACTCGCCTTGAGTAAAAGAATGGATTTGTTCTGCTACTCCTGCGAATGCCATGTATACATCGGATGGAACTGTCAATGCACATCCAGTGTAATAGCAGACAATGTTATCCAGCGCATCTTCCGAAAACCGTTGTTGGTGATTCAAATAATCTCGGTTTGTGGTGATAGGTAGCTGTTCCGGCACTCGCTCTGGAAACGCTTCACAAGAAGCCATTTCCATGCACTCCCAGGACACCTGAATTGCTCCAAAGTGCAGTATGCGGGGCGATAATAGACGCTCTTCACAGTCCCAAGCCCTCTCACTCAACGGCACTTTGGAGATATTGACATGCCAAAATCCTGCATCGAAACAGATATATTTGCATTCTTTGCTTTGTGAGTCGCGGAAATATCACATTGAAAGGTCGTACTTTGTCAGCATTACGATCAAGGAAGCAGCCTATAGTAGAATCAGCCGCTCCGGTCGCTGAAATCTTTGTTGTCGAGTGTCTATAGACATCTCTCATTGTGGCAGATTCTTTGAGTTAGAGTCCTGAAGGATACGAAGTGAGCCGATCCATAGATAACTAACTTTGAAACATCTGGCAACCGCCACGGCGTCTTGGAAGGTCTTAGGGAGCTTGGTCAACGATATGCCTTGTCTAAGCTCCTCGATGTTACTTTTTCGTAGTGTGATAAATTGAGCAGCTCCCCAGCAATGACTAAGGGTCATGTATTCGCCTTCCCGGGAATTGGTATCGGTTACCGTGACTCGAATCAAAGCATATGTCTCGCCAGCATCTAATTCCAGCAAACGTGTTGGGAAATTGGTGTCACAGGGTCTTGGCCTGCACCTGCTGTGGGTGGTTGTGCATAGCTGAAGCCATCTTTTGGCCAAAGTCTGATTCGACGTCAAATTTTCATTGGGTCGGACTTCATGACTGTTGAGGATTTGCGGATCGCGCCCTATTCGAGACGGAGAAGGTGAGCTAAAAGCATGTCCAGATCTTCCGTTATAAACTGACTTTCCACAGGCAGCACCCCAAGCCTCAACTACCATTTCCACATTCCTTCATCATTCATCTCTATCAGTAAAAATGAGAACTGTCCATAGTCGGGCTCTGAATTATCCCAAGACTGTATGTTTACGTCACGCATAACACTTAGACCACTAGCTTGCTCTTGGATCTTGTCGAGCAGAAGACCGCAGAGTCTGCAACCTCGCTGTGCGGAGATCATCAGGGTGTTAAGATATCGAATATGCGGTACCCATTTTCTCCCCCAGCTATCCTACGAAAAGTACCAGTCACGACGCCGTACATCTGGTTCGACTTGCTATGTATTCCACAGGACAGGTCAGCGATAGCCTTGAGAGGAATTGCTAGACAACCTGTGATCTCCAGAGGGCCCAGTATGCCATCGCATGGCTGAACATGATTCCAGATTGGAGTGGCCTGAGGGCTACAACACAGTGAATGTGTATACAGTACCACAGTACCTTACTTTCACAAATTTCGGAGAAATATCATCCCAGGCGAGAAGCTATACTGTTGGCACATTCGGCGCAGCTTCAAGTTCTACCGAACTGTTTCGAACCGTATGAATATCGTGCAGATGAATCAGGGTCCGATCTTAGACTTTTGGCTTGGTTCACATCCCTTTGGACTTTGCAAGAAGACTACCTGCGCCCTGACATGTTGTTGTGTTCAAGAGATTGGGAAATGCTTATTGTGGGAGGCGGCGTACCAGTGCCCCTGGATGGATTGGTTGCACTATCGGCGTATGTGTTAAATCACGCTCTGACCTCGGCTGTTGCACTCGATCCCGAAGAGGCTGCTTCACACCGATTTGACTCGGCTTTTCTAGAGATATCCTCCTCCGAGAAGCTCGGCGCTTTGGTTCGGGGAGGCCATTACCCTGGAGGGTACATCAGATTATTTGCAGTCCTTGAACGGACTGGATTGGCGGATCTCCACGTGATAAACCGAGAATCAACCATGAAGCTTGGGAAGCCAGAGCAGAGGCATTGCAAGGAAGGCCGAGCCGAGGCCATTGTGTCGGTGATCGGGGCTACTGGGTGGTTTATCGAAGCACCTCGAACTGAAACGCTCCGCGAGTTAGAAAAGGATCTTTTTCTGGGTCTCTATCCGACCTTGTTTCTCAGAGAAACAGCTGAAATGCTAGGGGCTCGCTTCTACAGTTCAATCGTCATTCGAACCGATATCGATGAGGATTTCTCTAGGATTTGAGACATTCGAGGATCGCTTCTGCCATTCAGCGCCCATAGCCAGGACAATGGTCAAACCTTCGAAGAGATTTTCCTCCCGCGATGGCAGTTTAGCGAAGGCGATCACCCCTCGGTGAAGCTGTGGAGTATTGAAGCGGACGGATCTGTCAGCATACCCGAGGCTGCGGTTCTGGTCCCGGCGTCGCACCATGAGGGGATGCCCTTGATTGCTTCCGTGACACTTGCGTACCTTATGGACAGTGGGCTTTACCAGAAGCTTGGACCTGCGGGACGGAAAGGGGATCGCAATCGAAGTATCGATCTGGGAGAATGGGAGAAGAATTGGTTGCCATTCTCACGAAACTACGCGGTAGCTCTTATCAACGTCAAATTCTTAGGGAGAGACTATGTTCGAGGGATCCTTTTGGAAGAGACACGATCTGGAGCCCTTGTAAAGGTTGGGGTTTTCACAACCAGAGAATGTTTGAGGAAGAAGGGGCCATGACGCGAATATGTCCTGTGCGATCAGTGGGTTGGCGTGTCCTATAGGTTTTTGATTAAGTTCTTTCCTCTTCGCAAGGCTATGGCCTTCCTCCTACTGCGTAACCTGCGTCCCTTTAGGTAGCTTTGCAGACTCTGAACTATTGTCGTTGCATCTTCACCCATGACATCCGTTTCCGTTTGGTAGAGACCCTCGGCGACTAGTTGCTGTATGACGAAACGAGAGTGATGACCACCCCCCGGAAGTTTTAGCTTGATCTCCATAGCTTTGGTGAATGACTGTTCTCTTCTTGCCAGTTGCCATTTGTACCCAGGCGCCAGGGGAGTTTATTCTATGCGGGACCCACCATTTCCTGCAGTACATGATCTGGACCTAAACCGGGGCTTGGCTTCGGATAATCCATCGGCCCGAAAAACTCTGTAACTCGTCATTTCCCCAGTGCCCCCATTCGTGTGACTCGATTTGAAAACCTTCTCTTCGTTGCAACGACATCTTCTCCCGGCAAACAGCCCAAAGCCTTCAATTGCCTCTATTACTTCATTTATTCACCACAGAAATGTGCCCAACCTGCAACGGTGATGTCGTCAATGGCACCAATGCTGATGTCCCTGCAACAACTAATGGGCATGTGAATGGCACCAACGGCTATGGGCAACACACACCGCACAATCCACGGAGGCAGCCTTTTGCCTCCGTCGGTGACTATCTTTCCAATCTCTCAAACTTCAAGATAATCGAGAGCACTTTACGTGAGGGAGAGCAGGTGAGCAGACATCGGAGATCTTATTTCTGAAGTTGCATACTGACCGTGCTCCTGCAGTTTGCCAATGCATTCTTCGATACAGATACCAAGGTCAAAATAGCAAAAGCCTTAGACGCATTCGGAGTCGAATACATCGAGCTCACTTCTCCTGCATCCTCGGAGCAGTCACGCAAGGACTGCGAAATCATTTGCAATCTGGGGCTCAAGGCCAAAATACTCACTCACGTTCGGTGCGCCATGGATGATGCACGCATCGCAGTAGAAACAGGAGTTGATGGCTTGGATATAGTCATTGGGACATCACCGCAGCTGATGCAGCATTCGCACGGAAAGAGCATGGACTACATAAGAGATACTGCACTCGAGGTGAGAAGTCGGCCCAAAGACTCTGCGGAAGGTCTCTGCGAGGTCTCAGAGTTGCTCGCTGACATGAATCGAGCAATAGGTGATCCAATTCGTCAAGTCCAAGGGCTTGGAATGCAGATTTTCCTCCGAGGATTCTTTCAGATCCGATCTTGTTGATCTACTCAACATATACTCAATTGTTGCCAAGGCTGGTGTGGATAGAGTTGGTATCGCAGATACCATTGGTTGTGCGAGCCCAAGACAAGTGTACGATCTTGTCCGGACACTGCGTGGGGTCGTTCAGTGCGACATTGAAACACATTTTCATAATGAGCAAGTATCCCCTTTTCACGCATCCCACGTTCCCCGCACAACTCTCTGACTGCATCATCAGTACCGGTTGCGCCATCGCCAATGCCTACTGCGCGCTGGAAGCCGGAGCTACACACGTTGACACATCAGTCCTGGGCATCGGCGAGCGGAATGGGATTACCCCACTAGGAGGGTTCGTTGCACGCATGCTGGTCGCTGATAGAGACTACGTGAGGAGCAAGTATGATCTTACGAAGCTCAAGGCTATTGAGGACTTGGTCGCGGCTGCTGTCGAGATCAATGTCCCCTTCAACAACTATATTACTGGCTTCTGTGCATTCACACACAAAGCAGGTATACATGCCAAAGCCATTCTAGCCAACCCCACCACGTACGAGATTATCAATCCAGCGGACTTTGGCATGACCCGCTATGGTGAGTAAAGCACTCGATGTTAAGTGCAGCGTCCACTAAACGTGATTCAGTCCACTTCACATCGCGCCTGACTGGTTGGAATGCTATCAAAAGCCGTGTCAATCAACTCGGTTTAGACATGACGGACAGTCAGATCAAGAGCTGTACTGCAAGGATCAAGGCTATGGCCGATGTCAGGCATTTAGCCATCGAAGACACCGACGCCATTATCAACGCTTTCTACGAAAATCTTTACTCGGAGCACAATAACGAGAAGCCACTACTGGACGATATGACCGTTGAAGAAAAAGTACGATTCGCTCAAAAGGAGGCGGAGCTAAGTGAAGAACCGGAGTCACAGCACCTTGATCAAATCGTCGACCAACAGACGAATGTCCTGGCCAAGAATGACGTCAACGGTCACGAAGGTGTGAATGTTTTGAACGGTGAGACAGCCGCTGCGGCGTGAATCTTATACAGAGGCGATCTATTTGGGAAAAAGGTATCTGGATGATGATTCCACCCTGAGCGTTTCACTAGCGCAAGTACTTGCGAAACGTATAGTATCGAAAAGTTTTGGACATCATACCCCATCGTCGCGTGCCTTGAAACCGGCCGCTCCCTATCATCATCATCTGGCGCTGACAAGCTTTCTCCTCCACTACCTGACATGCTAGAGATGAATTTGAGCGCTCGAGAGGGGACGATTTTGGACAGGCTACCGAGCTGCAGTGGGCGTAACAAAGGTGACATGACTTGTTTTCGCTTCGGAGTTTTGGGGGAAGCTGAGGGGATGAAGGGGACGGGTAGTTGAGACTAGCGGAGAGGGAGACCTCGATCTCTGAGTCCAATACAAGTGCACGTGCAACAGAGATCCTGACATGGTGATGCGTGGCTGCTTGCTGATGGACATACTCAATATCGCGTGGCGCATCTCCATCCTTCACTGAGACGAATTGGACAACTGCTACTCTGCCCCTATACTATCGGCTTCGTTTTTAGGTTTCAACATCGCGGAAGGGCATCAACTCGGACAAAATGGTCGTTCATGATTGAATTCCTTAAGTGGAATCCTGAATAGCGCACAACTCCTCGCCAATGCTGCTGTTGTTGGAATCTTAAGGATGTATACCGCCTGGACTATTACTTTTTCTAAGACCACGTTTGGCGGGCACGATGATGAAAACTAAATCGAAGCGGATAGTACCAGGTTCTCTGACGCTTGACATGGAGGAGGCGCAAGCAAGATTGCAGAGTCAAGGTGTGAAACGGGATAATCGGCAAATTTGCTAACTAGCCTCTCGTTCCCATGGAGCCTCTTAGACCTTACAGGTACTGACGCTGTGTTTTAACACTGCTACGCTTACTATTCTTACGAATCTTACCATTCCTCCAATTACGGGCCCGTCTCTCTGTCTCTCGACGGTGCACCCGTCCAACGAGTACTCGGTGCCTGGACGGCCAATAGCCAATATCTCGACAGTTATCGGCTTCACCAATGTCGTCGATTCATTTTGGGGTAAGGGTTTGCTCCTATCGCTCTAAGTGATGCATTACATTTTTGCGCACTCATCACGGAGCCGCTCGCAGCTCCCGTGGTCTTGGAAACGGCGCCGGTTACTGGCCCGTCCACTTCGATCGCGATCGTGTTCTAGTTTGATACGTGGTTCTTTCCGCTCGCGTCGACGGCTATTATCTCGCGGTTGGAATGGCCATGATTTCCAGAGTGGCCGTGGTGATCAGAGTGACCATGGTGTGGAGGAGGAGGCACGCGTTGACGGCGGGAAGGCGACCTGCGACCGGACACGGGCTTCAGCTTCAGCTTCAGCTTCTCAAGACCTGGTTGGATAGCTGTTCGAGCTCGGCCCTAGAAAGCTAGGTGTCTGGAGTGCATATCGTTTATCTTCGTTGCTAAGATCGTTCAATTCATTGCGTATGTTTCTCCTTGTGACTTGGTCACATGGACGGCGCTGCGCTCGGGGCAGTCTCTTTCGATATGTCTGGTTGTCGTGATTAGAGGAGTACAGGAAGGTGGCCATTGTGTGAACTTACCCTGGCTTATCGCAGTACCAGCAGAGCTTCTCCAGAGCGATTGGTTTGTTTATAACAGGTTTTGGTACCAAGCTGCCGATTGACACCGGCGGAAGAGCCGGTATCCAGGCGAGGATGTCCTTCATAAAGAGCTCAACCAGCGACTTAATCTCCAGATACGATGCCACACTCTTCAGAATCTCCAGCTTTCGAAGGTCGTGTTTCGGGTAGAAAGCGTCCGGCGTGTTCAAGTCATTGCCTCCCCCGCCCACAATCCAGCCCACGATCAGCTTCACGGGCTCTTTCGGGAATGGCACGTGAATGCGGTTAGCCTGCGCATCTTCCGCCAGCTCTCGCTTCCACTTTGGAGAAAAATGCTTCACTAATGTCCTGTGAAGGTGGAAGAGCACGTACTCGCTCTCGACCTTCGTTGCGCCGTTGACTTCGACCTTGAAGGGCGTGCATTGGACCCAGATTTCGACCTTTCCGCCTTTCTTGAGCCTGGGATACGTCAGTGACTACTGTCTCAATGTGAAATATGAGATCTACTCTGCAAGTGCTCTCTTGCTGAGCTGTGGAGCGATGGCAACTCCATGAGCTGGCGTGTTCGCTGCTGTGGACATCTCTGTTTGAGATATATATGTGTACGGATATATACGTGTAATGGATGAGAACGTTCAAGAACAACAAGCAATCAGTGTTAGGAAATGCAGCTTGAAGTGGTATACAGAAGAGACAAAGGTCAGGTCAGGAACAGCTGTATATGTACAGTTGGCGACCTCGGCGACTGATTTTGCTCAATGTCGATATTAAACTCGTTCCGCCAATCAGTGACGACAAACATCGCCTGATCTCGGCTCTGTTTGGTATGCATTCCTGATCAAATGGAAGCAGGAAAGGTCATTGATCCCACAATGAATGAAACACGAAGCGAAGGCAGTCGTCGCTGTTGCTCGGCTCCGTATCCATTTCTGATCGAATCAAGGCAAGAAAGGCTATTGATCCCACGATGAATGAAAAACTGGAGCACAATTAGCTGCTTTGAGGTATGTCGATTTGGTCAAGCGGAGCGCTGATGGCTTCCTCGGTTCATTCACAAGAAAGGAAGTTCCCTTCCCCACGAGCTACTTGTACTCATTTTATGGGGCTACGATGACAGTGAGAGTTGTTTGTTCGCGCACCAGATAGTGACACGTCAGCCACGATTCCTTCGATTGCGAAAGGTTTGCTACCATGTACGCTTGCTGGCTGGCTGAGATGAGGCAGCATGGAGAAAAGTAGCTTCGGGGATTATGGATCGTGGAAAGAAGCACGGTTGAATGGGTGGCGCCGCAGGTCAATGTGTTAAGCACCGTTTCGCTGATGATGCGCGCATGATTTTGTGTTAAAACGCTTTGGGTACAAGCGAGACGTCCGTCCCTGCTTACATACGCTAACCCAGGTCTGGGCAAATGACAGACGCACAATACTACCTGCCCTCATCAACATACTTCTTCCGAATCATATCCTCGCCCAGAAAAACCCCTCCGTTCGCTATCGGCCATGCCACGCATACGCGTCGGACCCACCCTCTCCCGAACTGGGAACCGCTTCGCTCAAAACACGGGGATATTCCCCTCCAAACGATTAGGTGGTCTGCTGCGGCACTAATGCACATCATTCTCTCTCTCTCAAAAGACCCACGGTTTTTTTCAGCCACCATGTGCATCGATGATCTTCCTTCTCCGAAGCTGAACACTCAAGCGAGCGAGCTTGCTTGCTACAGCTTACTGCGTGTACTAATGCAGAATTTCGTATTTTCGCATCGGCTACGGTTCCCCTCTTTTTTTGCTACGGATTGACTTATGAAGGAGCGAGGTGGGAGTGTGCTTCTTGAAAGGGGGAAAGGAGGCTAGTGTGCTTGGGAAAGTCGGGTGCGGTTTGGTGGACTCTTCGATCTTCTGAATGAGGCTGAGGAACGGGGACACAGGCGCCCCCCTTCCTGCTTTTTGAACGAGTCTTGCAGCGCGAGACGAGGGGGATTCGGTAGATGCGTGGGAAAAGGGGAGGGTAGGTATGTTGGTACTTCCGGAGGCTTTCCGAGCTCCGGATGATATAGGAGTGGGGTACTTGCCGGCGTTCATCTGTTTGTCGGATGAGTCCACGGTACTCAAGATTGCAGAGCCGAGATGAATGCGTGAGAATGGTGTATCAAAGGCCCTGGGATGTGTCTAATCAAGCTCTACAATGCTATCTTAGAATACCGTCTATCCTGCATTGTACCTCAGCCGACAATGTCCGCATTCCCTCTTGGTCCAGCACCAGCGGAGAAACGTCCCCTCTTCTCTCTCTCGACCAGCACTCAGCCAGAGAAAAAGATTGCCTCACGCGAGCTTGCCGCGCCTCCTGCCCTTTTCACTGACTGACTGACTGACTGACTGACTGACTGACTCGCTCACTCATTCACTCACCCACTTCAATTTGGGGCTCCCCCTATAGATCTTACATAGTCCGACCGATCTGTCGGACCTGGCTTTCCTTGCCCCAAACAGCTTCATCATGATCGTCAACAATGAAAAGCCCCCCCCCCCGCATTGATATAAATCCACGTATGAGCTAAGACTACAATATACGGCGAGCCTTACATCAGCACAGTCCTACACTCGGACTTTTCCGCTCACGGGCCCTTGTATATCCGGTAGAGAAAAAAATATATGTTAATCCTACTAGAAGCTGTGTACTACATAACCATTTCCTGTGATTTAATTGCGTTCTGGGCGGTCTGTGTGATGGGTACGGCAATGAAGGATATTCGCTGCATGGCATGGCATAGGATATGCGCACGGGGGTGGGAGTAAGTAAGCACACGGTGCGGGGGAGTGGGGGAGCGGGTTGGGATGGGAGGGAGGGTGGCAAAGATGCGCGAATTCGGTGGCGGTGGCTCTCTTGTGATCTTGGTCATGGACGACTCCATGCGAGGGGAGGATGGAGGAGGGGACGGAAAATCTGAGGCGTTGAGGTGTCCGTTGTTGGGGTGCTGGTTGGATATGAGTAGGGGGTTTTGCAGAGGGAGGTGCGGAGAAATGGGATGCTAAAAGTCTTCTTGTGTCAAACGATATATCTGTGACGAGTCTTCCACTAGCGGTCTTGTTGAACAAGGACCCATCGCAATTCTTACCTAATGAGAGCAACCACCTTAAAAGAGAGATCGGATCAGGTGGAAGGTCGTACTACATCGCAGCACTACCCATGACACTACGGAAGATGCTCTGTCCATCCTTCAATTTCGCAATGCGATCCTCCAAGAATTGTCTCTGGCGCTTCGCGCTGGCGGGCTCCGAGGCGATGGCCTCGACTTCTGGGTCGGTCAAGCCGTTCACGGCGACAGGAGAGAATATTTTCTCCAGGCCACGGATGATGTGGCGCTCTACCACTTGCGTTGTGACGTTTGCCACGAAGGTCTTCTGCGATACCTGCATGGAAGAATCGTCAGTTTGACTTACTTCCGGGAGCAGCGATGACTCACCTCGTAGATGGCGAGCAGGCAATCGAGAGCTTCTTCGCAGCTGACGTTCTCCATGTTCGGGTCGATGCGGCGAGAGTAGTTTTCTATGGCTTGATCGGCATCGGTGCTTGTAGGAGCCTGAGTGGGCTGAACTTCGGAAGAGGAGCCTTCAGCGGCCGCTGCGCCCTCCATCTTTGGCTTAGTGGCTTCGGTAGCTTTGCGTCTCTCTTCGCGGCGCTGTTGGATGGTGTCTGTGTAATAGTGATTGTAGTTGATCGGATAACTTTTGGTATCCTCGATCAAGCGTTCGAGCTCTTCCATGGCGTCCTGGTATCTAGCCTTGAGTGCCTCTAGGAAAATCGATGTGTGAAGACGGGAGATTACGTCCTTTGGGCATTTGTCGTGGAGCAGGATTTCAAGGAAGCGTCGGCAGACGTCGGCCACCTGGTCCAGATACTCTACGGCCAGGCGTTTCCAGTGTGCACTCTGCTCCCAAAAGAGCTCGCCCACAAGGAGCGGGTTGAAGTTGCCTACTAATTCCCTTCCTCGGGTACGAACAAGCACCAGATGAACCCATGCAAAGGCCTTTTTACGGTCCATTTTGGCAGGTGACACGGACCTAGGAAGCCAGCCAAATCCATTTAGTACCGTATCTAGCAGAGGGCGGAACAGAGAGTCGACATTCGTTCCGTCAGACATGTCGATCTGGTACTTGTGTCCATTGGCGCGCATGTTATCGGAGAACTCGGTGTTCATGTATTGCACGACGGCACGGATTCTGCGAATTGTTGCTGAAGACGTGAGCGAGAAGGCGGGATCGGCGTCAGAAATGAAATACCCTCCTTCATAGTGCCCATCAACAGCCGCCTTGCAGACCTCGTAGAAATCGAGACTGAGCTGCACCAAGTAGGCCTTGCAATCTGCAGCCGTTGTTCGGTTACTCCCCATTACTTGAAGCTGTGTCTTTGCGTCGAGCAGCGCTTCCTCCAGATCGCTCCGGAGCTTTGGCAATTCTTGCTTGACGTGCTCAAAGAGTAGGACGCTCAGACGATTCCTCAGTTTATCGACGCCCACGCAATGCTCTGGTAGAACCTTGAAATTGGAGGTGCGGAAGTACGTTGCCTCAGCCATGTTGCGCTCCATGAGATTGGAATCTCGTTCTTCGAACGTGCGATTCTTGAGCACGTGCCAACCTAATTTGAAGAAGATATCATTGTTCTTGGCCAGTTCTATGTATGCAGCCTCACTCCCAGAGCCTGATGGAAGCCTGTCGGGCTTGGTAATGATCCCAAGAGTACGATCTCCGTCAGGGTCAACCTTACGTACTTTCGTGAGAATGCTCTGATTAGCGGGGTCACTGGCCGCAGAGACGACAGCCAAGCAGATTGTGCGAGGTTGCTTGATGTACTGATCCGTGATCTCCCCCACAAGCTCAACATCAGCCTTAGTGATGCCCTTCGTATCGGTCTGAATCAATCCAGGAATATCGACCAATGTAAGTTGCGGTCTTGATGGACCTTCAATCTCGATACTGAGGACATCCCTCGCGAAAGCTTTGGATTTGGGCCCTGAAGCACCAGCACCGATATCCATTAAGTCCATCGCAGCGTCCATTATTCGAGGAAGTTCATCGAAGTTGGTGATGGATTGCCTGAAGGCTTTGAAGGGTGTCTGCTCGACAGCAGCTCGTTTGGGATCCGGAATTATCTTGATGGTCAGCAAGTTGGTATGCGCGCGTCGTAGAACGATCTCTGTTGCAAACCTGGTACATAGGTTGTCGTTCCTAGGGAATGGGATCTCTGTAAGAGCTTCGAGCACAGAGCTTTTGCCTGCCGACTGGTCCCCACAAACGACGAGCTGCGGAAGAGACAAGATACTCTCGAGGCCACATTTGCGGACCTGAGCTACGGTATCAAGGACCCGTCGCTGTTCATCCGTCTGAAGGTTTTCAAGTGACGATGTGATGTCCATTTCTTTGATGACAGCTGGTTCTGACCGAATTTCCGGGTTTCTTTGAGGAGGATCTTGAACAATAGTGTCGCTGGATTGTTTTGAGGACCCCATGGTGGCGGCAGAAGCTGGCGTTGGGTCAAGGTATTGGCCGATAGAATAATATGACCAAAGACGAGAGAAAGGAAGGTTTGGAAAGCAAGAGCGAAAGGAGGAAAGACCCATGGCGTGCCAGGTTTTTCAAGCTCATCTGGTAAGCCGCGAACATCAAGATCTGATCCGTCATTTCCTAACAGCAGGTAGCCCACCGCATGTTATGACATGATTCTTTAATGAGCAATGTCATTGGACGCATGAAACATGATATTGTTCTTTGATGCAACGTGCCGACAGAGGTATCACAGCCAATAAGCGTTAGGATTTTCAGGTCGAAAAGGCTTCTTGCATGTTTGCATTTCAAAACTTAAGCTGATGTCCTCAAAGATCACCGCTTTTATTGATGTGTGAAACGTGAAAAGCACATGTCACATCTTGCACTGCTGGAACCTAGATTTAGTGAATCAGACCAGGAGGCTTGAACAGTCTTATAGTGAGCAATCCGTGAATCCGGGCATAACCTTTCGCCTGCGTATGGGAAGGTGGAAGTCGACGTTTCATTGTTGAGGTGGGCGCTCTGTCCATACGATGGGTATCTGCACTTCTGTGGGAATTAAACGTGATCTGTTTTCTCTAGGGTTGGAGACCTGTTGGTACGATGGGTTCCTGCACCTCCAAATCCACAGTGCCGCCGTTGACTGAAAGAACACATTCGTCCTATTTCTAGGGCAATGCCCGAGCGGCGGCCTTGCTGGACAGCGTATGGCCTAATCGAGGATTGAGCTGTCAGGCCATTTGCTGGATGTTCGAAGGCTGATGGTGCTCATAACCCTGCTTATCTTTCCTTACACTCTGAAGATTGGCTGCATTCGCGAACTCTGCAAGGAGCCGTAGACAAACTTGCCCTTGCGATCATTTACGTCTCGTCGATCACATTCTGGCCAAACGGTCTGACCATTGACTTCACAGTCATGCTTGGACCCGGGCTTAGCTCATCATCTCTGCGGAAACTAGACTCCAACAAGTAGATGATCTGGGTTGCGGAGTCGATAATTTTGTAGATTAGGACGAGTGAGACGAAGAAATGAAGTATGTAAACTGTAAATAGGTTGAAAATCCTACCCAGTGATACTCTCCTTATTGACCGGACCTTGGCAATTGGCGGAGATGCCAAGAGGATGTTCCTGAATGTGAGAAACAGCAGTGGGGAAGAGGTCGAAGCGTCTGTTGATTAGCACTCCTTTTCAGCCTGGCATATCCTCCAATTCTAGCTTTGAATGCTTGAAGTTTGGCAAACAATTCGGTACTCTACTCAAATTTACGATTCCCGACCTTTCAAGGTCGCACTGCCTCCTCGAAAAGGGTGTTGGACGATTCATTGCTCCAACCCTTGAGAGCCTCGCTTTTTACATCATCTTTAACACGTCGTCTATGCTCCAACCCATCTGATTTTTTCATATCTAGGTACGAGGACATTTTAAGAAAATTTCTCGGCGGAAGGGCGTCGATTAAACCGATTGTCTCCACAAGGAGATTCCAAATCTGCATCCTTGACAATGCACTAGCCCCGAGTGGATCCGTTTGCTTGCGACCCTGCAGGACGCCGTTGATCAGAGTTTCTTGATGGCGTGGTGTCCACACAGCTGAGATGTTTGAGCCCTTGCGACCATTCAGGTTTGTACCTGCGACTCTCCGTGAATAGTGAAAATCAATCTCTGCAGTCTCCACTCGAAACGGGCGAAATTGATAGCCCGCAAGCCAAGTTGAATTATCAACAGGCAACATACGCCCTGCAGGTCCAAAGGCTCTCTCACAAGCTTCTGGCCTGTACCGGTGATACGGTAGGATAAGGGTGTCAATGTATGCATTTCCAGGCGAAATTAGAAGCGAAACTGGCGATGATAGCAGGGATGTGCATTGCTTGAGTGCCAGCTTGTCTGAACATGACTTAGACAAGGTGATTGGGCTGTCCGCTCGAGCTTTGTCATGCATATTATCAGTAGCAGACAATATTTGGCAGGCAAATTTTCTTACAGGGTTTCCGTCTTACAACGCCTAGCTGCGAGAATGATCCGCGACCGAGGAAGCCTGATGCAGCTTTCTCGTTTGAGGCAGTCACGGGCCATGGTGTGGGGTCGGCTTGCGCTTCCATCACCAGCTCCATACTTGCGTCTCCGCATGGTGCTTCAGAGCAATACATCATGATCCTCAGATCCTCGCGAATACTGAAGGGCTGCGAATTCTGGACTTCGGACAGCTCACGCGCTTGTCTCCGTCGAAGGATGGGTGACGTGTAATTGGCGCAAGAGGCGAGTTGATGGCACTCCTGGAGAAGGAAATAATTGAAGGCTCGTATGGCAAGGATCTCGGCGTGCCAGTCATGAAGGACAGTGCCGCTGTCGAGAAGCAAGGATTGTGAACCTGGTAAGCATTTCATCCCAGTGCCTAAGGCCAAACATGTGATGGCTCCATCCTTTCCAATGACTACAATACCGCTAAGTGGCACCCACTCCTGACTACCGTTCGTAAATGTTCTGGGCTTGCTCTTCCTCGGCAAACTATGGAATTTCTCGTGAATAGCAATGACTGCGCGATCTTCAAGGGTGCCCATGAGTGCGAAGTACCAACAGGATATTGACTACACAGATCCAGAACAGCCATTGGAAAGTCCTGGCAAGGATGTCGCCGTCTAGAGTGCAAGTTCTAGAAGGTGAAAAGAAGTGATTCGGTTTCAAGTATGAGTGGTACAATCATTCAGGTGGCTGCAAGTCACGGAAGAAGGGCAAAATGCTCCGAGACACACCTTATATATTCGTAGCCCTATCCTTAGCGCTCCCTGGCAAACGGTTCGGGGGCGGCGCCTCCCGCTTTCCAGCCAAACTTTTGGACCCTCCGGGCTCGGGGTCCACCGGCCAAGCCGACCTGGACATGAATGCTCCTTCTTAAACTACAGTCCGTTCTCTACGTAATTGAGCTCTCAATCAGGCGGCGAAGAAGGAGCTTCGAATATGCAGAACGCTTTTGGTGAGTATTACTCGCCCTGCTATAACGATAATGTCTTTCAGTACTTTGTTTCGGATGATGCAACAGCTGACAGTGCCTTCGACAGTACCAAAGAATCGAAGGGTCTGTCACCTGAACAAATCATTAAGGATCATAAGCTGATAGTCTTTTAGCCAAAGTTTGATTTGCAGCTCAAGGTGGCCCACCCTCTTTGCTCTCCTGAACTCCACGGCATCGACTGACCCGAGTGGTAGATCATCGACTTGAACAATGTTCCTCTCGTATCCGGAACATCTTACGTCAAATGGCATCTACCTTCCTCTACCTCCGCTGAGCACCGTGGGCACACCTCGAAAGCGGGGATCAGAGACCACAAGGTTTTGTGGGATTACGTCAAGACGCTGCCTGTCCGTTTAACAGTGGACCGTAATGGCATGTTGCAGGAGTCGGAAATACATCTCGAGGTCCTGCAGGAGTATTCGCCTGGTACACGAGCCGAAAGGATCGTGTTGGGAAATGTGAAGCTGAATTTGGCTGAGTTTGTGGGTGGGAGCGACGATGGGGAGGAGGCTGTCACCAGGAGATATTTGATGCAGGAGAGCAAGATCAATAGCACTTTGAAGGCATGACCTCAAAGGATTGTCGAGCTCCATGAAGGGAAAGACTAATTGGGTCTTAGATCGGCGTCTACATGAAACAAACAGAAGGAGACAAGACTTTCATCGCCCCTCCACTCAAGACCGCGCCTGTCTTCGGTGGGATTGCTGGTATCATGACGGCCGAGCAAGCTGATGGTGATGACGGAAATAATGTGCCATCTATGTCATCTCATGCTCGAGAAAGTGGCAGGCTTCAAGATATGTACCGTCGAACTCTGGCTGCGTCATGGCTTGCACAGGATGGCGAGCTGCCGGCCGATAAATGCATTGAGGATATCTTTGCTGGCGGAGATGGATGGGCAACCGATCATGATCCGGGTGTGAATGTGAGTCCTAGGCTGGGAGGTAGCACGGAGGAGGACGACAGCGATGGAGACAGCAGAACCTTGCGAGGTCACAAGAGGCATACGTCGGGCACTGGAAGTCGAGGTACTATGAGGCCAACGCGTCAAGAGCGGAAGTCTAGCAAAGGCGACCAAGGGCACACCGGTGCCGTTAGCGGTAGGGGAAGTATAGCGGACCACATTCATTCAGGTTCGAATGCCAAGAACCATGCTCACAGGCGGATGCATGAGGTGGATGAGTTCACCTCACGGGAGGATTTGAGAAGCTGGCAGATCTCAAACAAGGACTGAGGACACCGATGGTCAAGCTCTATTCAGCCACTTGGCGCGATTTTCACCTCGGCATTTATCTCGAAAGCCGCCCATCGCCCTTCTCGAGTACCACATCTGTCTTTCAGAACCTCCAGTATAAGTGCCTTCTGGTACGACGAAGCTTCCCCTCCATCACCGAACGCAATCGTTGCGTCATCGCTAGTCTTTGGCACAGTAGATAAGAAGATGGATGTATCGATCAGAAACGTGAACATCTTCCCAAGAGCAGGCTTCCCCATGGTTGAGGAGAAGATCGAGACATTTTCTCTCGAGCCATGCCGAAGCTCTGGATTGTTGGGAGAACTAATACCGACTGCGGCATTGGTAAGAATAGTGCAGATGTGATGGCGGGACGTTAGGTGACGGAGAGACCGCAAGAAGCTTGCGAGGAGAGCTTGACCCTGTGTCTGGCTCTTGGCCATCATTGTGCTCACAACATTTGTGATGGTATCGATAATGATCATACCGATCGGACCGCTGTGAGGTTCAATGCCTTGAGAGTCATGGAGATTTACACTTTCTCGCCATGGTTCGGCCTGCAGTTCTTCGTCTTCGTCGTCGAGCTCTTCTTCGCTGTCACCAATCTCAACCCTCCTCTTCTTGAATATTACGACCGCGGCCGTCTCAAACTTCGGCGCTATCTCCTCAGTCAGCCCATTGACCTCGCTTATGGCTTCTACAACGCCAGCCAAATCGAAGACTCTCATGACTTTCACCCGATCGAGCATCGAGGTCGCTTCCTCAATCATTGTCTCCTTCGAATTCTCCAAGGCCGACGTCCTTTTCTCGTACATGTATCCAGACTCTTGGTAGCTGTTGCGCTGGATCTTGGCCTCTAGACGGTAAGCAAGGGCATTTCGCAGTCGTAATGGAGAAAAGGACCCAGTGGTGTCAATGAAAGCTACCTCGCCGACCTCGTGTGTAAGAAGATGACTTGCTATGGCATGGTATGCCAGCTGTAGGTGCAGTACGTTAGTATTTGCAAGCGAATCTCAACCGGCCTGACTATCGGAACCAAAGAGGCAAAGCTGGGTTAGAATTGAGTCGATTGGCTACACATATCTACAAAATGCGACGTGATTCAGGTTACAACTCCCAAGAACCTACCAAAGTCTTTCCGGTCCCGCTTGCTCCAGCAATGGAAGTGATTTCTCCATATCTAAAGCCTCCATCAAGAGCATTCTGATCAACTGTAGCTGAGCCTGAACTCGCTGGTAAGGGTCTGGCTTTCTCGTGCGCTTTGGCTGATGCAAGCAGACTGGAGCCCAGTAGGGGCGGAGCTGCCTGGGAGAGGTCTGACATTGTGAGAAGAAGGGATTTGACTAGGGTCGCATGGCATTGGCATTGTCATCAAGAAAGCTTCGTTTCCATGAGAACTTGAGTTTCTGGACAATATAATCAGTGTAAGAGTGCCGGACAGTGAATTCCATAGCAGTCCAAAGCTGGACATACGCCTGTTGGGCGGAAGGATAAGGAGTTAAGAGTGCCTTGGTCTTGGGAAATCCTTGGCATTCTGGCATTGAAACTGATAGGGCTGAATTTTCCTCAGTGCGGTAACTCTGCCGAGAATGTTTTAATCTTGAAATTGATGCTCGACTGAAGTCAACCTCAACTGCCATGTGACCCTCCACCCTCTCGATGTTCAAGCTTCTACCCGCTGCGCAAGATTTATTCATATGCTTGCACTGTCAGTATCGTCTAAGCCTTCGACAAGGACTCCGCTCTGGCCGTCGACGCCCGACCGGACACCCTCAACAGCTTCGACGCTTCACTTCAGGACCTAGCCTACGGCAAGAGCAATCATCTTACCCTGATGTCGCTACCGACAATGACAATCTTGAGAGAGCGCCTATCAGATACTATACCGAAGAATTCTTTCCTCACCAGAATTACAGACATGGGAATGAGCCGTCTACAAAGGACAGCCTTGGCCTCAATGTGCTGGGCGAGCCAGCCGAGGTCCTCATCTTGCGAGACAAGCAAGATCGCTTTCGACTCGATACGAACATGGCACGAGTTCGTGCATCAGGTCCAGATAAGAACCCTGCCCAGAAGCCTATAAGCTCGTCCGAGATGCTGGAAGAGATGGATGCCGAAAGGGGGTTAATTGATATCGATGAGGTGTGCAAGAACATCGAAAGTGTGGGAGAATCGTGGGCGGCAAAAAAAAAAGGTAGCATTACAGGAGTTGCATACAAGGATTTGGTTTCCAGGCTACAGGAGGGGTTCACTAAGCACCAGTTGGGAGCCTACTTAGAAAGGGCTGGAAAGGATCCGGCCGCTGATGTATTCGACCTAAACGTCGAGATATCCAACAGTCTCTACACTCGATCATCATGGCAGCTTGTGGGAAACACGCCACTTCGACAATCCAAGGCACCGAGGATTGCGAATAGTACGCCAGAAGAAGAGTCCAACGAAAAAGAGGTGCATGGGAAAGAACGCGGACAGGGACTAAGCAAAGATGCGTTGGTGAAAAGGATACTACGACGGTGTTGGAACATTACACCCAGATATCAGGAATCTTCATTGGGTGAACTGGACGTACGGCTTCATAAACTCCATCTAGACTTGATACTAAACCACAGTAAGCAGCTAGTGGGTTAAAGACTTTGCTCGTAAAACGCTAATCATGCTAGTAGAGAGGGATATCTTGAAGTTGATATCCAGGAGCTATGACTCAAAAGTCGAGGCATGGCCTGGAGATTGCATCATCCGCATCACATCTGACTATGACAACTGCGTTGACATATTCAAACTCTTAATTCACACTCTTGAGAACATTCGAGTCTCCACAATTGATCTCCGTGCCCATTCAATCTCACATGAGGGCTCGACGTCTTTTCCCAGGGAGTTGAACAATGCTATGCTTCGGCAGATCGAGGAGTACACCAATACGCTTGTCAGACCACAGGGCGTCGCCCACCAAAAAGTCAGTATGGCATGCGGATTGTCGATCAAATGCTGACGTCTTGACAGTTGCATGTGTTTTACCTGGGACCTGATGACGCCGACCTTTTAGAGACGGAAAGATTGATACATCAGATTCTGCGACCTGCTTCCACACGGAACCTTACATTAGCTTGGTCGAAAGCTGACAAGCCGTCTAATGCTATCCCGGCCCCAGTTGCAGTAGGTAGCAGATTGTCCCTGTTGGATAGGAATCAGCAATGGTCAAGATGGTGCAGCCCTCACACAGAGAATCGCACTCAAAGGAGGAAAAAGAAGGATGGGGCTCCGTCCTCTAGCTCATCGACAGTGCCGGCGACTCAAGGTATGCATGGCAAATTGGCATTCGACACAGTGAAGTCATTCTTCGAAGAGTCAGACGACACTAGTTACAAGTACTCCATCAACATTACGCCGTACTGGACACCAGAAATTAGGTGCCATGATTCGGTGAAGCTGGGCCAAGTGTTGTTCCCCGCAGACAAGGCAGGAAACATCTTGGAAGCGCTAGAACGAAATCAAAGAAGGACCAAGAAAATGAAAAGCACGGGCCATAGGAACAGACCGATTGACACCGGAGATATCGTCTCCAAATCTTTGAGGATACCTCGAGAGTTTGTGCCTCTTGTTCCCGGCCTCGTACGCTCGTTAGGTAGCCTCGGGTCTCTTGAGAAGACCGAGGACTTTTGGCAAATTCGGTTGTCACCATCGTCCAAGAATGTGTCACTGCCTGTCCCTGTCGAAGCTCTGCCGGATCTGGAGATCAGGATGTCCTTCGATCACGAGAATAAGACCACTTCAATCAAAGACGTCAGATTGGTCAACGAGAAGGAGAAAGACTTTCTGCAGCCACAAAAGATAGTTGACCTGCGGTTTGTTAGAAAACAATGTGTTTATGCGAAAGATGACAGTATCGATCCGCGCATTGTGTCGTTTGTGCAGGACAGTAATTTCGATATCTGGGGCACAGAGCGTCTCAAAACGCCATTAGGTATTTCGTTGTCGATCCCTGCACTCGCAATTCAGTCCCACAAAGATTTCGACCCTAAAAAACATGAATCATTGTTGGTCGACTACACCTCACTCGGTCTCGAACACAGATCCTCACTCATCATGCCCTACCAAGAATCCGACTCCTGGTCCACCCTCACATACACCAGCGTCGAAGCCGGCCGCGTAGGCGGAAGGAGGGACGAGCTTTCCCTGCACAATCTCAGACAACCGTCTATACAACCGCCCCCTACCGACCCTGAGCCTTTCTCAGCCATCAGCATCGACAACGACCCCGAATCCCTCTCCGACGACGACCACACATCCATCCTCTTCCACAAAACAGCTTCCCTCATCGAGAGCATCGAACTCGCGGCAAGCGACCAGAGCGATAAGCCGGTCGATAGGCGCAAGGGCCCCGTCAGAGGTCTGAGCATGCCGGAGCTGAGACACTGGAGAGGCATCAGCCCCAGGAAGCTCTACAGGCGGATTGGATTCTCGCCGGACACGGGCTATTTGCCGCCGGTCAATGAAACGGTTAGGAGGGTCGCGGCAGATCATCGGTCGGGCGGGAGGGAAGGGGCGGCGAGTGGCAATGGGACTAGTTGGATTTGAGCAGACGAGGCTGGCGAAGTACCTTACGGCTTGAGTGCTGGTCGGTGCTGAGATCGAGGTGGCGGGCCGAGAAGGAGACTGGAGGACTCGATGTATCTATATATATATATACATGTAAGATGACACTCCCGGGACTCTTTGGCACAACGTTTGACGTGGTTCCGGCAACTTCCAAGCGGGTCTGGGGGTTGGCGTTGTACTTGATATACCAATGCGTATGCCCGTGCCGTGCGTGTTGGATATAGAGTATCACTTTACCACTGCTACTTTTATATTCATAACAGGCACGCTGCGCTGCACCATGTATGTATGTATGTATGTATGTATGTATGGAGCGTGATCCGATTGAAATGAAATTTCATTCCACAAACAAACAAAAAAAAAAAAAAACACAAACCAACAAACAAACAGACGAAACTTTGGGTATAAAGTACAAGATCGAGCTGTCAAAGCCAAAAGCCCTTGGGCGTGGATTCGGAAGCACCGTCTATATAGTAAGATTGCTCTCATACACTCACTCAATTCGCTCATTTATGTAGGTATAGCGGGAGACAGCACAACAGCCACAGGCGCCGTAGTAGTACGCTCGTTAGGGAGAAAGGGTTATAACCGAGGCATTTTGGCTCGCGTTGGGGAAGTCTGTGCACGGCGCAGACAGACAGACAGACAGACAGAAAGAAGATGTAATATATTCAATCATGCGACAGTTCACATGACGACGCAGCACCCGCACCCTTTCTCCTTCTTCTTCCCCGGATCCGCCCTTCCGCCCTTCTCCTCGTCCCTTCTCGCCATTCTCTCCCTCTCAAACGGATCCAGCGCCCTCTGACCGGGCCTGATGTCCGTTACGTTCCCCAGAGTGGGACTTGCTCCCTGCTTCACGCGAGGGATGGGACTGTATCCTGCGTGTTGTCCTCCGTCGTCACCACCGCCCGCGGCTGGGTTGGCATTCAAGCCGCCGCCGCTTGCCGGTGGTGGCTTGCGTGGTGTGGCTTGCGTCAGGGGCCATTCGGAAGCTGATGATTGGTCTTGTAGGGGTTTTTCGTCTGCGTCGCGGGAGGAGGGTTGGAGACCGTTGATTGTGTGTTCGGCTAAAGGTGAGAATTCGCGCGGCAACTGCGCGGTGGGTTTTTGGTGGTGGTGTTTGCGTTGTTGGGCTTCGACTTCCCGCATCCGCTGCTGCGACTCCTTCTGCGCTCGCTCCCACTGCTCTTGTTGTAATCGCTTCGCGTGTGTAGGGAGCAATTGTTCTTCGGGTGGTAGTCGCGGGTCGGGTTTGTACATGGTGGCTAGCCAGGGGGCTTCGCCCACGGGGCGATTTATGGCGGTTGCAGGGCGGGGTTCGAGACCGGAGCGAGATTTGGGCCGTTGGACGGTTGAGGATGGGGTGCGTGAGGATGGGGTGCGTAGGGAGGTTGGTGTGGTGGAGATGATTCGGGGCTTTTGACTTAAAGGGGTGGTGTCGAGGCCGGAGCGAGGTTTGGGTCGTTGAGCTGAGGAGGGTGTGCGCTGAGTGTTGGAAGGGGTGAATTGGTTGAGAGGGCCCGGGTTGGAAGCAGGTGTAGGTGTGTGATTGGGGGTGTTGTCGATATCGTCGAGGAGGATGGCGCTGCCGACGCTGCTGTTACGGCTGCGTATTCGAGAATAAGAGAGGCCGTTGTCGTCGCTGTTGCTATAGTTGCCGCTTGTGCCTCGTTTTCGCGGGAGCGGATGGTCTCGTTCGATGTGTTCTTGTGGTATAGGCATGGGGCTCGAGCGTGGTAGGGGTATACGAGATGAGCTTTTTCGCAGGTCAGGCTGTGGTTGGTGGTATCCGTTTGAGAGATTCGTGGCGATGTGATTGTCCGCTGCTATCTCTTCTGGTGTCCTTATGTCAAATTCGTTCACCACGTTTTGCTCTCCTCGGTCATCTTGCCGTGTTGGTGTCTCTGTCCTTCTGTCCTGCCGATCCTTCAGTGGCGGCATTCCCTCATCTCGATCAGGCGCCACTGTACTCTGATCCTGGCTCCTGTTCTTCTCCCGTCGACTTCTCGATCTACTAGTGATAGATCTTTGTCGTTGTGGTGGCAGCTTAATCCCAGCCTCTTGCATCTCATGGCTCTCTATCATTGCCAGCTTGTCTCTGTGTATCCACCGTGATCGTTCGGGGTCCTCAACTTCCAGGAACGGCTCTTCCTGCGCCAGCCCTCGATCCGTTCTGTCCATGCTTTCTCTCAAGCTAGTTTCACCTAGGCTTCTGGGTTTGCTGTAGAGGTCCAATAGACTATCTGCTTCGCTGCCACTTCTGCTCGCATTCAACTCCGGTCGGCTGCCGATCTTGGGTGGCGGCGAGAGATAAGAGGGGTCTATGCCTGTACCTGACCTCGGTTGGCTCTGTCTACCACTCAAATATGCCTGTCCATGCCTATCAGGCGTTGTGGGATGGTTGTGTGCCGGTAAAAGACCATTGAATTTCGGCGGAGATGGAGGATCAAAGTTGAGCTTTTGCTGTGGGGTTTGATTGTTCGTAGGATAAGGCGTCGAGGAAGTAGGGCCAGTCTGTGTGCGGGGGCATTAGTCTGGAGGGCAGACGATAGGTGTAACGAAGGCAGAAAGATGCGGGCTAGGGGAACATATTCCAACGGACATTACATTGTAGGAAGGGGGACAAATAGACCGCTGGAGACAAGAACTGGCAGGCTTACGTCTTGGTTGTCTGGTGTACTAAACTCCCATGGACTCGGCTCCTTTTCTTGCGTTCTGTGCGAATTTCCCACTTGATGATTGTGAAGCGTTCCGAAAACAGCGGCCATCTTTGCTTCCTTCTGCGCCAAACCTTAGGTTCAGAACGAAGGCCTCAATCCTCGTCCCCGTAGCCCCCAAAGTCCCCAAGCAACCTTAGCACCAGGCTTGTCTTCAGAATCACACCTCTAGGTGTGCCATAGGTGACTTGCTCCTCTACTTCAAACAATGAGCGGTGTATTGATAATGTATCTTGCGTTGACTGATCCTTCTGGCCGGAACCTGGTCAATGGCTTATATTGGGGAGGGGGGGGGAGGGCGCGGGGGGCGGAAATGGGAACAACAGTGGGATTGTGGAGGGATATGGATCAGAATCTTGTCGCTGGAAGGTCGAATATGTTGTATAAGAGAACCAAGCCTGCAAAGATGAGGATAATTGACAATTAGAAGTGTGCACAAGGAAGAAGAGAAAGCGAAGGGGACTGATTGTTTGGTACATTACCTGGCGCTTTCAGCCATGTGATTTGCGCCAATCATTCGCCGTCGGGATTTACACTCATCTTTTCTCCGAATTTCCAGCCCTACCTATCAACTGTTATGCCAAGAGCTCGGTCAAATCCAGCTTCACTCTACTCTACATCGGTGGAAGTCGTACGGTAAATCACAACGTCGCCTATTACATTGCTTGTCTTAATGGTAAGTCTATGAACACCTCCAACAAATATGATAATACCCACCCAACTCCGGCGCTAAAAGTCTCATTCATATGTTCGTCAAAGCCGCACTCGGCCATCAGCAGGCCTTCCGCCAAACCATCTCCCCATGCCCCTACCGGAATCAGCTCTCCCACTTCCTTCGGTACTCCCATCTGCTCTTCCCATCCACTTTGGCCGTTTACCCAGGTCGCTCAGCCAGTCAGGTCTTTCGACGCTGTCGATGGTATTCTTCACTCGGTGGGCGAAACCTTGGAATACATTCTCATCCTCTTCTTCTGCGGCTGCCGTTGCATCTGCGAGCCTTTGAGCTTGCCGCTGTTGAAAGGTCGATTGTCTGGGAACGCTGGGCCGAGCGCTTTGACTTGTGAGAGCATGATTTGGTTGAGGCCCTGCCCTTATTGGGCTCTGTGTCCCAGAAGGTAATGGCGAGGAAGGGCCGTCCAAGTGGCCTGATAGACCAAGTCGCGAGGCGCCCTCTAATTCTCGATCGATGAGTTCTTTGCCCTCTCTCCATCCGCCGGTGCCAAATGCAGATGGGTTTCCCTCGTCGTCATCCCCGAGTATGCCAAAGCCAAGGACGTTCTTCACGCGGCCATAGAGATTGAATAGCGTGGCACAAACGGGTACTAAGATGAAAATCGGGAAGAAGTAGTCGAACCCGGCCCCAAGAGGCGTAAGGTTGATCAATCGACCTAGAAAGTGATAGAAGATGGTCTCTCGGTGAACATCTCGTGGAAAGAAGGTCAAGAAGTTGTAAGCTAGCGGTACCGTGAGCTTCGCTATCTGCCCGGAATACCATGTAGCGCTTTCTCCGTACGTGTTTCTCCGTACGAGGGCGCGGTTGCCCCAGATCTTCACATCGTCAAAGCTTGCGAGTGTGGCCATGGACATATAGAGTAGCCATAGCGAAGCAATGACCTGACCTCCAAAGCCAACTTCATTTGCGTGCGCTTTGCTATGCGAAAGTATGGTGAGACTGATGATTGAGAGCTTTGGAGCCACGTATTTGACCAGCTCGGACCAAACAATGCACACGGAAGCCAGCGAAAAGACGGCTCCATGGGCGATCCTGACGGCAGGTACCACTTGCGAGTAGAGCAAGTAGCGGGTGTACGGCGTCAAGAAGTTCAAACGCTCTGACCATGAGGAATGTGGTGAGGCTTTTCCGAAGTCTAATTTTCTCGAGGCACCGGCGTCAACGATTGCCTGAGTATCCACTGCTTCCTGTATAAGGCGGTCCCAAGCCTCTACAAAGCGAGCACGTTTATGACGAGCACGAGTTAACTTCCTGGTTAGCTCAGCAAGATAGCGGTCAGTAATTACTGCAGGTAGGGCGGGTGCGGGCACACGGGCTGCAGTGCTTGCGATACGGGAATTGGGCAAACTCGAAGCATCGGATATATCTTCAATCCATTCCTCATGGTCTCTCGAAACAGCATTCTTTCGTTTCCGGAGCTGGGTGAGCTGAGCCTCCAATTCTTCGAGTTCTGTTGTTGCATCCGATAAGCGATCATTGACCTTGGGGGCATGGCTTTGTATTCTTTTCAACCTCCCCGCGACATTTGCATTGCGGAACAGTCTCCGGGGTACAGCGACCAAGCCGTGACCCATCAAGTATATTGCCATGATCAAGCCCCAGCAGTAGGCCAAGCTGTTGTCTGGTCAGCATTGTTACTCATGTCCCCAGCTGATATGGACCCACGCCATGACCAATGACTTGACCGAGCCTCCTGCGAACCCATTCTGTAGAAAGACGTATATACCTGCTGCTGCTGCGCAGGCTATGACGATGAGCTGATATCGCGCATTGGATCTGAGAGAGTAGAAGATGCGGTCCTTTGGAGTACGGTACCCGGAGTCTGTATATTCACCGAGGAGTGGCAGGATGACCCTGGTATGGTCAGCAACTGCTGCGATAGGGGTCGCTCTCCAGGATCGGGTACCAAGTAAGAGCAAAGGTCAGCCAATAGGTCATTCGCCATGCCACAAGCATGACACCTTCGGGCAACCATATTCCCCTCAATGCCTCTTCATCTGGTCTGGAGCTCGATGCGAGGTCTATGGGGACAAGGAGTATGATGCTGATTGGGAGGGCGAGAGATAGGAAGATGGGAAGGATGAGGTAGGCCGGCGTTGTTCGGAGAGGCAGGAAATGGCGGAGGAGCAGGAGGACAAATATAGAGATGAATGCAAGGGCCAACAATGCAAACGCGTCTGATCCTGTTGAGGATTTCATATCGATCGAAGCGATGAAAGTTAGACGCCGGTGTTGAGATTTAGTGGTAGTAGGTATGTCAATTAGATTAATGAGAGTACAAGTATATTCCGTCCAGATGATGTAGTCTACCAGTACCTTACCGGTAGGGCCCGAGGATTGCCAGAGCTGTGGGTGTCACTAAAGTATTTAATGTAGGTACTTTAGGCGGGTGATGGGTGGGATAAGGTAATGTTGCGCAGTAGACTGGCAGTAGTGGAGGTAATGACGCCTAACTAGCGAAGAGTTATCTGCCCAGTAGGGGGCCAGTACTGCCCTATCTGCCCAATGAGCGCCTTATTCTAGGGCTCTTTTTTGGGGCGGGCCGACTCGCCGAGAAAATGATCAGCCTAGCTTTGCTTTAGCGTCCTTGGATTCCACTTTCTCCAGCTACTAGATTGATCCTACTCTAATTATTCAATAAGATAGTCTCAGCCAAACTCACTCCATCAAATATTAAATCCAACTTGCATTCTTCCTACATCTATTCACAACCGAAGACCTCCGTGTCACTCTTTGATATTGCTACTGCTGTTACCCTTTCACTTTGCCTGTTAGTCTCTCTTGCCTGCGGTTCACTGTCATTGTCGGTGAAAGTATTTTACTCGATTTATCTTCCGATTGGTCAGACTCCGAACGGATCACAACGCTCGTGTCTTTCAGCTGACACAACTCCAGCTTTTGTCAGTCATATACTTCTAGAAGCCTCCTTCTGTTCAACCGCCGCAAACGTTCGTCAAGCCTCTGAAGGATACATAGCGATGGCAGTTGTTCGCTCTCATTATCCTGTGTCCGGTGTCCTGGCTTGCTAGACGCGGGGCTACGGTTGCTTCGCTGTCACACCGGTCCAAACAAGGCTTCCATTTGCCTCATTCTGTCAGATCTATCTTCTCCTCAGCATTTACCCTTCGTCTCGTCGAGCCTTTCGACACACCGCCTCCTACATCAGGTCTATGTCACATCTGCTACCTCAACACGCTGTTACTCCGTCTCCTTCATGACCTCCACATCCTATTCAATAATCCAGCAACCTATTGCCACAAGTATTGACTTGTCTCGTCGAAGCTGCATACATAGCACGAAAGAAGTGTCCTATCGCTTGTGGGACATCTAGGTGATCGAAAAAGAGCTCGGGTGAATACGTGATCTCGACTGAGTGACTGGCCTTGATCACTTATCTAGCCACTTCGTACTCTTCCTCCTGGTCCAATCAACCCTTCACATTGTGATACGAAATCATGAATCAGGGCAATTTCCAGAACATGGGGGTGCCTCGACCTGCTCAACAAGGCATTCCGCAGCCGGGAGGCATGCAACGAAATGGACCTGCATCTTCAGATATCCGCCAGCATATCTTGAGAGAGTTGAGCAGTCACCCAACCCCGACCGGATGGCAACAAACTATACCTCCACAAAATCGTGTTCCGGTCATTCAACAGATGTACGTATATCGACGTTGATTGTGATGATTTCATTAACACTATCTCTCCAGAATCACACAGTTATCCCTGGTCAAACCAGAGTATAATCTAACCAAGACCTTTGGCATAGCAACATCATTCGAAAAGGAGAAATTTGAGCAATCTCCAGACAGGGTGCGTTATTTGCCTGAGAGCTGGTTCATCAGCTAACAGCTCCCGACAGCTAACTTACGAGGCCCACTGCCGCACGCAATTGAAAAGGATCTTCGACACTCGTCAGAGCCAGGCGGAGCAGCAGCAGCAGTTCCTGAACCCTCAGCAACCTCAGATGGCGCTGATGCAACAGCAGATGGCCATGCAAGGAATGAACCAGAACCAGTTCCCACAGGCATATCCTATCCCCCAGCAGGCGCATATGCAGAACCTTGGGAATCCAATGCAGCACCATCCATCTCAGAGCCAAAGACCAGTGCAGTCAGCCAACCCGATGGAAATGCAGCAACAAATGGCGAACGGACAGCCAGTACCGAACATGGCTCAACGTGGCCCCCAAAACCAGGGGCAACCACAATTCACCCCACAGGAACAGCAGCAAATCATGCAATTGGCAGAAAGCATGGCACATAATGCGTCTCCAGAGCAGATGAATAATGTTCAAAGGCTGGTAATGAGTATACCAGCGGGTCAGCGACAGCAAATGCAAAGCCAAGGTATCAATCCTGCGCACGCCGTCTTTCGCCAGCACGCTATCAAGAGGTTTGTACAAGACAAGGCTGTGCAGCAACAGAGAGCTGGTCAAGGTCCTCACCCTCTCGACAGAGGAGGTGTGGTGAGCCAGCAAGGCCGTCCTACATCCCAAATTTCTATGCGTCAAGGCCAACAAGTCCCACCGCCTCCGACACCACAACATCATGAGCCATCGTTCGATCAGTTCTTGGGACAACAGCAGGATGCTCTGCGACATCAAGAAGCTGGTCAAGTCGTCGTCCCTGCAAGCCAGGGAGCTCCGCCTCAGGTCCGAGGAACGTCACTTGCTCAACCGCAGGGTCAATTTGGTGCGAGACCAATGCAACCTCCTAACAATTTCCAGCAACAGCCTCCCGCGGTCTGGAACACTCCTCAGGGCCAACATCAGAATGTTCCACAGACACCTCAGCCACAGGTACCGCCACAGACATCCAATCTTGCCAATATGCCTGGACAGACTCCGCAGCAGCAAGCATTACAAGGACAGCTGGGCGGTCTCGATAACAATCGTGCCCAACGTACACCACAACAGAATCCCAATATGCCGACCCTCAATCGGCCACTCAATCCTCCAAACCAGGTACAGAATGGTCAGAGACAAGCCCAGCCTACGCCTAAGATCAGCGCAAGAAACGTTCCGAACGGGCAGCAGACTGCTGTTGCCAACGGCCAGGCCAGCGTGGGGCAGCACTCAGCGCCAGTCAACCTGCAGCAACAGAAATTCCAAAGGTATGTGGCTAGTATGCCTGAAGCACAGAGGGCTGTTTTCATCGCAGAGTTCAAGCAGAGACAGGAGCGCAGGAAAGCTGAAGAAGCTGCAGAAGTTGCAGCTCAAGCAGGTCCATCAGGTGCACCGGTGGCTCCAATGGGTGGTCAAGGGGCTAAAGCGCAACCGGTTCCGAAAGCGATCCCGAGTGCTGCCCAACCTTCGATGAATCCGATTAACAGGCTTAACGGACAAGCTCAAGTAATCCAGCAGTCAGGACCCCCGAGTGGAGCCCGCGGTCCGCAGCAAAAATTTGCACCAATTTCATTAGACGAAAATGCAACCCGCATAATGGACAGGGTCGAGTTCCCACGGACTCTTCTAAATGTTGCCGGCGACAATGCAAAGGTCCCTGAACATATCAAACAGTGGGGTCAACTCAAGCAGTGGGTGCATCAGAATTCAAACATCTTGCCTCCAGGGAGTATCCACAAGGTGGTGGGGTTGCAGAGTATTGTCTATCAACAAAGAGTCGCGCAAAACAATCAGAGGGAGGCCTTGAACCAAGCACAGTCGCATGGCAATACGAGGCCTGCACAACCTGGTGTAGCCCCTGCAGCGCAAATGGTAGCCCCAAGTAGCATCCAAACACCCATCCAAGGTTTCACTGCACAGGCACCAAACTCTTCGATGCCCGTTCTGCCGCCACCGACGATCCAGGAAGTCGCAGCCGCACGAGCTCAATTACCAGATAACATGAAAACAGCCAGCGATGAACAGCTCCGAGAAATGATCTCGAATAAACGACGTAATGATTATTTCAAGGCTATGCAAGGCCAACAAAGTCTCACTCAGCAGCAGCAAGAACAGCAAAAGCAACACCAGCAGCGTATGAACATGCTTCGAATACAACAACAAGCCAACGCCCAACAAGCGCAAGTTTCGGTGCAGCCAAACCAGCACAGCCAGTTGCAACCGTCTCAACGCGGCCAGAATCAACAACCTCAGCCTGGACAGCAATGGCCACAACCTCAGATGGCCCAGAACATCTCTCAACCAAATCCGCAGCAAGCGAAGCAGCCGCAATCAAGCCGATCTGGACCTCAGGCATCGGTGCCACAACCCAATCACAAAAACGGTAAGCGAAACAACAATAGTGACGATGTCATTGAAGTTCCGGACCCCAAGCTTTCTCAGCAAACGGCTCGTCCGCCAAACATCAAGGGACCTCAGCCTCCACCTCAGCCCCCGCCAAACAATGTATCTTCACAAATAACACCAGAGAAGTACAATTCATTGCCTCCCGAGGCAAAAGCTCGCTTCCAGGAACAGCGACGTTCTTATATAGAGGCTGCTCAACGTGCTAATGCGCAACAGTCCGGCCAAAGTGCTCAGAGACAAAGGCCTGCAGAAGCTGTGATCCAGAATGTTGTACCCAATGCGGGACGAGACGGACGAGTGAAGGAATTGAGGAGCGAGGTGATGAGGAGCATGCCTACTCGGCAGCCCATTCCTATGAGCCCGAGTACAAGAGCCAGGATGATTGAGCAATTGAAGAACGCAGGTGTAATGTCACAACGACTCGAACAATCTCTGCCCCTATATCTGAGTCTATCGAAAGACGAGGATAGGACTAAAGATCTACTTCGTTCGGTATGTTAATTCGTCAAGATGTTGAAGACCGTAAAACTGACTGCGGCTAGCGAATCGCTGTGCAACAGCAACTCAAGGAGACACAATCCGGCGATACAAACCCGGTGGACAACTTCACAATGAGTTTGGATGAATTGGAAAGTATTCAAACCAAGCTACATGAGTACTTTCAATTCATGATGAAGGCCAAAGTACCAAGAACAGGTGTTCCTGTACCGCCGGTCCAAAATCCACCACGACAGCAATTGAGCACTGCCAATCTCCAATCTCAGCAAGAAGCGCTTAGTAAAGCAAGAGCCGCGAACCTACCGAAGAGTCATGCCAACAATAGCAACCGAGCACCTGCTGCCCCGACGACGTCGCATGCGCCATTTTCATTCGGTGGTCAGTCTCCTCAGGGTGTTCCACAATTTTACGGGCCTACGAAGAATGAGCTCACTCAAGAGAAGCTCATTCTACCTGTCACCAAGAAAAGAAAAAGTAACAACGTTGCTAGTCCATCGACGCCGGCACAAGCGCCGACTCCTGCAGCTGCGAACAAATTGTCACCCTTCGGAAAGACTGATTCTCCGGATGCGCAACGTACGCCAGCGGTGACACCCATGATTAAGTGCCCTATAGCACACTGCGAGACTGGTATAGCTGGCTTCCCGACTAAGACCGACCTAGAAAAGCACATTGCAGATACTCATGAGCCCAAAGAACCAGTCATTAAAGATCCTCTTGACGCTGCGGCATATGCGATTGAAAGCATGCGATTAGCATTGAACCTGGACCAGGATGGGAGGTCTAAACCACTACAAGAACAAAGGGTCGAGCCGATGCAAGCGCAGGCCATGAAAGCCTCGCTATCAGCACAAGGTCAAAGCTCCGTCAAACAAGAAGCCGCAACGCCGATGAGCCGAAACCCAACGCAGACAGGGCCTTCACCATCGTCCAACCTGTTAAAGACCCCGCAGGCTGCAGCAAATATCAAGACCCCGGCGTCTGACGCCAAATCAACTGGCAAAGAAATAAAAGCCATAGCTCTGGCGAAATCACCAGCAGCCGCAGCTCCTGACCTGTGGGCCAACAGCCACGTTAAGCCCGAATGGTTCAAACAAGTCTTCTCCGAAGTCGCCGATCTCAATCGCCCCGTCTCTAATGACCTCATCATCGACTGGCTCGAACGTAACCCTTTCACTCCCTCCGCCAGTCCATCCAGTGGGGTCCCATCGAAGGACAGCCCGCATAAGAGCGACATTAGCGCAAATGACACCCTCAACATCAATGTCAACGGTGACGATTGGCTTCCGCCTGAGTGGTTCGATGATGGCTTGCCGAGCGACATGGCCGCCCTGGACGTTGGTGACTTTATGGATATGGATTGGGAGGCTACATTTGGGAAGCCCGAGGAAGGAGAAGAGGTGTTGGCGAAGGGCAAGAGGAGGAGGGAGAGGGATCCTCTAGAAGCGAGTGATGAGTGGTTGAAGGCGTGGGCGCCGGATAGGTGGGAGGAAGGGAAGAATAAAGACGCAGAGAGGAAGAATTAGGTGGGTGGGGGTCAGTCAGTGTGGAAGATTTGGAATTTTGCAGCATGCGTGTGTCTCAGGTCTCTATCATTTGGATTCCTGTCTCTGTCGATTCTGACATTGAACCATACCGTGTTGGACGACAGGGATGGAGCTGGGAGTCCTGGATAGTCCTTGACTTTGGTCCGTCTATCCGGTCCTTGCATGTTTGCGACATTTCTGGCATATCTGCCCGCCGTCTCGGTCTTTGTCATGGGATGTACCACTATCTACTGCAAGCGAGGTTGATAGATGAGATACTTTAGATCATTCAATTTATTTGAACTTTCAATAGCTAGAGTCCCTGCGTTCGTTGTTCTGTGTATGTGTACACAGAATACTCGCCATTTCACTTGGCCCTTCCTCCTCGATCCCTCAATCAACAGTGGCTAGCACGTAATATCATACAAGTCACACACTCGACGATAGACAGAGTCGTTCAATTCTCTATGCGCACACACGCACATAACCCATCTTGAGACGACACTATTATTCTCTGCGACTGCAGTCGCTGTTCCTAAGGATCCAAGAGATCCGGCGCTCGGGGGGGGAACTCGTTGGCGCATTTTCTCTTCGCGTGCTTGCCGAGCCCAACAAGTCTTGTGCCAGATGCAACTGAGCCAGGAGGTCGTCCTTCTTCACAGTCACTGAGATTCTCACTGGAGCGTCGGCATGGGAATATTTGTGACGTTTTGGTGAGCGTGAGGACATTTCTGTCTGAGGGGACCTCAGGTTTGAATTGGCGTCCATCGACTCGTAGATCCTCCGGCCTCGGGCAACTTTGCTGTTGGGAGATGTGGTGATGCTGGGGGTGTTTGTGGGGCTTCACGGTCATGGATGGACTCAGGCGCCCAAGAAGGCGGGCCGGTGATGTTGTCCGAGAGCTATGAGGTTTATGGTATGGTGGTGAGTGGTGGAGGGCTGATAAGGACAAGCTCGAAGGGATGGGCACGGCTGCGGCTGCACCGCTTTCCGGTGGCGCGCCTGGCGGTCGCGGTTGAAGAGGCGCCAGGAAGCCAAGTTGGAGTGAATGAGATCCTTGGTAGGTCGTAGCTGCGGTCGTTGTTACTGGACTTGACCGCGCAGACAATTATCTGGTATAAGTCAAAGGGCACCGCTGTCACCTATGTCGAAAAGATACTGTGCAGCGAAAAGCGCGCGGTTTTCGTGAGACTCCTTTTGGCTATCACGAATGCTCAATCGGTTCCGCTGCTAGCAACGCCTCCTCTTTACGCTTCTTGATGCATGACTTCAGAGGCGGGCGGACGATGTCGTTGAACAGGAAAGTACCGTAGACCAATAGAGCAAATCCGAGTATTTGAAGCCACTTGAACGTCTCCCAACCCAATCCCAGCGAGACGATCCAGATAAACAGTGTCCGGCACGTATCAATTGTCGATCTTGCGGTTGCACTGACGGTTCTCGTAACAGACAAACCGAAGAAATTGAAGCCGCCAATACTGATCATAATTAGCACCGAAGACACAGCAATAGCTTTATTGTGTGTCATCTCTCGCCATCCCTCTTCTGCATCGAAGTAGCCATTTCGTCCTTGTTCCGTGCGCCCGACGACCAAATGTAAAATTATCATGGCTATTACTGTCACGATGAAGCCGAAGAGTCCTTCCCAGCCCACTACTTTCAATGGTTCCAAGGCGTATTGTTCGAGGATCCATTCTTCAAGGACGAATTGAGTGGCGGTGAAGATCTGGGCGAGGGCGATCATTAGGACGCCGATGATTGTCCAAAGGGCTTCTGTCGATCTTGCTGTGACTTTGATGTCTTCTACCGTCGCTCTGGTGAAGAGAACAACTGCTTCCATTGTGGACCTGGGTTCCGGCTGCGCTTGTGGGTTGGGAGCAATAGCGCCTGCCAGTCCGACAACAGCTACGCCGAGTACCACGATGAACAAGGCCGACCACTGGTACAAATAGAGCTTCCGGTGGAGAAAGATGACACTGAAGAGCCCGACAAAAAGTACCAAGGCTCCACGCGTCATCTGGTATATACTAGCAGCCACGAAGAGCAATCCCACATTCATCAGCGTCGTTCCTGCAATATCGCAGCATGCAGGCAGCGCAAGTAGTATGACCCTCCATCCCACCAACTCTCTTCTACCATCCGCGTTCGGTACTAGTGACTTGGCAACTGGGTTCGCGGCCTCAAGGGCGGAGAATGAGCTCCCAAGCTCTTCATTGTTATCCTCTTCGTCCGAATCAATCCCAGAATCGTGTCCATTAACGGCCGTGTAACCACCGGCGAAAAGCGGCGAGGAAGGGCGTGATATGTAACGTTTGTAGAGGTAGTGGCCGAGGACGACGAGCCAGCAGGCAGCCTCGCCGATGAACATTTGCGCGGTTTGGATTACGGGCATGGAGAAGCGGCGGATCTTGGAAGGGTCGGAGGAATCGCAGTTGGCGACACATTGGAGGTCCTGTGGTATGTCAGCCTTCACGAAGCCTTCGTGACTAGAGTAGGATGAGCTACCTGATACTTTGACAACAGTGTGTTGCAGACGCCTGTCAACAGCATCATAGCGATGAGGAAGGGGACCATGACTTGATTCGCCATTGTTTGCGGATGCTGGAGAAGATGATTGCGACAGGCGCTACGTGTTGAGAGCCCCGGGATGGGCGAGTTATGAGTTTTATGCTAAGTTATGGTCATGGAGAGAGAGAGCGTGGGGAACGGTCTTGTGGTTTGGTCAGATGTCGTTGTTCCAGGTAGGTCCGCAGTGACGCTCTGGCATTTTGATGATTCCCGGAGTTCAACCGGGCGATGTTGATTGAGTCATGAGACAACATGCTATGTTCACTCTTCGCAACGACGTAAAACTTGTTGAACAAATACCAGCTGAATCGTTTAGCTATACTACATCGCCTTATAGCATCCAAAAGCTTTTGCAACATGAACTCTCGATTCCAAGCATGCGCCAGAAATAGGATCAAGCGCCAGCAATGTAGCAACCACAATGATGCCCTCTATCAGACGAAAACAAGTTGATAGCACACAGACAGAATGACAATCCCAATTCTCCTGGATCGTCCTAATCATCGCTCTTGTCTCAGCCCCAGCAACCCAATCGCCGCTTTCCCTCGAACAGCGCTGCTCGTCAGGTTATCTTCATCCTCGTAGCGTCTCTTTGATATCCGCTCGTCACTGCCAGGCGGGCTGCTGAGCTGTCGCTGAGCATTCTGTACCCTCTGCCGTGGCAATGCCGGTGTCCTGAAGACCTCTGGAATTTCTTTCTGAGCACCGTGGTCTGGCGAGCATGGGGGTGATGATAGATCCTGGGGATGGGCGATCATTCGTGCTGAAAAGGCTGTGGGAAGTAGGACCGGCGCTGGGAGTAGTTTGGGCAATGAGGGCTGCTCATCTCGCTTCGTCGTGGACTCTCCAGATGGCAATGCCTCTTGCCGTGATATCCGGAGTTGCGACAGTGGAAGATTGATCTGGTTCGTCTGGACTTTGAAGTGAGCAAGCCGTAATCGGAGTCGCAGCGTCTCGGCATGCTGGAATGGTTTAGCAGAATCTAGGATTGCAATGGAAGTATTGATGGCTCACCTGACTTATCCTCGACCGCAATGGCTGTGTCACCTCTGTGGCTGCGGTCTGCTGAGAAATCATTGTATCGTCCGGATCAAAGTCGATGACGGAAGACATGGCAGAGTCCTTGTAGCTGTTTTGCGAGTCGCCTTCACCCATTTCTTCTGCTGGCTCTTCCGTGACATTGTCGACTTGTATTATATGTGGGGCAGATGGATAGACAGACATGGCTCCCGACAGCGCTGGCTGAGTCTGGTAAATAATGTAAGTTGGTGCTCCATGGAAGCCAAGGGAAAGCGGGGCTCACCTGTCCCGACGAAACGTCGTCTATCAGGGTAGTCTGAGGGCGGGCAGGTGACACTCGGACGCGAGATGTAGGTTGGGCAAATTCCGGCTCCTCCACTTCTTGTATTTGCCTTTTGTGACCTATCGATACCTTTCCCACGGTGGTCATGCTAGAGGGCGTGCCGAACGTGTTGACTGGGAGGTCAACAAGAGCGCGACGTTCAGGTGTAGACTGTGCCATGTCCAAAAGTCTGATTCTTTAGTCAGTCAACCAATGGTAGAGGGCAGGAAATTGCCTCCACTCGTCGGGGGTAGAAGCTCACTGTGAACAGGGTGAAAGAGCTTTGGGGGGGGGGAGCAGACGGAACTTGGAGCCAAGTGAGTGACTTGTCAACAGCTCATTGAGCAGCCTTGATGGTGGAATAAGTGATGTTGTCGAATGAATATAAGATAGGCGCCGCGTACAGCGCGGACGCGGGCTTTTTGAGTCTAAACAAGCACGTAAAAATGATGTTCTCGCGTTGTATATATTGATCTGAAGCTATCATTTCACGAAAATAACGGGCATACGGTAGATGTTCGGACCGATCTCCTTGGCACTGATGAGTCAGCTGGTCATATCCTGTGCATGTCGTTTTACAGAATCATACAGCAACAGTGCTATGATCTTTTTTAATCGGCTATCAAGCGTCTCGGAATGATAATGGAAGAGTTCACACCGGATGTATCAGGTATTTAAGGATCTTGCTTTTACGATACCGGGCCCTACTGGCATGGTAGACTAAAATTAAGCACTCGATTACCATGGTCTTATCCCAAGGATATACCGAAACGACAGCAAGCAAAGGCACATTCCGGGCTGTCAAACATCCGGCTGACCAGTTACGGAACACTTCTTGTTTGTTTGGGTTGAAACTCTTGAACGCATGTGAAGCCAAAGATACCGGCGATCGAGACTGCTATTTTCCAGATTAGCAATCTTGTAGCAAGGTTCAATGCCACCGTTCTATTATTGTCTACTCCCAGGCTGGAGTCTCTTGTTGCTTGTGTTACTGCCAAAGAATAGCCTCGTTGACGAGAGGATGTACTCATTCTGAGGGAGGCCATTGTCCAGGAAAATATACTTATGCCCAGGGGAGGCGACCATTATAATTGATCAAGACCGTAGCCTCCTACGGAACGAAGTCATATGGAGGCGATTCCACTCAGACCTTGTCAACCGTATTAGTCTGATGGCTTGGTGCCATTGCTCGTGTGTGATTCTCCATTACTCGAAGTCTATGTACTAGGCCGCTCGAAAAATGCTAGCAACTCTATCTCTGCCTTCTTCGTGATCTCGCATGTGAGAAGATCACTGGGACCGCTCATTATGCATTGCAATGTACTCTGCAAATGTATCCCGGAATTAAATTTCTTCCCACGAAAATTCTCCGATCCGTTGAAGTTATTTTGATGCGTCATGATCTGGTTGGCCGAACACTTCCGTTCCCCGCTGAATGAAACATCCGATTTGCTCGGATTTTTTCCGTCAACTGTAGGTCATGTACGTTGCAATTTTGGTTATTACCAGACTGCCTCGGAGCCATATCCAAAGTGCTAGACCGCGGCAGACAGCGCTCCCAACAGCAATACCGGTCCAACCGGGAACATCAAAGATACGCCGAGTGCCATTTGAGCACCCTCGAACTGCTCCGCGTGCATTCAGCATCAAGTTGGCACAAAATCAGCAGCCCCCATTAGTTTCCAAGTCCACGAGTAGATCCAAGTTCCACGGATCATTGTCGCAAAGTTCTCCCACGGTCCATTCAGGGTTCACGAAGGATCGTTCAGCTAGAGACACTTACACAATTACATGATGCAACTTTTTCAAGAGCTGATCCAGAACAACGCCATCGCGGAGGAATCGCCCGAATCGCGCAAACTCGAGGTATCCAAACCACTGCCCGAGCGAAAGACGGCAAAGAGACTTATTAAGCACAGTGAGTAAAGGCGTTTGCGATTTTGCTGGTTACTCTTGCCGATGATTGGGAGGTTTAGCAACCTTTTTGAGCGAATTTCGGGATCCAAAAGCAATAATCACTCAACGTTATTACTACTACAGATGATCAAGGTCAGCGTAGTCGGTTGCTCGGCAAATTGAATTGCGTCGCTTTTCTGATTAACCCAATACAGACTATAAACTCTGGGATATTAACTCTGAAACCCTGCAAGTCGGACGAAGTTGTGACGATTGTGCATCGTCTGAACACTTTTCTCGACAGCGGACAATGAGGAAGCTCTATAGCTCAGACTGATAGGGCTCAACTGTGACTCGCCATTACTGGCTGTTTTCTTGTTGTTGTTGTTATTTGAGAATGTGTATTGCCAACGTTGAATCTAGTCTATCTCTACTTCTCCTTGGCTGCGAGAGTAGGCACGCACAAGAGCAATGCAACCACCGACGGCCTGCGTGTTCTTCATCTTTTGCACACGACGCTTTAGCTGCCTCGCCATACCGGTAGCAGCTCTAGAAGCGCGCTCGTGAGGTTCAAATACTTTCTTCTCTGCCTGCACTGCGTCAACGACCGCTTGACATCAAAGCCTCTGAACAACCTGTCGCTCACTCACCCGCTCCTCCAGCTACTCCTTCACTGCATCAGAAATCGGATCGTCCGGCCCAAGCAATGACACCTTGATCCGATCCTCTGGCCCCGTGAGCATCCACCCGCCCGTCTTCTCCTCCCCGTACGACGAGGCCCTCCGACACAGTGTGCTGAGCCGGTCCAACGCCGCCGTCACGTCCACCCAGCTGCTCACCGCCGCCTCGCCCGCCTCGAGCTCCACCTGCGCGCGGCACCGCCCGAAGCGCTCCGTCGCGGGCAGCCGGTAGCCGTTGTTGGCGCCGTTTTTGTGGAAGGGGGCGCTGTCGTGGGTGTTGGGGAGGGCGCGGATGGCGCGGTGGCATTCGGGCCAGGAGGGGCGGTGGTCGGATTTGAAGAAGCCGGGTTTGCTGCATTTGTGGGTTGGGGGCGTGTAGCTGATGTTGTTGTTGGTGTTGTTTTTGTAGATGGTGATGGTGTTGTTGTTGTTGTTGTTGTTGTTGTTGAATTTTGCGGGTACGGTTGATGTCGTGGGGGTTGAGAGGACGAGAGGTATTAGTAGCAGGCTTATCCACTTGGAGAACATTCTCGTCTTCGGAGTCAATTGGCTTGGAGGAGATCGTACTGGTTTTCTTAATCGAGAGAAAAGGAAGATTTGTGCATGAGATCAACGGTGTCGACTGCCTTTATCGGGCGGATGGAAAAAGTCAAACCGTATCATGATGGTATGCTGGTTGGCGCATAGTAGAGTGTTTGTCGGCTGAGTGATTAATCGTTTGCCGCGCTACTATGTATGGTGAGTTGGAAAGGCGAACCATATGCAATCTACCGTATGCGAATCATACTGCGTTGCGTCCTTGCGCGGCTACACGCGTGCCGTCGTATGTCGTAGTAGCGATGAGTTATGCGCTTCCAGGTATCGAGAGGTACTGGAAAAGCATTGTGCTATAGACTAGCAACAACAGCTCTAGCTAGATCACCTATTTGGTCTAGATCTCTTTGCGCAAGTCCAAGATTCGTATGGAAGAGCAGTCCCATTTACGTAATGAACTTGAGGCTAGAGAATTTGCTCAATGAAGGATACTAAAAAGCGGCAACGCTGTTCGGAGGCCTTTAGGACATGGCTGGGGAGATTCATTTCGAACAGTGGCTTCTCCAAAAGCTCGACAAAATTCGATATATAAGAAACAAATTTCTTCTTCTTACGTTTTTTCCCGGTATCAACTGAATCGTTTTTCTTCTCGTTTTTCTTTCTATTGTGCTTCCCAACATCATGGCAAGCGAAGGGAGCTTTGGAGGAGTATTATTCGATAAGATTCCCAAATGCGATATTGTGCTCCTCCCAAATTGTCTCCGTGTGTCTTCATAATAGTTCTGTATTCCGCCAATTTGAGCCATCGCGGTCGCACATTTCATTGAGCTCTTTCGAGAGCTCCTCCACAGACGTACTAATGTCTGAAGAAGAATCTCGTCCGCTGAGTCCTACCACTTACATTTTGGGGCAGGATGTCCCCGGCCTTAATTCCGTTGAGGAGAGTTTCCAAAGCATTAGTAGATTTCCACTCCTTATGGCCAACTCCAACATTTGCTTGGTTCATTCCTAGTCGCAGAAAAGTGAAAAGCTGATCCAGCCTATACTATCGGGTCCGCGCTTTTCGAAAATGGTACCAAGTACAAAGGAAGCCGACTTGGTCTCAGGCTTCTTTCCTTTTGATGAAATGAAGGTGACCTCGAGAATTGTAACAGTTCTGCCAGCGTCACCCGAAGCAACTTGAGGAGAATATGGGCAATTTTCTGATGACGGTGGGGGGAAACGACTCGAGTGGAAGAAATTGAGTCAAGTTCTGAAATTATCCTGAAGAAGTAAGGGTGATTTAGCCTGCGGCTCCATGGACTGGCTCCACGGCCCCGAGACGGATTTGGAGCATTTACCTGCACCGTCGACGGACGATATTGCCTGTGCGGATGGTTGAGCTGCATTGACCGCTAGTTGACGAGCGAGATTATGAGGTCGACTAGCGCAGTAATTTGTCCCGCAGAAGGCGTGATGCTTTGCCAGAAAGGGGAACAGACATTAGGCCAGGAAGTGAGAGAGATGGCCAGGAGCAATGAATAGAGGTAGGGACAAGCTGTCTCGCAAATCATGAGCACTGGCTTTACAAAGCGGCGCTGCAGATCGATGAGATGGCATGAACGAGTTTTCAATGACAGGAACACAAAAGCAAACATCGGTCAAGAAGACCAGTATACCAACCGTAAATGGGGGATGCATTTCGCGACATGCAAGCCTCCATCACAGTGGCGGACTTTATTATAGGCTGCACCGCAGATTTACTACAGCAATAACAGCAAGGTGGAAGAGGTAAAAGAGATAGAAGAGACAAGACTCTAGTAGAAGAACAGGTAGTAGAAGCAGAGGTAGTTGAAGAAGAGGTAATAACGGTTTTTTCAAGACATAGTAGGCCGATAAGACCCAAAAAATAGTGGTTTAGACTCTCCGTGCCAGAAGCCTTAATGGCAATCAAAGGCCAGTGTTATTATACTAGTTTGCCAAACAATTTTGATGAGAGTTAGGCATATTGCGTCGGACTTATCGGATTTAAGAGTGTCAGGGTGGATTCTACTTTAGGCCGGCTTTAAATTATCTTGGCGCACGGAGATCTGCCGAGGGCCCGAAGAGCCTCCAATTCGTTACTGTAAGGACGCGCTCTCTCATTCCTTTCTTCTTCCTGCCGCCCACATCAGTAACAGTGCGCCTCGGGTTTCAGCAGACATCAGAGAGCGGTGTCGAAGCTGAGACTGCACTCCGTCTGAGCCAGTCCATTGCAGAATCCTGGCCGTTGCCCGGAAATGGAGAGACAAGCATCAAGGGTTGAGACACCTTCCTAATGGAGAGAATCGAATGTGCCTCATGTTGTCATGGTGCATTGACATCTGCGATAGAGCTTCCGACCTCCAATAATAACAAGTCGTCCCTGTCTGAACAAACGCAGTATGAGATCAATTCAACACTACATATTCAGTCCTATGGAACATCAGGCAGGTCATGGGACCGTGAAGGCAGTACCTGCCTTTTTTGGCTGCGTCTTCGTCTATGGAAGTCGGGCTATCACACGGAACCATGTCCTGTGCCAAGACGGTCAGAAGCGAAACCCCGTCATCATCTTGGAGTCTTGGAGTGACACCAGCCGTATCCCCCCACCTCATATACTCCTCCAGAGTACCCTTCTTCAAGTATCCTCATCCTCATATCCATATCTTTTCTACAGTACTTGGCCTTCAAGTACTGGTATTCCTTAGCATCATCATGCGTGCTGCGTTCTATCTCTCGGCATTCCTATGCGCATCATCAGCTGCAGCTTCTGGTGCCATCGATGCCTTCAAACGAGTTGACAGAGTCCTAGAGCCTAGAGTCGCCGCCCAGCACAATGCACCGGCCCATCATAGCCATGAGCGACTGCAGAAGCGTGCATCGCCCTACCTGAACAACGTCACACAGAGTGAGTGCACCGCAGATGTGATTCCCACCCCAGATGCTAATTAGGCACCAGAGTTTGTTGTGGACGGTACAAAGATCCCGGATGTTGATGTATGTTGGATCCAGAGTAAAATGGCGCTATAGGCTTACAGGCAGACAGTTCGATGTTGGCGAGTCCTATGCTGGATTGGTACCAATCTCGTCCGCCGCCAACGAGACTCGGAAGCTCTTCTTTTGGTGTGTCTGATCCAAAAACATGCTTCGTACCACGCTTACCATCGACATACAGGTTCTTTCCCTCCACAAACCCTGCTGCCACAGACGAGATTGTGATCTGGTAATGCAGCCGAGCTCATTCGTTCTGGTTCGCTTGCTGATCCATCGCTTCTAGGTTCAATGGTGGCCCTGGCTGCAGCTCCCTCAGTGGTCTCCTCACCGAGAATGGTCCCTTCACGTGGCAAGCCGGCACATTTGCTCCTACCAAAAACCCCTATACCTGGGTGAATTTGACGAACATGCTCTGGGTTGAGCAACCTGTGGGTGTAGGATTTACCCAAGGAACCCCAGACATCGTGAATGAGGTGGAACTTGCGCAACAATTCATGGGATTCTACAAGAACTGGGTGGACGATTTTCAAGTCCAAGGCAGCAAGGTCTACGTCACGGGTGAAAGCTACGGAGGGTACTACGTACCTTACGTAGCAGACGCTTTCATCAATGCCAATGACACGACGTACTACAATCTTGCGGGAGTGGCGATCAATGATCCTATTCTAGGTGATGGAGACCTGCAGCAGGAGGGTGGGTTGCTCACATCATGCTTCAGGGCATCTCTGCTGACTCGGTCTTAGTACCCGTCGTGCCATATTTGAATCATTGGGAAAACACGTTCGCCCTGAACGAGAGCTTCATGGCTGCAGCGCAAGCGCGTGCCGACTCTTGCGGATACACCGACTACATCAACACCTACCTCACCTTCCCACCACCTGGTCCGTTGCCATTGCCAAAAAACAGCTCCCTGGACTGTGACCTCTTCGACGATGTATTTTCTGCGGCGCTTGAAGTCAACCCATGTTTCAACATCTACCATATCCTCGACACTTGCCCTCACCTTTTCAACGTTCTCGGCATTGTCAACCAAGGTGACTATTTCCCTCCAGGAGCGCAAGTTTACTTCAACCGCAGTGATGTGCAAGCCGCTATCAATGCGCCTGTGGGCACAAATTGGATGCAATGCACAGACATCAACGTCTTTGAAGGTCCTTACGGCAACAACTCTCAAGGTGACGAGTCACTGGGGCCAGCTCAAGATGGAGTTCTGGCACATGTTATTGAGTCCACAAACAATACCATCATTGGTGTCGGAGGCTTGGATTATTTGCTTCCAATTAATGGTACCCTGTTGGCGCTTCAGAACATGACGTGGAATGGGCTTCAAGGGTTTCAGACCCCGCCGTCAAACAGCTTCTTCGTTCCCTACCATCCGGAGTATAATCTGGGTTTCCTTGCGGGAGCCGGTGACCTTGGCCAATGGGTAACTGAACGAGGCTTGACCTTCTACCATGTTGACCTGGCAGGACACGGTATGTAACTCTGCGCTCTTAAATATAATAGGAAACCCGCTGACGTTTCCCAGAATTGCCTGGCTATACACCAGGGGCTGCGTATAGAGTTGTCGAGTTGATGCTGGGAAGAATATCGTCCTTGAGCCAGACAGGAGATTTCACGACCCAGACGGGCAACTACACAGGCACGGTCCCCCTCACGAAGCGCGAAGGGTATGGACGCATGGTGAATCGTGGACCGAAGGCTTATGCCTGATTGCAGCATTGAAGATAGTATTTAAGCTTGCCTAGATGAATCACACAGGTCTAAATGCGTACATTGCTCTCGATATTGCTAGACGTCAGAACGAATCACAATTGACAAAGCATGCCGACTACTCACGTCACACCCAATCTCATGTTTCTATGTAGGTCTTGATTTTGTGTTGCTCGTTGCACCCGCAGCTCTTTGTACGAGGATCCACGATGGAGACTTTTATACTTTCGGCTCATTACCTTCAGTGGCTAAGTGTTTAATAGCTCGGGGAAGATGGAGCACTGGAAAGCTGAAGAAGGCGTTGAAGGTGGAAGTTCTTGCACCTGTGGTGGTCTCATTTTGCACACTGGCTTAAGGTCACTCTATTCTTGAAAGTCACTTTTTCTATTTGGCCATCTTTCCTTCAGCTACTTCATAATCTGACTTCGCTGGCTGCAAAATCTCATGCCCGACCGCAACAAGTGGTAGTACCTCCAGGGCTGGGCGACACCTCGGGTTTTTTTGGCGCTTTCGAAACTTACACCGTGGACTGTCACAAACCGCTTTACGGCTTTAGGCTCCCCATTCTATGGTAACCATACTCCTGCGTGTTCCGCGCCATTATTTGTGACGCTTCATGGCGTCTATTTGGTGGAACTTGCAGCTGTCCAAACCATGTCAAGTCGACTCAAATCTTCTCATAACGGTTTCTGGCGGCTCTAAGCCACATTCGTAATTTCAACACGCCAAGTTGTGGAAGAGACTTGAGTTGCAGCTTTGGGTTATATGTACGTTCCTTCCGAATGTTTCGCGTCCTTTCGTTGGACTGACTGTTTCTCACCTTCGTTGTCAGTACGGAAAGGCAGCTTTACTCGTCGAATCCTCTTCCCGCCACCCAAATCCCCACATCCCCAGTCCCCTTTAAACCTCCAACATGCATTTCTCCCTCACCACCACCCTCCCCCTCCTCTCCACCCTCCTCTCCCTCACCACCGCCAAACAAAGCACCGACGCCAACTGCTCCACCTTCGAGCCGACCTCAGCCTTCCAAATCTACTCCGATCTTCCCGACCTCTCGGTCGACCTCACGATCCCAAGCTACAGCAACCTGACCAACGGCACCACCAACAGCACGCGCCTCCTCTCCTCCCGCAGCAAGGCAAGGTCCCGACCCAAGTCCCGCCGCTCCGCCCACATCCCCTTCACCTTCTTCGTCTCCCAGGACGCCGGCAACACCAACCACCAAGACCTCGTCGTCGCCTTCGCGGGGCTCCCCTGCGGCGGGCCCGGCCCCTTCAGCTTCGAGTTCAACTTCCAGCCCCAGTCGGCCTACTTCGCCCAGGGCCAGGGCCAGATCAACATGTTCCGCGTCGACACGCTCGCCCTGGGGGATGCGCCCACCTGGAACGACGTCGAGCCGCTGACGGGCAGCCTGGTGGGCACGTTCGAGTTGCCGGCGGTGGGGAGCGAGGGGCCGGCTTTGCTGTTCCTCAATCAGTTGGTCTGTCAGGATCAGTTGGTGTTGCGGTTTGGCATCTCGAGGTACAGCGATGAGGGGGGGAGTGTGGCGTATCTCAATGCCGGGGGGATGGGGTTGAGGGAGAGGAATGGGTGTTAGAGGGGAGGGAGTGGTGTCGTTGGGTCGGGATGTGGGTGTAGTTGCAGGGGGGAGGAGGATTCGGTTGGGAAGGGGATGGGGCCCATGGTGCACTTTCCTCGATTGCTGACGTGCACGGTCTTTGGTTTTCTCTCGGCGCTGGAACCGGCGTTGAAAAGTTGGGAGAGCATGGAGTCTGTGAAGAAATAAAATTGGGAAGGCCGATTCCTTCGTGTCACTTGCCCTCTATCTTTGTATCGGTTTTACGTCCGTTGGCTGGTAGTGACGTATAATGACGTTCTTACGACATTAGTCGGTCATTTCAATGATATGGTCGACGCCGTATAGGGGTTCGCCACAGTCTTTAGTATGTAGTTCGAAGCTAGCGGGCAACCTTACCTGTGCCATCTTTTTGTCTTTATCTGTGTTGGTTATTTTGACCTCATTCTAGATTCCAATAGTGAGAAGACCTTGCGAATCCGTCTAAGGTCTCGAAAAACAGGTGAGACGCAACATCCCAACTGCTCTATTCAGTCAGGAGGATGACTGGGAGACTATCACTTATGGCACAAAAGGCCGTCAACTGCAAAGAGGGTGACTAGTACCAGAATTCTCGGTAGGGTACGGTGATAAAGGCAGTGATAGTGACAATGACAGTTGAGGCAGTGGCCAACATATTCAATTGCTGAGAGTGTTGTTGGAGGGTATATGGCGCTGGTACAATGGTGCTGCGGTGCTTCTTATTTTCTGAGACGCGGAAGCGAAAGCTAGCCATACGCTCTACCGTACCCATATGTGGCTAGTGAAAGCACTAGACCCAGTGAGAGTAGCGCGATGAACTCAGAGTCCTTGAGACATCGTCGAACATCCAACCATTGTATGAATCTTATCTCTGTAAGCTCACACGAACTTGCCATGCGCATTAGTACTCATATCGTTGATAGCATCAAGCTCTCCTCCTGTCATCAGCGTCCTTGGCCAAAGAACAAGGAGAGAAATGTCGAATATGATGGGCTGCGGGAGCCAACTTCACACGTACAGTAGGATTACGCGAATGATCTATTGATTATGTGAGTGCTGATATAGTACCGATGACACCATGGACGTTCTCGGAGAACTAATTCCCAATTCTGCTCTGATTCATCATTGCCATTGGCAGCCTCAAAAGTTCTCAGAACGGGGGTTGGGTTTTTCTGGTGTCCTGACTCACATTGCCGCTGTTGGCAACCTGCTGGTGTATCTAGAGTCGGAATAGAGAACGGAAAGTTGAGGGTTACTTGACTCACTGCAAAGCTTGTTCGCGATAGTTTCACCCGTCATTTGGTACAAAGAACGGCTTTCTTGCAGGGCTTGGCGATAAAATATGAGCAATATTTTTATTGGTGTTTGATGAAAAGTGCATTATCTCGTCGACTCATAAAACCTGTTCAAAAATTTGCAGCACGGTGGAATCACTGAGCTCACTAAATACTCTTCTCTACTATTATAGTAGCCACTTTACAGGTCAGATCGCTCAACATGGCTAACCCAGCTGGCAAGGCCATTCTTACTGTCCTTGGCGTATTCGGCTCAATGGTAGGCTTCACTGGCTTCCTTCCCAATGAGTTTCCCAACAAAGAGATCCACAAGGTCGATCGACAGCAGCAAGCTCAAGACTCAATGGTACGCGTCGTAGTAGGACTCAACGGCGTTGAAGGGCTCACGGAAGCTGATGGACCCATACCAGCCGTCGTCGCCTTCGACGAAAACAAGAAGTACATTGGCGCCTCGGATTGGAGTCGAGGGTTCGGGTCTATCGGGTCTGGTGGATATGCTGATATTTGGGTTTCGCAGAAGAAGGGCCCGGGCAGACAGGCAACATATCTGCAACTGCTAGGCCATAACGATGGTATCTGTATTGCCTATATTTCTCAAGTCTGGGGAGATGGAACGCCGAGAGGATGGTTGGGAGACATGGGCCAAGCTTGCGGGAAGCGATATTACTATTCGAATATTGTTGTCGGAGACAACGATCACCGTCCATGTAAGTATTGTATCTGGAACTCCTGTGGACATCCTTAGACAGGCACAGGAAGTTACACCAGATGCTTACACATTTTAGACTGCACCTGGCTGAATAGAGATGCCGGTAGCGACGGTAGTGACAAGCTCGAACACATTGAAGCAGCGGCAATGCAGATTCACATGGAGGTACCTCGTTCCCTATCCTAATACTTGAGACAAGCATTGACCCCCTGTCATAGGCTTTCACGAACTTTACTGAAGACTACAACACCGACCCCGGTTTCTACTGTCGGGAACCCGCCATGCTCTTCCGCCGCAAATTCAGCTACGAACTTTACCACGATGATTACGAATTCGACGGACTACCTGACCCGGGAAGGATACACTTCTGGTATGCCACGGACGCAGACTCCATGCCTCGCAAGAAGCGCAGTCTACCGCCTCGACGCTCCTCAAGATTCGATGGCCGTCTCATCACGAGTGTCCACGGGCAGCATAGCGCCCGTCAACTTTGCGAGAATGACCACTCTTACGGTCCGGACTTTGTCTCGTATGCGGAGAACGTGTTCTGCGATATGGGAACGAGGGAACACTGGCCGCTCTGTGATGGGTCGGTCGAGGATGAGTGTTACAGCATGGCCACCCGTTCTCTGGTCACGCGCTCGGGATACGTGAAGAGGAGCCACGTCCGTGTGGAGAGCTGGGATTAAAATGCGGGATCATCAGTCTCAGCTGTGGAGGCACATATAGCCTCGCCCGTGCTCCGATGAGCATGTCCCGCCCCATACGGGCTACGTATACAAATTCAGACCACTTGTATCATCGCGCAACCACGATCAAACGATCATGGAGCATATTTCCGCAATCACCACTTTCTGCCATTACCTCCCGTCCCCGTCTCCTTCTCGAGCCTCTCGCTTCACCGCCTGCTCGTCCCTAGCTTTTGAATGTCTGCGCGCAAGATGTCTCCGGCAACGCATCATTCTTCCCACCATGCGTGACTTCTGTCCCAATCCCCATCTTTTGGCCAACATACACGCGTGCATCAGCGAGGCGCCCCGGGGTCGCCACGGGCGTATCCACCGCTCCCTCTTTGCCCAATCGCTCAGTTTGGGAGTCACGAGTTATACGTACTCTCGTCGCCACCCACCGATAGGGATGCGATCGTGTCCACAATATCTACGAGTTGGAGAGAGGACGCCCAGGCTCCGATCCTGACTTCTGTGCGTCCTGCTCTTTAGCGAATTCAACATCCGTGGCTCCCGTCTTATGTACTCCGGCCAATCGCTGCACCTACGGTCTTCATTTTGTATATCATGCTTCGATGCATCAACGACCCAATGACGCCGCCTCGACGGGATGGTTTCGCAATTCGGCTTCGCTTGCTTCGCACTAGGCAGGGTTGGAAGGTCGGTGTGAGATTTGTTCAGGAGAGAGAGGGAGGGAGGCAGGCAGGCAGGCAGGATGTTTCATCGTTGGGAAATTGTCATGGTGCGTTAAGAGATGGGGTTGGATGAGGTACGTTGGCCTGTGTTTTCTGGGCCCGGGATCATGGGCTTATGCAGCAACCTTGGGAGCTATGGAAGCGGTGGATTCTTAACCTTTTTTGCAGTATGTACAGCGAGGTGGGAGTCTTCTACGGTCGGTCCTACGGGCATGGGTGGCGGTTTTGCAGGGTGGCACAGGCTTCTTGAGCATCGGTGACCGGGCTCGAGGCCTATGTATCGAACGATGATGGAGCAAGGGGATTTCAGGCGCAGTCTTGCACGACGAGATGATATCGTAACGCTATGTTCTACTGAGTGCTACTTCTGGCTTCTATTTCAGCGCTTTGGCAACATTCCATGCCTCGACGACCTCGAGCACGGAGTCTATATGCTTGACGTCTAATCGTTGGTTCTGCTCGCGCGCAATGCTTCGCGCGCTCCCGACGGCGTGTTTGATCTGTTGAGCATGGTCAGTGTCTATCTTTTGTGGGGATGCTCGGCGGCGGGTAAAATATAACGTACTTGGCGCCCATTCATGACGTGTTCGGCGAGCTTCGATACCTCCGGGTAGGTGATAAGCCCGTCGGCTCGCTCGATGAACATTTTCCAGATGGTCCGCCGCGCGGCGACGTCGAGGTCCGGGTAGTGGATGGAGAAGTGGATCCGACCTGGATGAGCGTCGCTGTCAGTCCACAATGGTTGCCGAAAGTGCAATGGAAGGTACTCACTCTCGAAAGCCGGATCGCAGTCCCCAATGCGATTGGTGGTGAGAATCAATATCCCTTGAAAGTACTCCAGTTGCCGTAAGAAAATCGAGACTAGAGCATTTCGAGCCACATCTTTGGTGTCGCGCTCCTGGAGAAATACGTCCGCTTCGTCTAGTAGCAGCACAGCGGACCATCGATGCGATAATTCTAGGATCAGGGTCAACTGCTTGTCCACCTTTTCCACATCAGTACCCAGTTCGCCAGCGCTAACGGCATACAATGGCCTCTTGGTCACTTCCGCCACAGCTTCTGCCGTCAAGGTCTTACCACATCCAGGACGACCACTCAGGAGACCGATGAGACCGAGACCTTTCCCTTGAATGACATCGTCGTAGCCGGTACCTTTGGAGGAATGCTGCTTGACAAGCGAATGGATTAGAGTCTTCTGCTTCGCACCAATGACGAGCGAATGGAATGGCTCGTCGCTCCAGACGACTTCTTGTAAGCGAGAGACGGGGAACCCGCCCCATTTCTTGTCACCGAACCCAAAGCCACCCACGAAAGGCGCACAGATAAGATGTTGGTCGTCTGAGAGTTGCGTTCTGTCGAGCGTCGACTGCACGGTTGGAATGCAAGCCCAGTTTGGGTTGTACGTGCGGAAGGAGGCAGTGTCGATCATTGCGCGGCCGTGGGTGCTGAATTTGAAGCGGTTTACCTCGTAGCGGTCGTTCATCGTTTCTCGCATGGCTGGCCCGCTGGTCTCCCAATATGTGTTGCCAATCATACGTGCGTACTTCTTACCTCGTTCAGTCACCTCTTTCCGGATTTGCCCCGGGTTCGGCGCATATTCCAGAGGATGTACGATGAGATCCTGGATTCTTCTCGCGCCATCGTACTGGTCGATCTCCAGGTCGGAGTGGAGATCGGGTCGGCTGGCTATGCCAAGATCTTTGGTATATCCGAATTTGAGCCCGTCGTCTGCGATCATGTCGCACATGACATGCCAGTAGGGTGTGCCATCTTTTCGGAAACGCTGTCGGATGCGACGCATCAATAATACCTGAGGTTGTTCGGTGTATTGGTGGAAATGGTACATCATGCAATTGGGCGTAAATAAAGCCCAGAGTAGTGACCACGTGACCTCATTGGCGGGCAGCATATTTCCCAAGCTGGCGATGTTGCTTCCGTGCTGCTCTTCAACGTATTGCAGGGCAACAGAGAGGTCAGCGACGAGGGATGAATCCGCAGCTTCGTTTTTTTCTTCGAGTGATAGCCGGTCTTTCAGGGCGAATCGAGAATGGAAGAAGAGGCTTGGATCAGCCTAGATGTTCCGCAGAAATATTAGCAAAGTAAAGAGATTCTACTTCAGTAGGTAAAGTAGCCTAGAAAGCCAGCATTCGATTCTCCAAAACATAGAAGTTGTTGGATTGAATGGACGATCCTGGTGCATTTGCTACGCTACTTGCATGTATTGCAAGTTCCCGTGTCTATAGCTGCAGCATTCCATGACGGCTGACAGGCAACTTTCCCGGAGAAGTGGCAATCCAGCTCGTCAAGATACAGAGTGACTTACAAATGGAGGCTCCTTCAGGAGCGATAGACCCTCCACATCTTTGTTCATCTCGATAAGAACATCACGTAGGGCTGGGCTTTTGACATCGACCTCGGTGTGGGTATGCTGGCCTTTGTGGTTGATAATGCGTCTTTCGACCAAGACGGGCTTCTTCCTGTCGAGCTTCTTGTCTGGTTTGCCGGACTTGACAAGCTTTGTGGTGTATGTGCGCCTGATGGGGTCAGTATTGGGGGCACGATTTCCTGGCAAAGTCTCCAGAGAAGCTTACAAATCGAATCTGTGAAGCAAGGTGTCAGTAGAATTCCAGGGACGTGTAACCCGAATCGCGAGCGAACCAGACTCACACTTCGGCGTATCGCAATATGCGGTTTGGAACTGGCTTCCCTGACTCTGCCTTGTCCTTCTCATCTTCCTTCACACTTGTCACCCTCACTTGCACCTCTTTCTTGACATCCTTTTCGCCGCCGTCGACTGCGATCTCACCCATGGCTGCAAAGCGGGATTGCCCTTCTCTCGTGTCGAGTTATTCGCGGAAGGCTTCCCCGGGTGCTAGGCTCTGAGCGACAATATTGTCGCTCTTCTTTGCATTCGGACACTGGAGCAATATTGGGAGAGTATGGAAGCTTTGGACGGCAAACGATGTTATATCAGCTGGCAAAAGCCAATGCGAGCTTATGCGCAGACCCTTACCGACCGTGTGGCTGAGGTCCGCCGTCCGCCGTTAATATCATTCAGCTGGCGAGTTTCTCCCGAGGTGCGCTTGCTTTTTTCCGCTGCTCAGCTGCGGCTCGCGCGCAGCTTATATGTCTAGATGGAGTTAGAATGGCTTGTAAAATATTGACTTTACATTATCAGGCGACCAATATAGGCCAATCTAGAGGCGCTTGAGCGTTCACTAAACATCTGAGTGTTTGCCTACAAATAAAGTTTGCTCAGCCCCCCGGCGGACTTTGCCCTTCTGACCAATCAGCACGCCCGGTCGAAATATCAAATGCCCACTTACTTTCCAGTTTATCTCAGCTCGTTGACACTAGAAGAATAATCTCACCGCTGCTTCTGTGTGGCTTGTCACCCGTAACTCGCCCAATATGAGTATCAAGCTCACTTCCACACTGCCCAAGCCGAATGGAAAGAAATATATTTGAGTAACCCTTGGTGCTCTTCAAGAAGGCTATCTGAGGACTGCTTCAACATTTTCCCCGTAACAGTCCAATAGCTACCAAGCATGGGTGCCATGAAAGAGCTAAGGTATCCGGCTCACTTCCTTGAAGAGGCAATCGATTATACTAATCAGTCAAACGATAGGACCCCATCCGGTTTCGAGCATGCTTTTTACGAGTACATTCGCAATCTACCGGAAAAGAAGAGCAAGAGGTCAATGCTGGCTCGTCTTGATCTCAATAACCCTCCAACGCCGGAAGACATACAGGAATCTCTTCGCCAAATAGAGACGAGACATGCCCAGAAGCCGTCCATAAAAATCATGAAGAGAGTTCTAGGCCCGGTTGTCGCGGTACTGAAGGACTATTACGGCGTCGTCGACACCCTGTCGCAGGCCGATCCGACACCGGGATGCGTCCTCTGGGGTGTTTTGAAGGTCGCGATCGATGGTTTGAGTCGCTTCATTGACCTCATCGACAAGATCAAGGCCGAAGTGCTGTCCCTATCAGCGCAGCTGCGGCGATTAACTTTATACGATGAGCTCTACGGCCAGTCTCTGGACATGCAGGAGCTCTTGTTCAGCTCGTACAAGAATGTCTTCAGGTTCTGGTCCAGAGTGGATAAGGAGTGCAGCCGGTGCGGTCTCAATGCCTTGTTGCGAGCATCTACATCTTTCAGTATAAAGAAATTGCAGGACATTGTCGATGACTTGAAAGAAGATGCCGACCAGATTGACAAGGTTGCGGCGATAATAGAAGGGCAGTACGCCGGGACAGAACGCATGGAGGCTAGCCTTGAGAGATGCGAAAATAGAAAAGAGCGAGATGATGGGTCTGCTTGGAGAAGGCAAATGCAGAGTGACCGCATTCGGTCCTGGCTTGGCGGTCAAACCATCAACGAATCCACCTTACATAGGCACCGCAATAACCTCGATGTCAACCGGCACGCAACCGGATCTCCGACATGTGAGTGGCTCTTCGAGGACTCGCACTTCCAAGACTGGATCAAAGGGACATCTTCTAAGCCAATTCTTTGGCTATTTGCCGGGCCTGGTTCCGGCAAGAGCGTGTTGTGTTCCCATGCCATCGAATACGTAAGAAATCTGGGCGACACCCAAGCTCAGTGTCTTCATTTCTATGAATTCGACAACGAGCATACAGCCATCGTCACCGCCCGAAACCTGGCCACTCAACTTTTCGAACGTTACTGGCTCCTGAATCAAGATGTTCCGGAAGATTTACAGATAACGTCCCAAAAGAGTAGTGCGGATTTGATCAACGTGTTCGAGTTCATGCGGATTCTCGTTGGTAAGCTCCCTAAAGTCTACATCTTCCTCGATGGCCTAGATGAGGAGTGCACTGTGGCTAGATGGAAAGAAGCTAGTAAGATCGTGGAGTTTGTCAATCTTTTAGCGGAGACTTCCGCAAAGACCGTACGAGTCTGGTATAGTTCCCAAGACAGGCCTATCATCCGGCAATACCTAGAGAGTCATCTGGTTCTGAATGTTAAAGAGCAAATCAGGGTCGCAGTCGACGAGCACATTTCCCTAAAGGTACCAGGAATCTGCAATCCCGAGGTAGACCAGGATACCCGAACGTGGATACTGAGCGAGCTGAAGCAACGTGCCGATGGAAATTTCCTTTGGGCAACTCTGATGCTGAAGACCATCGAGAACGAGGTGAGCAGCTTCGACGAGATGGAGTTGTTCATCAAGGAAGGTCTGCCAAAAGATCTCGATGCGTACTACAGACGTATCATTGCTCGATATGAAAAGCGGGAGCGGGAGCTGGCCAGGTTAGACTCTTTTATTGTTTGTGTTTTCTCTCAGCGTGCTTACTAGTTTAGCAAAATCTTCTCTTTGATTACGTTCGCTAGGCGGCGTCTTCGGTTGACCGAATTAAGAGAAGCTATCGGTATAATTTCTTCAGAGAATCCTAGGTCATTGCAGAATCGCAACATTCCCTGGCGACAGGCTGTCGAGAAGATTTTTGCACCACTCATTGAAACGCAATCAGACCCTGAGAACCAAGGAGAGCGTTTCTGCTTTCTCTTCCACAGCACAGTCAGGGACTTCCTGATACGCAATCAGAGTATCTTCCAGCAAGAATCGCCAAGCCCCACCATACACTCAATATCTGAGCTCACAATCGCTAACGCATGTCTTCTCTACTTATCGCAGAACAAATATGCGCAACTTCTGACGAGAGATGCGGGACAATGGTTGACGACCTTCAAAGATAACATAAAAGACCATCATCTGGTTACCTATTCCGCGAAGTACTGGGACAAGCATTTTGACCACGTCGAAGAGACAGCGGAGCTTCGTCAAAAGATTGAAGACTTCCTCACATCCTCGAACTTCCAATCGACGATCCAACTTCAAAGCCTTTTCGTCCAGGGCCATTTTGACCTCTATACTACCAGTTGCTGCTCTCCCAATCACAAGTTCACCAAGCGTGTCTTCCCAAAATGGTTCGCAAGCCACGACTCGGACGGCTACTCCCAGTTCGCCAAGAACTATCGAAGCTACATAAGCGAATGGCACAATCTGCTCGACTGCGCAAATTGCGAGGAACCGCGCTGCTACCCTCATTCGGCCGTAAAGCAGCTTGCAGGGGAGCTCGACCGCTGTCTATGGGGCGCACTAGGTCCTCGAAACTTCCTCTCGCGGAACTCTGGCCGGTACACCAGCTTCATGTTGTGGGATGAAGGCGACGGTGGATCAGGGAAAATGCCATATCATGAGGCCATATCTCAGAATGGTAGCAAACTTGTTGTATTCCAGCCGTCAGGCGAACCCGCAGATGCAGCAGACTTCACCTTCCATCACAAGACTTGGAACTTGCCTGACCGAGAAGTACCCGCACTACTCGAAGTTAATACCACTATCTCAGCAAGCCTCGATCAAAAAAGGTGGGCCGATGCTGACTTAAAATCAATATCCTTCACCCCCGACCTTCATTTTCTGCGGATCGGATCTCAGATGTTTTCTGTGAACAGCGGAGGCGAGTACCACGCAATTGATGGCTTGGACATAGTATTTGAACATCCAAATGCCTGCTTTGAAGACATCACAAGCCGAGATTCGCTTCTAATTGTAGCGTCAAGACGAAAGATGCCAGCGAGCACGGAACCTCGTGGTCGTGCGGCGGCTAAAGCGGACCAACCAACGGTGAAAGCACTCGAAAGTACAGGCAACCCACTCACAGACAAGAGTTTTGGCAAGGATCTGAGCGCCACACAGTGCCGGCATTGCTCGCGCGAACCTTCTAAAAGCAACCACGCTTCGGACACCTCTCCTGCAAAAGGAAAAGATTCCAGCGAAAAGGAAGAGAATGACAGTGACGCGTCCAATCCTTCGGAAGAGATATCAGGATGGAATTCGGCCGAAGAGAGCTGGAGCGAGGGATCTACCGAGATCGATGAGCTAGGCAACCCCTTGACCTCATCAGATGAGTCTAGCTCCAATTCCAGCGAAGCGGATGTAGACACCGACGAGGAAAGTGAGACCCCAAAAGATGACGCCGCTTCTGACACTGCTGTCAATAGCTATGGTCAATTATACGAAGAATCCGACAGCGACGGTGGAGACGTTGATTTTGACTGCGGATCTGAAGAAGAGTCTTATGACGGAGATTATGAATCTGACTGGAGCAGCGACAACAATCAGGAGGAAGACCTTCACTTTGATAGCGATGACGAAGAGAGGCTAGTCAGGCGTATGGCGTATTCGAGACAGGACAGGAAACGTGATGCCAAGGTACAACAAGGCGTACTCACAGTTTATGACCTTGCTACCGCTCCACCAACCCAGATTTTCACCTTTACGCATCAGCTGCCTGTCATGCTCTACGATTCTCCGCCGGCGATCCATCCGAAAAAGCCGCTCGTGGTATGGCCGCTCTATGGAGGCGATGTTCTATTCGCAGACCTTGAAGGAAAGTCTTACTTCATCAGGAGAGCCAGAACCACAACGCGCAAAAGTAGGCCTTCCTATTCCCTCGTACCTTATGAAAGTCCGAGCTTCAATGGACGTGCCTACTGACTTATTCATCAAGCCCGCCACGTCTTTATGAAATTCCACTTCTCCCCCTGTTGCAAATACCTGCACATCGCCTCCCTTGAAGCGCAACAAATGAAGCAATCCAGATCTGAAATAAAAGCTGGCACCAAACCACATCTGGCCCTCTCCGCCTTTATCTCCACCCACCGACTTTCAACCCGGAAAACAACCCGAAGCCCGCCAACCCTCATCCACCGCGTCAAGACCGTTCTTGGAAGCACCACCTCTCTCTGCCCTACCAGAATGCCTGTCGAAGTGACCTGGGCTGAGAAGGAAGTCTATCTCTCCAGCAGCAGCGATTCAAACCAACTCACGGTAGTGCGCGTCGACCTATTCCCACCAGCCCCGGATGTTCCAACTGCCGAATACAACGCCGTCTCCGTCCCCAGACTCCCGATCCTCCTCCCCGAATCAGCTCGCTCTCGCTCAGTGCACTACTACCCACCCCAACCTAACACCACCCACGCGCTCATCATTATAGGAAGCTGGGCGTGTAATCCAGACACTGATGACGACAAGAACAATACCACACCTGAAGATGCTCCGAACGAACACGACACCATTCAAGGTCTCCCCGACACTGTCTCCCCGCCCATCGGGTTTTATGTAGACGTGGAGAAAGATCTAGGGGGATGGGGCGCCAGCAATGCGGAAGAGGTGATCGATAAGGATAAGGATAAAGGTCAGTTGAAGCAGAAGATGGAGATCTTCGCTGGGGAGGACGATTGCGATCTCGAGCATTATTTCTTCACGAGGAGACGATAAGGAAGGGGGCGGGGGGGCATGCTGAACGTTGACTGGTTGGCTGGTCGGGACTTTTGCGGAATTCGAAGTATTGTCGCGTTTCATGTTAGCTCACATACACGTCACTTAAGGCGGAAAGCATATTTATGACTTTTCTTGTATCCCTTTGGCCACTGATATCTCACACACCTATCCCCCAGGCTAGCTATCAAACAAGAGAATCTCCCAGTCGACTTTCGGCACCCCAAGCATTCTTGCCGGACGGTAATAGCTCTACGATCCGATAATGAGGCTTCGACGGGACTTGTACGGGGACCTGAAGTTTAGCGGTGGGACTCACTGGGAGCAAATCGTGTGGGCTTGGGGGAGCAGCCGTATTCGGGCTTACAGGAAGTGATCCGGTACGACGGGCAGTGGCGTATCGGACGGAATGTGGTGTGTACAACTGAGAGTGGTGCGTTTCAAGTGGGACTTTTCCGAGCGTGAAAGGGGAGGTTTGTACTGGCAGCGGCAGGTGGAAGTGAGCGAAAGGAGGTCGAGCGCACGAGTCGGGAAGGGGAGAGACTCGGTTTGTCTTGTTTTAGAGTGATTAGGACTGGCAGTCGATGGTTGGGTAGTTGCCACGATAGAGCAAGCCAGTCGACTCTGGTAGCATGGCTTGTCGTGGGCTATTGTTGGCCATTGTAAAGGATTTCGCCAATTGTCACGTGGTGGAGCCGATGGGGTCGGCCCCGGCTTCGGGACATTTGACCGGGTGCGCTAGCCGACGGGAGAAAGGCTCTCCCGCGCCGAGACATACGAGCAGCTGATGCCAATCCGAGCTTAGCGCATCAAGTCATCGCAAAGTTTGTTCTTGGAGAGCTCCTTCCTTGTTTCTCACATCCACAGCATTCCTTATGGGCTGTGTGCGTCAGAAGGAGAGAGTGTTTGTCATGAGGAGGATGTCATGGCGCATAGCAGTAATGTCGGTGCTACACGGTTCGCTGTCGGCGTCCTTGGCGGAGACGCTGCAGCCTAGATTTGTGCGAGGCTGCAGCAGATCAAAGGGTTGATAGGCTGTCAAGGAGCCGAAAAGAGCCGGCTGGTACGCCTGCAGATGCGCAGCTACGACGCTACAAGGGCTTGGAAGCTGCGGTGGGGAATGTGGGACTCAGCCTTCCGCAATGGATGGCATTGATTGGTGACTCGGGCCCTGAGAAGCTTTGTTAAGAGGCTGAGAATATGCATCATGGTATTTCTGGCCGTGCTCGTAGTTGCAATCCTCTGCTATGACTTACCCATGTTGGACAAATCAAGTGGTACAGCCTCACAACGCAGCCTTGTGCCCCGCGGTCAAAGCGCCGTCCATGCAGGCAGAGGCGCCACATCAGCTCCGTAGCCTTGCTCCCGAACTTCTTCATCTTTCGCTCTCCGTCTTCTCCATTTTATCCCCCGTTGACTTAGCATCACATTAGCAAGATGGCAGATCCTCTATCCGTCTCCGCTAGTATCTCTGGCCTGATTACCCTCGCTGATATAGTCTTTCGTCGGACCTACAAGTACGTGAAAGCTGTCAAAAAAGCACCGAAAGAGATATCAGCCTTGTCTGCGGAGATAGGCGCCCTCTACGGAATCCTCAGCAATCTGCAACTGGTCTCTCGTCAGCTTGAAGATGAGACATTCGAATCAACTACACGAGTACATCACATCCACTCATGCTATCAAACGCTGGAACATGTGAAGTCTATTTTGGATAGAGATGACACATCTTCGCTAGGCGATCAGCGACTAGAGACCCTTAAGAGAAAGTTAAGATGGCCATTTACGTCTTCAGAGGTCAAAGACCTAATCACAGAAATCGAGCGTCACAAGACAACATTGGGGCTGGCATTGAACGTTGACTGTATGTCCGGTCTCCTCAAGGCGCTATCCAGACAAGACCAATTTCTCGATACAATTGAGGGAATGAGGACCGAGCTCAAGGAGAGACACGAAGCTGAAACGCGCATCGCCATCAACAAAGAGAGACAAGAAATCTTGAAATCTTTCGCGAAGGTCGATTCTCGCAGCAATCACGACATGAGCCGAAAGCTGCGGAGCCCCGGCACAGGTCTTTGGTTGACAGAAGGTCAAGAATTCAGACAATGGTTGGAAACCAAAAACGCCAGACTTTGGTTTTACGGAATTCCAGGCGCGGGCAAGACCGTTTTGGCCTCCTCTGTGATCGAGGAAGCCTTGCGAATGAGCAGCCCCAGCATCGCAGTTGCGTTTTTTTACTGCGACTACAAAGATTCAGCCAAGCAAGACTTGTCGAACATACTAGGTTCTTTGGCTCAGCAGTTCGCTAAGCAGGACGAGGAGAGCTTTGCGAAGCTTCGAGATTTCTACGAGACTCATAACCCAGAGCATCAACAGCATTTTGCTTATGACTCGGACCATTTGTGGGGTCTTGTAAGGAAAATGACATTAGTCTTCGATTGTGCTATGATCATTGTCGACGGACTTGACGAATGCGGGACGAATGCGCCCTTAGTGGTTGACGCTCTCACCGCCCTCAATGACGGTGAGGATACTACCATCAAGACAATATTTCTGAGCAGGGACGAGATAGAAATTCGCGAGCGTCTGGAAAATTACAAAAAAGTTTCGATTGCCGCCAGGAGTAGCGATCTTAGGCTCTACGTTGGGGCTGAGATTGATCTCAGAACGCGTAAAAAAAGGCTCAGGATCAAGGATCAGTCACTCAAAGAACACATCTTGGAAAGGCTGGTGGAAGGTGCAGAAGGCATGTATGTTCTACATTTCATTACCCACTTATGTTATAGGATGTCGGGATTTTACTGACAGTGCGATTGAGCAAGGTTTCGCTGGGTGACTTGTCAGATGGACTACTTGTGTGAGTTACCGAACGATGCCGCCCGCCGCGTAGCACTTGGATCTTTGCCACCCGACCTGACTTCGACGTATGCGAGGATCTTAAACCGGGTGAACCAAAGTAACCCAGACACGCAGAAGCTGGTTCGAAGGGCGTTACGTTGGATTACATGTGTTGACAGAACAAACAACTTCACCACCGAAGCTTTGTGTGAAGCCGTATCTATTGATCTCGGCAGTACAAGGCGAGATTCTCAGGCTATACCTGACGTGTTCGAGATCTTGCACTGGTGCAGCAGCCTTGTACGAAAATCGGCGAATGGCAACACGCTGGAGTTAGCTCACTTTACGGTCCAAGAATTCCTCCAGCAAATTGATCCCAGACGGGATATTTCATTTGGGGCGTATCGAATCGATCCCGAAAGCGACGAGCTCACACTTGCAAAGGTATGCCTTACATACCTGAACTTTGAAGACTTCGACCAAGGCGGTCCGTTTAGCCGGCATGTAGTGGATCGTCGTTTTCATGAATATCCGTTTCGATACTATGCTATTTGGAGGTGCGATAACCTTGCTTACATGGGCTCGGATGACCCTGAACTTTTTCGATTGGTGCAGAAGCTGTTCAGCCCCTCTAAACCGAACACGTTCATTTCATTGATGCACGATAGTGGTACTTCCGAAAGGGTGCTTGAAAATAAGTTAACAGTGAGTATCATCAGCTCATTCTTAGCTGAAGTAACCACGTTGCATTACGCCGCCATGCATGACCTCACCAAAGTGTGTAGCTGGCTTATCAAGAGTGGATGTGACGTCAACCGAAACACTAGTTTTGGTACACCACTTCACTTCGCGATTTTGAGGTTTGACATTTGGCACCGGAGATTCATGGATCCCCGGATACAATTGGGGCGAGGACCAAGGGTTATTCCGTCCGATGACACCGCTGGTGACACTGTTGACCTCCTTCTAGGATGTGGAGCGGATCCAAATTGCTGTTATGATCTGGGCACTGAGAAGCTGTCACCTCTCTTCATGGCCTTGATTACTAGGCGATGGGATCTTGCCGAGAGGCTGCTTGATAGGGGTGGATTAATTGACAGTGGCTGCCTAGACATACTTGAAAACCATGCGCGATCTGAAGATATCTGCAAATTGGTAGAACATACAAGCAACG